AGACGGTGAGGTACAACAAGAAGCGGTGAGCGAGAGAATGCGGGACCACCGCTAAGAGAAACAACCGGAGCGGTCAATTTGGGCGAGGGATCCCATACTTGGGCGCCATCTATCCCTGTGCGAGTGAAATGCTCAATGCGCCGAACATATTGTGGTCGCCGCGTCGGACAGAGAGTCATAACCTAAATGTTTCTTTTACAGTGTCTTGAATCAATACTAGCAGCCGTGCAGTTCCCCGAGTCGCCGCTGCGGGAGAACTGGCGGCGTTGCGATCGCCATTAGTTCGGTTCGCGAGTATGGAACTGAGTGGTTCAGGTATGGTGCCTGGAACGTGTCTCCGACTGGTGTGTTTACCGGGGCCAAAAAAGTGGTCCCTTAATTTCCGCCTGGTCATAAGAGTGTCGTGCTGTTGCCGGTTGCAACCCTGGCAGTGTCCCAGCAGCTCTGGTGGATGTGGCAGATGCCTGTTCTACTGCAGGCCGCTCTTCAATGCGGCAGTCCTCGGAAGCTAAAGCAGCCAGAAGTTGGGACACCTGGGACGCCAAGACAACAGCAACACTCGCGTTCACTTGTGTTTTCGCCAACATTTCTATGACCAATTGCCAGGATCGCGACAGGCAACAGCATGCCATTCCGGCTTCTGTGACGTCATGTGTTACCACTTCAGGACCAGTTTTGATGTATGGGGGGGATAGGACGCTAAACACAGTTCTGGTGACAAAGACTTTTCTGCACTGGTGCAGGAGGTGCAAATAAATCGAACAACTCTGGTGTATGCAGCGAGCTAAGTCGACCAAAATGCGTAGCTCTGTGCATGAAAAAGAAGCTCGAAACAAGTGAGAGATTAATCACATGCGAAGCAGGGTGTGTCGAACTGTAAAAAAAGAGAAAATACTCAGTGCCAGTGCAATATTGACGTTGTGAAACAACGTTTTTAGTCAAGATCAAAACCAACAAACTCTTATTTCGAGATATCGACTTCCAGGTAGTAGTTTGAATTTCGTTCCTAGTTCATAACCCGTCTAAAGGCGTAAAAAATGGGCAAGCCGAGAGAAATAACAGGAGATACAGGCGAGCTAGTAAACCCGATACCGATTAACGAAAACGGGGACAACAGATATTGTGGGAGCCCCCGACAATTGGCATGAGCCGCACACGTTCCGGCCATAGTCGTCTGGCTTCGAGCCTATTCGTTCCGTATCTTGTCAGGGAGACTACGCCACATGCCGACCTTCCCTCTTGCACTCCTCTGTGCGTTTCCAGTTTTCGGGGGACGAGCGAGATTGCGCAAGACTGTCGGGGGCCTGTGGTAGGGGGTTCCCTCCTCCGAGTGAACGACCGTCCAATCGAGGAGTCCTGGATGGGACTCCGGACGACGGGTCGAGTCGCAGTTTGAGCTCGTCCGACTGGCGATGGCTCAATGCTAGTAATTCCCCTGGCTCTGACAGTTGGCATCCCCTCCTCCGAGTAGACATCCGTCTGCCGAAAGCTCCGACCCAAACCCCTGTGACGACGGGTAGCAGTGGGAGCTCAGCTCAACAGCGATGACTCCGCTCGCTATACCCTTTTGGCTCTCAGGTCGGCAGGCGCTGCGGACACCGTGTCCACGGCTCGCTTGACCGCAGTGTCTTGTTGGGGACCAGTTCCCCGAAAAACGAGATCATCGTTGTTGGTGTGGTGTAAAACCAACACGGCGACCGCCCTCGCTGCTAGCCGTCGGTCGCGCAATGGGATGGGGGTTGGAATCCCCTTTGAGCACCGGTCCCTGGACGGAAAGGTACATAATCCTCCCCACATGATATAGACCTCAAACCCCAGTGCCACATTGCTTTTTCTTTTTTTACTTTGGGGAGGATTTATTTTGAGACATAGCGTATGCTTACCAGTCACTTTAATAAGTGCTACCCAGCTAAAAATTCCCATTAAATTTAACTGGAATGGACCTTTTGTAGAAACATTGGTTTGAGAGTAAATGGTTCTAGTACCCTCTCTCTCCCTTCCTTCTGGCCGAGCAGAGAGGGAAGATGGTTTCTTTGTGTCAACTTCGGGGCAAAAGACAAATCACGATGAGGACAAAGGCGAGCTTCCTTGAATATACCAGCTGAATGTTGATGTAAAGCGAAGGAGAGGAGAAAACAGACTCACACTGCTGGACTATCCAACAGAAGAAGGTGGTTATGGATAGTGTCGAGGAAAAGGAAGTTTTTTCATTAAAAGCTGTTGATAGTCCAGCAGTGTGAGTTTTTGTTTTCTCCTCTCCTTTGCTTTTCCTCTACGCTCCGATGGTATTCAAGGAAGCATGTCAAACCAACCAGCTCAGCGCCAGGCTGTCACAACCAAGGCGAGTTTGGGTGAGACATATCTAGGTCAAGGCGGCTCAATGGGCGAACAGGATGTTGCTGACGTTTTGGGTGTTGAATGGGTAGGAGAGGCCTTGCGTGCACATTGATTTCTAGCACTTACGTCTCAAACCCAGTGGCATGTCCTAGGTGGCAGCACATATTCGCCAAAAGGTCCATTCCAACTGGTTTTAATTGGAACCAATTGGTTTTAGTGGGTTTCAATTGGAAGCACACTGGCCAATGGGTCTCGCCTGTTGGAATGTTTCCCATTGGAACCTGAATGGGTTCCAAATGGTTTTTGTTGGTTCCCATTGGCACCTAACTGGTGCCGATGGGAAATTCCAATAAGATTCTAATCTTTAACTAACATATGGGTTTCAAAACAGAAAAGCTTTTAATTAACAAATTTCAGAAAAAAATTTATAAACTTTTTCGATGCACAGTTCGCGCGCTTGTTTCCTGTCCGCAGCTTCTGTTCTCTTTATTTCCAGATCCAGACGAGAGGGCCATCACGAAAACAATACTATTCACTGTCAAAAAGAGGGACTTTAAGCAAACTTTTACCATATGTGTTCTGCGTACCACATAGTTACCGCGGGGCGCGCGCTTAAAAGCGAATGCTTCAAAGGCTCTGGTAGTGTGGTACGGGGAACATGGCAACGTTTGCCAGAAGTTCCCAATATCTTTGCACACATTTTGCCCCGAACATCCAGATAAACATACGTGTACTGGTGGCAACGCCTTCTATTTGGCCTGTACTTAAACATACAAATATATCTATCTACCCCATTCAAGCTTAGGCATTGCTAAGGGAGGGTATACATTTTTAGTTTGCCCCTTTCACCCTTGGAGCTACATCTCACAGGCCTCAGATATGGGCCCGTGGTGTCGCAGCCCTTCGGGTTTGAGTAGAGATTATTAGAATGCAGCTCTTAGGCGCCCGTTTCCGGGTTTCGCGACATCGGCGTAACCGCGCTAAATTTAGCGGGAAAATTGACGTCTCGTGACTTCACGCCAATTCAATTCCCCGCTAAATTTAGTAGGAAAAATGACGTCAGATTGCTTGGTGCCACGTCGCCTAGCTATGAACAAATTCAGGTTCTTTGCTAGATTTAGCAGGAAAATTGATGTCATGTGACCTCAACAGCAATTCAAATCCCCGCTAAATTTAACAAGAAAATGGACGTCACGTGACCTCAACACCAATTCAGTTGCCCCGCTAAATTAAGCGAGAAAATGACGTCACGACTTGGTGCCACGTCACCCATGAACAAATTCTGTTTCTCCACTAGATTTAGCGGGAAAATTGACATCACGTGACCTCAACAGCAATTCAATTCCTTGAATTGAATTAACCCTTGGTCCTTTGCTGGGCGTGCCAGATGACCTGCTGATCCGGCACGTAAACTCCCAAAATTTCAGACTTCGACTTCCTTTGAAAAGTTACCCATTTGCACTTTACCCCATAACAAAACTCGCTGCCCATCTCCAGTTCCAATACTCGCCAAAAACATTTCATAACAGACTTTTCCACAATATTTTCACCACCCGCACTTTCAACCAGAATTTGAATGCTCTCTCGGCATACCTTGCACCCTTGGGCCAACCAACGCTTTCAACCAGTCACACTCTTTGCCATAATGGAATAATCTTCCCAACCACTAAGCGGCACTTGGACGTGCCAAGGAAGCTTTGATCCCACCGCGAGATCGGCGAAACTTGCTTTTGATGAGATGTGCTTTTTTTCTGCGACACTGATTTCATAAAAAATTTCACGTGTTCTCAACAACAAGTCTCAACACAAGGGGTCTATAAAATCTTCTTCGGCGAATGGAGACGATCGAGTAGAAAACGTGTCTTCAAGACGCTGCTGCCAGCCTCTGAAACGCTAGCAAAACTGCAATTTGTCTACGAGCAAGATGGCTATCTGGTGGCTACACTTGCGCTGCAGCGATCAAGTAGGGAAGTGCTCTGCAGCAATTGTCATAAAGATCAGTGGTTCACCCATCCGCCCATATACGCCGCGTCGCGGCGGCAGTTTGCGGTGGCTCATTACAAAAATGTTAGCTCACCTGACCCATCAGTACATGCCGATTTGCGGTGGCCGATTTCGCTAAAAGGAAGCTTATTGCTATTTTTTCTAAATGGGGCTTCTCAATTTAGGAATTTGATAAACGGGCCGGTAAAATGGCGTTTGCTAAAATGAGCTTCTCTAAACCGCATGTCTCAGGTTCTACTGCACATGGAAATCAATGGCGTCAACTGCAGGGATCGGATGGCACTAAAGTTTTAGATATTTCCAACTTTTGGATAATGATTAGTTCTGAAATCTGATCCGATTAGCATTACATTTGGGCAGAGACTGAGCATTCGACGATGCATAGTTAATCTTTGCGTTGAAAAAAACGAAATATTTTTTGGGGACACATTGTATATCGTTTGGAATCACCCTATACGCCTCTAATAAAGAATGCGCACCTTGGGGTAGTGCAAACTTATAAAGGTAGCAAAAGAGTTGCACGTCAATGCATTTGTGCTGAGGAGCCATCTTTATAACAGCAGCTGCCGAGACAAACATGGCTGGCCTAGCATTCCTTGTGAACGCTGGAAGGCCAACAACCAGCGAGCACACCAAAGGAAAACTAAAAACAACAGTTGGAAGCTTGAAAAGTGTGGCATCTATTCACAAGAGTACAGTGGGGGGTTACGGGTATGGCATCAGCTTTTTTGTGCTTTGCGCAGTCGGTCCTTCTTGATGCCTTCTCTCTCTTCGGGAGGGGGAAGAGCCGGTTCGATGCCGAGGCTTTTTCGCTCCTTCATTATGGACAGCTGCGAACCAAAACCGACAGTTAGCAACTTCACTCATCTTCAGCGCAGAGGCACCGTCCTCCAGTATGTGCGAACACTGTTTATCGTGGTGTCAAAAGTTTCTAAAAATCACACTGCCAGAAATTGAAAGGGACTATGACCAGGGGCAAATTTAGAGGGGGGGTCCGGATGTCCTGACCCCCCTCTTGATTTCTGCATGTGTAAAATTTAGGGCTTGAAATGAGGGAGAGGGGGTTCCTAAACAAATGGTATGCTGGTCAACACCTGAACCCCCCCCCCCCCCCCCCCCTCAGGAAATTCCTGCATCTGCCCCTGACTATGACCCGGTATTATCAAGCACCGTCAGTCTCTCATTAATGACTCCCTGAAAATGTGGCTTCGATAGTTTTATTTTCTTACATGGTGTCTAGATTTTACAAGCACCTCAGATGTATCCAGGCCCTTCCTTCGAGGTATGTCGAATGCATCTGGTCAATGTTCCCATAGGTATGTTGTATGCAACCAATCAATTTTTTTAGTGCAATGTCTGGAGGAAAATTTGACGTTTCGGGGTAATATTTTAAAGGGCAACTCCAGTCCATACTTTCGATTTTGGGATTATGACTGTTTTTAGTGCAGTCAGCGTCTCTGAATTGCAAGGTGTAATTTTTTTCTCCTTATTGTGCGTAGTTTTAAAGATATCGACGTTTCAAAGTTTTACTTGGGGCGCGGCCAACAAAACCGAAACTAGCCGCTCGAGGCTCCGGCAACACTGGGAATCGGCTGTTATGTGAATGTGACGTCAAGATCGTTCTCGATCAACGAGTACGCAGGCCGTGCAGCACCAACCTCTGTTGCGCTAGCCGTCTAAAGATAGGAGGTAAGCTGATTTTGTTTTAATTCTGTATACGTGGTAGTTATCCAGCCCATGTAGCAAAAGTTAGTGCGTATACCCAAAAAGCTAGTGACTGAAAACCCCGTGAACTCGTGCGATGCCATACTCGGCGGCCGCCGCCGTGCGTGCGTTATGCCGTACTCGTCGCTTGTATGCCCAAAAGCTAGCGACTGAAAAACGAGTGAACTCGTTCGCTGCCGTATACGGCGGCTGTCGCCGTGTGTGCGGTCTTTCGTACTCGTCGCTAGGCCTAAATTGTCACCGGGGCACCGTGGATGGAGCGGCGTTGCTCTACGCCGTGCTGTGAGTGACGTACAGTACGGGGGACCCTCTCGCTTTCGCGCTGCTGGTCAGTCCCAGACACGAAGCTTTGAGGCTCTCCGGCGTGGGCTGCGGCGCCCGAACACACGTGTGCTGGACTGTACACGTCTGTTTTTTCGTTCTTTTTTCCTCGCGCGTGTAAAAGCCGAAGTCTAAAGTCCACTCGTCGAACAGCGTTCACCCACACCTTCTCCAATTTCCGGTCCGTTGGAAACTTGTGAAAAAGCACCTCCGTGTTGCGCAGCGGGTTGTTTAAACAGCCCACAGTGCTACAAGTTGCACTCGGCATCTTTCGAGGAACAGCTGGGCAGTCTTGGGCGCACCGAGTTGCTCGCTAAAACGAGTCTTGGGGTCCTCACAAGCAAATAAACAAAAGGCTATACCGAAGCTACACGGGCTATAGATAAAAGAAACGACTAAACACGCCAATCACAAGCCGAAGTAGCGGTGATAGCGGCTCAAAGAAGCGCACTCCGCGCAACGCCCGGACCGGAAGAAAAAAAGAGAATGATACGGACGTCATGGCCCAATGTTGCTTTACCGATCGGCAACCCGCTGGCCGCCCGCTAAGGAGCAGCGGCTCGCGGCGGGTCGCATTTTTATTATCGGCATTAGTTGAGAATGCGGCGCCCGACGGACGTGATATTTTGGCTGGGGTCGTATTTTGTGTCACTACATCGATACCAGTAATTTATTTCATTTTGAGTTTTGGCCGGAGTTGCCCTTTAAGAAGCACGTCGAACAAGGTCCAGCCAACGGATAAAAGAAAACTCGCCAAAGCAGGTGCCTGGAACGCCTCTTCAACTGGTGTGTTTACCGCATCCTAAAAATTTGTCCCTCAATTTTCACCCGATGCTGTTATAAAAGTTTCACATTGTCGCTGGCCGCCATCCTGACAATGCCACAGAAATGGTGGTGGATGTAGCAGACGACTGTTCTGCTGCAGGTTGCTCTCCGGTGTGGCAGTCCACAAAAACAGTCCGCAGCAACACTTTAACTTGCTCGTACTTCTTCCCGGGCCTTCCGGCACCAACCACTGGGATCGCGACATTCGACAACATAACAGGCCGGCTTCGACGACGTCATTTGTTACACATGCGGGGCCGCTTTTGATGCGTGGGCGGGATAGGAAGCCAGAACACAGCAGTCAAAGACACATTCCAGGCATCATATCAAAGGCCAACTTGACGAAGATGTACCAGATGTGCCCGACAGTTTTCTTTCTCTCTCTCTGAAAATTTCACAATGATAATGTATGACAGATGATGATCTTTAATTGTGCAAGAACGAGCAATCCATTGGTATTTACTATTCTTGGTCTCACCCTTGCACAGACGACAGACCACCATTAGGGGGCTGGATGGTGCATTGAGCAAATGGGTATGGAACCACCGGAAGTAAGCGGCTTGTCCCTGAAGTGAGCACTTAACGGGCTTTTCAACTCTTCCTAGTGCTCGTTTGAACAGCGTTCAGGGCGCTGGAGTTTTTCTTGTCATCTCAAGAGAGTCTGCTTGTTGTGATGTAACAATGCATGCAGATCGACCCAGCAAATCTCCTAGGAAGCCATTGGATATGAAAATTTGGAGATTTTAGTTGATCAAGCGTGCATATGTCCCACGTTGAAATGCCTTATTATCAGGATTTAATTCCAAATAAGATAATTAAAACCCACTCAAAGACCCAAGAAAGCATGAACCAAAACATTGACCGATTGCACTACGAAGCCCAAGCAGCACGAATTTTGGCCAAGCATTGGCCAAAATGGCCTTTTGGCCAATGACCAAAGAGTGGCCATTCATCGGTCAATGCTAGGTCAATGGCCAATGGCCAGAGAAAGGCCAGTCATAGGCCACTGGGTGGCCGCTGTCTGCACTGGCCAAATGATCACTGCCATTGGTCAAAACTCTGTGCTGCTAAGGTGCCCAGGCCCAGCAGACACACTTTTTGGGCAAGCATCGAACTTCCGGTGGCTGCATGAGCCCTCGCTCGGCCGAGACGCAACCATACACAAAGGGCCTTTTGTAGTCAGTGACGTTCGCGAGCAAGGGCGGATTGAGGGGACGCATGCTCACCCAGAACTTCTGGCACACATTGTAGTTGACAAAGAAGAAGGTGCACTTTTCCTTGTCGTAGCCGTTGTCGTCGAGACACTTGAGGCTCAGTTTCTGCTCCTGAAAGAAAACCGATGAGGAACCCAACAGGCTCTCACGCGGCAGCTTCGGCCCTGCTCCAGCACACCTTGAGACAAGGGTTGTTCAGCTCTTGAGACGTTGCCTTTTCTGCCCTCGTGCGGCGCTTGCCGGCGTCGGTGGGCGACATGACTATAATTTTGTTTGACTCAATCTGCTAACGTGACAGTGTAAGAATACCGAACCTTCTCGGAAGTCTCCGGCTCAGAACCCCTGGGCCACTTGGGCTGCCTGGGCGCCTGGGCCGCCCTGGGCGCAGACCACAGTGCAGACTAGTGATGGGACGAATCTTTATCCGAATCGAGATTCGGAGCCGAATCTGAAGATTCGGAGAGATTCGGAAAAGTAGCCGAATCTCGAGAGATTCGGAAAAGTTCGGAAAAATTCGGAGCGTTGCCATGGTGTCCAGATCACGTTGATGAGTGTTTCAACTTTTCGTGATATTAAATTCACTAAATTCTACAAAGTGCACAAAATATTGTTGTAATATAATATCATAGTAATAAATAAAACGTTCCGTTTTGTTTATAATATTTCGGATGTTTGTTGAGAACGGTAACCAGACATCGCGGGAAAAGTGGTTTCGGTTCCGGATTACGACCAAAATAGGCATGCTTGGTGCTCGTGGAAATACAAGCGCATGTTTTCATCGCCCCGGCCCCGGCCCCGGCGGTTCGGCCTGGTTCGGCCAGTTCGAACTTCAGTCACTTCAGTGACAGTCGGTTGTGGGGCAGGCGGTTTGACGAGAGTTTGTTGGGCACCAGGAACCTGCGGCGTTGTCTGCGGGGTCATGGCAGAGACCACCGCGGCTGCCCTTGCGGCGAAACGCAAGCGCGATAAGTTCCTCGTGGATTTCGTCAGGCTTGGCATGGTCGCCCCTCTGGGTCGCCCCAGCCCGGCGGGATTCGGCGGACGTGCAGCCGGTGCAGCGGCGGGTCGACGGAGCGCGAGGTGATGTTTACGCGAAGATCACGTTCTTGTACTCCGGGGTTCCCAGAGACCGAAGACGTCCACCGTGCTCGTCCGAAATTCAAAGCAGTCCCCCCCCCGGAAGAGATCGATGCCGTACGTGCGTGGTTCAAACCACGACCGGGTTCAAACACATTTCGTGCCCATAATTACGGTCGTAGTAGCACACCCCACACAAGTAAGTATGTTCGATTCGATTATCTTCAACGTGTGTCCACTCCGGTATTGTTATCGGAACACGGGAAACAATCTAAAACTCCTTGCGCTGTACTATTCTCCTGTACTGCATTTGTACCTTTCTGTCTAATGATACGGTATCTGAATTAGTTGGTGTTTGTTTCTGAACAATAAAGTTGCGGTGGACACCCCTGTGTTGTTTCTTTTTCATCAAATAAAGTTCACGTATACAAAACTTGCTGCCGAGAAACGACAGTGCGACGTTTTTCTTCGTCGGTGTCGGTACGCGGTCGAAAGTTGGGATGAGCAACACTTTTCATCGCTCTCGCGTCTTACGCAGCTCTAGAGGAGACGAATCATTTCCTTGCATAAATATATTTATTGCGCGTTGCGCCACATTATGTATAACACACAGCATTTTGCTACATTTTACTTTAGCGATCACCGCGAAACTTTGCATTGGTTAGGCCTACGCCAACCACACCTATCAGCTCAGCTGGACCTGGGCGCCTGCCAGGGTTTAGAGTAAGAGTACAGTACATACCATACGTTGAAGTAAATAAGAGCAATCTGGTTATATGCAGTAACAGTACCTAAAAAAAAACACAGCTGATCGCGTTCGCGAGGTTTACGAAAGTGTCCACGCCGCCGTCTGCAACTAGCGACGAACCTGACGAATCTCCGAATCTGCCGAATATTCGTCGCGGGAAGTTCGGAAATTTCCGAATCTGTTCGAATCCGAATCTCTGGTGATTCGTCCCATCACTAGTGCAGACGGAATCTAGGACATGTTCCGAAAGTGACTCGATCCGCTCAATTCCTTTCAAGGGTAAAGGTTTTGTTCCTTGGCGTTCGAAAATCTACTGACGTCAGCGTTGGTTTCTCTGAAAAAACGGGTAAAGTGCAGGTGAGCTGGTGTAAGTTATTCATGATGATTGAAAACCTGAGACTGTGGTTTGAAAAACAGAAAATCGTGAAGTAGAAAGAAGGGACAGACAACGTCTAAATTTTTGACAACGTCTAAATTTTTCTATCAGTCGGGCCAGGCCAGGGCCAAGGCTTTTCGGCTTTTCTATCTGCCTTTGTCACGTGATATTGTGAGAGTAACTGGAGTTAAAGAGAGTGGCTGCTTGGGTCATTCATAAAACTTGTGCGTGCGCTGCGTGCGCAGCAAAGCTATTAGCAAAGCTGGCAAAGACGAGAACGAAGGAAGGACACGGCGTTATTTGCGCTTTCGATTGTGTGCTGTCCTCTCTTCGTCATAGTCTGCTGCACACGCACAGCTTTTATGAAATAACTGGCGACCCATTCGAGCACAGATATTTGGCGAACCATAGCCGAACCTGCCGTATTTACCGCAGGTTGGACCTGACTAGGTTCGATTTTTCCAAAAATATTTTTAACGACAAATCTGACGTCTTAAGTTTGTGTCGTCTTGTCCATTATTTCATTCCTCTTCAGACTATGATGTTTTCTCACTTGCTCGCCTGCATACTTTCGCTTCTAAAGTTTCGACGGGTTCGACCAGGTTCGACTCCCTCAAGGCGCAACACTTATCGGTTTCATCATTTTGCAAGGTTTATATAAAAAATAATAAATATTTCAAATTTTATACGACTTTTTTATATTTGTGCAAGCATTGGTAATTGTGTTTTTATCATTAAACGTACGTGATCGTTGAAATGCATCGTGAATGCATCCTGATTCCTGACGTATTCCTGACGTTATTTTGTCACGTGCCTCATTCCGGCGCTCTCATTGGCTCGGCGGAGTCATATTTGAAAAGTAACAACAAAATGCAGTTTCGCCATCTTTAACAATGTGCACCGGTCGTCGTGCGGCGGTGTGGTTTGTGCTGTGCGCACGTTCGGTGGGGGATCGGTAGAAAATATTGTTTGCGGGGGGTCGAAAGGATGCCGTCTTCTAAAATTGCGGCCGCCAGCGTGCGTCGAACGTGAAGGCGCGCGAGCGACCGCCAATAGAGCCCCCAGCATGGCAGGGAAACTACCGTCGCGTCTTCAGGGCGAAAAGGCGCACTCGTCGAAACCCTATGAAAGGCGAAAGGTAAGGCTAAGCCTAAGCGTATTCCCATTCAATGCTCGTCGTCGCGGGCCGTATTCTTGGCTTACTGCGATGGTCGGCCGTGCAGATCCGGTTAGAACGCGTTTTTTTTCTAAGCGAGAAACCCTCCGGCGGCCCCCGTTGGCTCGTCTTTGAAGCGTAGTTCCGGGCTCGACCGTCTCAAAGTCGCGTGCTCGCCGCTGGCAATCGCTACCTCGCTACTTCGAAAAAGACGTCCGTACTTGCTTCTTTAGAGGCTTGGGGTGCGATTTAATAAAACGTCGCTAGGGCCGCGATGCTGCGGTTGTAGTCACAGGTTCCGTGGACGATGGACGTTGCAGCGTGCCTGTAGTCGGAGTTCAAACCCGAGCTGTAACCCGGGGTTGTCATTGGCGCTCCCGAGCGTGTCACTGCTTGGTGAGCGCCCACTACCCTCGCGACCGAGTTTTCGGGCTCAAGGTGCTCTAGTGAAAAAGCACGTGGTCACCAAGCGCACATGCGTTGTTGATCGGCGAGCGGCTTTGAACGACGCACTCTGCCTGCTTGACGGCTGTGCTCGGTTATTCGTCGCTGCTGCTTCCGAGTCTCACGATCACGCCACCCATCGTGGCTCTCTGGAAGGAGCCTAACAAGTGCTATACGCGAGAGGGCCTTGCTTCAAAGGAAACAAAAAAAAAACTTGGTCTGAACATTAATCTGACAAGTGCTATTCTAAGACTTCCCGCCACCTGTCCGGAATGCACCCCGGATAAACGGTGACTAAAACACGGATGGGAGGACTGCATCCGTTCACCGCTTGTCTTCCCGGTCACAATAGATGTTTAGTAAGGGGCATTGGGGCCGAGTGGCACACTGGTGAGTTGTGACAGACAACACAGAATCTTACGTCGAAAGGACACCCCACATCAACATAGAGCCTAAGTGCCAAGAATGTCTCCATCCAGCAGTTCACTGCAAATAGTAGTGAACTTAGGGCAACGGGGCCAGTCTGCAAAAACGGAATTGAGGTAACTGGTGATTGCCAATACATGCTTTGCACCTAGCGTCATCCCATCAGCTCTCATTGGGACTTGTGTGTGTCCCAGAGGTCGCTATTCTCTCTCTAGAAGATTATGCCGTAAAATACTGTGGATGTGCCCACTATTAACGTGCTCCAAACTTGGGAATTCCACAAATTACGCATTAAGCGCCCATGTCTAGATTGATCCAGTTTTTTGTGAATGTGCAGTGGGCGCTCCCTCGGTATTTTACGGTAGAAAGTTAAGCCGTTGCTCAAAATTCCTTTAGAAATAGCTTCCCCCTCCCTCTTCCGTGGTAGTGCAAAATAGATCATGTGATGTCAGTGCAAAGCTTTTGTACTGCTTGTCCTCTTTCGGTGTGCACGAGGTAGCCTGGGAATATTGAGTCTTTATGCGTCCTTGTCTACTTCTGCCGCTTGCCAGAACCATGCTGTGTTCGTTTGAGCTGTACAGGACCTCTTTCACACCTGTTTGGTAACACTTGGGTATTCTTACCACTGTGACAGCCAGAGGACGTTCTGTATTACAAAAACTGCTGAGCAAATAGAGGTGCAAAGTTTACGTAGGGCTGCAAAAACTTTGCTTACAAGCTAATGCTCAAACGCCATAAGTTATAAGCATGGTTGGCTTTGTTTTAAGTGCATCTTGTCAACTTTCCAGAAGTGAGTTACAGCCAGGGCCAGGTTTGTGGGCGTATCTGCAAAGAGATTTTCTTCCCACTAGATGAAGTGCGCAAGATTTTCCACTAAATGTAGTTGGTGATTTAATCTCAAAACTCAACGGAGACATATTTTTTCTTCACAATAAGTTGCCGGGACCCAAAGCAATTTTTAAAGACAAATCTTTAGGCATCAAAAATGCACAGTTTGAGTTTGGAAGAAATAAAAACAAGAATAAACAAACTTACTTCCTAAATCGTTCACTGTCATAAAGATTTCCAGGAGTCAGCCAGCATTTCTTTTTCTGGCGTGACATGACCAGCTAGTTCAGTCACGATGCAAGCATGTAAAGTTGGCTCACAATCCTAAATGGCATTTTGCACAGAGTGACTGTGCAAACAAATCTGCACGGTTTCCAGTTTCGTACAATAAAAAACCCGCGGACACAACGCGCACTCCAGCTGCCGTCCACGTTTCTATATTTTTGCTCCATTAGCGATGGACCAATCTCGCTATGCATTCCCTGCATGCTTGATGCCGCCGTAACTAGTTTGTAGGAGGCGGGGGCCAGTTCACGAGGCAGCTCGCGAGGACCCTCAGTGGGTTGCCGTGCGTGCACTAAGAACTGCATTCCCACGATGCACGGTTGTGGTGTAGTGAAACTGGCTGCAAGATTGGTCTGTCGTGTCGTTTGTTTAGATGGCGGGAGGTTAGTCGGTCCCAGCGGCCGTCCGGAGACTCGCTGTAGACGAGAAATTTAACCGGTGCGGTACCACCGCTAGCCCGGGGTCTAAAATGTGCATCACGAAGTAGCGATACACGACTGGTCTTGTACGCGTTAACTCGACAAAAGTGATTGATTACAATTACTCTAAAGTTTTGCCTAGAAGTATTAGTTTGATTACTCGAGACGAAAAGTAATTGGCAGTTAATCTGAAAAAGTAACTGTCTCTTCTCAGATTACTTGAGGTTTTAAAGTCAACCAAGTTTTCAGCCGGTTTGAAAACGGGTCTTTGTACTGTCTGTGATTAGATTAGGATCTCCGAATCGTGAACTAATCTTAATAATTTTGGCAAACTGTCCACTTTTCGGAAATTGGGTTCGGGGGTTTCTTGGTTGGAAACTGGTACGGGCGAAGGGCGCCGAGAATTGGGATGGAAAATGGCAATGGTTACGAGTAATTTTTGTACTTTCGAAAGTAATCAGATTACACTCGCGATTGCTTTTTTTATAAATGTAATCAAATAAATACAAAACTGGAAAAAAAAAAGTATTACGAGTAATTTTATTACCTCTAGCTTGTAAAGTACAAGTTTTTGCACCACAGAACACAAGTAGACGCTCGGCAGATTGAAACAAGCAGAAGTGGGGATTGAATCCTGGGTTGTGCAGCGAAAACAACGCTCCTGAGACGTGGGAATCGGGACACGGATTCCCCCGAGCGTCGTTTTCGCTAGAGCCCCCGATTAACATTTGTGCTTGTTGTTTCGTACTATAACCGCCAACCAACCTCATGGGAACATGCGAGACATGCGTCGCAGCGAGTGCTCCGAGGGCCGCTCATTCTGGTGCATTGCTGCCCGACTGTTTAGGGGGGCAAGATGCTAGGTCCACCTTTAAACGTGTGTCCTTTTCTTCGAAAAAGAGTAACTTACCTTTGAGCAGTTTGAAGCCCCTTCCCTCAAAATCCGCCCCTGGTGACAGCGGCGCCAGAGTTTTGTAGCACCTATACCCTGTTTCATATTATGATAGACCTCGGCAACTTAGTGTAGTGAGGGTATTGCATGACCTCGGCGCCCTAGCATCACTGCGCTTCTCCCAAAAGGCACTTGACGCTCGTACAGCATCGAAGTGGTTCCGATGGCGCATGGGGTCCACTGCAGTTCATCGTAAGGTGAAGCAAATTATGACTGGATTGTAGGTCCCTAGCCTGTTGTGGCTAGGAGCATTCTCGAAATTCCTATAATTCTTTGCGGTACTCACGAGTGGTAATGAGTGGTAATAGCGTTTCTGAAATCATCTATTGTAGGAAGGACCCAACTGTCTTGAAACAAGCTTACCATTTTCTTAGAACACCTGAGAAAGCCCCCCAAGTGGTCCAAATTCAGTCCTTCGCTGGGTTGTGCCAGTCAGCTTTTGTTGGTTTGGCATGCGGGCACCCTATATTTAGTTTTTTCCTTTCTCGCGCAAGTCTAAATGTGGCGCTGCATGCGTGGAAAGGGCCTATATACATTTAAAGAGCCAAAAAAATTTGTAGTGCAATGTTTGTGCAAACTCCTAACATTTTAGTAAAATGCAGTGGGGAAAGCACTTTGACGCTGTTTGGCGCAATTCACGCAGCAATCGCCTCATGCACTTTATTAGAAACATATTTCAGCTTTCTGCGTAATAAATACTAACCCGTAGTTCATTTTTTGACTAAAAATGTGGTACTATTTCTACTTGTTTTAGAATCGTATAGCTTTTGTGCTCATGCTTCGAGCTTAAGCTGTAAATCATGGCACCAACTGCATTGGTGTTAAAGTATAATATATTTATTTCACCCCAATGTTTTATACAGTTGTTAAAAACCAGTGTAGAGAGTAAAAATCATGAGGATTTAGATTGTGATTTAAATCAGCCCAGTTTTACTATAATAATCAAAATCGAACCTTTTCCGCAAAAGTATTCACAAAACTATTTCATTTAGCGCTTGTTGCTATGTGCATTTGTTTTGTATTTTAAGAAGGAATCATCAAGCAAGAAAGATTTATATCTGGGTGAATGCAAGCACAAAGCAGTGGTCCCCTGAGCAAATCGGAATGTTGAGTTTTTAGTTTTTCTACCATTCACTTGGTTAGTTAAAGAATGTCCTATTGCAAGTAAATAACTATGTGAAAGAAACTAACACTAGAAAAGTAATGCTCTATTGCAAAGAAATCAGAATGCAAAAGAAAATAAGAAAGCTTTTTCACAAACCTAAAGATGTACAGCCATATTTTTCTTCAATGTTGGGGTATACTCATAAAAAAGTTCTTAAACTGTGCTTCAAATTTACAGTAATTTTTCTGCAATGTTTGCAGTGATTGAACGGATAGATTGATCATGTTTAAGAATGCATCTTGCGATTAAGAATCACTATTTTAGGACTACAATGATTTCCCCTTCCCTATTTTCGACCTCCCCGTTAAGGGGACCCTGCAATCATATTTAAGCATCTACCTTTTTTGCGGTTTCCACGTCTCTTGGGGTTCGGGCAAGCCAGTGGGCACAGAGAGAGTAGCTAAATATCAGTGCATCATGTTTTAACCGGACGACGCGGAAACCTCCTCTACCGATGGGAGCGACCGGTGGTACCGAAAGCGCGTGATATGTGACGTTTTTGGTCCTGGGCTTACTGCTGGTCAGTCTTTAAAAGCTTCTTTATAGTCAAAATACAAAATATAAGTGGCGCAAACCGTTTCGGTTACTTATAAAAGTAGTTTTTGTTCAGTATTTTAGATGAGAAAAGAAACAAATGCAGTTTATAAAGTATGGAAACAAGAAATGACTTGTTGACATACCCGCCACCAAGTGGTGGAGAAGGCGGCGCACACTAGAAAAGAGTAGTGGGATCAGGCGCCGACACGGAAAGGTCCCGGATGTATGCGTCGGCGCTGCGGGCGTACGGATTCGAGGATCCGACCGCCTCTGAGCGTTCCGAAGGCCTTCGGCGAGCAGCTTTGTCTTGCGGTTTGGCTGTTTTGTGGTATGTTAGCGCGAAGTGGCTCTCACTCCGAACTAATCTTTACCTTGTGTTTGCTATCGTATGTGGCCAAGGAAGTGTCATGCCGAAGTAAAGTTTAATCGTGCAGCAAACGTAATTAGAGCCACTCTGGCTGCGCACTGCATACAGCCTATCCAGAACATGGTTTAGTGGCGCCCTCTCGAGCCGTCAACACTTAGTGCGGCAGCCCTGAGCGCCCGCTGAGGTCACTACCCCTCCTCTAGTTCATGGCCACTCAAGCAACCAAAGACGTCATGAAGGAGGTTATTTTTTTGCTTGTTTTTGTAATTTTAAAGGGGTAGGGAAACAAAATTCGAGCACTCATTTTCTAGCTTGAATGTGTTGCATGTTGCACTCTAACCTCAAAAACACCAGTCTTTCGTTGAAAGGCATAAGAAAACTAATTTTACAGCTAAATAAACAATCTTTCAATGTGCACCTGGTGGATGCATGCGGAGCCTATTTGGGAGGTGATCTAGCAACGTTGGGGAACGTTCAGAGCAGCGCCACACTTTGAAATTTTAACATTTTCCTTCTTACAGTGATGTGATTGCTGCGCCAATTGCGCCAAACTGCGCCAAGGGGCTAACCCTGCTACATCCTGCTACATTTTGCCACAATATAGGCAATCTGCGCCAAGCCTGCACCAAAGGACCAATTTAGGTCGCTTTTCAAAACCGAAACTAAACTGAGTACTGTAGTTGAGCAGGCGTGTGTTATGTGGCGCAAGCGGCCACCTGACACAAAGTACCGTGCATCAGTTGTCCACCCGGTCTTGCATGGTTTTCCCGTCGTCTCGCGTTTCGCGCTCTTGTCTTGTGGGTCTCGTCTCTTTTTTTTAAAAATATTTTCAACGATAGACGCGGATGTGTGCAGACGCTCCGACGCTTCCGTGCCGGGTACCAGCTATGCCATCATGCTGTGAAGCGAAACCACGTTTTTGCGCGGCAGGAGTTACTTTGTGAGCTGAAGAAACGGCCGTGGGGAAACTATATTTGGTCACTGCCTTTCAGTCACCGTGGTCGTGCGACGTCGAATTTTGCCGTCCCCACATCACTGCAGATATGGTACTTTCTAAAATGCAACTGAGTAACACTACACGTTCATTCCTGTTCTTCATTAAATCATACGTTACTACAAAAATCCATCTTTAATTCAAAGCTCTGTCAAAGTATTGATTATCTAGATTCCTCTCGGTGGGCCTTCTTTCGAGAGGGACCTCGTTACGTGAAAAATCTGCCGGGAAAGAAAGTTAGTGAAGAGAAGTGAGCTAAAGCAAAGAAGGCAATGTCTGCACGCTGAATCCGCACAGCGCGCTTCTTTGCCTCGAGTTCGGTCATTGCACAAAGCGCTCGAAGAACTTTTTAAGGCTGGCTCTTAATGTCTTGCATCGATGCACTCAGGTTCCTTATTTTTTGTGTGTTTAGCTTGTACCTTGTTTGTGGGCCTGGCAAGCACGCTCCACTGGATTGTTTTTGTCGCATTCTCAAAAGTTCCATTTTGTGTACAATTTTGGAGATAGTTAGCGACGGAGCTGAGGGGCTTAGTTTCGGTTTCAATTACGTTTACGTTTGCTTACTTTTGACAAAAATCTGGCACGTCGGGAACCAGTAAAACGGTGGCAAGCGGTTTTTCGAAATTGCTTGGCAATGCCTACAGCACTGTACACTTCTGGGATGTCTGAGCAGTAAAAACAGAAGTAGCGAGTTCCGTCGCAACACGTGACATCAAAACACAACACAACACATAGTGCCCTTCATTTGTACAGCACTTAAAACAATTATTTTTATTTTCCTAAGAATACCTGCTCCAAAATCCACTTTTTTTTTTGCTCCAAAGTACTCTCTTGGCTGTTCCAAAAGCCGCATTTGCTGCTACAAAACACTGTTTTGGTTTCTCCAAAGGCCACATTTGCTGCTCCAAAACACTGTTTTCGTTGCTCCGAAACGTGCGCCGAAATGGCTTAGGCCAATCACATCACTGTTCTTAGCTTTCCTCCTCAACTCGGAAATCGCGCATTGAACCGAGCATTTCTCGGACTGTTGTTTGTGCACCCGGATACAGCAATCCTCCCCCTAGAAGGTTAGCCCGTCGCTCAAAACTCGAACAAAAGTTGCTTTCCCCACCCCGTTCAACCCTAAGCTGACAGTGCTGTGGAAACTACGTGCTCCTTGGGCCAGCCACACGCTCGTCACCCCACGGGTACATCGAACGGCTTGGTTGTAAAGTGTTGACGATATGGACACCACAACAACGCTGACAAGCTCAAACCACGCCAGCCTTGCTATGTTACGAAAGCGGGGAATCTTTTCTTTGTGTTTTTGTTTGCGCCAGATATCCCATGACGCATCACGCTCTATATTCGCTTCTCTTCGAGCGCTTGCTTGAGTGCACCATTTGGAACGAAAAATATAACCAGTCGTTCAAGATACAAATGTGCGATTATCATTTACGGCTATTATCCGTCGTGCTTGGCTCATTTCCGAACAAAATATGAATATTTCAATTTTTGTTTCCGTACCCCTTTAATTTGCCCATTGCTTTTAAAATAAAGCGAATTTCGAGAAAAGAAAAGTTTCATTAAATTACTACGTTCGGTGCACTCAGGTTTGGTGCAAATTAAAAAAAAACAGTTAAAAAGTCCTTGCAGGGCCCCTTTAACCGATCAGCATGGAGCTTCGCGGCTGCCCTAATCAGGCTTCACGAAATGCCGAGCACCCAGCCAAAGAAGGTTTCGCATTAAGATTTCTCGGGAGAACCCAGTGTACAACGTACTAGCATCGTTACTGCGACTAAACGGTGCCCGGTGTTTCAGACTTTGGTGCAGACCGTGAAGGAGCTGCTGCTGCCGTCATGGCTGACGTCGTGGAATACGCCCCTGGTGACCGAGGAGGAAGCGGACAACCTCTGGCCACGGGAGGAGGCGTCCGCTCCGCCGGACCAGTCTGCAAAGAGGCCCCGCACAGAGCGTCCGGCGGCATACTCGTTTGCGGAGCCCCAGGACCCTCGGGAGGAGCTCGCGGGCCCCCAGTCCCTGCTCAACGGTGAGGGCCAGTGACGTCGACCTTTGGTCGGAGAATGTACGGCTCTCGACCTCCTGGTGATTCGTAATAATGTGACACTCTTCCTACTGTGCGCATTATTATTTACGAGGTGCGTAGGCTCTTGCGTCGCTTTAGTGCAACATTGTCGAGATCATGAAGCTTGAAAAACCCCCGTTCCAGAGGATACTCAAATGTAGTGGCATCCGCTAGCCATTGTCTGGTACCTGGAACCCATCTTCGTCTACGTGCGTTTGGCATCTTATCCCGCCTGCGCATCGAATCTGCTCCCGAAGCGGCAACCAATGACATTTCAGGAACCGACGTGAAGTGCCGCTGCGTTGTGCAATCCCGGTGATTGGCAGTATAAGTTCCAACAGAAAAGAGTGGCGAACGCAAGTGTTGCCGTTGTCGCGGCAATCCGTATCCCGGCCGCCAAAGTTGCCGTCTGCCGTCGGTTGGGAAAGCGACCCACGGCAGAAAAGGTGTCTGCCGCGGCCAACTCCGCCGCTGCGCCGTCGCCGGAATGGCTGTGGACAATAATGCTACACTTTTACGACTTGGCTTGGTGGAGATTGATTGACTACAAATGGGGATACACACAGGGGACAGCCATGCCTTCTCGGCAGCTGTCGGAAACGTGTTGGCCCTTTACAAACGACGACCTTGGAGAAAGGGGAGAGGAAATTTTCCAAGGGGTGCGTCGTTTGTTTTGACTGACGGCTGCCAGCCGCTTTGCAACAAAATCTTGGCCTAGCTGTTGTTTGGTGGGGCAAAACTCGGTCAGATACCCGGTTGCTTCCTCCCACCTTTTGGCTCCGAATGTAATTCCAAAAAGCAGGTTGGGATTGTATTCCCGCACGGACCATGTACCAGCTTCTTCAGCAGTACATATATTTGTAAAGTAGCGACTATTTCTACGTCCACCATTGAGATAACTTGAAGTATTATTTTTGCGTCCCTGACCCCACTTCTCGGAGATGTTTGATTGATTGATAGCATTATTTTGCTGTCTCCTCTCATTTCAGGATTAAAAGCGCTAAAAAACGAGGGCCAGTAAAAGAAGACACACACACAGTAGAGCGCACTTGCAACTGAGGTTTAATGTGAATGAAACCAAAGAAGAAACATGTATGCATTGTCACCAACCATGCATCCACGTCATGTAAAAATATTTTTCAATAATCTACATATAATCTTTCTAGCTTGGGCTAACAAAGGACTGAAGATACGCCACCTCCGAATCGTACAATGCTATCGATGGGGCGCTGATGCACGTGTCGCTGTCGCACTTCCTTATGGAAAACGCCTCCGAAATTTCCCTTGTCATTTTGTTACGATTCCTGCTCAGGATAAGTTTCCTGAAGCTTTGGTACACAATCGCATCGGTTGCAATGTATCGCAAGATTACCCGAGGGCGAAGATCTTACTGCCAGTGCGTGTTCCCTTAGTATGTCGTTGATGCACCTTCCGGTTTGTCCTATGTAAACCCTCTCACACGTTAAAGGTATTCTATACACCACCCCCTCCTTGCACTCCACATATTTAGTTCCATGCTTCTTCTTACATATACCACCCTCAAATCTCCCCTTTCTATTCTTGCACACAGTTTACCCAATGTCTGAGGCGCTGAGAGTAGTACCGGTACTCCATGTTTTTCGCCCACTTTCTTCAGACTATTGGTGAATTCCACTCGTAGATCTGGAGCGCTTTCCAAAATCCGCGAGGGAGGCAAAATTCCGCTCCGTGGGACCCGCTCCGAATCGACGAGGGGAAGATAAACTTGTATTTTTGGAGCGACCTCCCCCACACCGCTCCCCACCCCTTCTCCCTCCGCCGTACAAAATAGCCGCTGCTTGAACTTGACCAGCCCACCAACGCCTCAGCCGGCTGATCTTTCCAACGACCAGTGACGACTGTCACTGCTTAGCTGCAGAAGTAACACGCGACACAGACCGGGCGAAATTATACGTACCACGGCGCCCATGTCACAAATAACGAAGACGTCCGCGTTCGGCACCGTCACATACCTTTCGGCCGCCTCGAAGCGGCGGGGCACGGACAGCGATTGCCAGCGGTGGAGTTCAGATTTGTAGTACGACTTTAATAAACACAGAGGTAACAAACCATCACTTGCGCGGTCGTTGCCTAACCACTTCTTGCTTTATTTCACGGAAAAACGCCGACGGAATGCAGTGCAAAAAGGTAAACAATCACTGGCTGCAGAATGAATAGGCCTAACCTTGCGTCTGCCTCCGGCTTTTCTGTCGTTCCTTTTCTCGTTCTTCCTTTCGCGATCACAGAGTCAGCACTTATGATTTGCCACGCTCCACATTCCCGGCTTTTTATCCCTGATCTACGCGAAGTAGAAGCTTTGGAGCCGTCACAATCCAGAGTAAACAACCGACGCACCCGAGCAGATCCAACTCCACGACCCGACCGGCCCGCCAATCTCTCCAACCTCGCCGCGCATGCGCACCGCCGATTTAGACTGAAATCACGTGGGCCGCTCTGTCAACTTCCGGAGAGATCCGTGAAATCCCGCAGAGCAAGTTCGGCGGAGTTTGGGGCGCTCCATGGAGCGGGCGCTGCCAGAGATCTACGAGCGGAAGATGACCAACTTGAGCCAGATCTGCGAGCGGAATATGCGCGCTCCAAATGGAGCGCTTTTGGAGCGCTCGAGATCTGCGAACGGAATTCACCATATGGCTAATTTTGTGCACATATGGTATCACGGTCAGTCTCACATTCCGCCTGACCTTTCCACTACCCCTTCCCCCTCCCCGAAGCTTTCGTAGCAATGCTTCTGCTACATGTTTAATAAGCGTAAGAGGGTACCCTTCGTCTTCTAGTTTCTTTACTTGTTTATCAAAGCCGTCCACCATTTTGTGTGAGCACGACTTAGTCAGCGAGGCTCCTAAGCATGTAGTGGCAATACCTCTCTTAATAATTTTAGAGTGGTTTGAGTCGTAGGGTAAACACCACTTTCCTTGCTCTGGGGGAGTACATCCAACATACATGGGACGGCATAAATATCAGTTTCAGGTCCAAAAATTGTAAAATGCGCTGTACAGGATCTTCTGCAGTGAAACTCAAACCGGCGGCGCAGCTCTTAAAAACATTCAACGTTTTTGAAATAAACTCTGCTCTTTTACTTTCTTCCCCCGAGTGGAACAGTACCAGGTAGTATTTGTCTACATACCTAAATATGCGGATGATATTACTATCTGGTTTAGCTTCAATATCTCTGTCGCATTTGGCCAAAAATAAACCACTCAGCACTGGGGCCACGTTCGTCCCAATACATATACCTTCTGTATGAATTTCGAACCTTCAAATGCAACATAGGTGGACTCCAGGTAAAAGCTCAACATCTCCAAGAAACTTCCTCCATGGATACCACATTCATTTTGGAACTTAACATCCCCATACGTGACAAGGGAAATTTCATGACAAGGGAAATTTCGGAGGCGTTTTTCATAAGGAAGTGTGACATCGACACTTGCATCAGCGCCCCATCGATAGCAGTGTACGATTCGGAGGTGGCTATCTTCAGTCCTTTGTTAGCTCAAGCTAGAAAGATTATATGTAGATTATTGAACAATGTTTTTACATGGCGTGGATGCATGGTGGTTACAAGGGATACATGTTTCTTCTTTGGTTTCATTCACATTAAACCTCAGTTGCAAGTGCGTTCTACTGTGTGTGTGTCTTCTTTGACTGGTCCTCGTTTTTTAGCGCTTGAAATCCTGAAATGTACAACCAACTAGCCCAAGTGAATACCCTTTTATTGTCTCCCGTCAAAATGTTTATTTTTATTAGTTTGTTGCTGTCTTCCTCTAAACTTTGGCGCTTTGAACTGGAAGGTGATCGAAAGTGGCTTTCAGGAAATGTGACCTTGCTTGCACTCGTCGCAGTTTAACACATAATTTTTCAACAAAAAATGTTGCGTACGGGTATGCCGTAAGGTGGGGGGCAGGGGGGCCCAGAGCTCCCCCCCCCCCCCCCATTTATTATGGGGGGGGGCTCAGCGGTGCCTCAGCTTTTCATAATAATACTAGGGGGGGGGGGGGGGGTATACGGTGCCAGGCACTCGTCATGAGGTCACCACGTGCGTCTATGCCAGCCAGATGTGAGCCGAGGAGCAGCAGGCTGTGATCACGCAACACACCCGTGGATGCCGACAAATACGAAAGTGCCATGCACACATTGCACCCCACATGACAACCAGGCTCCAGAGAGCGACCCTCTGATTCGGAGAGCTGCTCTCTGTACAGTACTGTGCAAAATGTCTACAGGTTGTGTAAATTACTAGGAATTGTACACACATGCTGTGGTATGCCCATTTGTATTCGGGTGTTCCATTTGTTGGCTACATGTAATCGTTTTCTGCATGCGTGTGTATATATAAACAGAGAAAATACTATATTGCCTTTGCCTTAATATGTAGATTTCTAGAACATTAATAAACAAGTGTTTGCTGGAAATGTATTCTGTACAGTTCCTTTTTGTGATGTACAGTATCTAGCAGTTAGAAGTACTGCTTTAGGAGGTAATTTTATCATGCAGAAGATAGAAATGGCCACACGATGTAGTGAAAGGAACAAGAACTAACCCGCTAGAATAATGTTCTCTCTCAAACAAAACTCAAATTGTAATATGAAAAGTTTGTTCAGTAAAGAAAAAAAAAATTTAGTACATGAACAGTAAAAAAAAACTACAAAACGGAACTTGGCTTCAACCCCCCACTCGAAATATACTTCCGGCGTCCCTGGTGGCGTCACTGACTGCAGTTTTTATGACCAGCGAGACTTGGGAGCCGTTGGAGGAGGTGTGGAGGCACATAATCATTCCACACTCTCAGTGTTACCTAGTGAATGCACCTCAATTCGTTACGTGCAGGGAAAAAATAAACGGATATCCAGCTCGCCTCTGTTGTCAGTTAAAAATGTTGAACGAGAGACTCGCGACAAAGGCACGCGAGAGCATACGTCACCGCTGGGCGATGTCCCTGTCATGTTCGAAAGGAGTCGTTCAACTGTCCAGTACCATCTACGGCTGAAGCTCCTTAGGCATGCGACACGCAGCGACACGTGACATTGTCAGCATAACACTGACATCAGCGGCAGAAACTAAATAGAAGGGAAAGGCTACCACCACTACTACTGTGACGAGACATTGACAGGGGACATCAAAATAATCGAGGTGACGAAAGACGTCCAAATAACTCGGTCATAACTTTGACGGGGGACGTCAAACTAATTTTAAAACTATTTTCAAATTTTACAAAAGTGACAACAAAATAATTCTTGGTGTTATTTTGACAGTTTGGCAATGCAAAACCGTGAATAATAATTTTATTGTTAGGATTGTTTCACCTCCAGCATTGTGCCTGTTTCGTGCATGGTAACTTTAGTGTTCCCTTGTGCCTCCCAAATTAAAAAAAAAAAAAAAAAGAATTGACTAACAGCAAGTTTCACATTGCAACCATGCAGTTATTTTCACTAGTTAATAAGATAATTATTAAAGTTTGGTTATTTATACTTATCGTGATGATTAGCTTTGTACGTTATGTCCTGCTAGCTATAGTACTCCTGTGCACAGACTGAGTGTACCTTTTGCGGCTGTTTTGAATAGATTCGTTCGAATAAAAATCAAACGCATTTAAAGAGAAGTGATAACGAGTGAACTGTTGATGATAGAGGTATGATGACATTTGAGGATAGAAAAGACAAGCCGGAGGGAGCTGGTGGTTCTCCCCAGGACTCGTCTGCATTTTCGTAGCGAGTGGGAGACGTTGTCCGAGCAGAGTGTTCTTTGTCTCTGGCTGCAGGGGATAGCCACTCGGAGAAGAGCGAGGCCTCGGGGTCCACGAGCGGCTGCTCCTCCCTCGGGGGCCCCGAAAGGGAGTCCGCGGCGACGCCAGAGCCCCGGGCGAGGCGCCACGACTGGTCGCACACGCGGGACTGCGGGGTCATGGCCAACCTGCCCTCCTCGGGGATCCCGGACAGGCTGCGCGGCGGGAACGGGCACGGTGAGTCGAGGCTCTCCCGACGATCCTCCGGGCACAGTGCAGTGCGCGGAACGCATCTTGGGCAGGTGTGTTTAGCATCCTCTGCCATCCGCAACACAAGCAAAATGGTTTACGATTGTGTTTGCGTTGCTTCTCGGTCGACAAATATGTAAAGGGAGGGGGGGTGTTTTGCAGCTATTTTCGAGGCTTCCTGGGGTTGCATGGGACCCTAAAGATTGAGAACCCCTGTCATAGAGTGTCCTCGGTGAAATGCGAGACTACTGTTAATATAAAATCAACTTCGGCACCGAGAATGCCCGCTCCTTGCAGACCTGTGTGGCTGCTACACCGAGGGGTAGTTTTGCTTGAGTGCAGTTTCGGTTGGTGTTCCTTTAATTTTTCCCAAAATGTGGGTGCCGGTCACCTTGCGTCGTTTATCTGCCGAAGCGCCAGCATATATCATAGGACTCATTTCAATATCTCGTGCACGATAGTGGCTCGCATTAGTGTATGCGCTTAGGTAACTCAATGCATTGCTTGAAGGGCCGCCAGTCTATGTTCTGTAAGTCAAAAGATCTCCTTCCTCTTTTCTCGTACTGTGAGGGTGAGGGGGACAACACGACCTGGCTATAGGGGTGGATCTTCCCCCACTTCAGGCGCAGATAGCGCACGACTGCTGTGTCGGCGTTCGTCCGGGACCTGCATTCACTAGGTGAAAACACAAGTCCCTGCCGAGCACCGACTCTCACTAGTGTCCAACAGCTTCCGGTAGGGGATGCGAGATGCACAGTGCCTGCTCTCTCCCCTTCTCGGGGTGCCGTTCAACTCTCTTGTGGCGTGCGCAGATAGAGGCGGCCTCCGAAGGAAAGCATTTTTGTGCAGGGTGTGTGGGTTCAGCCGAGAGCGCCTCCCGCCAGAGCCCGGCAACCCCCAGGTGGCGCGTGCCGCAGCGGACGGCCTCCGGGGGCCAGGGCCCCGGCTTCAGCCTCTCTGCCTTCGGAACGCCCGTCACACCGGGGGTGAGTGAAGCCACCCTTTGGGGATTTCTTGGGCCTCGTCAAGGAACCGTTGACGGCACACCGGTACAGTTTCGGGCAGTGGATCTCGACCACTAGTGTGTCGGGGACCTCTGGTTGTCGCCGTCGCCCATAGATGGCAGTAGCTGTCCAGAGTTTTGTGTCATCATTTGTTTCAGGCGGACACAATACTGGGAAAACTAGCCCTTAACAGCTCGCTGTAAAAAAGTTTCTTTTCTACAAACTTTGCAGCCACCGATGTACACACTTATGACACGCCATGACCTCGCACGGCCACTCTACCTTCAAACGGAGCTCACACTTCTGAGAACCCCCAACCAGCCCAGCATGACCTTGCTAGCCAAGCCCCTCGAACTGATCAGAAAATCTCAAAGAGAACAAAATACATGTTATCCTCAATGCTATTTGTCGCCTTCACATTGAAACCTAACCTGCTTGAAATATGTTCAGTGCCCCTCAAACTTAACGCCGCCACTCGGTTACGCAAGTATCGATCTACAGTAAAACCTCGTTATAACAAAATGGGATATAACAAACTAATGGATATAACAAAGCAATCATAATTCCCCTTGTTGCTATAGTGGGAAGAAATGGACATTGGCTATAACAAACTAATGGCTATAACAAAATAATTATGACCGCTCCTTCAACTTTGTTATAACGAGGTTTTACTGTATTGCATGCGACCCAAAGATAAATTGGTCACTGCAACTGCTGGAATACCTTCCCCTGGCTGGGTTTTCATAGGGGACGCCAATCTTCACAACCTAGTTCGACCGATAGGTTTAGAAATAGCGGCGTTAAGTTTGGGGTGCAGCGTACGTGTTGTAAACCCCATTTACACCAGAGTTCTTCGCACAAGCTTCTGTGGAAACTCGCATAGCATGCCGCGATTTCTCCTTTACGTGCACTACAGCCTGTCATTTAGCAAGACCTTTTTTGCTGCTTTGGTGTACTGAAGTGTTGTTCACGATGGCACGACAAATGCCTCTTCGGAGACCAAGGAATCCGTTGTTCGCCCGCGTATCACTCACCCAAAGCATGAGGTGGAAATGATGAATTTTGTACATACGTATTTGAGTTCACAGCAACGAATGTTTACAAACATTTTTCGGAACATATTCTAAGTCATGCCTACAAACTTTTACAGTATGTTTATTTTACTTGAACGTTTACAAACCTTTTTTGTTCCGATTTGAGTTAAGGGGAGACGCGGGTCTTGAAATGTTCAAAAAACGCGAAATTTCGCGTTTTTCAAAATTCACCTATTTGGATTAATTGTAGTCTAAGGTACCTGCCTGCAAAGTTTCAATGTCGAATTCAATGTCTAAGCATGAAAAAAATGATATTTACGATGTCCCCGCAGCGCCCTGGCACAGCGAGTTCAATGAAAACAAGTGGAACTTCGCGCCCCGTGCGTTTCGCGATCGCTCGTCGGATCGCGGCCATCTTGGTCTTGTTGGAAAGCCGCTTATTTTCCCCACGTCCCCATGCCATTCGTTATCGCGACAACATCGGGGAACGTCCGCATTCCGCGGGTTTCAAAGGCCCCAATTGCAATCGCTCATTGGCCGGCTAGCAAGGTGCCCGTACGTCAGAGCACGCGCGGCGCCTAGCGCCCCTGCTATTGGTCTAAACGCGCCCCTCCGCTCTTTTTCTCCTTTCCTCCTTTCCGTTCCCGCACTGGCGAAAGGTGCGTCGTCTGCTCCTGGGCCCGTCTCCGCCCGTCTCCTTAGGCCTGTCTGCTTTGTTTCCTCCGTGGTCGAGCGCACGTTTTAGTTCCCGTTTGCGCGCTTGCGTTGAACATTGTTGGTTTGTTTTCCTACGAAGTCGCGCGTGTTTTCTTTTGTTTCGCTTCGAGTTCTCGAGATGCCGGACGACGCTCGGTTGAAATCGAGCACGCGGCAAGCGTTCGGAAGGAAGAGGAAGCGACCGTGGAACAAAAAGCCGAAGCTGTCTGCTGCAAGTGCGCCACCGCGATCGGCACCGCCGGATGCCTTGGATCTTCCGGAAACATCAGCCGGAGACATCGCGAATCCATGCAGCAGCGGCAGTTTGTCGAGCTTTGCGAGCGCGGTTCGTGCCGACACCGCATACTACTCCACGGCCGAGCAGGCGCAACGAGTCGCACGATCGGACGAATGCAAGCGTGCGCTATCGGAAAAGTCGGCAACCCAGCGCAAATTCGACCTTCTCGGCGTCACCACAGTAGGCCAGGCGCGCGACGCTGGGACACAGTTCATTGTAGTGGGCATGAAAGCTCTCCAAGCATGGAGAAGGACAATCTGCGTTTGCGTAAGGCCAACGCTGCCCACCAGAGCAGCAGCAATGCAAAGCAGAGGTTCTCCAGGCAACACCAAACTGGAACAGCTGGGGACTACAGTCCTGGACGGCTGTGAGGGGCTCCCCTTTCAAGTGCTACACGAACAAAGGCCCTTTTCAGGGCCAAACAAAATCTGCTTTCGGAGCGTGCAACCCTTGGTGCCTCCTCCCGTTGTCCCTTATAGAGTCTACTCATACTTTTATAACTTGATTTTACATTGCAAACATTATTTCTCAGTTTTATATTATTTTTTAAAGGTTCTTGTGAACGGATTGCAGAATTTTTCATCTGAATTTGTTCAGATAGAACTATGCTTCATATTGCTGAACATTATTGCATGGGATCCCTTACTGAATTTTATGCAATGAGTGTCAAAACTTCAACTGCAATTTTCTCAGCTTCGCATTTTTCGTCTACATGCCTAGCCTTACGGTTGTTTTCATGAGATTATTCTTCAAGGATTTCTATAAACTTTATACCGTTGAATTCAGAAAGAAGTGAACTGAAGGGTGATGCTATTTTTGTATGACAGTATGGGCCCGAAATTTTATTATTAGTGATAATGTGACCTCGTTAGGCTTTGTAAATAGTGTACTTGACCTAATTAGACTAGTTTTATACAATGATCTATTTTTACAAAAATATAAATAGCATCATCTTGCATGACAGGTCTTTAGCTACAAATCCATATCACTTATGCAAAAAAATTTGTATTAGAAAGTTCCTTAATGAGTCGTAAGAAATGACCTAATTAGGTTTCATTATTTTCTTCGTAACTCAAAAAGTAATTGAGATATTGCAGAACTAATTGAATATTTGAAAAGAGGAAGCCAAAACACATATACACACTGATTTTCATTATAATCCATTAATAAACAAAAAAGTCGATTTTAGAACCAGTGTCTTGCCTTAACACCTGCAAGTGTTTTCGTAAAGTAAATTGTTTCGTGACTGTTACCATCTCTCTCACCTCTAGCACCACCCGAATGGCATTCTCGTTCCTTATTTGTTTCTGGATTGTATGTTTTATTTTCCCGGTCCCCCCAACAATGTATTAAGGAGGTTCTACTCTATGTGGGTGCCTTGGCTCTTGCCACGAATTGGTGGCTTATGTGAGGGATTCGAGAAGTCTAGCAGCTTCTAGAGTAACCCGGTTGTTTCAGGGCCGGGAGCGCCAGAGGCTCCAGTCACCCTTCTACCCGGGCCGGACGACGTACGGGGGCGCCGCGTCGTACAGCCGCTTCCGTCTGGCAACGGGGGGCACGCCCAAGGCGGTGAGTTCCACAGACCGGGGCGCTTCGTCGATCTCCATAGTTCGTCCATGGCCTCTTGGTTGGCCAAACTCGCCGTCGACTTTTTCGCGCTGCATCGTCGAGACTGGGATGGTTTCAGCAGCACTGCAATACGTGGCTTCGCTCGGCATCATATGAGCCGCACGACGAGGCCACTTGCTCTCGTGGCAGTGTGCAGCTGCAGTGCTGTGGATGCCACCCTTGCGTCGATGGGATAGTGTAAACAGACCGATTACGAGTGAAGTCCTAGTCTGAGTTTGTCCCCGCTAAAGGTTAACTCCACATTCTTTTCTAGGGTTTTGGGGTCTGATTACTTTTAGTGCAGCCGGTGTTCTTCGATTAAGGGTGTTGTTTACTTTTAAAGCGATGGCTTTACCACAGACACCTTGCAGGGATTTTAGTGTCGGCGTTTGTAGTTCGTCGTCACAGCGAAGATAGAAGAACCCTTCTCTCCCCTTGTGGTGAGAGGAACCGAGAAGTGGGAAAATGATAGGCAAACTGATAACGGCGTGACGACAAAAAAGCGTTTGCTAACGATTACTTAAAGACGGGTCTTTTCAAACATTACTTGCATTATACGAAGTCCCGCTTTGGCAGTATCCAGTTGCTACGGGCCTTGTTGGAGGGTTTTAGAAACTTTCACTATAACATCTCTACTTCTCGAACGCAACTCGAAGCTTCAAATAAGTTTTACCCAAATTCGTCGTCTTGCGCCCGCCTCGTTTCTCTGCATGTGTCCCCCTCTACGCTTACTGTTGAACGTCAACATTACCCCCTTTGTTCACTGCTCAATACCAGGAAAACCTATGTCTTCCCCTGCGTTGGTGCAGGTTTTAACATCAGTGTGCGAAGCTTGTCCTGTAGCTTGTCCACGAAATGCGGGCGAAAGGTGTCGTAACGTACCGTCCTTAAAAACGTTGGTCCTCGGGCACGTGACGATGCCTCTTTGCCCGCATTGTTCCTATGTGCTAAAGCTATCGCTTTCACTTCTTCGCACATTCTGGGCAAAAAATGCGGCCTTTTACAGCAAAGCTGTTATGCGCTAGGATCTGGGGAAAAATGTGTCCGCGGATGTTGACAGAAAACTCCCCATTGGTCGTGGCAAGTATGAATGAATAAAAATAAAAAGAGGGGGAATCAGTGTGTGTCAGCATTCCTTGGCATTATTGGTGCGGTCCTGATCCCTTGTTATCATCTCTAGGCGTCGTCCTAGAAGTTGTCTGAGAGGTCGTCCTCAATGTCGTCCTCGAGGTCGTCCTAAAAGTCGTCTCCGAGGTCATCCTAAAAGTCGTCCTCGAGGTCGTCATAGACATCATCCTAGACATCATCCTAGAAGTCATCCTTGACACTGTTAAACTAACAGCTTTGCTGGTCCTCCATCTTCATGTGAATTGGAAGAGCTCTACAATATCTTTTGTGCATAGTTCTGTAAACACCTGGTCTCAAGCTCAAACCGGGGTTTCGGGGGTTTACGGTAAAATTGGCGCTTCACACTCGGTGGTAATGGCAACTGTGCTGCTGCACTTACGACTAGCAGAGTTGCGCGAGACGCTGCCACTAGATTTTCTCGCGTGCATAATTGCCGTGTGTGGGCTCATCTTAAAAGGAGCAGCAACAGGGGTGGAAAAGAGAAAACTGCGCAAAAACGAGACATTGTCCAATGTGACGTCAGCGGCAGTGTGGGACCTAATGGAAAGTGCTGAGGAGCTGGTAGCATCTCAGCCATTAGACGATCGTCGCCGTACATGCGGGGCTGTGATTGCACGTTGGAAAGTCCCAGCCTATATGCAAAAGTGCTTGCATCCTCGTAGCTGTCGCTATCTGTTGTGTCTTTGGGGTGCATAAAATGTAGTGTTGGCGCAGTGTTTTGCCTTGCTGGGGCTTGCTGGGGCAAAATTGGACACTCTACGCGTGTCGGCTGTTTTGCGGTGGTGGCAATCGGAGTGCTGGCTTTTCCGATTCAGACCTTATCGAGCTCCGTAAATTACCTTAGATTCAGAGTCCGAGGCCACCGGTATCTCGTGGAAGTCGACGTGCCAAAATGGAACTGAAGGGAAAAAGGGTGACATCTTTTCATTATTTTGATTCCGTGCTTCCTAATCTGCACAGCTTGCCAGCACTGTACAGGCTCCCGTTAGGTAATTAAATAGCATGCTTAGAATTTCTCTTAGTGTCGCCCCCTTCAGAAATAAATTGGACTACCGGGGCTTTGAGAATGAGAAAAGCGAACTGCAAAAGGGTTAATTGTATAGTACTTGTAGTGTGAGCTCTTAGCTTAGGCTGTGGCACGTAGCACGAATGGAGAAGAGTGGTTCCCCGTTCCCAGGAGACGTCGGTGCAGCTGCGGGAGCGCCGGCGAGGGCCCGAGGAGGAGGGGTTGCCGGACTGCATGAGCAACGCCACCCGCCAGATCCTGAGCACCTTGGAGCGCATGGCCAGCCCCCTCACGGTCAGTGCTCCTCAGAGGGTGTCGAAGGGGGTGCCAAGCAAAGAGCAGATCAGGCCTGGGCATTACCTACCTGCTCAACAGTTCCAATTGGCTCGGCGTGGCATTAGCTTTTTGCCAGGTTGCGGTGAAACAAAGTAAAGCGTCGTGCTCCTTACCTAACTGGTCGTGGATCTGCTGTCGAGGACGAGGAAAGGGTCAGGCCTCGACTTCTAGCTGATATAGGTCATTATTAGTTTTGGAGATTTCTGTTATCCAACTCAACCGGGAGTTCACTCCAGTTGTGTTGGAAATCTTGCTGCTCTTGCTGCCTGACTGGATGGCTTCTTTTTCTCGTGTCAAGAAGAGTTTGCCTCTGAACCTCGACGTTGGCATAAAACGTTGCTTCGGTTTGGAAAGAGACAGCACGATTATTGCTTGATTCTATTCCCAGCTTGGTGCGAGTGTTTTGTTTAGCTCGACGCATGAAGGCAAAACTGATACGTAATACGTCGCCAACTGATTTTTCGAACTTTGCAGGGACCAAAAAACGTCGGAATAATAGAGCAGTCTGACAAATTAAGAGGTTTAAAGACTTGCTTGTATCACATCTAAGCGAGCTTCAAAAAGCCATCAGTAATGCCTTACTTCAAGTTACGCCTTGCTTGCATTTGGCCACTTTCGATTAGCTTGAGAATCGCTGCCTTTTTTCTAGCGTATGGTTCGAGCACTTGCTGCGCTTTTTAGTGACACTTCGCGGCGACGGAAAAACAGATGGGGGGGGCATGACGTCCAAGCCAGCGTAGTCCGAAAACTCGATCCGCTGAGGCGAGACGACACGTGCAAGTTGACAACTGCAGTGGCAAATGAGCAAAGCAAAATGGTAACAATGATACTGATAATGACACGCAGCTAGAGAAGAAAAAAAGCCGTAGCATATTGTCATGTAGCAGTACAACTTAGCAGTACTCGTGTAGCGCTGCCAAACAATGCCAATTCATGTTTTTGCTTTTAAAGCTGTCCAAAACATCGCTCATAAATACTACGCACTATTTTTAGAGCGATGCTATATGCACTACGTAGTGCACTTTGGACGGAAATTGCTATATGCACTACGCTCAGAGCTCATGCCGCTCGGGCCACCCTTTTTCGAACTGCGCGTGTATCACTGGGGAGCTCGTTAACCCAGCCCCCCGCCTGCGTTCACGCCGCTTCGCGGCGACAGTATGCGGCTGCTAATTAGAAAAGCTAACCAGTACACCCCGCTTCGCGGCGTCCAGCCGGCAACCCAAGCCCCGCTGTCCCCGATCTGTGGAGTCTGCGAAGTTTCGTCGACAACATCCGGTGTTTTTTTGTTTTTTTTTAGTGTTCATCGCAAAGAAGAAATATAAATATCGCCAAATGCCTCGTCAAAACAACGTTCAAGAAAAAAAGAAAAAAAGAAAGGAGCACCGCGGTTCGAACCTGCGTCCACTTGCGTATGAAGCGGACACGCTAACCCCTACGCTATGCCACCGGTTGGAAAACTCGTTGTGATCATTCATTTTATACGAGACAAACGTAGTGCATATAGCAATATCCGGCCGAGCTGCACTCCGGAGTGCATATAGCATTACTCCTATTTTTATTGGGTTGGTCAGGATTCTCCCTTCAGGTTCGCAATATCAAGCAAGTCTGAATTATTGGCGTCCGTAAAATCAGTCAGCAACTGTAAGACTGATTCGACTGATTTTGAGTGTTCTCTTTCGTACAGACTTTATACAGTATAGACCACTTACAACTTAAGCGCTTATAGTGCAGGACCGGGTATAACGCAGCTTTTTTAAACCACCGGTTTGCCTCCCATAGAACTCCATGTAATTACATACTGCTTAAAATGCAGGCGCGCGAAGGGAAATACCGGTTATAGTGCGGTTTCTGGAACCGACTGTGCCGACCGACCGGCGCAGTGAGCACGCTTCCCTGTGCGACACTAGATAACGGCGCTAGCCTCAAGCGGCACTCGCGGGGCAAGGAGCTTGCTCGAAGTTGCAGGTTGAAGCGAAGAGAGAGACTTCAGTTGCTGTAGGGACGCACGCACGTGTCGTTCACGTGCGTGCGTCCCTCCGCTGCGTTGTGCGGCTATGGTTTAGCTGCGCTGCGTTGGAAACAACCGCAACGACAGACCAATCGCAGGTCGAAGAGAAGTGTTCGCGCGCGTTGCATGCTGGTCGCGGGCCGGCTTCTTCTAGCTGCAAACATGTTGGTAATGATTGTCAACGTAGACAGCGTGGTGGAAGCTCATTGTTACGCGTAAAAGCGCTATCCTTGACTGTGAATTTTCGTTGTGTGTCGCTATAACCCAGCACGTACTAGAAGGGAAGATCCATCTACTCGTGCGGCACTCTCAAGACGGCAGAAACGCCCGTGTCGTCGTGTTTGTTTACTTCTACTGCAGTGGTGATTTCTAAGCATTTATGTTTCTGAACAACACCCGGATTTCTTATTTGGAGCATTTCATGCCTGTGCTCAAGTTGAAGGTATTACTGGCGCGTACCGTATAAAGGATGCGAATTTTTACGCGTTTTCATCGCCAGAGAAAGTGATTAGGGTTAGCAATCCTGAATGCTCGCAATATCCGTCCACAACCCGCGACGCCGTTAAAAGGCTGCACCAGGCAAAAGTCGCTCATTTCTTTCAAAATGTTTCTCACACTTGGGAGAGAAGTGTACTATAGTCGGTTACAAGTCAAGAAGGTAGGAGAAGCTCCTCCCACAAGTGTGATGCGCCCGTTTCAAATCTCTCCGCAGTCGAAAGAAGAGTTCACTGGAAACGCTCCTTGTTCCGCTTCTATGGATTCCCACTTGTCTCCGATCCCACTTTTTAAAAAAGCGACCTTTGTATTCATCGGAGAGGCAACCGAACCCCTGAAAGCAGCCTTTGTATCCATCGGATGGGGAACCTAACCACCCCCGAAAGTCGTATTTGTTTCCGTCGATGGGGGGAACTCTAATCTCCCTCTCGTGGCTTCCACAATGCTAAGTCAAAGTCGAAAGATAAAGCAAATATGTACAGAAGGGCAAGACCCTCCTCGCGCGTTGGCCGCGACGTCACGGAAACAGTGGGACGCTATTGGATGCGGAGGTGGCGGAGGGATATCCGATTCCCTTTGAGGGGCATTTGCCGCTACCTTCTTAAGGGGGGACATGGGCCTAAGCTTCAAAATTTTTTGAAACAATTAATTTTTCAATTTTGAAGTTTTTGGTTTTAGAAACTAATTATACACCCTCACACTAAATTTCATAACTATGCGCCAAATAGTTCCATTGATATAAAATATTTTCAACACATTGTCAGGCAGTAACAAAGTAAAGGAGTTCAATGTTTGAATGCATTTTTCTCAGTTCCACTTTTTGCTGCAAATATCACACGAAGGAATCTTTTGTTTGAAGGTAAAATTATTCTGATACCACAATCAAGATGTTTCTGAACTGAAATTTACTGGGGAATTGGGCTATCTACTTTATTTTGTTTTACATTAAAGTCCTCATTGAGAAAAGACATATTTTCAAAAATTGACATAGGACAGATATGCATCTCATATTTTGAGGTAATCACTTTTCCTGAAATATTTACATTTGAGTTATAAAAACTAGATAGCCCGAAGTCCCACATCCCCCCCTTTATACTCAAGCAGTTAAAATGATGCTTAATAGCTTCATTTGCATATTATAGATTTCTTAACGAAGAGTGACACATCATCTTATGCAGGTATGTAAAGTTGTCCTAGAGAGCTGAAAGTTTGCACACTACACATACATCTAAAGTTAAATCTCCCCTGAAAATTTCATTCCGATCACTTGAGTAGTTCAAAAGTTCAACCTCTAGCCAGTGTCCCCCCTTAACCTGTAACTGACTATAGTCTGGTGAAATAAAGACTTTCCTCAAACTAAGCTTTATTTTTCATCTAACATAAAATAAATTGTTTTACAAAGGTAAGTTGTCTCATGGCATGTATTTTGGCCTGAAAAATTTATGTTTTGGTTATAGCGCGGAACCGCTTATAGTGTGGATTTTCGCTACTCCCGCGACATACGTTATATGCGGTCTACACTGTATTCCATTTCTTTTAACTGCCTAAGGTGACTTCAAGCAGAAACTTGTACCTAGTGTTCTGCGCAGAAAAGTATTCTTATCACGCACCATTTTTCCCTCTCAGACTAAGGCTTTCCTTCACAATTGACCATGCAAGTTTGAGCCGGTGGCAGGGTTTTATGTTGTAGCTGAAATAATGACTGTTGGGGCTGCCCCAGGGTGGGTCCTAAATCTTGCCCACGCATGCAGGAAGCGAAGAAGGTGCCCCTGGACCGTGGGAGTGGCCCTTCCCTCCTCAGTTACATGGTGAGTCTGGGACAAGTGTCTCGAGCATCATCGTCATCCCGGGTGGGCACACTGTATTTAACACGATTCTGAAGCGCACGTTTTTCCCCCCAAAAAATGCCTTCAAAATTATGCGACGGAGGATGCGCTAGCATGGGGGAGCGGAGAAAGTGGCAGCTTTCCTCTCAAGATGTCTTTGTTGTGATCTGTCAAAAGGAAGGCTGCCCTTTTGATTGTTGTCGGACGTCGTGCAATATCCGGTGGTAAATCGCTTCAGCAACACAATCTGCAGTATCAGAACTGGTGGCACGCAAGTTTGTTTTCGTTTTCCATTGGTTTACTGCAGCATGAAGCTCAAATTTGCTGCATCCGCTGTATCGGTACCCGCGAAAAGGGAGTTTGCAGCTAGTGGGTTGTCGCGCGTCTATTCCTCCACGGTTCCGGTGTTTCGGATTTGCGGTAACCGTGAAGGGGCAAGTTCCGGGTGTTTATTGCGACGTGGATCGTGAATTCGTTGTGTCGGCTATTCCCGTTATCGGTTCCCGTGTCACCTGGTTCATAGTGCGTGCCACTATGTTTATTACTCACTGATGTCTTCATTGTGATTTTATGATAAATTTTTTTTTTTTTTAAATATCCCATACCTATGTAGTATGGGATGCCCATCACCGTGCCGCTCGCGCACTCTGGCTGGCGTCGAAAAGTATGCAGCAGAAGAAATGAGGGAGCAGACGAGCGGCTTGCATGCTTTCACATTCACAACGCATAAGAAGTGCTTAAATCTATCTTGAAAGTTTCCAGAGCAGGAAGTAGCTTATCTAAGGACCGTGGCGGTGGCCCTTAGCGTGTTTGCATTCTTCCTGTTTCTGTTTCTCCTTCTATTCTGGTTGGTCCCTGAGGGAGTCCTGAACCCCCCCCCCCGAGGACGTGCGGGTGCGTCTCCTGAGGGTTTGTTCCTCGCAGCCCCCGAGCCAGAGGAGGCGGGCCCCGTACCTGCGTGGCAGCCCCGTACCGGGTCCCCCCCGGAGCCAGCACGCCCGCCCCTTGGCCTCCAGGACGGCCAGGAACCTGGACCCCGCTGTGTCGGCGGCCAGGAGGGCAGCCCTTGTCACCCCCGCTCCCCAGGTGATGTTGGGAGCTGCCGTAACTCAAAGCTCCTCGACGCTTTCGTCTCTGAAGTACCCTCAAGCGCGCCAAAGCACAAGGCCTACGCCACATGCTCTCTGCTTCAAGAGGTGGCAGTGCAGCATATTCTCGAAACGAAAACGAGCAGATGAGTGTAGAACTTAGGATAAATGTTGAATGCGGAGAACTTGCGCCTACAAGCATAAAATGAAAATACCACGCATCTTGTGTCGGCGACAAAAGGGTGACTGCCCCAGAACAGTGCAGTTCTACCCTCCCCACCTCTGCTATTTCCTTCACCCTCTCGGGGCCTCCTGTCCCCCTCCATGTGCCGTGCCCGAGATACACGCAGAATCTGAGCTGGCTTCTCTTTGAATGCGGGTCTTTATTAAAACTGCTATTTCAGATCTGTGACTAGACTTAGGCTGTCTGTTCTCGCATTAACGATGCTCGTCAATGCCACGCAGGACTCCCAGGTAAGGGAGCAGAGGGAAGAGATCACCCAGGCGTCCCGACCGGCGTTGGAGACGCGGGTGGCACCCAAGGACACGCCCGCCCCCGCGCCGGCCACCAATGGGAGGCAAGTGCGCGACGAGCGGCGGGTCGTCCCGGGTCCGAGGTTGCCATGCTGCTTTTCGGTGTGACCTGGCAAAGAGCAAATGCCGCTGCCCCCTGGAGACAGTTGGACGGACGGAACACTTTGACGACACGTTGCAAGGTTCCGCGCGGGGACCGTGGCGTTTGCCATCTTCAAAGTTGCGGTGAAACAGAGTAGCGGTGTGCAGTCGGGACCGGACGACTTGGCCGAAATAATACTTTGGAGGAAGCCTGCAAAGTAGAACTTGGTTGATGCACTCTTGGTTGAAAGGTTTTCCTGGTTGTGCTCGCAGGTGCAGGTCCCGTTAGAACTAACGTGGAACTGAAGCGTTAATTTCTCGTTTGATGTGTGAGGGGAAACGGAATATGGTGAGGGTGATCTTACCGACCTTGGTGCTTACAGTTCCAAATTATTGTCTCATTCAAGCGGTTAAAACATCCCCTCGAAAATCCAACGTAAAAGTATAGGAGCCTCGAGCATCTGTACCAAAGTACCGACGCCCGAGATATTCTATACATCGAACCGTGCGCCGTGTCTTTGGTAGGGGGCTTCACCCGCACACTACCTTTGCTGCTTCCACAGTATGTTTGTGTGTCCTTTGAAGTCATGCTTGGTTATCCGGATACGGTAAACTTTCGTTAGTTTGACCTCGGTTAATTCGATAGTGTTCAAAAGTCCCGGCGAGCGCCAATACATTTCTATGGGAAGAAAAGTTTGATAGTTCGAACTCGGGGAAAACTTTGCATCGGTTAATTCGTCCCGAACGAATGCTTGCGGGCTCACATTGCACGGCACCACGGCAGAAAGACCAACGACGTACAGCGAAACACGGGCCCTTTGCTGCAAAGCCGAACGTGCGCCAATATGCGCCTGCTCCTCTCTGCAGTTGAGATGGACCGTAGCGAATGAAACGAGCCAGCGCAACCAATCTGGCGTAAAGTAGCGCGGAGAGCACAGCACGTGGTTCCGCACGGAGACAGCGCGCGCTCTCAAAGCGCTTTTCCGTAGCATCATGTGCATCTTACGCGCCAGAAAGCGCAAGTTCTCTTTTCCTTTTCTTTTTTTCGTTATTTTTCTTTGTTGCCGACGGTTTGGCCGCCCACCGCCAAAGTCAGCTTGTAAAGCTTTCTCAGTGCACGCTCTCAAAGTGCCTTTCTGTAGCATCGTGTGCGGTCCATCTTGCGCGTTGGAAACCTTGGGTTCTCTTTTCATTTTTTTTCTTTCGTTTTTTTCTCTGTCGCCGACGCTCAGGCGTGAAAGTCAGCCAGTAAAACTTACTTTTTTCATGTTTTTTTTTTTTTAGTGCAGGGTTATTTGGGGACGTGCCGTTGAGTTACGCTGCTCCCGAGCATGCTTTTGGACACGCGTTTTAAGCGCAGACGGAATCAGACCATCCGTGAGTGCTTTGGACAATAAAAGGGAGTTTAATTTTAACCGTTTTCTGCCCTTTTTTAATTCAATAATTCGGATAATTCGACCAAATTTGGAGGTCCCGTCGAGGTCGAATTAACGGAAGTTTATTGTTGCCGGTTTGTGCAGTTTTTGCTTTGAGGGGGTTCTCTGCGCCCAGACGTGTCGCTGGCACTCGCCAACTCGCCTCCCTATCTCTCTCTCCCTGGCAGCTTTCCGAGCTGTGGCGGCAGTGACCGGGCCGGCGGCAAGGTGTCCAGGACGCGCGGCATTCACTCTTCGCGAAGGCCCGAGCAGGGCTTTGAGGTGGGTGTTGCACCTGTAGTCGGCCAGTTGCATCTTTAGTCGACACAACGAGTTTGCACTTTGTGCACAGTGGGTAGCTCTCGCATCCTCTAATGAGCCGCATGCCGTCCACGCAACCGCACTGGGCAACTTCCTTTTTTTAGCGCGCGTGGGCACGATTGGTGGCACGCCAAAAAATTGTCAAGTTTGCTTACTCGTTATAAGTGCCCCTTGCCGTGTAGGCCGTTTGTTCCTCATTGCAACACGACTTCACCCAGAATGCTTCCCAACTGGATTCAACAAAAACTGGAAACTAAACGAGAACAATAATACAGAGTAATTGGCTGGTACAGTTGACTCGGTAATTTGAAACTCACGGGAGCAACAAAATGTTTCGAACTGAACATACTTTCAAATAGGAACAACACACTCAACCTGTTAGCTGTTAGCTTTTTATTTGGTACTCATTAGGTGATGTTGACTTTTGCCGAATGCGCAGCATTTTGCTAATAAAGACATACAATATTAACTAGGGGTGTGCGAATACCGAATAGTAGCTTTCGAATCGAATACCGAATTGAATCAAGAAAAAAAACCCGAATATCGAATCGAATATCGAATAGTGATTTTATTCGTAGGAATTTTTCAAAGTGTGCTGCAAATGCGATTATTATATGTGCAGAGTATGCGCCTGGTGCAGAATATATGTCTTGTACAAAACAAAAGCCAAAATGTAAAAAAGTTCCGGTGAAAAAAAAAAAAAAAAAAACAGCAGTTGCTGTTGAACGTTGGGCACTAAAGATCCAATTTTATGGTGCAAACATAATCTATCTACCCTAAACGTCAAAAAAAAAAAAAGTTACAGCCACGCGTGCCTTTTTTACTCTAAAAACACAACCTAACACCGCAACTTTTTTTTGTTTTTTTAAATATTTGTTTATCTCAGAAAAGGGGCATTTTGCGATAGTTAGTCTCCATTTTAAGGAAAAAAAATGACTCCTGGGATTTGATTTTACATAAATAAATAGACAGGTGTTAAATCTGAGTAAAAAGCAACGAGGTAAACTGGCTTAAACAATATAAAGTAAGAAAAAAAAAAACGTGGTTAGTGGCGCAAGTCACCGTCCAACTGCCGCTACGCATCCATTTTTCCGTTTATCTATCCTGTTTTAGAGAGCCTTGATTTAAAAGAGGGAGCAACCGAAACTGAAACCACAGAGACGGCTCCATCGCAGATTGATCGTGAATGCGCATGTGTTGGTGTTTTCGCGTGGAAAGAAGGCGAACAAACAGAAGAGCGACGACGCCTGCCCTGCCTGCCCAAACCCGACCGACGCTTTCGCCTTTTCGGCACCTTCTCGCAGTTCGTAATTCAAACGCGGCTATCGAGCTGTTGGAAACCCTCTCAAATCTAGGCACACTATTTTTCCGTTCCGTTTCTTCCGCGCCAAGCCTAATTCTTTTCACGAGTAAAGCCCCTCGTTTCAAACTGAAGCGCCGATGTAAAACACACTTGCCGCACTCGCAGAAATCGGCTACTGCACCACTGCATGATCACAGAAAGAAAACCAACGTTACCACGTTGGCGAAACCAACCCAGTTGTCGTTCTGATTCGGAATCAGAATTTGCGGTTCCAAAAGAACGACGACGAAAACTCGGTTGGTTTCGCCGAGGTAACGTTGGTTTTCTTTCTGTGATCGTGCAGTGGTGCAGTAGCCGATTTCTGCGAGTGCGGCAAGTGTGTTTTACATCGGCGCTTCAATTTGAAACGAGGAGTTTTACTCGTGAAAAGAATTAGGCTTGGCGCGGAATTCCGGCTTCCCAAGCGGCGCAAGCGGGATGTTTCAGTTGTGATTCAAGGGTAGATTGTGTCATGATCGTGAGTAAATCTTCGTGCTATAAAGTTTGTGGCGTTCGTTACTTTTCTGTTTTCTAACCTGTGCGTTAGATTTTTGTGGAATGGTAGGACCAAGAGGTGTTTCTCGCATGGTCTGTCTAACATCACGGCGCTTACATCGGGAGAAAAAACTGCTTTTTTGTTTGCTCCGCGCCCACCGCGCGTCTTTGGCCGAATATATCGAATATTCGAGTAACCGAATACTAGGAATTCGATTCGCGAATCGAATTATTCGGGAACTTTCTATTCGATTCGAATTCGTATATTCGAGTATTCGCACACCCCTAATATTAACTATGCTCACAAATTGCAATATTAGGGGTCAGGCACTTTTGGCAATCTCTTTGCCAAAAAGAATGCAGCCTTGCACTCTGTGGCAGTGGTGTAGCGACGAATGTTTTTTTTTTTTTTTAAGGAAAGGGGAGGGGAGGGGGAGGCTGAGGTGACTGGCATATCCATGGGGGGGGAGGGGGGAGAGAGAGAGGGAGGGAAGGGTTCAAAATGCATGTGTATATTTTAGAATTGACTGGATTTCAAGCGGGAGGGTCGAAGCCTCATAATTGCCCTCCCCTTCCCAGCCTGGTTACGGCACTGCTCTGTGGTGCCACAGCCGGTTCTGCATAAACTGCACTCGGCCACCAGGCGTGGATTTTCGGTAAATTTAAAAAATATGAAATTTTTGTACAATGGGAGGGGGCCACTTACACAGGTGACGGGACATGCTCGGTATTTTATGGTAAAGAGATCTCTCGACGCTTAACCATCCGTGTACGTCCACTGGCTTCGAGACCTCACCAACTCAAAAAGAAAGGCACTATTGTAAAAGATGAAAACACTGCTCCTCAACTAGCATCGCCACGGTCACCCCTGAAGAAGAGCCGAGTAGGCATTGAAACATAGGGTTCCCTGTTTGGATGTTCCCCTTTTTTAAGTTACTCCACCAAACCAGACTGATCTCAGTCGAATGTTGCTGTTCAAATCATTTCTCTAGAAAGTGTGTGTGTGTGTTTTTGTTATTTTTTGTATAAAGTACCGGTTTTACTCGAACCTAGCGTACCTCAATTGTAACGCGTGCCCAATTTTTGAGGTAAAAAAAAAACGTGATGATCTGATTGTTACGTGCACCAGATTTCGAAGGTTAGACACAGAAATGAATATTTTTCTTACTTGGAACAACAAAGGTTTATTCCAAATGCTTCAATCTCGCGATGAAATGAACGGCGCTGTCTCTCGCTAGCAAGGTCGTCATCACGACGCCAGTCCATTGCAGCGCCCGTGGGGCGATATGCATCACTCATATTTGCTGTCGGACGACTCCTTATCGCTGTCAATGGCTCAAAGCATTTCATCTTCGGTGCCGTTCATAGCGTTAGAAATTCCACACTTCTTGAAGGCCCTGATAGCCATGGCAGACGGGATTGTGCACCACGCATCTTTCGCCCATCCGGCGAAGTCCTGCCGCAACGCAAGTTTCTGGAGCACTAAACGCACGTGATGCGGCCCGATTTCTATCGCTCTCTGCGCACAATATCACTTTTCTTTTGCATCCAGCATCATGGCGAACGCGGCGTGTCTTTGCAGTGGGAACTTCTATGCTGATACAAACGCAAGAAACACGCTAAGTGCTGGCTACGCTCTAAGCCTCTCAGCTTCTCAGTGCATAATGGAGCAGTCATTTTGAAATGTCGATTGCGATATGGTAGCGCAGTTTTGGGTCACACTCGATTCTAGCGTGCATGCGATTTTTGTGCCTATTTCCCCGGAAAAAGGGTGCGCGTTAGATTCAAGTAAATATGGTACATTTGCTGCACTTGACTGTGAAACACTGACTAGTGCCAATGAGACTGGCTTCACATCTGCCCAAACTGCAATTTCCTTCACAGTGTGTTTTAATGCGACAGCATTCTTTAGCTACCCCCCCCCCCCCCTTCCCCCTCCCCCTCCCCTCCTTTCCAAATTTCGGGGACCTTTCGGGCCTAATGCACAGCAGGCTATTTCAGCTCACTGTGATTCCACCCTATTGCGCTGGGCATATGCAGACTGGCAGTACGCACTTCATATTTGCTCCCTCTTCAAAGGACCTGACGGCCTTGGCGTTGTCCTTGAGGTCTCTCTCGAGTGTCTTAGAGGTCGTTCTAGATGCTGTCTTTAACGTCATCCTAGAAAGTCGTCCTAGACGCCGTTCTTGATGTCACCCTTAGCCTGGTAACAGAAGGAAGAGGTAAACATAACGAATGCTATCGCAATTCATAGACAACCTGCAATAGTGTTTTTTTACTTTTAATTTGTTTTAACGCAATAGTGTTTAGGAGCTCATGATGCAGAAAATCTGGGGCCAGTGGGGCAGGAAAATCTCGTGAAGTCATGAGGGTTAAATTTTCTCGCTGAATTTGGCGGGAAAATTTTCTGGTAAACTTAGCGGGTCGACAGGGTCATATTGTCACGGCCGTGTTCCACTCTTAAAGGCACAGATTAAGCGTTCCCCAAGTTTTTTTTTACAGCAAAGCTGTTATGCGCTAGGATCCGGGAAAAAATATGTCTGTGGATGTTGACGGAAACCTCCCCATTGGTCATGGCAAGTATGAATAAGTAAAAATAAAAAGAGGGCAACCAGCGTGAATCAGCCTTCCTTGGCATCATTAGGTAGGTCCTGATCTCTTTATCATTTGTAGGCATCGTCCTCGAGGTCTTTCTAGAAGTCGTCCGAGAGGTCGTCCTCTAGGAATCGTTTTGAGGTAGTTCTAGAAGTTGAACTCTAGGCGTTGTCCTTGAGGTCTTCCTAGATGTCGTCCTAGAAGTCGTCCTTGAGGTCATCCTAGAAGTCGTCCCCTAGGCATTGTTTTCAAGGTAGCTCTAGAAGTTGAACTCGAGGCGTTGTCCTTGAGGTCTTCCTAGATGTCGTCCTCAAGGTCATCCTAGAAGTCGTCCCCTAGGCATTGTTTTCGAGGTAGTTCTAGAAGTTGAACTCTAGGCGTTGTCCTTGAGGTCTTCCTAGATGTCGTCCTAGAAGTCGTCCTTGAGGTCATCCTAGAAGTCGTCCCCTAGGCATTGTTTTCGAGGTAGTTCTAGAAGTTGAACTCTAGGCGTTGTCCTTGAGGTCTTCCTAGATGTCGTCCTAGAAGTCGTCCTCGAGGTCATCCTAGAAGTCGTCCCCTAGGCATTGTTTTCGAGGTAGTTCTAGAAGTTGAACTCTAGGCGTTGTCCTTGAGGTCTTCCTAGATGTCGTCCTAGAAGTCGTCCTCGAGGTCATCCTAGAAGTCGTCCCCTAGGCATCGTTTTCGAGGTAGTTCTAAAAGTCGTCCTCTAGGCGTTGTCCTTGAGCTCGTCCTAGAAGTCGTCCTTGAGGTCAACCTAGAAGTCGTCCTAGACGTCCTCTAGGCATCCTCTTAGACATCATAAAAATAACAGCTTCGCTGGTCCTCCCCCTTCACCTGAAGTTCTTTGGATTTTTCCGGGGCAGCTCCCCAGGAGGCGTGAAATGGGTCACCCTTGCAACTCCGCCGCTTATGCATCCTCTGCTTGTGGAGGCCTAGACTCTCGAGGGGTCGAGGTCGTCCCCTGCTGCGCAGACGTTCCCGGCGTAGTTGCCAAAGCGTGTGGCACTCCTCGCAGGACGCTCCGCTGCCCCCTGACCTGCCGGACATTCCGCTTCCCATCGGGTCCCTGCCCAGCTTCACGTTCCAGCTGCCGGCCCCGATACCGGTCGCCAAGCAGACATCCGGTGTTCAGTCGACTTTTGCCAATGTCCGGCCGACGGCAGCCGACGTCAGACCGGCCGTGGCCGACGTAAGACCAACGGTGACAGACATCAGACAGACAGTGGCCGACATCAGGCCGACGGCGACCGCCAAGGGCGAGTTTGCGCTTGCACAGCCCTTGACCCTGGCCACGGCTTCGTCGGTCTCCTCGCCGGCCCAGGTGGGTGCACCCCCTGCCGCGCTGCTTGCAGCGGTGGACCTGCTGCGCCATTTGCACCAGAACAAACATGTCTGCTCCAAAAGGGAGCTGAAAGTGGCACGTGGCATTGTTGGCGATGTCACTGAAAATTAAGGAAGTACAGTTGTTTTTTCGGATGCCTAAGTACTATGTGCGAAGAGTAATGTTGCACGAATATTTGTATTTTCAAATAGTTGTTTTAATAATACAGTATTGGATATTCTCTTCCAAATGAACTGGGGCATTCATAGTTTTTGAAGCGTTGATCGCGGCGGGTTTGCCCCCTTGAGTACGCTTCTCTTCAGACACCAGTGCACTGCGGAGAAGCAATACCCACGAAGCTGATATCGTGATCTCACGACTCGCTTCGCTGCAGTGGAGCCGTGCACTTGGGAGGAAAAACACACCTTCAAAATGGTCGGTGCACACTTGCACCTGGTGTATTCAAAAAAAGAAAAGGGGGGGGAGGAACATCTGTGATTGTTGATATTTACATTGCGGTGAAATCTTCAGAATTTATCTTTGGCTATTATGTGAAAGCATATATTAGGCAGCGATGTTATAACATTAATTGTGCTTTTTTTTTTTTCTAAGTTGAGAATTGAGAAAAATATTTGGATATCACAAGAAGATTTATAAGTCCCCTCAACTAGGTAGGGCTGGGCTCCTTCGTGGGTTTCATTTCAAGTAAAATATGTTATTTACATGCTGTTCCAATGTAGTTATTGGAGTTTCTAAGGCCACAGTCTATAAATATAGCTAGATTAAATTTAACAGAGCTCGTAAGTTGGTAATTAGAAACATGGGAACAACCCCTGCAAGTTCAGCTGAAATTTCATTTAAGTGTGGTGTATTAGTAGTGAGAGGCATGGAAAGACACAGCAGCTATTCAGTATTTGATTAAAAAATATTCGGCCAAAGCCACTGTTCAGTTTTAATTTACTTTGAACCCAAGATCCGTTATTCGCACATGAGAGTTGTCGTTTTTGTGTGAACGGTGCTCACATCGATCGCAATTCTGATTGGTTAGAGTAGCTATGTTCTCAGCTTAGCTGCTCTACAAACACTAGCAGGTGGAATCCGAGCGAGAGCAGCGTGATATAAACTCGAACTCTACTTGCATACGCGCAATCAACACCGCCGATCAACGTACAAAAACACAGTTCTAGCGCCGCTGCATTTTTTTTGTTATTAAAACTAAACAAAAAAGGTTGAGAAAAAAAAAAGCAACCAGCTGCAGCGAGTGAGCGGGCAAAAGAAGCGAGGAAGAACGATGTTGGGGGGGAGGAAGCGGGAAAGCCGGCAATCGCGTAGGCAGATACTTTGGCGGCGGGCCAAGTTGGTCGCCTTGTCAATCGCGTGGGGCGGGCTTTTGTGGAACTTCCTTGTTGGGTGCATTCGTGCGTGCATCCATGCACGGCGTGCTATCAATGCAGGTTATGGCGACGCTGCGTGGTGTGGGGGACCACGAACACGAAGTTCAAAAATAAACGTTTTGCAAATGCCTGTGCGCGGCGTTCCATCAAATTTTTATTTACCTATTGACTTTGTCTCAAACACTGTACAAACTTACCAGCCGCGGTTGCCACGTTCCGGGACAAGAAGCGGATTCGCAGTCACCTTATTTCGGTGGAGACGGACTTTGACCTTGCACTCCGCGGTTACATTCCGGGATATGGGTCGTTCGCTTATCTCGTGATCCCCTATTGGGTTACTGGTTTGTGTTATCTTTCCGACTCCTTTTTAGAGCGCCACTCTTAGGCGGGCATTTCCGCGTATAGCGACGTCGCCGTTCCCGTCGGTGTCACCTCGCTACATTTAGTGATAAAACTCTCGTTACGTGACCTCAACACCAATTTAGTTTTCCCCTCTAAATTTAGCGGGAAATTGAATTGATGTTGAGGTCACGTGGTGTCTATTATCCAGCTAAATTTAGCGGGGAAAGTGGGATGAGGGGAGGGTAGGGAGGAGAAGAGGAGGAGGGCATGCAGGAGGAGGAGCATACCCTTCCCTCCTCCTCCTCCTCAAAAGCTGCACCCTAATTTCGCATTACAGATATTTGTAAACGTCTTTCATTTTTTGTCCTAACAAACTTTTTTGTAAGCAAGACAAAGTTCCATTCTGTTGCATCCATTGTTCTTCTTTTGCACGCATGGACTCCGGGGTTGCGAAAATCGGGGAGGAAATGCATAGACAAAGTGAAGCGCCTTTCCCTCCTTGGTTTTACAAACCGTAAGGTTTGTGGCCGCGTCGTTCGGGTAGGATGAGTGCTCGCGGATCGCGGAGACTGCATTGGTGAATTTGTACAGGTGGGCAATCACTCAATGTTTTTTTTTTTTTTTTTAAATCGATATTTGCCCTAAAAGTGCGGTTGGCGATGACTTGGGATATTGTGGTCATCAAACACTGTGGCATCCCCTCTTTCTGCATCTTGCAGCTGACAACATGGGTCACTGTCAGACAGTGACTATAATTGCTGTATTACCCCTCTTACACCGAAAGATTTCATGTTTTTGTCAAAATAAAATAAACAACGCGCCCCCAAAGAGCGCTAATAGTTACGTTCGGAATCTGCACGCAAATAACTATTTTCATTGGTCACATTTTATGGAGGATAAAGTAGTGCCCATGTATTTCTATGGCCGAGTTTACGAGGATGTCTTGCCATCTAGGACTCGTCATTTCTATTGACTAAAGCCCAACAAACAATATGCCATCAAAAACGAGCTTCTTCAAAAAGAACTCAAGTGCCCCTTTGTGTGACGAAACTTTCTCTCGCGAATTCGCAGCAATTTTGGCCATATGGCGGGCACCACTCGAGATTTGCAATCTCGTTTGTTCCACAAAAACCGTATAATAAAGCGGATTGCCAATGCTGGGACGTGGCTTCGCGGTAACTCTCCCGCTTCACACGCAGTGGACCCAGCGGACGATTTTTTTAAAAGCAGTTGTCAACATCGCGACGGATGCTCTATGCCCTATTACGCCAACTACAACGACAGACGTCTTTTCCAGCAGTGGGAAGAGCCCGTTACAGCTCTCGCTGTAAAAGGTTGCACGATTATTTTCGTTCGTGAGCGAAGGTGCCACAGAGAGTTTAAATTATTGGAATAAAGAAGGTAGAATTATCGAGGAACTGGTAACCCCCCCCCCCCCCTCGCAATAATGGGAATCTCAGAATTATTTTTTTTTTTGGTCAGAACAAATTTAGTTTTTAAAGAAAAGATTTGAAGCATGTTTTTAACGTAAGCCGACAACCCGACCGATCGACTCCGCCCGCTGAGTGTGCCGCTTCAACGTGTGCAGGAGTTCAGCTTCAGCGTGCCGGCCCAGGTGACTGAGTTGCAGCCGGTCTCGCAACGGACGGGTGAGTTTCCGGGTTCTTCCCCTTCGGCAGGTTCCGAGGGTCGCTCGTGGGGGTGGCTTTTGGAGCTGAAGGCTTTGCGGGCCGTTGTCTTGACGCCCTCGGCGAGACGATAGCAGAGGGTGAACGAAAACTGGAGAGCCCTCTCGGTCTGCGAGCGGGCTCTGCAGTTTTCCGGACAAGATGGCTACCACAGTGTCACGCACTTTGTTTGCAATTTGTCAGAGCATATTCGAATGTGTTCTCAGAGCCACCGAGCAAGCAAGGTGCAGAAGCCGCAAGATGTCTTTTCTGCAGTACCACACAAAACTCTCGCCGTTGACGACTCGGTGCAAGTCATGCGAAAGTGTTTTTCAAACGCCGGCGCGAATAACCACAACGCTACGAAACCACCTGCAACAGCCCTTTTTGTTAATGAAATAAAGAAAGTTGGTGAAGAGAAGTGAGCTAAAGCAAAGAAGGCAATGTCTGCACGCTGAACCCGCACAGCACGCTTGTTTGTCCCGGGATCAGTCGTTGCTCAAAGCGCTCCAAGAACTTCTTGACCCTGGCTCGCTGTGTCTTGTATCGATGCGCTCAGGTGCTTTGTGTGTGTGTATATATGTGTGTGGGTGGGTGGGTGGGGGGGGGGGGGGGGAATAATTAGTAAAACGGTGGCAAGCGGTTTTTCGGAATTCCTCGGCAATGCCTACAGCACTGTACACTTCTGGAATTTCTCAGGGGTAAAAAAGCAGCGAGTTCCGTCACAACACGTCACGTCAAAACACAACACAACACAAAGTGCCCTTCGTTTGTACAGCACTTAAAACAAATATTTCTATTATTCTAACAATATCTGCTCTCAAAGCCACTTTTGGTGTTCCGAAACACTGTTCTGGCTGCTCCGAAAGGTGCTCCAAAATAGTTTTGGCCAATCACATCACTGGAAACGGTGGATCCATTCTCACGACCCCCCCTTCCCCGCCAGTCCCCGCAGAGCAGGGCAAGGCGGACATGAGGAAAAAGGCGGAGGTGCCGGCGGGGCCTGCTGCGCCGGCTTCCCAGCTGGTCATGCAGGGCAGCGTCATGGACGTGCTCGGCCGGAAGGACGCTGCCAAGGAAATTGCCCCCGAGCCGGCGAATGTCCGGAGTTCCGGAGGCAAGGCGGCTCCCAAGAAGTCTGGAGACGTCGCGGATGCGGCGGGCACTTGGACGCCTGCTTCCACTTCAGAAGGTGAGGGAGGCTGGAACACTCGTTGAACCTCGTTTTGGAAATGTGGAGCATTTCTCGGGCCAGCCCTTAGACCGAAGCGGATAATGACCCGACCCGCATCTGGTGGCTCTGAGGCGATGCACCAGCTTATGGACGTCCAGTTGGCGAAAGAGCCACCTAGAAGACGAGGCTTGCGGTAGTGGCACATGAAACCCCCGAATTTTTCTCCGATACCGGCACGACTTTGTGACATACTCGCATGCAAACAAAAATATTGTTCAGCCTTTCCAACTTTGTGACTTACTCACATGCAAACAAAAATATTGTTCAGCCTTTCCACTCTGGTGAAGAAGGAAGAGCAGCGGAGCTGTATATGGGCCGTTATTTATGAGCGACGGCGGCAACCGGACAACTGGCAAGCGGGCTGTCTGGTTGCCAGCGGTAGCTGTCCAGAGAGTTGTGTCGAGATTTGTTTGTCCCAGACACGAAACTGGGGAAACTAACCCTTAAGAGCTCCGCTGTAAAAGCTAGGAAATCACCTCGAGAACTGGCATCCCTCAACACCAGCACCCCCACTTACTGCCATATTGAAATAAGTTTGTTTGTCGAGTCACGATGAGGTGTTGTTTAGGAAATAAGGAGAAACAATTTCATTTTTTTATTTGTTTACACAGAGTAATTCTAAGATTTGTCACTTGGCACAAAGAAAACCATGGTGGAACTATAAGCCATAAGAGCTGGTAAGTTCTTCCCGACATTTCCAAATATCCGTTATGGTTACTGTTGAATGCGGTAGATAGTTCCAATTAATAGAAAGCTTTTTGGGAGAGAATTGACAGTTGTTGATCCTAGCGATAGATTAATGCAGTTGGCAAAGAGTTATCTAAGCGACGGAGGTTTTAGGTGCAGGTGTGGAGAGTATGTCTTTCTGCAAAGGAAGGTGGTCGTAAAATTTGTGCAGTATTCTTTGGTTAGATTTTTGCATGTTCTCGGAAGGGGGAGGCCAAGTTAGGTTTTAAGTGTGTCGACGCTAGTCATAAGGTTATAGATGAGGAGAATAAATTGTACGGAGTGGTTTTGCACTGCTTATAATGTGTCTTCTAAGAATGACGGATGGGGATTCATATCAATGAAGCATATTCCACCTGGGGGCAACCGAGTGACTTGTATGCAACGAGTTTTGTTTCTCGAGAGTCAGAAAAATTATGTTGCAAATAGCCTAATGTCTCGTGCATTCGTCAAAGCTTTATTTTGGTTATTTACTTCGAATCTCTTATACGGGGAAGGTGCGCGCGTGCAGCGGTACAAGCGTAGAGTCAAATGGGTATCGTGTAAAACATTGGCAAGTTGTGGAATTACTTGCTAAGCATAAGACTCATTTTAGAAATCTTGTCGTGTCAACACATAGTTTTAGTGGTGCCATCTACCGGAGGTCTACAAAACCTTCTCCACAGTGGCTGTGCCCACGACGTGTGGAACGAGCAAATGAGATGCCTGCGCTTTCGTTGCTCTCCATTTGTCCAATCTTCAGCATGACTGCGTTCGACCGCCGCAAACATCGGCAACGCCTACTGGGTGCGGTGTTCCGTTGCGTCCGGACCGTTCTCCGGAAGCTTTCATCTCGGGGAGTGGGGAAGAATCATCGGGTACCACAATTTACCCCGTAATCAGCTTCTGCGAGCTGAGTGGAGTCCAAGGTCAGCAGAGAGGACCTTGGACCGGTAGTACTCCGCGTCTGCTCAGATCACTTCAACAGCAATCGCCACTGCCGTCGCATAGGAACTGTGCTTCGCAATGCCGGGCAGGCCATGGCCATCCGAGGCCCAAGGCGGTTTTTGATGCTCACTGAGCCGTCGCGCTCATCAACGCCGCGCCCCTGTTTTGTCGGAGTGCCCGGGTAGGGAACGAGTCCAGCGGACTTGCTATAAACAAGCGTAACTAGGTTACGCATAAAAAAGAAAACTGTTGTCTATTGAATGTTCGAGAGGTGGTAGCGATTAATTCCCACACCTATCGACCCGAAGTCCGAAAATTGTTGCACAGCCCGTTTAAAGGGATACTACAACGAAATTTCGGCGCTTATTATTGGTCTACATGTGTTCAAAGGAACAGTATCAGATCGGACTCACCAATATCGTGTTAAAAAAAGACACGGAAAGGAATTTTAAAACGAATTAAACGATTAGCAAAGAGCACCTGGTGGATGTCGCTGATGCCTCGTTTGTAATACCCGTCTAGGAACCCTGACAGATATATTCCGTTTCATACTTAGCGTGCAATGCTGTCAAAGCTACTTGCGTGAGCGTGGGGCTTGACCTCGTTGATCATTTGCATGCATTCTCGCGCAAACAAAACCATAGATGAAGCCACTCGCTCGCGCCAGTAGCTTTCACAGCGTTGCATGCTAAGTATGAAACAGAGTATAGTGACAATAACTGTCGCCTCCGGCCATTACAAGAGAAGGGGGGAAGGAGGAACTCTCCTTTCCCCGAGAATCTCTTGTGTGTCCCAGAAGTAGCTTTTGTCCCTCTACAAGGTTATGGAAGATTAACCCGTCAATCAAAATTCGTACAAGAGCAGCCGCTTCGGTAACTGGAACGACTAGGACATCCTCTCGATGTCAGCCTCGCTGCAGCTTTGCTCGTCCCGAGACGAACTACGTCACGATTGCGTTGGATATCACGTGGTCTCCGCTGGCTGCTCTCTGAGTGCTTGCCAGAGTGGGCCGTTTATAACGAAAAATACAGCCACCAGGCTTAAAATACAAACGTGCGATTGTCATTTATGGATGTTGTGGATCATATTCAACCTATTTTTGAAAACGATGGGTATATTTCAAATTTCCTCGAAGTATCCCTTTAAGTTTCATCAGTATGAAGCAAACTTAATTTCAGAATTAAATGGTGCCTTATAAAAAGCTTTAGAAAAGTCAATAAAAATGGCACGAATTCGGTACAAAGAGGAATTCATGTTTGACAATTGGCAGGCAAAGCCATACGAACCCCATTGAAGGGCTTTTGCTATGGAGTTCTCATTTTGTCACCGACTATAGGGACACGAACGGTGGTTCGAGCCGTCCAAAAATTAATTCTGGGTCATTCTGTCCGAATCCGCGGCTCGAACCGTTTTGTCCTTCATCGGTTAGTTTAGCCAAAGGAGGAAGAATGTTTCTTGCCGACTTTTCATGCGCCTAGTGACACGAGCCCGATGCCCTCGTTCCTTTCTCTCTCAGCCCTATCGGGGAACTCCAAGCCTGCGGCCGGCTCCTGGAGCTGTTCGGCGTGCAAGATCAGCAACGCCGAGTCGAACGTCAAGTGCGCCGCCTGTGAACAGTGGCCAACTATCACCACGGCCGCTGCTCCGGCGTCCACTTCGGGACCTGCGACCACGGAGGTTTGTGTATGCTGGGATTTTGCCGTAATTGCAAATGCCGCGCGATTTCGACGGCGCAATCGGTTTGTTATTTTGAGACGTAATTTAGTGAGAGGGTCCAGCATTTTTGCTTTTTGTTTTAGTAAACATTGTTGCATGTGAAATGTGTGGAGTCTACACTCTCGGTGCTCTTCATTGGTTTCGGTGCTACCGTATTTACTCTCATAATGAACACATTTTTTTTTTCCCGAAAAAAATACACATAATATTTGAAAGGTGCGTTCAATACGCGAAGTAACTGACGGAGGCATACCCATGACAGGTTGTGCGCGTGCCACAGGAACCATGCTCTATAAATTGCTAACCTTTTCTAGGGCGCTTTTGGTGTGCCTTCTGCCGAACGACAAGCGCCCTACGAAGCTCACTCAGCACAAAGAGTGACGGGACCGTTTTTAGGCCTAACCACTTTCTCAATTCCACTGTCCGAAAAGCGGACCACTGACGATGGCATGTTTGTTGACATCAGTGCATCCGATGGGCGAAGCATGTCCGGGGCTGGGCAATTCCTCGACCCCAGCTTCATTAGGTGGGTGCGCCGCTCGGTTCCTCGGTCGATCACTTCTGCAACTACGCACTTGCAGCCATTTTGAGAGTGGCTTGGCTTGACTTGACTTTCCCTGGCGGCTTGGCAGAAAAAGAAAATATGCTTGGTTGGCTTGGTGGCTTGCTAAGTTGGATGCAGTTCGAGACTCGCAGAGCCAAAAATTGGAGGTGCATTCATTACCCGAGGGGCAATTCATTCATTGGAAGTGCATTCATTATGCGAGTAAATGCGGAAATTTGGGTTTTAAAAACTTGTGGCGGCGTGTCAAGTTGCCATCTGTCGGACGCATAGCAGATGCCCCGCAGGGATTTCCCATCAAATAGCACCTCGACTCGCAGTGATGTGTCGTGACATGCTGATAAGATGCTCGCGTAATAACCTAAATTGTCTGGGTTCAACTCCCATCTGGCGCGAATGCTTGCTTGCTGTGTTGGCCTCTTTGCCCCACTCTGAACCAATTGGTATCGAGCCTCGGGGCCACGGTTTTATCCAGGCTTCACTTTTGAGCTTCACGGAATACCGAACATTCAGCCAAAGAATGTTTCTTGTAGAAACATATAAAGATTACTTCACCCGCTGTACAAATGGAAACTGAGGTAGAGGAGGTGGTGAGAGCGTGCGAGGACGCCCAAGTACCAAGCTCTGGCTGGAGTTTGTTGGTTCGTGCGAGGCTAGCAGCCTTTGGCTCTACTCCCTGTTCCAACATGAATGACGATGTCCAAACGGTGAATAGACACTAAGGCAGCTAGCTTTGCAGTTGCGCACAAATTGTATCAACCGGAGCTCGTCGTGGTGACGCCCCCGCATGCTCTTGTCTTCTCATCTCCCTCAATTTCTGTTCATACAATATTTACAGCGGAGCTGCTAAGGGGTAGTTTCCCAGTTTCGTGTCTGTGGAGAAACAAAACCCCACACAAAAGTCTGGACAGCTACCACCATCCATGAGTGACGGCGGCAAGCGGTTGTCTGGTTGCCGCCATTGCTCGTAGATGGCGGCAACCTTTCCAGCGTTTCTCCTCTGGCTTTCACCAGAGTGGAAAGGCTGAATACCTTTAGGTCGTCCTTGAGGTCGTCCTAAACGTCGTCCTAGACGTCGTCTTAGAAGTCATGTTTGAGGTCGTCCTAGAAGTGCTTGAAATCGTCCTAGACGTTGTCCTTGAGTTCGTCTTAGAAGTTGTCGTCCCTCAGGTCGTCCTAGAAGTTGTCCTAGAGGCCGTCCTAGACGTCGTCTTCTAGGCATCGTCCTTGAGGTCGTCGCAGAAGTCGTCCTTGAGGTCGGCCTACCATAGTTCAGCTCTGCTGGTCTTCCTTCTTCACCAGACTGGAAAGACTGAAAGTTTTGTAGCCTGAGTGAAACCGTTTTTTTGACACGGTGGGCTACCACAAGGTTTGTTTTGGCAAAATGAAGGGGGGACAAAATGGGCAATCTTATTTCTTCCCTTGTCTGGCCTTCGGTAAGTGAGGTTGATAATCAAGCACTGCAGCCTCGTTACCCAAAAAGTGTCTAGCGAGCGCACTTACACACATACGGTGTGTAAGTATGCAGGAGGTGAAAGGAAAGGGAACGGCAGGTGCTTTGGGTGGTACAGTCGGAGCCGGGGTGTCCGACTCTAAGGGACAAGACCTTTAATTTCCACTCCTGCGGTAGCGCCAGCTTTGGTGGGGCTTCTTTTGAGATGCTACACGTGACGACGTTTGCACCGTCGAGGTGTAAAGTGTGTACCGAGTTTGCCCTGTGCAGCGTCGTCGCGGGGCAACGAGCGATACTCTGTAGCCGAGCTTCGCCTTTGTTACGACGGTGCAAGAAACGGGCAAACTTGTTTCTGGTACATTTCCATGAGACATATGCGCCGGGCTGGTCGCACGTGCTGGGCCGGTCGATCGTGCCGGGCTGGTCGCACGTGCCGAGCGCGAGGCTGCTTGCTCGCGGGTATGGGAAGTCCCCGTGTCCCTTCTGCTCGTGCAGGCCCCCTCTCAGGGCACCCCCAAGGGCTTTGGGGACCTGTTCCGGCCGTCTCCCGCCACCTGGGAGTGTGACTCGTGCATGGTGCGCAACGAGGCCAAGGCCCAACGCTGCTGCGCCTGCGAGACCCCCAGGGTGTCCCCGGCCCCGGGTAAGTGAGGGTGTCCCTTGGTTTCTTAAATGCCAAGTCATTTCTTTGGGTGTAACGTTATAACAAATCAATTTTTACAGATTATTGCATTTTTCTAAGTTTGATGTGGTCCCGATCGCAATGCATGCATTTTAAACCGGATTACTCAAAGTGTATCGACCACCGGACATGCTTATTACGAAGAACGATCCGGCGAAAGTATGCTGTGTAAGCCAGCGCAACCTTTGGAAGAGTTGCTCATAAAGCCGTTAGCAGTGAAAGGTATATCGTCTTGTGCCTCTATAATAGACCGATCTCACCCAGTGTTCCGTGCATAAGTGACGCCGCCAGAACTTTAGTTCTCCGAAGAAAAACAGCAGTGCACGAGAGGGCTCGTGCCATATTGTGCAGTACATGCCTGAGCTCCAGCGATGTTGTCGCATGTCCAGAAAGACTAAATTTCTTTCAATGCATTGCGTAGTCAAACTGGCTGGTGAGATCGGTCTATTGCACTAGGAGCGCGGAGCACGTGACTTGCCTACGGAGTCCCGACGCACTTGCCCGTTCCCCGGCACCCTTCTCTTACCTGATTCCGATTTGTTGAGTTAAGGGAGCAAAGGAGGCGGGAGATCGCTTCTCGGGATCCCGGTGTGCGCAGAGGAATGAGGCAGCTTGTTGAGCGACAGTTCCGACGCTTCCCATGGTGCCCGCGGTGATGTCAGCCTCATCCGGCGCTTGGGGCAGTTGGAGGAGGCTTTTTTATGCCTGGGAAAAACACCCGGCAAACTGATCTCCCGTCTTTTTTCATGTCTCAGTAAGCCTGGCTCATCAGCAAGGTTTGTGTCATTGAACATATATTTGTTATAAGCCTTCCACACTGTTCCGGTGCACTTTCAAGGTTACTGTTGCTCTTTTTATGGATCTCCTGTTCTTAACGAATTACCACTTTTATCATTTTTTTTCCGTCCCGTTGACTTCGTTATAACTAGGAATTAAAGTACCTGTGTCCCGGCCAGCCTTCTCCAAGGAGATTGCAAAGGAGCTGATACTCTCGTACAACCGCCTGTCAGAGAAACCTTCTCGAGATCTGTTCCCGGATGGAGACGCAGAACGCCAATGAGAGCTTTAATGCCTCGGTGGAAGAGGTGCCCCGAAGTGGAGCTGGCTTCCCTCGGGACAGTGGAGTGTTTAACATGGCCCTCGCAGCCCTCGAGTTACACCCGGGGCCTAGAGACATCGCGGATGTTCTGTCAGAAATGGGCGCCCAGCCAGGGAGCCACCAAGCGTCGTATACAGAGAGGACAACCCATTGCAAAAGCCCAAGTGAAGGCGCTCGAGTCATTGGAGGTGTCCCACGAGAAAAGAAACATGGAAGCTGTGACCAAAGCACAGAAGAATCGTGCAGTTTAAGGACTAATTCATGCCCCACTTTAGATGAAATGGCAAGCACCATCTGAAAGAAAGCACTGGATGAACTTTCAAAATTTTTTGTTCATGTTCTAGCTAGTTTTTATTGCTCTAAAACTGTTGTTTGATGACTAAAGTGCCGGCATACCTAGTGTGCGGATTTTCTAGAGTAAAACTTACTGGAGCTCTCGACTATGTGTTTACTTTTTCAAGATTGTTACTTGTTCAACGAGTGCGTCGCATTTTGTAAAAGAAAAAAAAAAGGAAAAAAAAAGTTTTTGAGGTACTTTTTTTTCACTAGTATATAAAACAATAAAAAAAATTTTAAACCCTCTATTCATTAGTCTAGTCACTCATCGTTATATTCCAGAAAAAGGATTGTGACATTTTAGCATACCTCGGCAAACCTCACTCATGAGGGCCTTCACTCACCCTCACTCACCCTCATCTTCACAGGTGAGGTGAGGGTGAGCGAGTTTCTGATCCAGGAAAATTCATGAGTGTGAGGGTGAGTGAGGGCCGTGAGGTTCGTGAGGGCGGTGAGGGCGGTAAGGGGTATGAGGGCCATGAGTGCATGAGGGGCGTGAGGGCCATGAGTGCGTGAGTGGTGTGAGGGCGGTGAGTGCGTGAGGGGTGTGAGGGCCATGAGTGCGTGACAGGCGTGAGGGCCGTGAGGGCGGTGAGTGCGTGAGGCCCACTTCAGATCGAGCATCTTTCTCAGCAATTTTGGTGTTAATGGCGGGTTGTTCTCTAGCTTTCCCTAGATCGACACGAATTGCTGAGATTGGGTCCGGCTCGAAATAAGCAACCAACTCGGAGCAATTCAAATACGTTTGAAGTGGCTGCATCTAATCAGGGACGCAAAATTTTTATGTGATACCTCGTGCCGGTGGTGATGACACCGAAAGACTTGGTTCTCATTTGAAATCGATTGTTTTTTTTTGAAAATGAACTGTTTCAGAAAGGTGCATTAGTATTCTTAACAAGATTTAAATGCAAAAAAAAAAAAAAACGTTTATAACGCGTAATGGTGTCTAAATAGTGCAAGAAAAATAAAATTTTATGATGACGATGGCAAATTGCAGGAATTGCAATTTATGAAACCGTCGTATGACGCGGCGGGCTAAAATAAGGTTTGTTTTGGCAAAATGAAGGGGGTCAAAATGGCCAATTTTATTTCTCCCGTTCCCTAGCCTTTCGGTGGCTGAAACGACTAGGCCATCCTCTCGACGTCAGCCTCGCCGTAGCTTTGATCGTCTCGAGACGACCTACAGCACGATTGCGTTGGATGTCACGTGGTCCCCGCTGGCTGCTCTCTGAGTGCTTGCCAGAGTGGGCCGTTTATAACGAAAAATACAGCCACCAGACTTAAAATACAAACGTGCGATTGTCATTTATGGATGTTGTGGATCATATTCAACCTATTTTTGAACACGATGGGTATATTTCAAATTTCCTCGAAGTATCCCTTTAAGTTTCATCAGTATGAAGCAAACTTAATTTCAGAATTAAATGGTGGCTTATAAAAAGCTTTAGAAAAGTCAATAAAAATGGCACGCATTCGGTACAAAGAGGAATTCATGTTTGACAATTGGCAGGCAAAGCCATACGAACCCCATTGAAGGGATTTTGCTGTGGGGTTCTCATTTTGTCACCCACTATAGGGACACGAACGGTGGTTCGAGCTGTCCAAAAATTAATTCTTGGTCATTCTGTCCGAATCCGCGGCTCGAACCGTTTTGTCCTTCATCGGTTAGTCTAGCCAAAGGAGGAAGAATGTTTCTCGGCGACTTTTGATGCGCCCAGTGACACGAGCTTGATGCCCTCGTTCTTTTCTCTCTCAGCCCTATCGGGGAAGTCCAAGCCTGCGGCCGGCTCCTGGAGCTGTTCGGCGTGCAAGATCAGCAACGCCGAGTCGAACGTCAAGTGCGCCGCCTGTGAACAGTGGCCAACTATCACCACGGCCGCTGCTCCGGCGTCCACTTCGGGACCTGCGACCACGGAGGTTTGTGTATGCAGGGATTTTGCCGTAATTGCAAATGCCGCGCGATTTCGACGGCGCAATCGGTTTGTTATTTTGAGACGTAATTTAGTGAGAGGGTCCAGTATTTTTGCTTTTTGTTTTAGTAAACATTGTTGCATGTGAAATGTGTGGAGTCTACACTCTCGGTGCTCTTCATTGGTTTCGGTGCTACCGTATTTACTCTCATAATGAACACATTTTTTTTTTTCCGAAAAAAATACACATAATATTTGAAAGGTGCGTTCAATACGCGAAGTAACTGACGGAGGCATACCCATGACAGGTTGTGGGCGTGCCACGGGAACCATGCTCTATAAATTGCTAACCTTTTCTAGGGCGCTTTTGGTGTGCCTTTTGCCGAACGACAAGCGCTTTACGAAGCTCACTCAGCACAAAGAGCGACGGGACCGTTCTTAGGCCTAACCACTTTCTCAATTCCATTGTCCGAAAAGCGGACCACTGACGATGGCATGTTTGTTGACATCTGTGCATCCGATGGGCGAAGCATGTCCGGGGCTGGATAATTCATCGACCCCAGCTTCATTAGGTGTGCGCGCCGCTCGGTTCCTCGGTCGATCACTTCTGCAACTACGCACTTGCAGCCATTTTGAGAGTGGCTTGGCTTGGCTTGACTTGACTTTCCCTGGTGGCTTGGCAGAAAAAGAAAATATGCTTGGTTGGCTTGGTGGCTTGCTAAGTTGGATGCAGTTCGAGACTCGCAGAGCCAAAAATTGGAGGCGCATTCATTACGCGGGGGGCAATTCATTCATTGGAGGTGCATTCATTATGCAAGTAAATGCGGGAATTTGGGTTTTAAAAACTTGTGGCGGCGTGTCAAGTTGCCATCTGTCGGACGCATAGCAGATGCCCCGCAGGGATTTCCCATCAAATAGCACCTCAACTCACAGTGATGTGTCGTGACATGCTGATAAGATGCTCGCGTAATAACCTAAATTGTCTGGGTTCAACTCCCATCTGGCGCGAATGCTTGCTTGCTGTGTTGGCCTCTTTGCCCCACTCTGAACCAATTGGTATCGAGCCTCGGGGCCACGGTTTTATCCAGGCTTCACTTTTGAGCTTCCCGGAATACCGAACATTCAGCCAAAGAATGTTTCTTGTAGAAACATATAAAGATTACTTCACCCGCTGTACAAATGGAAACTGAGGTAGAGGAGGTGGTGAGAGCGTGCGAGGACGCCTAAGTACGAAGCTCTGGCTGGAGTTTGTTGGTTCGTGCGAGGCTAGCAGCCTTTGGCTCTACTTCCTGTTCCAACACGAATGACGATGTCCAAACAATGAATAGTCACTAAGGCAGCTAGCTTTGCAGTTGCGCACAAATTGTATCAACCGGAGCTCGTCGTGGTGACGCCCCCGCATGCTCTTGTCTTCTCATCTTCCTCAATTTCTGTTCATACAATATTTACAGCGGAGCTGCTAAGGGGTAGTTTCCCAGTTTCGTGTCTGTGGAGAAACAAAACCCCACACAAAAGTCTGGACAGCTACCACCATCCATGAGTGACGGCGGCAAGCGGTTGTCTGGTTGCCGCCATTGCTCATAGATGGCGGCAACCTTTCCAGCATTTCTCCTCTGGTATTCACCAGAGTGGAAAGGCTGAATGCCTTTAGGTCGTCCTTGAGGTCGTCCTAAACGTCGTCCTTGACGTCGTCTTAGAAGTCATGTTTGAGGTCGTCCTAGAAGTGCTTGAAATCGTCCTAGACGTTGTCCTTGAGTTCGTCTTAGAAGTTGTCGTCCCTCAGGTCGTCCTAGAAGTTGTCCTAGAGGCCGTCCTAGACGTCGTCTTCTAGGCATCGTCCTTGAGGTCGTCGCAGAAGTCGTCCTTGAGGTCGGCCTACCATAGTTCAGCTCTGCTGGTCTTCCTTCTTCACCAGACTGGAAAGACTGAAAGTTTTGTAGCCTGAGTGAAACCGTTTTTTTGACACGGTGGGCTACCACAAGGTTTGTTTTGGCAAAATGAAGGGGGGACAAAATGGGCAATCTTATTTCTTCCCTTGTCTGGCCTTCGGTAAGTGTGGTTGATAATCAAGCACTGCAGCCTCGTTACCCAAAAAGTGTCTAGCGAGCGCACTTACACAGATACGGTGTGCAAGTATGCAGGAGGTGAAAGGAAAGGGAACGGCAGGTGCTTCGGGTGGTACAGTGAGAGCCGGGGTGTCCGACTCTAAGGGACAAGACCCTTAATTTCCACTCCTGCGGTAGCGCCAGCTTTGGTGGGGCTTCTTTTGAGATGCTACACGTGACGACGTTTGCACCGTCGAGGTGTAAAGTGTGTACCGAGTTTGCCCTGTGCAGCGTCGTCGCGGGGCAACGAGCGATACTCTGTAGTCGAGCTTCGCTTCTGTTACGACGGTGCAAGAAACGGGCAAACTTGTTTCTGGTACATTCCCATGAGACATATGCGCCGGGCTGGTCGCACGTGCCGGGCCGGTCGATCGTGCCGGGCTGGTCGCACGTGCCAAGCGCGAGGCTGCTTGCTCGCAGCAGTATGGGAAGTCCCCGTGTCCCTTCTGCTCGTGCAGGCCCCCTCTCAGGGCACCCCCAAGGGCTTTGGGGACCTGTTCCGGCCGTCTCCCGCCACCTGGGAGTGTGACTCGTGCATGGTGCGCAACGAGGCCAAGGCACAACGCTGCTGCGCCTGCGAGACCCCCAGGGTGTCCCCGGCCCCGGGTAAGTGAGGGTGTCCCTTGGTTTCTTAAAGGGGCGGTGCAATGATTTTAACACTGAACGAATGTGCAGCTTGTATTTTTTATATTGTTCACTTCCGCATAAGTAAGAGAAAAAGTGCCACCATATCCCAAAATACCTCTATTTCGCTGCGTAATCGCAAAATAAAGGACGCTTTTTTTCCCAACCTGCGGCCACATGGTGGCCGCAAATGGAACCTGTGGTGTGACGTCATTCGGAGTGGTTTTTGTAAGTGATAGTGTTAGGCTATTGTAAGCTTGATTTAAGGTTAAGTTTAAAAAACCTTGTTGTTTAGGCATGCAGAAACGCTTCAGAAGCCTAATATTGCCGCTAAAAGGGTATGAATTATTTGTGGCGCCATCTACCGCAAGTCAACAAAACCTGCTGTCGCCGTCATCCGTCGACGCCCGAGGCGCCTGCGGCGGCTACCCGAGCAACCCGGACGTTTTGTCTTTCCCTCGCTCGACGGAGTGCGTTGGTCGTGGTCCGTAGTATCGTGGTGTCTCGACCTCGACTTCGACTTCCACTGCCCGCCGCACAAGTCCAAGACTTGGTATACGCAAGCATCTTGCGCTCGACGTCGCTCAGGCCGTCCGCCCATGCCGCCATGTTGTTCGGGAATCTGCTGACGAGGGGCGAGCCGGCGAGCGCTGGGGAAACGGAAGCCAGAAAAACCCAACCGGAAACCAACGCCACTCCGAATGACGTCACAGGCGAAGCTGGTGCCGCTTCAATGTTGAGTTGAGGGGTGCCAGAGATATCAATTTCTTTCAATTTTTTTAATGAAAACTAGGGCAAGCAGGAAAGAATAGTTTTCGGCCCTTCGTTTTATATGTGGCCGGGATCAATTCCCGCAATCAATTAGCCAAAGCCTGCAAATTGTTGCACCCCCCCTTTAAATGCCAAGTCATTTCTTTGGGTGTAACGTTATAACAAATAACTTTTTACAGATTATTGCATTTTTCTAAGTTTGATGTGGTCCCGATCGCAATGCATGCATTTTAAACCGGATTACTCAAAGTGTATCGACCACCGGACATGCTTATTACGAAGAACGATCCGGCGAAAGTACGCTGTGTAAGCCAGCGCAACCTTTGGAAGAGTTGCGCATAAAGCCGTTAGCAGCGAAAGGTATATCGTCTTTCGCCTCTATAATAGACCGATCTCACCCAGTGTTCCGTGCACGAGTGACGCCGCCAGAACTTCAGTTCACCGAAGGAAAACAGCAGTGCACGAGAGGGCTCGTGCCGTCTGGTGCTGTACATGCCCGAGCTGCAGCGATGTTGTTGCACGTCCAGAAAGACTAAAGTTCCCTCGATGCATTGCGGCAGCGGTGGCGTAGTCAAACTGGCTGGTGAGATCGGTCTATTGCGCGAGGAGTGCGGAGCACGTGACTTGCCTACGGAGTCCCGACGCACTTGCCCGTTGCCCGGCGCCCTTCTCTTACGTGATTCCGATTTGTTGAGTTAAGGGAGCAAAGAAGGCGGGAGATCGCTTCTCGGGATCCTGGTGTGCGCAGAGGAATGAGGCAGCTTGTTGAGCGACAGTTCCGACGCTTTCCACGGTGCCCGTGGTGATGTCAGCCTCACCCGGTGTTTGGGGCAGTTGGAGGAGGCTTTTTTATGCCTGGGAAAAACGCCCGGCAAACTGATCTCCCGTCTTTTTTCATGTCTCGGTAAGCCTGGCTCATCGGCAAGGTTTGTGTCATTGAACATATATTTGTTATAAGCCTTCCACACCGTTCCGGTGCACTTTCAAGGTTACCGTTGCTCTTTTTATGGATCTCCTGTTCTTAACGAATTACTGCTTTTATCATTTTTTTTCCGTCCCGTTGACTTTGTTATAACTAGGAATTAAAGTACCTGTGCCCCGGCCAGACTCGCCAGCCTTCTCCAAGGAAATTGCAAAGGAGCTGGTACTCTCGTACAACCGCCTGTAAGAGAAACCTTCTCGAGATCTGTTCCCGGATGGAGACGCAGAACGCCAATGAGAGCTTTAATGCCTCGGTGGAAGAGGTGCCCCGAAGTGGAGCTGGCTTCCCTCGGGACAGTGGAGTGTTTAACGTGGCCCTCGCAGCCCTCGAGTTACACCCGGGGCCTAGAGACATCGCGGAAGTTCTGTCAGAAATGGGCGTCCAGCCAGGGAGCCACCAAGCGTCATATACAGAGAGGACAACCCATTGCAAAAGCCCAAGTGAAAGCTCTCGAGTCATTGGAGGTGTCCCAAGAGAAAAGAAACATGGAACCTGTGACCGAAGCACAGAAGGACCGTGCAGTTTAAGGACTAATTCATGTCCCACTTTAGATGAAATGGCAAGCATCATCTAAAGGAAAGCACTGGATGAACTTTTAAAATTTTTTGTTCATGTTTTAACTAGTGTTTATTGCTCTAAAACTGTCGTTTGATGACTAAAGTGCCTGCATACCTGCTGTGCGGATTTTCTGGAGTGAAACTTACTGGAGCTCTCGACTATGTGCTTACTTTTTCAAGATTGTTACTTGTTCAACGAGCGTGTCGCATTTTTTAAAAGAAAAAAAAAAGGAAGAAAAATGTTTTTTTAGGTACTTTTTTTTTTTTCACTAGTATATAAGACAATGAAAATTATTTTAAACCCACTATTCATTCGTCTAGTCACTCATCATTATATTCCAGAAAAAGAATTTGACATTTTAGTGCTATTTTTAGCACTGCAATAGGTTTTTTCCCTCTGCACTGCTAGTTGTATACCATATTTACTTGTATAATGAACGCACTCGCATAATGAACGCACCCTCCACAATGGGTACCAATATTTGGACTTCTTTTTTTCCCTCGCGTAAGCAACGCACCTCCAATTTTTGGCTCTGAGTCTCGAACTGCATCCAATTTAGCTAGCTACCGAGCCAATTTTCTTTTGCCACCAAGCGGTCAGGCCAAGTCAAACCAAGCCAAGCCGCTCTCAAAATGGCTGCAAGTGCGTAGCTGTGGAAGTGATAAATTGTGAAGCAGAATTAAATGTTGGGGAGGAAGCTCATCAAAAGCTTTAGAAAAATCAATAAAAATGGCACGCATTTGGTACAAAGACTAATTGATGTTTGACAATTGGCTGGCAAAGCATACGAATTCCTTTGGAAGGCATTTGCTGTGCCATTCTTGTTTTTTCACCAACAATAGGGACACAAAAAGTGGTTTGAGCTGTCCACAAATTAATTTTGGATCATTTCTTCTGAATTTGCGACTAAAACCGTTTTCTCCTATGTCGGTTTGTTTAGCTAAAGGAGGAAGAATGTTTCTTGGCGCTATATTAAGTGCCTGGTGGCAGGAGCCCAATGCCATCGTTCCTCTCTTCCTCAGCCCTGTGGGAGAAGTTCAAGCCTGCAGCCGGCTCCTGGAGTTGTTCGGAGTGCATGATCAGCAACGCCGGAACGGCCGTCAAATGCGCCGCCTGCGAGACTCCCCGCCCGGGGGCGCCACCCGCAGCCCCGACGACTGCCACGGCCACTGCCCCAGCATCTACTTTGGGACCTGCGGCCACAGAGGTTTGTGCACGATGGGATTTTGCTGTAATTGCAAATGCCGCGCGATTCCTTTGGCGCAATCGGTTTGTTACCGTTTTGAGACTTAATTTAGTACGGGGGTCTAATATTTTTGCTTTTTGTTTTAGTAATAGTAGCAAATTGCTCGCAATTGTGGTGCACGTGAAATGTGTGGAGTCTAGTCTACGTTCCTGGCACTCTTCGTCGATTAGTTTGGCAACTGTCTTAATGCGTCGCACGGACACTGAACGGCAGCTCTTGGATTGGAGATACAGTCAACTCTCATTAATTCAAACTCATAAATTCAAACTTGCGGATAATTCAAACTAACATACAGGTCCCATCCTATGCGTCTCTATGGGAGGAAACTCCCTTTAATTCAAACTTTGCTTTATTCATACAAATGTTTGGTCCCCCTCGAGTTTGAAATAACGAGATTAGACTCTACTGGTACTAATTTGGGTTTTAAAAAACTTGTGGGGGGGTGTCTCGTTGCTATCTGTCGGGCGCATAGCGGATGCCCCGTGGGGCTTTCCCGTCAAATAGCACCTTAACTCGTGGCGATGTGTCATGACATGTTGGAAAGACGCTCGCTTAAATAACGTAACTGGTCTGGGTTGGATTCCTGTCGAGCGCAAACGCTTCTTTTTTTACTGTGATTCTTCGCCGCCACTCAAAACCAACGTGTATCGAGCTTCACGGCCACGCTTTTATCCGGGTTTTACTTTTGGGCTTCACAAAATGCCGAACGCATAGCCAGAGAACATTTTATATTAAAACATAGAAATATGACTTCGTCCACTTTACGAATGCACACGAGGTAGAGGAAGAGGTGAGAGCGGGCGAGGACCGCCAGGGTAGCGAGCTCTCGTTGGAATTAGTTCGTAGACGCAAGGCTAGCTGCCTTTGGGAACTGTTCCATCCGGAGCTTGGTGTAACGTCCCCACACGCTTTTGTCTCCTCATCTCCCTCAATGTCCAGTCATATAAATTTTTGCAGCTTGAGTGAAACCGTCGTATGACGCGGCGGGCTAAAATAAGGTTTGTTTTGGCAAAATGAAGGGGGTCAAAATGGCCAATTTTATTTCTCCCGTTCCCCAGCCTTTGGTGGGTGAGGTTGAGAATCGAGCATGCAGCCTTGTTACCCGAGAGGCGTCTAGCGAGCGCACAAACGGTGATTGAGTGTGCAAGTGGCGAAAGGATAGGGAAAGAGCAGGTGCTTCGGATGCGAGGGAGGTGAACTTGGGTTTCCATTCTGGCGGGGGCGCTAGCTTTGATGGGTCTTCGTTACAGAGATGCTAGACGTGACGACGTTCACTCCGTCCAGGTCTAAAGTGCGTACCAAGTTTGCCCGATGCAGCGGCGTCGCGGTGTCAGCGCGCGATGCTTTGCGCGCAAGTGCCGCTTTTGCCACAACAGTGCGAGAAATGGGCAAACTTGCTTCTGGTGCATTTCCACGAGCCGTTTGCGCCTGGCCGATCGCACACACCCTTGTTGGGCATGAGGCTCCTTCCTCGCAGGCTTGGGAAGTCCCCATGTCCCTTCTCCCCGTGCAGGCCCCCTCCCAGGGCACCCCCAAGGGCTTTGGGGACCTGTTCCGGCCATCTGCCGCCACCTGGGAGTGCGACACGTGCATGGTGCGCAACGAGGCCAAGGCCCAACGCTGCTGCGCCTGCGAGACTCCCAGGGTGTCTTCGGCCCCGGGTAAGTGAGCGCGCCCCTTGGCTTCTTAATTGTCTCTTCAATTCTTTGGGTGCCCCCCTCCCAATAAAAAAAAAAAGTTGAATTATGTAACATAGAAGGCATGCGCAAGCGCAGTCGTGTGATCAATGAATAAATTTGGAGCAAACGAAGTTCCGAAAGTCCCCCAAGGACAACCAAACTTGGAAGCCCTAGGGTTTTGAGCCCGAAGCTCAACCACTTTGCCGAAAGGGAAACTGGTCAAGGGATAGTTACCATGTGCCGTTCGCCTTGACTCACAGTAAACCTTTGTTAACTCAAGGTCCTATAAACTAGAGAACAAATTTAAGATAATGAGGTAGCAAATTTTTATTGCACTGATTGAGCATTGTTTTAATGGAACCCTTCCAACAACTGCGCCAAGAAAAAAAAAGGAAAGCCTCCCCTCTTTCCTTCCATAAAAAAAGAATGAAAGGAAGAGACGAAGAGCGTAAGATAATGTTGAGCGTGAGGGAGAGAGAAAGGATGGCACCCAATGACTCGTGGGTCGTCGTGCTTAGCCCGTTGTTGGTGCGCATGTGTGCAGGTCCGACCGGCACGTTCAAGTTTGGCATCCCCACGTCTGCCACCCCCGCCACACCGGCGCAGACTTCGGCGCCGGCCACCTTCAAGTTCGGCAACCTGACCGCCACGTCGGCACCCACCCCTTTCAAGTTTGGCACGCAGGAGACCTCCACCTCCGCGGCCTCGCCGCCCGTGGCGCAGTTCAAGTTTGGGTCGGCCATGTTGGCCTGCAAGCCGCAGGGGCCACTTGGGCAGGACGCCACCTTCAAGCAGAAGGTCGAGGAACGCGCCGGCAAGCCCCCCGCCCCGGGCTCGGCCGAACCTCCCAAGACGGAACCCGCTGTCGTCTTCGGGGCGCCCAAGACCGAAAGCTCGGCGAGTCCGGCCGTCTTCTCGTTTGTCCCGAGCTCGTTTGCGCCGAAACGCAAAAATGAGGCGATTGCCGAGGCGCCGGAGATTAAAGCTTCGATGCCTTCGAGCGCGGTTTTTGGTGGTTCTGCAAAGACCGGGGGAACAGCGCGAGACAGCGGTCTCTTCGGGGCCCTCGCCAAGGCCTCCGTCGGGCTTCCGCCGGCGTCCACATTGTGCCCTGGCGGTGCGACTGCGCCCAAAGTTGCCGACTCCGTCGCGAGTGCGGGTGCGCCGACCGGAGGCGACTCTCAAAAGGTTGGCTTCTCTTTCGACAAGCTCGCCAAGAACTCTCCGACGGCGGCCACCTTCTCCTTCGGGATTCTCTCCAAGCCGACAGAGAGCGCCGCTCCACAAGGGAGCACAACCGTCGCGGAGACCAAGACGACTGCGACGTCCGCGGCACCCGCTTCGGTCGGAGGGTTCTCCTTTGGCGCCCCGCCGAAAACCTCGGAGGGCGGAGAACCTCCAAAGCCCGTAGGCGGTTTTTTGTTCGGAGCCACATCGGTCGCGAAGAGCGACGGTTTCGCGTTCAATGCCGCCACGCCCAAGCCCGCGTCAACCTTTTCTTTTGGAAACGCGGGGGCCGTGGCGGCGAGCGCGGCAGCGCCCAAGCCGGCACCCGCCTTCTCATTCGGCAACGCGGGGGCCCAGGCGGCGCCCGGGGACGCCCCGGGGGCCGCCCCCTCCACGCCCAAGTTCGTGTTCGGACAGAAGACTGACACCTCGCCGGGCACCTTTACGTTTGGGACAGCTTCCCTGGCGACGTCGCCGCCGGCGCCGGCGTCGTTTGGGTTTCCGTCTGCAGGCACGGCGGCACCGGCGACCCAGCCGCTGGCGGGCCAGGGCTCGTTTGGAGAGGCCAAGCCGAAGGCGTCGAGCGGCGGCTTCAAGTTCGGGACGTCCCAGGAGGGTGGCTCCACGTTTGCGGTGGAGGCGCCGCAGCCGGCCCAGAGCACCCCATTCTCCTTTGGCGCGACGCCGGCACCGGCCCCAGTCGGAGGTAAGTCGGGCGTGTTTGTGACGCGTGGTAAAAAAAATGTGCGGTGCAAACAGAAAGGAGCACGTTGCGTCGTGGGACGCTGCTATTTAATATGACGGTATGACTTCATGGTGTTGCGTGACATCATGTTCAATTGCATGACACAGTGTCCAGCAACGTTACGTATCACAATGTTGTGTGGCACTATGACATCGTGTGACATCACATTGTCGTGTAACACTATGACACCATCAGACACCATCATGCAACACGTTCTCGTGCAACGCTCTTAGGTGTCATGTCATGTGACCTAACGTCACATCATGTGGCTTATGTGTTGGGTTCCATGTATTTGGATAAACTTGAAAAACACTCTACGGTAATATTTTGTCAAGTTGGATTTATTAGAAAAACTCTCGAGTTTCAAGGCCACAGTGGCAAAATGAAAAGCAATAAAGATGGTATTTTACAAATAAATATTGTAGCACAGGATCAGTGGTCCTAGGGAGAGGCCAGTTTAGTTTTTGTTTGTTTCTTTTATTCTCAAAAATTGACAAGAAGATTTCTGTTGCTTTCGTCAAGGTATGTTCTGTGCAACTGGTTCGATGTACTTCCGGCTTGGAACAAAAGCTGCTGTCCTGGTTCCCGGTCTAGACCGTACTACGGTATAACCTCGTTACAACAGATCTGGTTACGGCAGCTTATAGCTTACCGATTTGTGAGGTTTGGTGGTTCTATCTCTGCCATGGAGCCAACTTCGCTTATTACAGATTTTGTTATAACATTCCATACTTTCGCTTGTATTAGACACCCCTGCATATAACTTGGACTCTCAACTTAATTCCATATTTACACGCATAATGAATGCACCCCTCACCACGCACATCTATACTTGTTTTCACCTCAAGAACCACAGTAAAAAAAGTGTGGCTTCTCACGGAGCATTACTAATTTCCCTCTTTATGCTGAGAATTGAGATATATGTACAGTAATACCTCATTATAACAAAATGGGATATAACAAACTAATGGATCTAACCAAGCAATCATAATTCCCCTAGCTTGCTAATAGTGGGAAGAAATGGACATTGGCTATAACAAACTAATGGGTATAACGAAATAATTACGACTGCTCCTTTAACTTTGTTATAACGAGGTTTTACTGTAGGTGCATTTTAGATTAGATATAAGTTACATTATTAAGACGTACATGTTTCAAACGCCAAGAACGTAGCTTCTGCCTCCGACAACCAAATATTGTAAGAACTACTTCACGCGGCGTAGGAACAAGGGAGCAAAACTTTTTTCTTAAGGTGAAAACGGGTATATATTGCCACGCGCGCAGCTGGCCAAGTAGGCAGCGCGCGCGAGGCCTAACGGTTTATCGCGCCTGCCTCCCACGCGAAAAGCCAGGGTTCGATTCCTGGGGGCGATGCATCTTTTGTTATTCCTGGAATTTAGTTTTCTGGTAAATTCGAGAACCCTGTTGCTTGTTCGAGGTCCGAATGTTCTATGCGTCGAACATTCTACGCCGACCATTCCAGAAGCTCGCTCGTGTACATAAGGGGCTTCGCACAGCGAGCCAGAGTCAGTTTCGCCCCAGCGTTCGACTCTGCTGTTGCGCCGACTTCGACGCCCGCGACGCTCTCTTATTATCTTTTGTACCCGTTTATTTTTGGCACAAGTTCGTCACATTAAACGTTTATTCCTTTCTGTTTATTTATTGTTCTTTTGGTCACCACCCGTGACAATATGTAGACTTGTTTTTTTTTCTTGTGTAATGAACACACTTTAAATTTTCATCTCCGCGAGTCTTGAACTGTGTCCATCTTGGCTACCCGCCAATTTTCTTTTGCTGCCAAGCGGTTAGGCCAAGCCAAGCCGCCGTCATAATGGCTGGAATTGCATGGTTGTGCAAGTGATCAACCGTGAAACCAAATAGCGCTCACACCTAGCAAAGCTGCGGTCGAAGAATTGCCCACCTCCGGACATGCTTCGTCCGTCGGTCATTGATGTCAACAAACACGCCGGCTTCTGTGATCTGCTTTCGGACAGTGATATCGTGAAAGTAATTAGGCCTAAGAACAGTCGCGTCGCTCTTTGTGCTGATTGAGCTTCGTAGGGCGATTTTTCTTCGGCTAAAGGCACGCCGGCAGGGCCTTTAAAAGTTTAGCAATTTAGAGAGCACGGTTACTGTGGCATGCCCACGACCAGCCATGGGTGCATCTCTCCCGGTGGAGACGTGCCACAGTACCCTGCCATGTCACATTGGCACCTAAGACAACATTTGTGTGTAAAGGCAAAAATTTTGCCCCGCTTAATGAACGCACCCTCCAAATATGTGTCAATTTTTCGGGGGAAAAAAAAAAAAAGTGTGTAAAAAAAGGCAAGAAACTGGTGCCGTAAAATGCCGGGCAAGTGCCCTCCCAAAATTTAGAGATAATTCGCCTAGAAATAGAGGGTGCCCCTACTCGTATCAGGCCCGAAATTTAGGGTGGTGGCCTCAAAATGGCGGCCAGTAAGAGTGAAAAAAAGAAAGCATTATAGCCTGCATTATTGAAAATAATTATTTAGGGACACTCCAATCAATATTCATTTCGGGAAACGAAAATTCTGGTATTCACCTCAGTCGCTATCAAAGCCACAAAATGGTTCCTCAGAGTTGGACCTAATAATGAGGTCTAGGCCCTCGGTCCGCAGCTCGTCAAAGTTCTCGGGGACAACGGCACCGATGTCAGACAGCAGTTCATGTAGATCGCCCTCCTCGCCGCACGTCCCTTTTGCGCTCTGAGAACTGGTACAAAATGTCGTCAACTTCGCTGAAGATATGGGGACCATTGCTCAATAATTTGCATCGTACCTTCGGCTTCTCGAAGTTGTGTTGCAGCAAAACATCTTACTTTGTGTCCCTCTCGCGTACCCTCTTACAGTCCAACTTGAAATGGCGAGAGGTCAGGTAGACGTTTTTGCCATTCTTTCGAGGTCAATCCTCAACTTTGAGTATCTTTTGCACCGTATACGGATGCTTGGCAAACAAAGACAACTGCTCCCAATGCAGGCACTAAGGAAATGGCGGCGATGGCTGGTGGTGCGTTCTAGCAACTTCTCGGATTGGATTCAACATTGGCAGTGATGGAAGTGCTGCGCCTATTGCCCCAAGGACGCAATCCTGCTACATGTAGCGCCAAATTGTCATTTTACCAAAGAATTGCGCCATGCCTGCGCCGAGATGAGATGTAGCATTAAAAAATCAAAATTGAAGTCTTATCAGAGCGCATAGCGGTACCGCGGTATTTTCCGCGCCGCAACTGTTACGCGAACCGAAACTGCGAGGGCGCATTATCATCATCATCATCATTGAAAGGAACAACGTTGGCAACATCTGAGATCAAAGCCGCAGAGGCTAAGCGAAAAACCATCCCACTGAGCAGCCTATTTAAAAAAGAAAAAGGCTGAGCTTGTGGATGTTTTCAATGTTGGCCCGCCTTGTTCCCGTGTGCTAGCTACCAGCGAAGTCGAAGCTAGCGCGAGCCCAATGCTCTGTGCGTTCCTCACTCGCGCATGGACTCGTGCAGTGTAGGCACCGTTGCGGGCTCCATGCGCGCTCTTCTGGCTTCGGCTGCGCTCGCACCGAAGCTGAAATGAAGTATAGTTGGGTTGCACCAAACTCTGGATGTAGTGCTGGTAAAGCCTCCCTTTTTGGAGCACAAAGCACCGCGCCTTGCGCGACTGCAGTGTCTGCTCCGCGGGTGTCGCTTATCTGCAGTGTGTCGCTGCATGCCAAGGAGCGCACTCAACGGGTTAACTCGCCGTGATCCGATCGTGACTTCGGCAGCACATTGAAAATGAATTGGAATTTTTGAAGCGAATATCAGATACCGCAATATTTGAGGCTGCTGCCCGAAAGACAACTCTAATTTGAACTAAAACATTCCACAAAAGTGAGGGTCGTTAGATGCTGCTGCAGATACCTTAAGGGGGGACATGGCCTGGGAGGGTCAACTTTTGAACCATTGTCTCAAAGTGATTCAAACTTTCAGGGTGAATTGAACCCCACTAGGATTGGTGACATCTAAAGTTTCAGTCTTATAGGCCAATTCTACAACATACTATGCTTAACAAGCTTCAGAAAAAAGTTACTTTATTAGGAAATGTATTTTAGAAAAATAATAATTGCAATCCAAAAAATTTTTGGTTTAATGTGAAGTAGAATACCCACAGTGCAAGTTAAGGTAAAAATTAATTGTAGAAAGTGCAATTCTAGAGAAAAACAATAACACCCAAGAAGAGCAAACGATTTTAACAAATTTCTGAGTTTTAAAATATTCAGTTTTTGTCATTAAGAATTTAGCTTTTTCAGATTATGAGTACCTTAACTTGTTCCTCAGGAAATTTTAGTCAAGGACACCACTGAATGAAATCTTTGCACTTTCAAAATGTCCAATGATACATTTCCTCGTACCACATTTCCTGCCAAAAAGTGAAACTGAGAAAAATGCATTCGAAGTTTCAACTTTAGGTTCTTTCTTTTCTGTGAGTCCGAGGTAGGCAAAATTCACCTGGTGCGTTGTTAGCACCTTCCTCTTCGAGACTTCCCTGTTCCCCTGGCAATAGTTACCAGTTTGTGTCATTTGTAGGCTAGCTAACGTTTGTAGCAGGCATTTGTTGACAAATAAACTGGCAAGAACTAAGAGGCAAATCATACTAAGGAAGAGCAGCAAAGCAGGAATAGGGTCTGAAGTGGAAGATACTGTGAAAGGGTGTTACTGAAGATGACACAATATCATGTCACCGGGCCACAATATCATGTCACCGGGTGAAAGGGTTTACGAGTGGCATGTCATGCCACTCGTAAACCCTGTTTCGGGTCTCAACCAATAAGATTGCTCATACCAAATTTTCAGAATTTTTTCTGTTTGGATGTATTGGGTCCTCCTAGCCATTGATACTTGTAAACTTGGAAAGCTTCTACGGGCTAAATCTAGAGTAAATGGCACTTCCAATGAGGGTGAGATGTTGTGGCTAGGTTAAACGAGTATGAAGCAGTGCTCAATAAAAAACGCAAAAAGCTTGCTCCCTGCCGACATGTCAAAAATAATTTATTCTGAGATAAATCCTGCGTGTTTATAAATGAAAGTTTCTGAAACCATTCTTTGGAAGTTAATAAGCATAAACATATCATTTTTGAAAAAAACATTTTTCTCTGAAAATTTTGATTTCCGAGGCCATGTCCCCCCTTAAAAGAAGTGCAGGCTGATAAAACTAAATATCCTGTACCATCAGAACTCAGTGTGACATATTTAATTGTATTTTTTTTTATCTGAGGAGCAAATAAACTATTATTAAAAATGTTTTTTTTTTGTGTTTACTTTGTTGAATTTTCTATATCCTTTCTTAAAAGGCGACAGGCGCTGTGTTCCGATAATAGAGATGGGCTATATATAGCAATGCGGCATCATTTCACTTTCAAGTAATATGCCAACATATGCCGGACCCTGCTCCTAAAGAACATTTTGCCTGCTACAAGGCGTGCTCCAAAAGGTCAAATGGCACTTCCATCACTGCATTGGCTTTGTACACTGCGACAGCCGAAAAGCCCGAAACAAAGCTAAAAAAATGCCTTCGGGACGGGTGGCAGCGGGGGGGGGCTCGGTCGTGTACAGAAAGGGGAAATTTCCGGAAGATGTGGGGAAGGCGCTGAGGGCGTGTGCTCGGTATTTTACGGTTGTTGATGTTCCATTTGTGAACACGTTCCCTGTCCAACTCAAAGTGCTTCACAGTTTTGGTGGCATTGTCTTCATTCTTTTTGTGCCACCGTACAACTTGCACCTTTCTCTGAATCGTGTCGCTATTCCTTGTGGTCCACGCTAGAAATAAGCACGGTCGAACAGTTGCGTAGCAGGCAGATGAAGGAGTGTACTGCTGTAGTTTATTCGCTTGGACTGTTTGTCTCTTTTCTTAGCACCCACACATTTACTTTGCCCTTACCTTTCCAATCAAACCAAGCAAGTATGGTATCTTCTCTTTTGTTCCAAGTCGAGTCCTCTTGAAGGTGTCGAAAATGACGCAATTTCTGGGGGTGGGCGATGTTTAGTGGTTCTATTAAAATAAATATTTTGCTCCGAAAGGTGGGTGAGCGATACTCTGGGTGGGGGCGTTCTCTCAAAACTCTACAGCGCAAGAATTGTTTCCAGGTGGCTTCTCCTTTGGGGCGTCCCAGCCGGCTGCTAGCCAGCCCGCCGCCCCGGCCTTCTCCTTCAACGCGGGCGTGCCCACGCCCGCGGCCCCCCGTCTGGACTTTGCCCAGCCCTCTGCGTCTCCCTTTGGGGCGGCCCCCCCGGCGGCTCCTGCGTTTGCCTTCGGGGGCCCCATGGCGGCGCCCGCCGCGCCCCAGGCGGCTAGCTTCCAGTTCGGAGCCTCGGCCCCCAACCAGGGAGGAGTCTTCCGCTTCGGGGCACCCTCTCAGGCGAGTGGCGCCCTTTCCCCTCCATCCGGGAAAGTGATGACATGCTTAGGAGACCATCACTTGCATGCGTGAAGAACTGATGGCAGTGGCTGTTATTGCGCGTAGTAACATCCACTCTGGTGCATTCTTTGTTTACCCAATCGAACCCGGCAGTCTTGTGATTGCTGGAGGACGTAAGAAAGGGATTACACTGTGCGCACAAGTCGATGTCCCTGTTCAAGACTAAATCGAGACAAGCAGTACCGAGTAGTACGGTATTCAATATTTGCTTAGACGTGAACTGCAAATTTTATATTTTTCAAAGTTTTGATCGCGGCAGGTTGGTTTCACTGAGCGTGCTTCTTTTGCCCGAGTCCCGCTAGAGCGACAAGCAGAAGCAACCGACATCGACGAGCCTCAAACACGTGCGGCACGCACACAGTGGTGCCTTTGTCAGACTCGCAGCCTCCCAGCGCTCGCGAAGCAAGCACGAGAGACTCAGTCTGTCGAAGATACCTTGGCGTGCATGCCGCACATGTTGTAGGCTTGTAGGTTGTTTTTGTTTGCAGCCATGGTGGAACCTGGGCATTACCGAGGACCGATGCACTGCGGAGAGGCAACACTCGCAGAGGCCGCCTCCCTGGGTGTCTCTTCTTCGCAGTGCACTGGCGTTCGGTAAGACGAGCACTAAACGGGTCTAAAACGCCGCGACCGAGCGAAAGGTACAAATATTGCAGCCGCGTGTTCGGGAGGAAAGCCCACTTTCAAAGTGGCCCATCCAGAGCTGTATGTGGGGAGAGTTTGGCTACTTTACAATCTTGCCGCCGTAATGCCCCCTCTTGAGCGAGCCAGTCGGCCTGCGGCGCAGAGTGAGAGGCGCGAGCACATGTGCATGAACTCCCGGCATTGGCAGCCAAGAGCTGTGACAACGGGGGTACATTGGTATTAGCTTTTTTTTTTTTTCTGGGAGCATTGACTGCCAGGCTTGCGACGGCGAGGCGTGCCAGATACCGTGCCATATTTGGTTGCCACATCGGGACCGTATGTGGGACAATAAAGTGCCGATCAAGCGCACCTTGGGCACTCTACCCCGACATTACTGGGCTTCCTCCGCAGCACCGCTGAGCCCGTGCACTTGCCCGTCCACAGGGTGCCCCGGAGAGCGGGACGCAGCCCCAGCCAGGCGGCTTCAACTTCTCGGCGGCGCAGCCGGCCGCCCTGGGCGCCTTTGGCCAGCAGCAGCAACCGGGAGCCAATCCGAGCCAGGGAGGGTTCGGCTTCAACGCTGCCGCCCCCGCCAACCTGCCGGGATTCGCATTCCCGTGAGTATGCCTCGCCGAGGTCGCCTCGCGAGGCGGCACGAGCTTTGCATCGGAGTGACGACACTTGGCTCGTCTCGTTGCTTAAATTCGTTGTTGCCAGTTGTCTGTCTGAGGCTTAGTCTGAAACGGTCGAGACGGCAACGGAGCAAAACGGTATCGCCCAAGCTTCCCGACACCGCAGCTGAAAATCAGGAAGGCTCATTTACAAATCGTAACAGCGCTGTATGGCGGTCTGTCCTTGAACTACAAATGGAGGGCTGCCAAACGAGACTCCCCTCATCAAAAAACACATTGACATTGTGCCATTGTATCGATTTTCATTGCTTTTTATGCCCCATGCCACTAATACCCAGAAAAAGAATCGTCAAAAAAGTTAAAATACGCAGAGAGATAGGCGCTGACTGGTGGTCGTGCGGGATGGTGCCCTGCGTACATGGAGACAGCGGGAAGCAAGGCCAGGGGAGAGGCTGTTGTGCACATGCGCAGAAGCTTACTGGAAAAACTGTAGAGCCCTTTACATGAGGATGGAGGACCAGCGGAGCTGTTATGTTTGCGACGTCTAGGACGATGCCTAAAGGACGACGTCTAGGACAATGCCTAAAGGACGACGTCTAGGACGATGCCTAAAGGACGTCTAGGACAGCCTCAAGGACGACTTCTAGGACGACGCCTAGAGAAATTTAGCTCATAGATGGCGGCAACCTTTCCAGCTTTAAAGGAGCTTTGCAAAAACTTCAGGGCTTTGCTTAAATTATTGTGGAAGTTGATGCCTGGCACTTCTGAAGTGAACTACAAAAAACAGATTTTTGCCTGGATACCCTAGCTTTTATTTAAAAAAATCCAGGTTTTTGCCGCCTCTCAACTCGTACGTCGTCTTCCGAGTCACGTGCGCAGCGACGTTGAGGGGGTAGGCGCGGGGATTCGGAAAACTTCTCTCTTTAGAGCCATCAGTGAGCAGCGAGAACTCATCCGCCGCGACCGCGTGACCACGTGCTGGCGGGCGCCGCGCGAACAATATGGTGAAAGGAGGAAAGTCTCATCCGGGTCCGGCCATACCTGTCCGGCCCTGTTCGCGGTAGCAGAGAGAGCTGACGGTTTTGTGGACCTAGGATAGATGGCGCCACTAGAACTCCGTATAATAAAAGTTTTGTCGACGATACCGGGTTTTTGACGTTTTTATGTATATGTTGGAACGACAACATTTATAGAAAAGTTACCTTTTATCGAGCAGGTATTCGCACAACTTGCTATCTTTCTACAAAATTCCCCATTGATGTCACGCCGCATGTTCCTCATGGCCGCCGCTCGCGGCTGCAGGTCGGGGAATATTCAAAGTTTTGTCTTGCTATTACACGGCGGAATCGCAACATTTCGATGAAAGGAGGTGTGTTTTCTGTCATTTGTGACAAGATGAACAATATCAAAAGCAGGAGATGCCAATTCTTCCAACGTTAAAATCGTTGCACAGCTCCTTTAACATTCTTTTGACAAACATCTTTGAGACTCCATCCAGGCCTGGTAGCTTTCTGCGTCCTCCTTTGGGCCCAGGTTGCATCCGTGACAGTACTTGCTGTGATTGGAGAAGTCAAGCATTACCGGTTCTCACTTCAATGACTGCGCGAACCCCGAAGTTCGACGTGTGGCCGCGCTTCTGCCAGGTACCATCGTAGCTGATGCAGACGTCAAGCAAGTCATCTGCATTGTTGACATGGCCTTCTCCATCCTTGAACACCTGAGCTTCTTTCACTGCGGTCGCTGCCTCCTGCATCACATTGCACGGACGCGACGTGACGGACACTTGGAGCACCTTCTCTGCAGTCTTCTCATAGGTTTGGAGATGGAGCGTTCAGGCCCCCGAAAACATTCTTCAGCTTTGTGAAGCTGATGCCGCAGTCCTTTCCCACGACACAAAGTTGCGCGGGAAGCTTGCTCTGCCGAGTCTCTCCGACAGCCACCGACTTTGGCGTCGTCACAATGTCCCAGCAAGTTCTGCACACGACGACAAACTGAAGATTGGCTCCCATGCCACTTTCCTTCGAGTCCAGTCCATTTCCACAGCAGTTCGGACACAGCAAGGCGCTCGTCTTCACAGCATACACATCCACAAAACGATACCCGTCGAGCGCTGCGTTGCGAACGTCCTCAGCTGGTTTTGGCAAGTCGGCAGGTTGGTCCAAAAGCGTGATGTTCCGCTCGAAGGTCGTCTACTCGTCTGCTTCCTTTGATGCTGAACCCCTTTCGGGATGCGGTGTAGAAGAAAAGGCCTTCAGAGACGGTGATGGGCGCAACGGTCCGGGCGGCGTCGTCGACGGGGCCACGTCAGGAGCTTTAGGACGTCGGCCAACCACAGATGCCTCTCGATTTCATGAATCGAGAATGCTTACTGAAGCTTCCGTGCACATCGGCTTTGCTCGGCGACATTTTCGGAACTAAAAAAGATGAGAAAAATTGACGCTAAACAGCGAGATGTAGCAGATCTGATGATAAAACACTGTCTGAAGGGTGACCGCCGCGAAAGGTCACGTGATAGCTAAGAACCAATCATGACCCCAGTTTCGGTTTTCCGACCAAAGACGAGTTTGTAAAATTCCCTATTATTCCTGTGGAACAAGTTTTTGCGGCGAAGTTCTTGCCGCACACACATACCCTCAACTTGTGTTCACTATTTTACTAAAAGGTCAGAGAAACGACCTTTCCAACGAGCGTACTAATGCCACGCTAGGCATTGTGGGCATGGCACCGTACCGTACCGAAAATAAAAAAAAAAAAACTTTGTTAATTTTTGTACATCTGAAAAATTCGTTATTCTGTTCCGAGTAACGAGATTTGACTGTATAATGATTCATTATCTCGATTGGCACGCGTCCGTAGTACCGCAAGCCCCGTGCGAGGTTTGACACCTTAGGAAAAGTTGTGAACTGCTTTGGTCGTGACCAAACATCCCTATGAATTCGCAAGTTGGACCGGGCCTCCTTCAGTGGACAAGTAGTATTTATTCACTTGACAGCCAACTTCTCAAAAATACATCTGTTATCTCTCTTCTTTTGTCGTATTGCTTATTTACTAATAGTATTGGCATCCGTTGTGCCACGGCTGCCCTTACAACGAGGTGAAGGCCTATTGGCGATTTCATGAGGGTGAAGAATGTGCCATAAGGTTACGTTGATCCAATATATGGTGGCGACTTATTCGAGTTACGTGTGGCTCCGGGGAATGAGACAAGTCGCCGAAAGCACTCCCTTCATCGAGAGGTTCCTCTCTGAAAGAAGAGCGAGTGTTTGGGGAAGCTGGTGAACACTTACCATAACTTAACCCGAGACACGGAAAGAGGAACAAGACGCCTAAAAACAAGGACTGAGATGCGTTGCCTCTTTTTCGCACGTCTCCTTCCTCCTTCCGTGTCTCAGGCTAAGGGGAGATGTGAATCGAAAAACGGCAATATTTTTGCAAAAAAATGTAAATTTGGGTTTTATGGCGTTCCATTATTTAAATCTTTACATTTGATGTATAAAAAAAAAATGCTGCCGGTTATGATTGCAAAATTAGTCAAATACACATTTGAAGACCTCCAGGCAACCGAGAACAGCATGAATTTGAGCCATTTTTCTCTGTGTGGTTCTACGAGTTGTGACGTCGCTCGCCATCGCATTTACGTTGACAAGCAGGCCTAGACGTCTCCTCTCCGTTGCAGTCTTCTGTAGCTTCAATTTCTCAGGGAAATATATAAACAAAATATGTTTTGCCGCACAGCGAAAGAGCATAGCCACAATTCTATGGTAACATTCAAACACATTTTTCTTTTTATGTAATCTGGGCAATCTTCAGTTTGTGTGCACGAATATGTTCTTAATATTGTCCTATCACAATCAGATTTGTCATGCATATACTTTAGAATATGTAGAATGCAAATGCCTAGGTTTGGTTAAAATTCAAATTTTTTATGCAGTAAAACCTCGTTAATTCGGATCTCATGGGACCGGCAGAAATGTCCGAATTGTCCGAAAGTCGAAATATAGAAAGGACAAAGAAAACAGTGCGAAAACATTTCCCTGTGACATACCTTTATTTTGAGAAGAAATCTGTTATTGCCACCTGCTTTCTGGACGACATTTGGGCGGAGACGGCAACTTTCCTTTGTGCGGTCGAGTGCTCCACCGCACTCGCACTGTCAAAGCTACGCATCCCGTGCACTGACAATTTAGCACAGCAACGCCTCATCTAGTTTCGGGTAAACCACCTTCCGCAGCCGCCTTCTTTTCACGTTGAACTCCTCGCTTTGGAAAGCCTGTAGGATCACGGCCTTAATTTTCACATACGTGACCAAAGTGCTTCTCTTGACGTCGTAGCCTTCCATCGCTTGTCGAGAGACGCCGTCCTTCAAGGCCCTCAGTATTTCCACTTTCGTCGCTAAATTTATGGCCTGGTATAGCTGCAACGGAAAACGAGTAGCACAACTGACCGATGATCTGAGCGGCAAAATCGCGACACCCGGCGCTATTTTGCCGGAGTGCACCGATAGCGAGAGTGCCAGTCACGTCGCATGTTTCAACGCGGAGGTGGCGGGCGAAGCGTTGAGGGATAAGATAGCTGTTAAAATGGCGGGCTTTAGGATCCCCGCGTTGAGGCATGAACGTGACTGTCACTCTCGCTATCGGCGCGCTCGGGAACAATAGCACCGCGTGTCACGATTTGGCCGCTTCGGTCGTCGGTCACTTGTGCTACTCTTTTTCTGGAGCTATGCGTCTGCCGTTTTCATGCCAGGAGAGTAGTTCACTAATGCACGGCAATCCAGAGCAAAACTGGTGCGAAACGGAAGAGCGAAGAACCATGGGAAAACCATAAAAACCACGTATGCACCTCGGATGGATGGCGGCCATACCTTTTGGAACGGGTGGTCGCTTGCGCCACCTGCTGAATTCGTCCGAATGAACCGTAGCGCGCCACGTTCCCTCCGAATTAATGAACGTCGTTTTGTGCCATTGACTAATACACACGTTTGACGGGACCGGATCGGCAGTACAAATTATCCGAATTTCCGAATTAGCGGGGGTTGAATTAACGAGGGGTAGCACGAGTTTTTCTTAAAGAAGATTGTAAATAATAAAATATTTCCATTGCTACATGTTCCCTTAGAGAGGGGTGCTGCAGCGTTTTCTTCACGGTCGTCAATTTGCCTGAAAATTTGCTAAACACACCAACAATCGTTGCAGAAATATCCCAATTATTAGCGGAAAAGGTTGTTTTTTTTTTTTGCGAGTTATTAATTTACATTTTTCGTCCTCGTCATGTTTTTCAAACAGAGTCTCTACTGGCAAAAATGAAGACGTGACGCCATGGCGGGCAGGGGCTTATTCTTTGGATTGTAGAATTTGTTTCCAACTTATTACAGGCAGTTTCATGCAGTCAAACAAATGCTTTGGAAGTTCGGTGCAGCAACCTGTGCAGCAGCACAAAATAGATGCTCGGCATACTCAATTTTTTTTCCTCCTGCTCGACTGACTAGCCTGCCGCCACCAACGTCGTGGCACTGAAAAGTGCGGGTGTATTTGAACATTGTGTTTTGGCGTCCTTTCCTTTCGCCGATTTCACAATATCTATTCTGAATTCCGCGATGCTAACTAGCATATTGAAAAGGGTAAAGGCCGACGACTCTGAAACTTTGCATGGTTATTTGGGTTGCTCGAAAAATTGCAGAATCGTCGTTGTCGATATTCTATGGCATCGGTTGTTGACGTTGCCTAATCCTTGAAAAAGATTGCCCCCGCCTGCGGGAATCAAACCTGGGTTTGCCGAGTGTGGAGCCACTGATTGACGCCACAGTGTTGACAAGTCGCATGCCCACTGCCCACGCTCTGGAATAAAAAAATGGCCGATAACAAAATGCCATCGTAGCAATGTCACTGCCAAAAGCTTGTGCCGGGAGGCACACTTTCACGCATTCGGGAGCAAAAAACGAACAAAAATTGCAGTGACTTAGCTCGGCTATGCCGGATATACGCAGCGTGAGCTTATGCGCACAAAATGAGAGGCACTATCAAGCGGCTTCGGTGCAGCGTCAGACTTGGCTACTGCGCCACGGAGGCGCACAGCTGGGCACGCGGCGGTGCCAGTGCGTCTGCCACGGCTATGATGTCACTCCTCTGGAATGCGCAGACCGGCGCGGCAGCGGCTTCGTGTGGCTCTCATACTGAGCCGTGCTCATTATGTGAGCCACGCTCATTATGCATAGCGTGCGTCGCCATGCGCTCCGCATAATGAGCACGGCTCATTATGAGAGGCACGCGAAACTGCTCATCTTCAGCCAGTTTAGCTAACGCTACAAAAGCGTTTGGAACAATATGGTCAGATGTCCATTTTGCTGATTGCCTTTGCTTACGCATCCCACGGCGCATGAACGCGACGCCGATGTCCAATGACGTTTCCCTGACGTAGCTATTGCTGTGACTGTAGTGTGGCTTAAGGGGGGACACTACCCAAGAGGGTTAACTTTTAAACCTATGGCTTAATATGAATGAAATTTAGAGTATATACTGGAAGTTGCGAGTCAGAATGCAGTGCAACGTTTCATCAGTGTACATGAGCTGTAAAATAACTTGTAGTCATTTTTATCAGGAACACACCGACTTTGTTTAGGAAAACTATTGTTAGGAAACTAATGTAATACCCAACATTTTCCTACTTTAGATCTGCAGCAGAATGCCTGGAGAGCGCAGCTGTGAAAAGAAACTTTCCAAAAAGTAATTTACTTTATGCTAGCATCACAGTGAAAAATGAAATAATTTTTTTTACCTTTTATGTCATCCACAAAATCTTAACATCTTTTATAAAAGACATCCACAATGTCAAAAAACAATTCCATAGTTGCACTGCCCATAAAATTCCACTTAGGAAAAACAATAAGTGAGTCTTTCCTCTTGTCCCATTAACAAACGATAGTTTTCCTAAAATGAAATTTATGCCAAAATGTGGAACGGAGAAAAATGTGTTCAAAGTGCTCCAACCTCTACCTTTTCTTTAGCTTCAATGGACCGAAAATTATTTATAAAAAATTAACTATGCTGTGTAAACTAATGAAACTTTCTGGAAATACTCTCCAGGTGCTGGTGGATGTAAATATGACATTTCTCAAAATCAACTTTTTTTGCAGAATTTTTTTTTGGGTAGTGTCCCCCCTTAATGCGGGACTGCTCAGTTTTTCGCTCGATGACTGCTCTTTGGCTCCGGTGACTGCTCAGAGTTCACTGGCAGCCCACCTCGCTGACTCGGCATATTCCCTTCATTGCAGGCCCGGGGCAGACAATCCATTCAGCGCCACGGGCACCGGAGGAACGACGCAGGCTCGCCGGATACGCAAGGCCATTCGCCGCAAGCCCAACCAGCCCCGATAGGGTAGCCCTCGCGACCAGTTTCAGAGAGCATAGGCAAAATCACCGAGCGTTTGTTTTCGTGCGCCATTCTTGAACCCATCTGCCCTGCTTGGTTACGTGTCAATGAGCAGATTGTGTTTTTTTTTTTTTTTTAAATGCATTAGTTTTGTAAAAATAATGTCCTCCGCGAGGTGGTCTTTGCAAAACGGCGGCAGAGGTGGCAGACGCACAGACGAAAACGACACCGAGTTCCGCAGTGCTGCGCCCCTCGCGCGCAATTGTTTTAGTTGTTCTACACAGAATGTTGCCAAATGAAACGAGTATGACTACGGTACACTGGCTGGATTTGAACTTTTTGAAATTCTAGCAACGGAGACTGGAAACCAGCCGTGCTGCACATGCAGCCTGTACATTTTGTATAAAGCCTGGGCGGTGCGAATGCTTTTTCTAGCAAGTGATAAAGGGGCACAGGGAAACTCATCTTAGAAATCCAGCCATTGTACAAAGTGCTCACACAGTTTTTCCCTCTTGACGCGCATTGTAAAGTTATCTTTGACGTAGCTTTTATTTTTCTTTAATCCATTTTGTACGGCGGAAAATGATGAATTGTTTGGTGCCAGTTTGTTCAATAAACGATTTAATGCTGCAACATAGAAAAACAAGAACATCCTCTCTCTCACTGGGGGAATCTCACTGGGATGAAGGAGGACAATTGGCCGACGGGGAGCTAGGAGGCCTTGGGCTTCTCGTAGATGCGCTGCAACAGCGCCCTCAAGATGCTGCCAGGGACCTCTTGGTGCGTGGCAATCAGGGCCTCCACAGCAGACGCAGTCTGGGGGAGAAGGGAATGCCACGTGAGCACCAAATACTGCCCATTCATGGGGACTGCAAACCTTCTTGGAGTTGACAGGAATGCCCGCCAACACGGAACGGGTCATCTGCTATCGGCGGAATACCCATTAGCGACAAATAATCTCGATACCAGGAACTTAAATGTGGCTCTGGACTCGGTGTCTGCTTTTTTGCGCTCCGTTGCGTTTCCACAGCTCTGCACTGCTCCAAGAGCGTGCATTAGCATGCGCGGTCGTGCGAAGGAGATTCCAAGCAGTCGTTCGTGCAAGCAGCTTTGATAGCGTTTGAGCAATGCGGAAACTATGTGAGCCTCGACATATCATAAAAACGTTGAGCATAGTTCAACTGAGAATCTTTGCCACATCAATCATCACAACACGACTGCATGCAGTATGCTGCCAAAGAAATGCAAGGACTAGCTTAGTCAAAAGGTGGACTGCACAATGCTGTTAGCACGAACACGACATCGGCATTTCTTTTGCATTTTACTACTGCTTAGGTTAATGACCCAATTGAGCCGCTTCCTAAGTACCTTTGAGATTATAGTTAAATTTAAAAAAAAATACTCAAAAAGAATATTGCATGTTTGCACTCAGTGTCATGCTGCGTACATAGTGGCCGAAAAAACATAACGGGGCGTTATCTTTTTTTTTTAGGCTTTACGGATTTATTTTTAACAAAAGCCACGGAAGTTACACTAATCCAGCCTCTGTAGGTAATTGGTTCGATAAGTCTGACAACTTAAAATTGTTCAATAACTTTTCAATTAGTGGAAATAAACATGGTTCCAATTAGAAACTTGCGGAGCTTCGTCGAAAACCACCAAATCGCTACATTTGATAAAGGTTTGGAGCGCGTGGTTGTGCACTGAAGTTACCGTGAGGCTAGGGGTATTAAAACAAGGATGAACACCACCACACACAAGTTTTTGCTCTATAGCGCGCACCATAGTTTCATTTTGCGATGCAGGATAGATATATTTGTACGCCGTTAAGTCCCAACTTCTAATACATTGTTTTTATTAGGAGTTTGCCTGCCTGCACCAAATTGCCCTAAAATGTGGGACATTGTATAACGGGTTTCACCATACTTATAAAGCATTCAGAGAAAGTAGGGATTGTGTATTTTGGTAGCATTTGTGCCCCATAGTTCATGGGCGTGGCCCTCAACCATCAGCGCCATGGGTAGGGTAAGTATCCCAGGCACGTCCGAGCGGAACTCGCTTAAATAATACTTTTGAACCTTACAGAACAACATTCTTGTTTAGAGCTTTTATATTTCTTAGAGATTAATCAATCTGCTAAAGAAAATTATTCCACTTGACAAGCTAAAGAGAGGAGGAGGTTTCCCTCTCTCATCCAGCGTTCCGTCTGCTTCCTCCTCCCCGGCCTCCCTTTCCCTCACCCTACCTACCTTCTTAAATTGTAACGGACTATAATGGCGTAACTATTTGATTAATATTCGTTCGGTGTCTGACGGTGCTACCGGCGGCATGCGCCTACTCTTCAGTAGGAAAAATTGTGAGACTGGTAATGAATTGTCGCGCGTTTATCCAGCAGCTTTTTCTGGCTGGGGGCCCTCGGGCTGAAAGATGCAGTGGGGGGCAATCCTTGTTGCCCACGGCCAGTCTTGGGCAGTTACTAGTAATGCATTACCGGTAACTAGTTACTTCTCATTACTGCTTAATGACTAACTTGTAACTGTAATAGGGTTACTATTGTTTTAAAGTAATTGTAAAGAGTAACAATGTTACTCTTTACACGTAACGTAAACACGACCACCAAATCGTCTTGTGAGAGTCCCAAGTCCTAATACAGGAAGGTCGCAGCAAGAACTGCAGCAGAAACCACCTGGAGCAAAATAATAAAAAAAAAAAAAAATTTTGGGTGATCCTGTTTGGCCAAGCTGGTCCCGCCAACTCGGAAAATGGGGACGTTTGTGTCCGTACCTGCCGTGTATGTTACATCCCCCACAGTGCACGCAGATGTAAAAAAGAGCGGCACCTCTGAAGCGTTTATCTTTTCTTTGTCCGGCGGGGGAGCGAGTGCTTATCGCGGAGGACAGTTTTTGGCGATTGTCGCCCCAAACGCCCGCAGGCTTACGGCACCACCGATTTTCCGAACTTCATCTTTTTGCTGCCAAGCATACGTTTCCTCCCCTCTAAATTGAATCGTCCAACCCCCAGATGCACTCTTGCGGGGTCTTGACTTTGGGCCCATCTGCTCTGCCTTGCCTCCGGTCACCCATTTATCTCCCGTTGCTCTGCTTCACGGGTCCAGTCACTTGAGAAAGAGTATTCGCTGGAAACGTCCGTGTCCCTCTGCTTGCCTCTGCGTTTTGCATTTTCTTGAAATTTAAAACCGCCCTTAGCGGGGACTAGGGGCACTTGGCATCGGTTGATTTATAGATATTCAGGTCGTGGAGTTTCCGGTTGGTCTCCTAGTTGGGGTGGTGAGATGGAGGAGCGCAAATGCGTTCGACCTGGTTAGGAAGTGGCGGAGAAAAGATCGCAACAGCCGTTTAGAATTCTACGTGCAGCGGTTGTTTTTACATTGATCGGCGCTTCTTTTACACCGCTGTTGCGTTCAGCGGGTTGGATGGAGGAATGTTGCCGCATCATTGCTCTTCAAGTTTTCAAGGTAAGCTTTGTGTTTCGTGAAAGACTGCACGCAGTAAAAAAACGATTTGACCGACGAGTGGATTGGAGTGACGCAAGAAAACATCTACAAAGCTGATTGCGAGGTATGATTTATACTACCGTACTTCAGATTTGCACGATTTTGACTGCTTCCGTCCCATTTTGCCTCGCCAAAGAAAGCCGCAATTAGAATGGATTGTAAACTCGCACCATGATTGGATATACCCGAGGTCTAGACGCGTACGGTTCTATTCGTGTCGGGGGGTCTCCAAACCCCGCCCCTGGAAGTCTTCTCACTAACCTGCGTCTGGCCACTGTCTTTCCAACGAAGCCCGGCCGCGCAAAAAGAAGTGTGCGTAAAGAGACGGTGCCACGACCGGCTCCAAGTGCTCAAACTAAGATACCAGAGAAAACGAGAAGAACTATCGTAACGTGGGTCCTCTCGCCATATTATTAGTTGAACATTGTCGTCACTGGCCTTGCCATTCTTGGTACCCTACTTTGTGTCTGTGTGACTATGTCAAAACTCCATTCTGTTCTTGTGTACATTGCGCTTAGTGTCCTCGGTCACAACCGCAACTATTGCATCAACATTAGTTTTATCTTTTTTTCCCACAGTCTTTCACACTGTGGGAATGATCCAAAGTACCCACGCGCTTTGATTGGTGCCTGGTGAGTTTTCTTGGGAACCAGTGTTGTGTAATGTCATAATTAGCTGAATATTAAATTTCAATTTGAAGTATATGTATTCATCCACCTTAGGGGTTGTTAATACCTATTCTAGAATTTATATCTGTCTTTAAAGGCCTATCTAGGTTTATTCGCCTAGGTTTTCTTTTATAATTGCTCTTTTTTTTTTTTTTTTCCGGCACTCGAGACTACAACAGATCACTTATCCAACCCTCGTGCATGCCTTAAAGAGACATTGACACCCCCCAAAAATTTTTTTTCATTTTTTGCCAGGCGCTTTATTATGGTGTTGGAGGACTACCCAATTAATATTTTGCAACAGAGTAGCATATTTTTCTAATAAAGCCAAAAGACGCAACTGCTCGAAGCCGAAACCGAAACCCGCGCACGGAGGTCGGAGAAGTGGAGAGAAGAGAGTGAGTGGCGGAAGTCACGTAGTTACACCCGACCGTGCGTTTTTTTTTTCTTCTTCTTTTCGTAGCAGACGACATGCGGCGTAGTGGGAACTGTTTGCCGCGCGATTCTTTTGCAGTTATGTTTGTTCCGCTCGCTGTTCTGTACTCCAAGATGAGTTGTTTTCTACATTGAGGAGTTGGGAGATGAGTAGTGAGTGCCCGTGGTGAATTTCCGTGGTCGGCTCCGAAAAGAATACACCCAAGATGTTGCGTGAAGAGCTGCCTCGCATGTCCTGCATCCGAAAAAAAGTGGCATTGTGCCACAGAGTTTCCGAAAGATCAACGGGATCGGGACCAATGGCTGGCTGCAATTCCTGTAGAACATATACGGGCACCTCGAAAAGCGAACGCTACCTGATTTATATGCTCCTTGCATTTTGTGGAAAGTGATTACATTGAGTTCGCAGGTGTCAAAAAGGAGATCCCATACCATTTAATTCAGCGACGTGTCGTCCACAACATTTGTTTGTTATTTTTTTTTGTTTATTTCTTCAGTGATAATTATAAAAAAGAAAAGAAATGTAAACATGGAAAAATGTTTGAAAAAAAAAAAAAAAAGGTTTCGTTGGGGATTGAACCCAATCCTACCGCGTGTGAAGCAGACGTCTTTCGCACTGAGCTATTGGGGCATCTTTTTGCTGGGTGATCTCTTTCCTTAGTAATAATTCAGCCGGTAAATTGTAAGTTGGAAAGTTTGCTGCCGATTTTCCTCCAGCAAAAGCACTCCCGGGTCGAAATCGGGAAACACCACGCATTGGCGACATTCGCACCTAGTAAAGAAATCGTACGCGTGCATATTCAACTCGAAGTAGACACGTCGTGCTTGACGTTTGCGCGAGCGGTGTCTTCAGCCACGAGAAGAAAGCGACGGCTCGGCGACGTCTTCGTGCAAATCGGCTTGGTGGTCGGGCGTGTCGTACGGGATGAATACCAATTCTTTTGATCAGTCCCAAATTTCTCTTTTAAAGGCAGACAGAATTCGTCCGTACCGCGAACGACAGTTCTAAAATAGAGGTCCAACGCCCGTCGTCTGCTAGCTGCCATCGCCGTCCCTGCGAGTCCCACGATACGCAAAACGACGCACGCACAGAATGCTTCCGGTTCTCTGTGCAACTTTTTTTTCAATCAACGTATTTGCAGCTATTTAGAAGCCACAAAAAATGGGTTTCATATTTTTCTTCTATTTTTAATATTGAGTGTCTGCCTTCAGTGACCAACGACTTTGATTAAATTTGGTGGTCGCTTCGATACCTTAGAAAACGGCCCGTGACCACGAAAAAGAGAGTGAGCGAGACTCGAACCGGCCAGTTCTTGATCGGCAGTTTCGGGCGGAAAGAAACCGAATTTCGAGTTGCAAATTGTGATCTAGGTAGTTGGGCACTCATATGTCATGTACAACTAAAAACCTCGGCAAGCATAAACACCCTGTCAGTGTCCCTTTAAGGTGGTCGTTCTTATTTTAAAGTTCTACGTGGATCATCAGCAGGTATTGCTTGCTCAACATTTCGAAAACCTAAAGTTGCCCGTAATTTTGCCGAAGAAGAAACTATAATGTTTTATCTTTTACCCCAATACTGTCTTAAAGTATCATTTTGTTCAGGGAGCTATTCATGGTAAAAATTTAAATACGAAGAACCAAACGTGTTAATATGAATTATTGAGAAAATCTTAATTTCTAAAAAATCAAATTAAATACTGTGAACAATGCAATGTCTTTTTAAAAATCCACACTAATTTAAAGGCATTGTAACAAGTTACTCTTTCAATTTTGTAACTGTAACAATTACTTTTTCCCTCCGAGTAACTAATAGTAACAGCAGTAACGTGCCCATGACCGCCCACAGCTTAGCAAATGCAGGATGTGGCAAATCCTGAGCACACAATTACAGTCTAAGCTCGTTATAACAGACCTTGATTTTGACCAAGATTTCGGTCTGTTGTAAGAGGAGTATGCTGTATGCAGATATGAAGTGGAGTCAATGGTATGTACAGGAAAGCCAACCAAACTTCACAAATCGGTGTGTTATATCCAAATGTCTGCTGTAATCAGCTTAGACTGTATCACTGCGGTCAATGGGACTGCAGCATCGGCCGATAAGAATGGCACAAAATGAATTGCCAAGCATCGAGTAACAAGATCCTACCTCTAGATCTTAAGATATCACGGCCAAAACTTTGTGTTGTGACAAAAAAGTAACCCTTTTTGTGTGCTTGCATAAATTTTGAATATATTCGTCGTGTGTACGCATCCATGTACCCCCCTGCATAATGAATGGCACAGCGGGTATTTGTATATAAATACATAATCCTAGGCAAACGCAAAGCTTTTTAAAACCTGCTAGTACTAGGGATGCCGCGAACTTTTTTCGAATCGAAGTTTCGATGATCGAATCAAGCGGTTCGAAAGGTTCGAAAGATTTCGATTTTTCGAATTGTCTATATCGTAAAATTCGACGGAGGTCGAATTTTCGAACTTGTTAAGCTAAGAAGTTCGGCGCTTTTCGAACCGTCGAACTTATTACGCTAAAAAATTCGATCTTTTTCGAACTTTCGAACTTATTGCGCTGCAAGGTTCGATGCTTGTCGAACTTTCGAACTTGACTGACCAAAAAATTCGATTAATTTCGAACTTTCGAACTTATTTATCAAGAAAATTCGAAAAGTTTCGAACTTTCGATTTCTGAAAAGTCAGAAGTTCGACGAACTTCGAACTTTTAGGGTAAAAGTTCGACGTTCGTCGAACTTCGAAAGACCGGCGGACGGTTTCATTTGATTTCAAGTAGTGGGGTACATTCGTAATTTTTTTTTCTCGAACTTTTACACGCGGTGCTGCGTTTCTTACGAAAGACAATGTCATTTATTTCAATGTTCTGGCATGCTTAGGTTTAAAGAAATAAATCCCCGAAGGGGCGAGGACGGACGACGGGTTTTTGACGATTATCGTTTGTGCCAGATTTGAAGCATGCTGCAGCCGGAGCTATTTATGGCAGATATGTTATACCTTTTTAAGAATGATCTATGTATAGCCTAGGTAAGTGCCGTCTTAAGATGTGATTATTGTTATTCAACGTGAGTTTCGAAGAAATGTCCAAACATGTATCTGCATGCAATTATGACCTAAACTTGATATTTATTTTCGTCTAAGTTGTTTGAGGTATCGCATTTAAATTAACACCACAGACAGTACATATCATTGCCATCTGCAGAATACAAAATAATATATTTATTGTTTTTCTCACGTTAAGGAATAAATTAACTCATTGCAGAAGATTTCTAGTAGTGTTCAAGTTCAGCACGTCATTAAAAGAAAACGTTTTTTTTTTTTGCTTCACGTTCCTGGGACGTGTTTCTTTTAGCCTGTACACATTTTAATAAAAGAAACTTGTTTCGAAGTTCTGAACCTCTGAATATGCAAGAATAGAACACTTCCGACGAATTCTTGATAGTTTTTTTTTTCTCCTGCTTTTTATTCCTGCATTTATTCTTTTTTTTTTTTGCTTTTGTTACTATCGGCACAGGTGCTTAGGTCGAAAAGACATAGCTTTGAACTTCCGAACCACTAAGCATGTGCCGAGCAGTGCCTTCTGACAACGAGTTTCTAACAGTGACCATCTACGCAACCTTTTATGCAGTGAAGAGCGACAGTAGCTATACATATGCATAAATAATTTCAGATTAAAATAAGCTCGACCACGCCCTCTTTCCCCGTATTGTTTTCTTTAACAGTCCAAAATACCTGCAAGGGGGAAAAAGAGGCTGAAGCCCCTACCCCTCCCCCCCCCCCGCTACCCTCTTTCCCCCCGTTTTTCCTCTTCCGACGCCACTTGTATGGTAGAACGCTCCTCGACCTCGAGTTGTGTCGGCTTTTGTGCTTTTTGCGAGGCGATTCCTCCGTCCCAGAAAATAAACCTCCAGGACAATTATAAACTTCACCGGATCGGATTACTACCAGCGTGCAAGGGGTGGCGAGGTAGTTTGCCAGGTCGCTTCCAGGTTTTTCTGAGCCTCAACCTCCTGCTCGCCCCTGGCCGTTTCGAACTGGATGAGTCTCGTAAAACAGTGCGTTCGTGCAATCACTACTGCGTGATGCAGGTTAAACCCCCCCCCCCCTCCCCCGGTGCTGGCGGTCACAATTCTGCACTGGCAAATATTCTAGCACGTCCGGGACACTCGTCCTCTCATTTAATTGCCTGACCAACTTCGCAGAATCTAGATATCACACCCTAACTTTTCTAAACTTGATTTTGTGAAAACCAGTGAGTCGTGAAAACGTTATTTGAAACTGCAACTGTAGAAAAACTTGAAAATCGGACTTCAAACTTTGAAAACTTAAATTAAAAAAAAAAATCAAAATCTTCGAAGTTTTTTTTCTTTTTTTTTTTGAATTTAGCGTAAAAAGAGAATCGAAACTTTCGAACTTTTCGACCTTTATGCCAAAAGAAATTCGAAATCTTCGAATTGTTCGAACTCTATGTCTATAAAAATTCGAAGCGTTCGAAGTTTTCGAATTTTTTTTACAAAGAATTTCGAAATCTTCGAACTGATCGAACCTGAAGTAAAAAAATATTCGAAATATTCGAATTCGAAATTTTAGAAACCGTGAAAGCTTCGAAATTTTCGAATTCGAAACTCCGCTGTGGACAAAAGTTGCGAATTTTTCGAAATCGAACCTCGGTCGGTACGAAAATATCGAAATTTTTCGAAATCGAACCTCAGTTCGCTTCGCAAATATCGAAACCTTTCGAAATCGAACCTAGGGTGGTTCGCGACATCCCTAGCTAGTACAGAGTCTGGTTATAAAGCTTTGGGTGCACAGTGATAATTTGGTAAAAAAATGATTTAAAAATTATTAAAAATTTAAAAAAAGGGAATGTACAGTGATTTTTATTTTTAAGATTAGTAAGTAACTTTATTTGAGGCAGCAGGCATGTGCCAGCTGCGTACAGGCATGTGCCTTACGCAGCTGGCACAGATTTAAGGCAGCAGGCATGTGCCAGCTGCGTGGGTGTTGACTCACCGTCTGTGCCAGCTGGGCAGGACTGACGCCAGGGTCGAATGGAATGGGCTTGCCTATAATGGTCCTGTTTGAGACAGGGTGCAGGCAGACGAGATTACTAGAGTAACATTTTAACAGAACTCGGATTTCCCGGGTGTTTTTGGCACAAGTGGATGGGGAAGGGATGCCCCAACAGAGGGTAGAGGTACTCCTTCCACATCTGTTGCCCTCTCTATGCTCCATTAACCACCTGCATGGGTCGAAACGTGATGAATCACAAACCTATATCACCTTAGGCTGAGCATCCTCTGTTTTGGCGATAACAATGAAGCAATGCTTTGACAAGATGTGACAGCAAGTGCCAGGAAGAGATCAAGTCCGAGTGTCGGCTGCGTTTCTAATAAAATGCGTAGGACGGCTCGATTGATAGACTGAAATACAGCTGGAATCTTTTTGTTTACCTGCTAACCTTTAAGGCCCAGATGTTAAAGGGGGGTGGGGAATGGGAGTGCAAAGAATAGAAACAAACATAATAAAAATTACGGCTCAAGCCATAAATACCAACTTGTCAATGCTTTGGTAGCGAAAGACATCTCGCTCGAGACATTTGATCTCTCACGTACGACACATTTTGGAGATAGATGAAGTACAACTGCCAATAGAGTTTGTGCCACAAAAGGGTATGCCGACTTTGCAACTGTGGTCAGGGTGCGACGATATGTAGGTGTGCCCCGATGCACGCAACTGCCTTCGTTTTGGACTGGACTGGTTTTGCAAGGCTGTGACACGGTTCCTGCTCTGTTCTCTTGCATCGTTTGTTCGCTCGTTACGCTTTACGTTACATTGCCGTTGGCGCGCACTCTTCTCACGACGGCACTGGGGCGTGGGCACGTGGTTTTGTTTCCCCAGTATGCACAACATGCGCGACAATGTAATATCGAGGCGAAGCAACGACACTGTGAGCGAAAGCACCAACACCCGGAAGCAAAGATTGTTCCTTCAAAGACACCGTAGGCAGAGATCGAGTGAAGCCGTGGTGGCTGCGTCCGAAACCTCCGACGCTCAAGAGAATGGACTGGCTCTCCGAACACAACAGAATGCGGGCCGTTGCGTGCTTAAAATCCCAATCTTTCGCCGAGTCGGAACCCCCGCACTAAATGCCGAAGCATTTCCTCGAGAATCGGAGTAGCAACGGTGGCGATTTCAGCGTCATTTTACAGTTATGTTTATGAAACGAGTGAAGACAGGAGAGTGTGTCTCGGGTAGAAGGAGCCGGCAATGGGAGACTGAGCGTGCATATTCGCATTTAGGGAACGTTGCTCACCTGAGCTTGACCGGGAATCCTCCATAAATGGGCACGATGGGTAGCCGTGTCCTGTCATACACTTTTTTGAAGAACCCTGTCAGTGAGGAACATGGTGGGGCACACCTTTACGCACAAGCCACTGGAAATGTCGCGCGGGCTACGTAAATCTTTGTAGCGTCGCAGGCTATGTAACCCAACTACTGAAAGTGGCAGGCTCAAATTTTTTTTTTTTACGTGCACTTTAGGGGTTTAGTGGTCGTAACAAAAAAGCCCCCGTGCTGCATCAGCAGTGAAAAGCCGACCTTACGATGGAGTGCACTTCCCAAGCATACTTTACCCTAGATGGGCACCCAGGTGAAGCAGCGTGTAGTAGTGCACGGGCCCGAACCTACCCATAAAAGCTGCTTGCATCCAGTATTAAAAGAAAAATGAACCGATTAAAAGGATAAGTTTTGTAGAAGAGTTCAACCCTTTTCCGAATATTTGGAACATGGCATCAGTTATTACTGGTTTCAGGCATTCTTGTGTGCACCCATTCACCAGATGCTTTGTTGCCTCGGTGACGGTGACTCTAGCAGACGGACTTTATTGTGCAGAAGGACACGGCGGTGTTGTGATGAGATCGAACGTGTGCTTGGGCTCTTCCATCGTGTCTTCAATGGGTGTAATCTGAACATTGAAAGTTTGAAATAAGAACTTAATGCAGATAGCAGATGAGCCTTTCACGAAAAGCGTGATTTTAGCCTAGAATTTAGACTTAGTTTTAATGCGGAATCTGTTGTATGAGCCGTTCTCTATCGAAAGACCTACGATCGACCGTCGAATTCCAGTGTTGCATTTTACACAAAGCCCATACGGCCGTTAGGGACGTCGTGGTGACAGCGTCACAAGACACCCTGACGTTACGGTGTCGCCGGACATTATGAGACGGTCTGTGTGGTTCGCGCTAGGGACAACAAGCTCGCGTCACACGAGCACACATTCTGTGCTCGTCGGTCTTTGCAAGCAGAATCAAGCTCGCGCAATTCTTTTACAGCAACAAATAACTAAACTACAGATGTTCCCTACACGTTTTTACCTTCATTAGCAGGCAAAAGTTTTAACAGATACCCGAACCGCTAGGTCGCACCGAATTTAGGAAAGGATCCGGTAGCGGCTCACCCCTGCCGAAGGAGACGGAGCGGAAGGCCTCGCGGATGTTCTGTGTGAAGACGGGGATAACGGGGGCCCTGGCCTCGATGGCGGCCTTGGCAAAGCCCAGCCGCTTCTTCCAGAGTAGCCGGTAGCGCTCGTCCCCAAACTGGGCCTCCAGCACGCCTCCGGGGGCAATGGCCAGGAGGTTGCCCTCCCGCATCACCTGAGCGCAGCTCTGCACCGAGCCCGGGGACACCTTGAACACGTCCATCAGGATCTTGAAGCCTGCACACCCAACCACGCCTGTCATCAAGGTCACGGTCCTTCTAACGCTTCTGGGAGTGTGGGAAGGGTGGGTGACCATAATCTACAGCGTAGAAAACGGGACGTCCGGGGAAAGCGAGTGGAGCAAGAGCAGGCCAAAGAGAAAGCAAGCTCTGCTACTACCACGGTCATTGTTCAAATGTGCACTTTACCAAAGTTCTTTCTTTATATGAGTACACAACCACCTTTCCTCATTTTTAAACAAACCGAAGCACACCAAGTGTAGCAATATACCGCGTGTACACTAACACGCCAAATGCAGCAATATACCACATCTACACTAACGCTTCAATCCCACTTTGGAGGGTCTGCGAAAATCAGTTTCTGAACGTATCGCGCTGGGATTTACTGCAGAGGTGCCCGAAGGTGGCGCATTCATTAATTGAGAGTATGATTACATGAAACCTCCAGAGTCAGAAGAATGAAAATAAAAACTGGTTTTGCCTGTGGAAATGTTATCGCCTAACCTTTTTTCTCAAAATCAGAAAAAAATAATTGTTGGGCTATTCTGGTGTTTATTATGACTGAAAAATCAGTGAATTGGAAAGAAAATACGATTGGTTTACCTATTCTTCACCTCATTCGGCCCAAATGAGTGCCACAGTGACACAAAATAATATTTAAAGAGACAGTAACACCCCCCAAAATTTTTTTTTTAATGTTTTGTTAGGCGATTTATCATGTTGTCAAAAGGCTACCCAATCAATATTTTGCTACAGCGTCACATATATTTTTAATAAAGTAAAAAAACGAAACTCCAAACCGAAACCAAAACTGGACTAAAAATCACATAACTGTGGAACTTTTTTTTTTTTTTTAAATAATTGACGTATTTGAAGTTTTTCAGAAGTCACGAAAAATGGGTATATTTCTTCTCTATTTTTAATATTGACTGTGTGCCTTTGATGAGGCATAACTCTGATTATATTTGGTGGTTGTGTCTAAATCATAGAAAATGGCACGTAACTACAGAGAAGAGAGTGAGCGCGACTCAAACTGGCCAGTCTTTCATCGTCGGTTTTCGGGCAGAAAGAAAACGAATTTCAAGCCGCAAATTGTTTTCTGGGTGGCTGGGATCTCATATGTCATGTAGAAATAAAAACCTTGGTGAACCTATAGGGAAAGCAGTTTTTGATTTTTCGTGATTTACTCAGGTGAGCCAATCTCTCCACAATTTTAGTGAAAGCTTTCACCACCTACCTCTGCAGTAAATCCTAGTGCAATACGTTAAGAACCCGATTTATGCGAACCGTTCAAAGTGGGATTGAAGCATTAGTATACACGCTGTAGAAAAGTGCCCCTGAACAAACGTCTTTGTGAACAGAATGTGCTGACAAATGGAACCATGGAAAGAGCTCTAAATTTATTCTAGAGGTAACATTTTTATGTATGTTTTAAAAGATGTATTATGTATTATTTTAGACTTCTTCCACTCGCTTAACACTCACTTTGCGAACACGCACGCACATTCCCACGAAAAAGGTAAGTGAGACTTCACTGAGAAAAAATGACAGGACAGCACAGAGGTACCTTTAAGACAGGGCTGTCCCAGCCGAAAAGGGACTGTTTCGGCCGAAACGGCACATCTGGTCATCTTAGGGAAGGGTCGTGTCTATCAGGATCTCAGAGCCTACAAAACTATCAAAATCACGTCTGTCTAAGACCACGGTCCCTCTCACATGCCTGGACGTGTGTAGGAAGGGGCACATTTATCGTTAAGATCAGGGTCTTTCCCACACACCCAGATGTATGTGGAAAGGGACAGGTTCATCAGGATGACATCTGCCAAGATCAAGGTCCTTCCCACACCTGAATGTATGTGGGAAGGGACAAGTCTATCAGGATGACATTTATCAAGATCCTTTTCCACACCTGGATGTATGTAGAAAGAGACAAGTCTGCCAGGGTGAACGCCATCAAGACCAAAATCCTTCCCAAACGGCTGAAAGTATGTGGGAAGGGACAAGTCCATCAGGATGACATTCATCAAGATTTTTCCCACACACTTGGATGTATGTGGAAACGTGTCATCCTCGTGGATGTCATCCATGAGGATGTGTCATTCTCATGGAAATGTGTCATCCTCATGGATGTCATCCATGAGGATGACATCCATCAAGATCAAGGTCCTTTCCACATACCTAGATGTATGTAAGAGTGACAAGTTCATCAGGATGACATCCACCAAGACCAAGGTCCTTTCCACACACCTGTATGTATGTGTGATGGGCAAAGACTATCAGGATAACATCCATCAAGATCAAGGTCCTTCCCAAACACTTGGAAGTATCTGGAAAGGGACACGTCCATTAGGGTGACATCCATTAAGATCCTTCCCACACACCTGGACATACGTTGGAAGGGACAAGTTCATCAGGATGACATCCATCGAGATCTTTTCCCCACACCTGGACATATCTAGGATTAAGGCAAAAGTCCATCAGGATGACACCCATCATCAAGATCAGGATCACTCTTAGATACATGTGTGGAACATTTTTGAACAATGCAACAGCTACAACTGCCGATTGCAGAGCACTTTGTGTGGTCGCTCTTGTTCTATCTCATGTTTATCAGCATGAGCCTACCAAGGAGAGCGTTCAGCAGAATTGAACACAAGGACAATGCGAAGGGTCCTGCCTCACCTGGCACCATGAAGAGGAACCGGTCCCCAACAGCTCTGATGAGCCGGTGCTTGTGCAGGTAGCAGGTGGCCAGCAGGTAGTAGTAGTCAATGGGAATGGCGCCGTGGTAGTACACCAGCAGGGCACTCCCGCTCTCCGGAATGTTCTCGAGGCCCTGCACCTCGTAGCCTGCGCCGGAAATACAGTGTCGCTACAGGACTGCCACACTCAACTCAAGGTCGCACCAGTCTTGCATACTTTTTGCAAAGCCACCCTGCTGTCTTTAAGACCTGTTCACTGACAAGGATGTACAGACCTCGTTACCGATTCCGAAAATGCAAGGTCATAGCCTTGCTAGCACCTCTGTACTCCATGTCAGCTCTGCTGTTGGGCAGGAGATTGAGCATTCATGCCCCTAGCAGTTCGCTTCAGGTACGGAGACAACAAAAAAAGGAACTGACGTAGCCAAACACTTTGCCAGTATTAGTTAGGAACTCGTGCTTAATTAGTACAGCCTTGACCAAACAAAAGTTCTGGCTGAATGCTGATGCAGCACCCTTGTGTGATCTGTGTCACTTTCTCAAACAAGGTAGACAGGTAATCCAGAGCATTGGCCTCATGTTGGGTAAACACCGAGCTGTGTGGAAAACAATAGTTTGATCTGACCAATAGCGTTGACAGTCATAGCCAAGGCTGTGGTTGTTAAAGCTTTTGCTGACAAGTAGAGTGGATTACAAGCAAACTGGGTGTTGTACAGCACGGGTACAGCAAGGTAAACCCTTGGGATTGTGCAATTAATGCTTCCTTGTGTTCTGCTTCAACTTTGCAGAGCAGTGTGGTAGAGCAAGCCAGGCACAGCTTTCGCTGTTCTCCGAGCAAAGTTGTACAATAAATGGAGAGGGCAGACCAAGAATTTCTCGCCTACTTTCATTCTTTACCGGTGCTATCACTGGTGAAGTGGAAAGATGGAAAAGCAGAGTTCCCTTGCCCACCTTTGCCCACACTCTGCAGCATTGCAAAACTATGTTGTTGTTGTTTGTTTTCAATGCTGCACATTAAAGATAGCTTATCTACCTGATACAGAGATGATGAAATAAAATTAAAATGCTTGTCATAGCATATCAGCTTTTTAAATCAGATCCCACGTGACTTATCCCAACCAGCAGTTGGACTTTAATTGTTTAATATCACAAGATGCTGCCTCATAAAACCACTAGCTGGTTAATGCGAGCTAACATGTTTTAAGGTTTGCATTCCAGTGTGCAAACATTGAAATTTAATGATCACACTTTTGCAAAGGTTCACTGCAAACTGCTTGAGCAGGAGTGGAACACAGTTTCTTATGGCCTGCCATTTCTTGCCTCCCCGTTTCTTTGGAAGTACCTGCTTGTTGTCCTCCCTTGCACCTCCTGCAGCCTCCCACCACAAGTGTGAGCGTGTTTGCTGCCACTTTTCCTGCCTGTGCTGCTGCCAGAGTTGGTTCAACATCGGATTCAAAACTGGAGAGACCCCACCTCAAAGACGAGTGCTTCTACGCTTTCTCTATTGATTTTTTATACTGGCAAACTTTTGTGTGCCGATTCTGCATTATGGGAGTGCATTACAGGCAAGCATGTTACAGCAATCTGCATTACAGTAATCTATGTTACATGAATCTGCATTATGTCAGCCCTACAACACATTCTGAATGAAAAAGTTTTACATATGGCTAAATTCTCCAGCCTTCCCTGAAAACAACCTACCTCTGGCCACCATACAGGTTTGAGAGTACATGAATGTGATACTCTTTTTGTCTTTCTCTGTTCTGATTGGAGCAGAAGGGCACGATGGTTTCTTCAAAACAACTTCAGGGCCACACTAATTTCCCAGTCAAGACAAAGGCGACTTTTGAAGGAGCTGTATCTAGGTTGCGGTGTCAGAGTGAGCCAACGGGATGCAGTGGCGGTTTTTGCAGCTGGAGTGTGTTCGCTTTTTATACGCTACTGCAGGTTAAAAAAAAGTGGGACAAGCTCGCCACCACAAAGCCCTTCATTCTTTCCAGTTAAGCAGAATACTGCAGCAGCAGCAGCAGCAGCAACAGCAGGATACTGGAGGCGAATGGAGAGGAGGTAACCCCCAACCATGGCGAGCAGGGTGCTTCATGAGGTCAGAGGATTGGTGGAGAAGGCCTAAACAAGCGTGACACAAAATTGGTGGGTAGGTGATTTAATAAAAGAGAATTTAGAGCAAAATTGTCGAACCAAACCAGAACACAACCATAACCAAAGTTGAGAACAAAACCGTAACCATAATCAAGCATTTAATACTGGACTGGAACCAAAACAGAACCGTAATCTCATGTGGTGGTTACCGGTTCGTTAGAACACTGTTTAACATAACAAAATGTCAGCAGTTTTGATTAGATAAACGGAACAATGAAAAAAGCAAAAATATTTCACGTCTATGTGAAGTATAGAAGTCTACGCCACCACGCCAACTCGCTAATGCCAAGTCGTGCTGACTTCGCGAGTTGGCGCAGTGGCGTGGACTTCTATACTTTGTCTGGCTTAACAAAGAAACGCAATGGACTCTACGAGCTACCGGAGCCAATCCAGAGCTTGGAAGGTGTCTCGTGCCCTTCCGGTTGGGCAATGCGAAGCAGGGAGCGCGAAGTCACGTGAAAAGCTACGAGTTTATGATGAGCGTAGGTAGCTCGTGGCGTCCATCGTGGAACATAGTAAGGTGAAACGAAGTATATCTGACTATGCTAAGATGCTAAAGAGCCATTCTTTCGGTGTGTTTGTGTGTATATGTTTTGAGTGTTTTAATGCGAGAGCATATTAAGCTACTACTTAAGATTTTCAGCTATATGGGTATTTTGTTTCCTGGCCACGGAAACAGTTCCTTTGCTAAATTTAGCGAAAAAACTTACGTCACGAAAACAGTTTCTGGTAAATTTAGCGAAAAAATTGACGTCACGACCTATGCACCCATTTAGGTTCCCCACTGAATTTGGCGGGAAAATTGATGCAATGCATCATGTCACGGGACTTGCAGACAAATTCAGGCTTCCCGCTAAATTTAACGGGAAAATTGACGTCATGACCTATGCACCAACTCAGTTTCCCCCTAAATTTAGCAGAAAAATTTATGTCACAAAAAATTGTATGCCTCTCGTCTGAAAAGTAAAATAAGTGTGCTCCAGTTCTTGGTCATAGAGACTGAACACCTGTCCATGCGTGCAACGATAAATGCTGACACATTCATAGACAATCAACCCAGTGGTTTCTACAATTTAATTTTATCTATTTTCTTTGGTTATGCTTAGGTGGCACAAAATCCCCTAATGCACACTGAGCCAAAAATTTATTTTGTGTTTATACATTTGTTTGAAAGAGTTTCAGTTTCATCACTCACTTTTTTTATTTTTTTCCCGCTAAGCAATATTCCTCAAGGAGAAACAAAGCGAGCATAAACATCAAAATGAAAACAAAAAGTCAACGGCCTTTGGCCTGCTTCTTCTGCGGCGGCAAAGTCTGGAAGCACAGAGAGGCAAAGCCACAACGAGCACTATTGACACTGCAGGTCCGGTCACCGGGACGCCAATCGCCCAGAACAGCCTGAAGCCCTGAACACTGACAGATGGATCTCTTTTCGTGCGTTTTTGTTTCTCAAAAGCAGCATGTTGCCCGTTTCTGCCCCCTTTTTTTATTTATCTTCTTTAGACTGCCCTTCTCTGTTCTTTTCCTTTTCAATCCATTCATTTAAGAAAGGCGTCCGGGGTGGATAGATTGAGAGTACAGTAGATGCTACAATCACGTATCGCTGTGCACGCCGGCCAATTGACTTCACATGTGAGTACTGTACTTTGGTAGTTTCTGAGCGCCTGTATGACCACTTAATTTGCATAGACCGGTGTTTTCAATGAAAACTCGAGACCACAAAACTACCGTAAGCATATATTTGTTTTTGCTGTACTAATTTCTGCAGCATAGCTTCAGATTACTTTTTTTCCCGTTTCTTTTTTAATGTGGATGACGTTGCATTGAATACAGATTCTTAAAGGGAAGCTGAAGCACTTTTCAAGAAATCCGAATTAGGAGCGGATTCCTGCAGCTTTTTGTCCCATGAATACAGTTATCGCACTTATCCTGGGCAGAAGTAAACGTAAACGGCATTTATTTTGAAAGATATGCGCAGCGATTGCCGCCAGGCATGTGGCAATCCTCTCTGCCGCCCGTTATCTGTCCAGAGCGTTGTGACATCATCGACGGCATCCCCAAGCCAGCTTAGCGGCGAGCAAGGATCATCTGACCCCGCTGATGACGTCACTTTGATTAGATTTCTCTCTGCTTTCGCACTTTCCTACCTCCAGTGCGCCACAACAGCGTGGGTCTACGTCGAAACTTTAATTGGCTATTACGACGCTCCTACGAATAAGATTGCAATAAAACTTATGAAACATAATTTTTAAGACATTACATCTTTTACTGTTTCTTTGAATACAAGGCCCTCTTCAGCTTCCCTTTAACGACTTGGAGCTGGGAACCTTTCTATACGGCCAATACAATCCATCCATCCATCTTGAGGGAAGGGCGGGTCCTGCTTTCTAAACCCCACCACTGGCTGTACACCCTTCCAAAAAACGCTCCTAGGCCGCCGCTATGTTGCTGATGCTGATGCGGCTGGTGAGACCCTCGCGCCCTCTATCACCTAGAAATTTTCTGCCACTCTCTGGGACTGTGAAGACCCGCTCAGCGCGGTTCTCTACCTACGTTTTTGCAGTTTTGCATTCAACGTTTTCTCGCCCCTCTTGAAAGTTTCCACTTAATTTTTTTATGTGTGCTGCGTACCCTTTCTGTGTTACTTCCATTGTGAGAAATAAGGCTGGTAAGTGACTGCCATTCAAGTTTTTCTGCTTTACATTCACGGGAAACGAAGGAGGTGAAGGACGTCGAATGACCCTCGACACGATTTTGCGAACATTGTTCTCCCCCCTCTTACAGATAATCCGCGTGGAATCCTCAGTCGTCTCCAATATAGTTGTCCGGGTTGGGGTGGGAAACGGGTCAGTCGCATTCGTTCCTTTGCCTTTGTGTCGTTGTGGAAAAAGGAAGCTCTCCCCAAAACGTGCCCTAAAACGAAGTCGGATTCCATCCGATCGTCAAGATGTGACTGTCGTCGACTGTGACTGTGTTATTTGAGATATTTCTCAAATAAATTCTTTTCGGATAACGCTGCATCGTGTGGTATGTACAACATATTGTTCGAATGTTAACACTTCTTCAATGTATGCCCATGTCCTGTCCATCGGTAAGCACGTTATTTGTGGGCGTGAAAAATGCATGCCTTTCGGCCCTCTTCTGTTGCAATTTATTTTTGACAGCAAAGCGCTTTGTCGTTTCACATGCAGCGAATCCTGCGGCGCCGTCAAAACTTATCGTAAGAAAAAAAAAACACAAAGAAGTAGAGCTATACATTCCAGTCGCATTCATTCTGTCGTGCGCGTACCCAACAAAAATAGTTTAAAATTGTTTTGTTGTTCTTGTGTTTTTTCAAATGTGGTACAATGCTTTCTTAATGTCCCCGGGAAAATACATGTACCATGAAACACAAAATATAGCGGGAAAACACGAAAATTTAGCCGCCAGCAGCGTTTGAAACTGTGCCTACGCAGGCTGCGTTTATTGAAATCACAGTCCACTCGTTTAGAGTTAGAAGGGGCCCGGTGAGAGCCTAGCCTCAAATTCAGTGACTGGGCTCAAAAACGGTTTGTTGCCCCTAGGGTCGAGTGTTTTTTAGAAAGGTGTATAAGCCATACATATGTCGAACCCATACTTCTACAAAAATCAGATTTCCTGATATTCAGTCTGCCCGACGTTGGAACCGCGAGGGAAAAAGCTGCGCTCACTGTGCCAGATCCAGGCATGTCCACACCACAACAGGGCCAGGGTGTAGCGGGCCCCGTCCCAGAAGTCGCGGGCGTACGCGTCCCTCAGCCAGCGCCGGTAGTGGTACAGGTGCAGGAAGATGATCGACACGTACAACAGCAGAATGATGAGCGTCGGGAGCAGGAATGCCACCTGCGTGCACAAGCGCGTTTTGGCACACCCAGCTGGCAGGCTGGAACGAGGAAGTGGACACTTCGACGGCGGCCCAAGCGGAACATTAATGTGGTCGAGGCTGGCGGGGACTACAACTTGGAAAGGAAGCTTCAAAGTGGCAACCGACATTTCGAGAGTGACTCGGCAGTTTCGAGGCTGTAAGCTACCGTTCAGAGGCAGCTCCTTTTCGAGTGGTGGGTGCTTATCACCCTGGCAATAAATGCTGAGTCACTGGGCTCTGTTTGGAGGCAGGTCCAGCATCCGATATTCCACAGAATAGAGCTACAGCATATACTCAACAGCTACTGCATATACTCAGACATGTTCCCCAGCCCAGAGACAAAAAGTGTATGCAGAAGGCTATTTCTAAACTAGCCTATGTCGATACCACTCAGAAGACAAGGCCTTTCCCCCAAACACCGTCACTCGTGGATCTACGCAGCGCCATCTCGTCAGCATCGCCGCCGGCGCGTCTTGGAGCATCTCACGAGTGCGACGCAAGCGTGCGGTGATGCCAGAACAGACGCATGACACCATCCAGCCTTGGTCTTTTTAGCCACACGGAGAAACGATGACGTCATGTGCATCATGCCTTGTCTTCTAGTGTATCGACCTCTCCTGGTAGATCCGAAAATACCGTGTGCAAAAGACGTCATCGAACCGAATAGTTTAAAATATATATATGTGGCTCGAACTGACGTTGCATCCGCAGCCATCGTGGTGGCCTCGCTAAGCACATACCTTACGCAGCACACAGTTCATTCAACTGAACTCATAATTTTCGGCTAGAACGAGTAGGAATGAGCACTGGCAGGGTCTGGTGGTGTCACATACAAGCCGTGCGTACGAGAGTTACTTTCACCCATATATATGTATGTCACGGTATGTGGTGCAATACAGAAATGGATGTTTTGCGGTGTCGGTTGCTTTGCCATATTGCGGGGATTGTGGAGCTTCGAAGAGGGGAACATCTTTTTTTAACTGGGTCCACAGCGCTGGTCCAAGCTCTACTGATTGTCTTCAACGAACAAATACAGAAAGAAGTCGCTCTGCCAAATTTGAATTGCTTTTACCACCGAGCGTGCTACGTATTTTATCATTCAGCTGATCTAAGCGCCCGCACTCAATCGCAGACATATCCAGAGGTTGGTAAGATTAGTGCCGTCATGCGCGCAGTGTCGGCGCGTTGTTCGGCGCGGCTGTTGTTGGCCAACACAAGCTGGGCCAACATGTCAAAAGGCGGTGGGGCGCTCACGGCGACAGGCGTGAAGAGCCAGACGAGCCAGTTGAAGTAGTCCAGGTCCGAGACCCAGTGCAGGAGTCCCAACCACTCGCTCGAGCTTGAGTTCATGGTCTAGCGGGGCCAGGGCGCTACCTGGACCAAGCGCGCACTGCAGCGTCCGGACGGGCCGACCTGCGCGAGCGCGCGCGCATACGCAATCTCAGCTGCGAGATGGGGCGATAAGCCGCTGTTGTCGACGGCCCGATAGCCGAGTTTCTCGGCTCTCACCTTTCGCGCATTCCTCCGGGGCGGCTGTCCCGCTTTCTCGGGGGACACGGGGGGCTCGTGGGGCCTGCCGACGCGGAGTCCGAGTGGGGCGGATGGGTCCGGCTGTCCAGCTCGCCGCTGTCCAGCCTCGACGGTGTTTTTCCGTGCAAAACAGCCCGTCCGATATCCCCGCGCGGCGGCCGAGACCTTGAGGCTACGAGGAAAATGCTATTCAAACGAGTTTTGCCATCCTTGGCGGGCGCACAGCTGAGCCTCATCGACCGCGCTGCCATCCAGTGCGCTAGCGCTACAACAAACGGCGGCGCTGTCGAACGTAAACAAAACATGGTCGAAGCCGTATGATCTCTATGCCGTAAACAGCCTGGATTTTTGTCCTTCTTGTGCGCTTGTTTTTGATCGGAAGGGAGGGAAACAAGTGGCACAGCTGGAAAAGAAGGAAAGGCGCTTGACTTGTCGATTTGTCGAGTTTGTGCACTTACGAGTCGTAACCATTCACTCCCGTTGTATTTTTGTTTCTTGGGCCGAGTGCATTCATCGGGCGCGTTTTCACTACGACCGGCTTGTTTTGACTCGGCAACTTTCTGGCGCATTCGCTGGCTTGGGCTTGGCCGCTTGGCCAGCTTGGCCCTTGGCCACCTTGCTGGCTTGACTGTTTTGGGTTTTGGTGGGCTGGGCTGGGCCAGTGGGCCAGTGATCGGGCCGTCGGGAGGTGATGTTCCCAGCGCTTTCGCGCTCTTACGATGAGTTAAGAAACTGAATCACCAAAGTGAAAGAGCCAGAAACTGAAGTTGCGTGTGTCTAAGCAATTACTACGGAAACTGGCGATTGCACCCATCTGCCGCCACTACCATTTCCTGCACGCTACTGCAGCTCGTCTGAGAGCCTCCTTCGAACTACTCATCTGAACGAACACGGTAGGCCACTCTTGTTGCGTTACGTTCAAGCAAGCACGTGCAAGTAGTGCTTGCTCGCAGTGGCGGCCGATTATGAATTGTTCGGTCATCGCCCCCGTAGATCCCCGTTCCTACGTCACACGCGGGTCGCATGGGCTTGTGCCACAAAATAAGCTAGCGTAGCTTTGTAGCGACTCGCCTCTTACTAAAGGCTCGCTTACGTTTCTTTCCACAGAACATGAACACTTTCACGCCCGGAGCGGCTGTTGCGCCGTGCACCAAGGTAACGCTGAGCATCGCTTGCAGGTATGGTGCCTCGAGCACTTTTGTTTTCTTTGACCTATGACGTGTTGCGCGCCACTCAACGATCGCTGCCCTTCGTCTTTGGGTTGCAGAAACTTGAGGGACACGGACTACCTGTCCAAATCCGACCCCATGTGCGTCGTATTCTTGTCTTCATCCAGCAAACAGCAACTTCACGAGGTCGGTGACTCCTTTGCGTAGGGCCCGGGCGGTCATTGGCTCATTTGTGGCGACTCGTTGTTTCAGATCGGACGAACAGAAACAATCGACAACTGCCTGAACCCAGACTTCGTCAAGGCGATTCCCGTGGATTACTACTTCGAAGAGAGCCAGAGGCTGAGATTTGAAATGTAACTATAAAGATCAACTCCCATATTACCTCACTTTTACGATTACGAATGTTCGTAATGCTTCCATGGGTGCCCAATTAGCAAATGACATTGTGTCTTTCTTTATTGTGCAATCATGTGGTCAGGATCTCTTGCTATTGGAGGGGCTTGTAGTGGTATCGAGAACACACAACTAGCGCATTACAACTAGGACAAGTTGAAGAAGTGAACAGAAGAAGCACCATGGCTGCGTTTAGATGTATGTAATGGTGCTGCATTGAATCGAGACTGGGCGACTATGATTGGGTGCAAGAAAATGAGAGGGGGGTTGTGGGGGCTCATGATTGTAATGCCCTTCATGGGCCCTTAATGTGTAAATAAATGAAATGAAATTGATCTCTGTTGCTTCACTGCGCTACTGCCGCATTCGTGCAAACATAGTATATCTCTTGTTTGCACTTGTGCTGTTCAGTTTTACTTGTCAGTAGTAGTGCTGTTTGCATTCTCGCTGCATTTACCCAACCAGCCCAGCAGTTCACATTGTTTTAGTGGTTAGATTCCGACGTCTCCGGCTGTGGTCTGCTCTCTCTTCCTGCGCAGATATGATGTCGACTCGAAAAGCCCGAGACTTTCGGATCACGTACGTGCACGGCCAGGCTCTCTTTGGGTAAGATGTGGGACTGACGATCCGCTCTCTGCCAGGACTTCCTGGGCAGCATGGACTGCACGTTGGGAGAGGTCGTCTCCGTCCAGGGCAGCAGGTTCACCAGACCTCTCAAGTGAGCTCCCCTTCCCCTTGTGGCCGATCCTGTACTCGGTGTTGGCTATTTCCTGCGACATTGTCGAGAATGGCGTAGCTTTTATAACGGTGCAGCCCCGTACTGCTGCGAGAGCAGGTGCTTTCGTCTTGCGTCTCATTTGCTTCTGCTCGTGCGACTATCTTCGACGGAGTTGGAACACTGCGGAAGCTATGCTAGCAGTGGCAATTTAGCAGAAAATGGTTGATTTCAAGTATAGGTCACATTGATGCTGAGTGTAGAGCCACTCAATGAGTTGCACTTAGAGTATCGATAGTTTATGAATCGATTGTCTTGTGGGAGCTGCCATTTTGATGCTTAGTGCTGAACAGGTGCGATTGGCGATCGTTACAACTAAAAGATGCGACTTTATGAGTTTTAGGTGCGATGTTGTGACGCTCAGGCGATATCCTTTTTCTCTGTTCAGGACTCTTCTAACATTTCTGGAGGACGGAAAACCGTTTCCTGCAGTTTCACATAAAACATTTCTGGAGAACTGGCACCAGTGATCTTAAAGGAGCACTAAGGTGGATTTTGAGATGGTCTTTGTGTGGCGCGAATTCAATCTACGCACACTAAACATCCTAGAAAACCCCAAATTACAATCACGCTTGTCCTTTTTCGCTCTTAAAAACGTGACCAAACACCTCGACATGCCCCTTTTTCGAGATCTTAGAAAAAGGGGTTTAATTGTAATTTGGGGTTTTCTAGGATGCTTAGGGTGCATAGATTGAGTATGCACCATGCAAAGACCATTCCAAAATCCACCTTCAATCCCCCTTTCAGTAGCAAGACGGTTGTAGTGTCATTGCTCTGAAGCGCAGCTTGTTTCGGGGCTCGATTCGACTTTGAAGTCGAGGCATTGTTTGGCAGATGTGAAAATGGCCACGGCGTTGGCGGCCGAGTTCTGAAGTCTCTTCCACGCTGTCGTCTGGGGTTAAGGGAGGATGCTACGCTCTTTGTGCCGGTGGGAATCAATTTGTCGAATAACATTTCGTCGACACTTTAATGTTTAATCGAAAGGTGCTCGCGTTCATTTCAACGGCACATCTTGCAACATCCTGTTGTTATGTTCCCTCGATGTGGTAACCTATAGCTTGCCAAACCTTTGGCGGTTCCGACGAGGCTTCCCGTGAGCCTTGAGCCGTAAGCCCGAGACTATAATTTATTTTCCCCGAGTGAAGCAAAACGATGCTTGACCCTATTTTGAAGCTTAGCTTTCTGAACCCGCTTCCTTTAGAATTCACGGATTGGTTTTTGTTTGTCGGAGCTGTCCGGCACACTTTTAGAAAGCGAAATGGAGCCGTTACTGTCAAGCCGATTATAACAAATTCAACAGGGATCAGAAATCACTTCGCTATATCCGCTTCTTCGTTATATCTGGATTCCATAAAAGTAGCATGCAAATAAAAGATAACACGGGCCGTCACGGGCACATGTTTATTGTGCCGACAGAAAGCGCGCTTTTCACCGTCTGCAAGAAGCTCTGATCAAAAAAAGATCCGGCGAGCTACATACGGATCATGTCGACAGCTGCGACGGCCGCCGCAGAGGATGCTGACGGTGGACGGCATTCTTTACGTTTATGTGCAGTTTGTTAAGGATGTCACGCTTTTGTTTCAAGGAGATCGCCTTCATCTTCCCCATCAAGGTGCCGGGACTCTCCATCAATGAGTGGCGATGATTAGCCAAATCGCTGCTTGAGCAAAATTAGACTTTTGCGCAAGAGCGACCACACTGACCAGCGACGCCGACACTAAACACGAAGCAAACGAAGTGTGCACGCCACCGAGTTTGTGTTTCGTCAGTATAGACAGCCTAGATTTAAGAGAGGGGGCTACTGCTTGATCGGGGTTACGTGGATTGTGGGCAAAATTCAAAAGTGGTCACCTTCTTCAAACGTGTCCGCCTCTCTTCCCAATTTCCTCGCCAAACTGGCCACGCGACAACCGAATGGAGGCGCACTTATGCCAGTCTGCCCAGGAGACGTCTGCCATTAAATTGCAAATGCTCTCAATGGTTGGAGGTGCTTCCTCTCTTAAATCTAGGCTCTCTTTGTCGGTATCGGTAGGATGTTGCTAGCTCTCTGAACGCCTCTATCGGCATGCCACGGCGGCTTCTCCACGTGCAATGCGGTAAAGCCACTTCCCAGATAAGGGGCAGGGAGCAGATGGCGATGCAGAGGCTGCCGCCGGCGGCCTTTGCTGCATCGTCTGCGGCACGTTTTGGGTGGCTGCTGGGCCGCAGCAGCAAGGTGCAGCGGTCTGCTACTTAATAAACTTTCAGAATTTTATTAGTTTTTAAATCATCACAAAATTTCTCTTCACTATATGCACGGGAGTTGCTCAATTTCCTTCGCTAAAAACGGACACAAATGCATTGGAAAAGTGCAAACAGAAATGGGAAATCGTGGTCACTTCACTGCAGCCACTATTTTATTATAACCGACTTCGTTATAACCAGTCTCTACAGTAATCCGATCCAATCCACCTAGCAAAAAATGTTGCAGTGTCGTCAAAGTGTGCGTCGATGAAAAGTGTCTCGATGCATAGTTGCCCAAGAAATGTGTTTGCACAAAACGGCACAATCCCCTGGCATAAGTCTCCGTTCAGTTTGAAGGTCTTAATTGTATCCATCCACCTAGAATCACAAAGAACTCATTATATTACTGACTGTTTTCAGCAACAAAAAGATAGATACCTACATCAGGTCAAATCGGCTGATCCAAATTGAATTTTCCTGGCCTCTTCAACCTCGAAACTATGGTTGCACTTTCAGATTCCTGCTAGCGTTACTCTTGAAATGAGTATGCCCAAGGTTTGTGGTATCTCCTGCGAACGAGTAGCGCAGTCAGGCACTGACCGATGGCGTAAGCAACTGGCGCTACCAAACTATGTGTCCGTCTGATTTTCGGATGCGCATTTTATGTATGTTTTTTTTAATGTCAACGAAACAGAGCTTCAAATAAATGTGCCTAATCAGTGTCTCTTAGAGTGGTGGTATGCATAGCTCCACTTCAGTTGAAGAAATTTTCACTATGAATCTGGGATTTCTGGATGCTTCTGTTGCAAGACAAATATCTGGCATTGATTAGAAACGGGGTTTGATTTTGTTCTTGTTTGTTTGCACAATGCTATTTACAGGTATGCAAACAATTACTCTGCAAAAATTAAGGTTTAGTGATGGTTGGTGAGAAAATATATGTCATGATTGTTTCAGCAGTTGCTGCCTGTGAACGTGGGAGAAGGGCGTTGCAGCTGTTGCAACTTCAAGAAGTCGGGAAAAGTTACACAGTTTGAATCTGCGTAACCTTGCAGCTGCTGTTACATTACCTATTAGGCCATGGTTTCTCTTGTCTAACAAGTTCAAAATGCAATCTCCTCTGCACTAGACGTATGTGTAGGGCATTTGTATTTTTTATTTATAAGCTCGAGGTCTTTTATAATTACAGCCAACCTTGATGAAGATGTTGTTGCCAATCGGCAACAACATCTTTATTGTAACACTCGAATGAAAAACTGACCCAGTGCTGCCTCGCATGTTTTCTTTGGAATGACGTTGGAGTAGCTCGGTAAGCATTTGACGATGTTAATAGCTGTGCTGCCACTTGGTTTCAGGAACGATGCCAGCCACAAGAATGCAGGCACGATCACCGGTAGGTCTGGCATTGCTCCCCAGGTATTGCTTTGCAGACCACTAATGCCATTTCAATCCCTCTTCCTGCAGTGATTGCTGAGGAGGTCAGCTCCTGTAAGGTGAGCAGTGCCTCTTGTGGTCCGTACTACTGATCTGATTTGGGGTAGAAATGTTTGTGCACAGGGAAATCAGTCTTCCTTGAAATGATGTCTTTTTCTACGATCAAAAAGAATTCCCGGATTGATTTTGTAGCGTAAAAAAAGAGGGCAGTACGATGATGCACGCGCAGCAGTCGAAGGACCCTCAGGTCCTTCTGTGGTGGCCGAGTGGGCTAAAGCGCACACCCAGCTCGACGCGCGTGGAGCGAAAGCTCGCACTGCAGAACCCAGGGATCCTGGGTTTGAGCCCCACCCCTGCCCGTCTCGATCTGGATGAGCATCGTAACGGCATGCGGTCGTGTATCACTACTGCGTGGTGCATGCTAAAGACCCCAGGCTAGCGGTTGTACTGCACTGGCTAAAGTGCTCATCTACAGCGTGTGACTCGTCGCAACTTTAATGGCTGACCAACTACACGCTGTGTAAATATCCCCACAACCCCAATTATTATTATTATACCCTCAGGTCTTAGTATGCCGATGGACATCATTCTCTGAACATTTGGAGCTCCACTGTGCGAGTTTCTGTCATCACATGCACAAGCACAATGGCGATTTCACCATAGACTGCAAGCCAGAGCGAGAGCAAACATCAATTTTGCGTCAAACTCTGCAAATTTGAAACAAAGTCCTTTGAAATGATTCAGAAGGCTTATGTCAAGAAGCACTTAGTTGTGCAAAGTGTTTTGAGTGGCACTCACGCTTCGTGAATGGCAGAACATCACTGGAAGACGGAGAGGTTGGAGAAAGTCGCCCTACTTATCTTCACCTTCCAGCGATGTTCTGCCATTCTTGAAGCGTGAGTGCCACTCAAAACACTTTGCACAATTCACTGCTTTTTCACATAAGCCTGCTGGGTCATTTCAAAATTCTTTTTTAAATTTCCCGAGTTTGACGTAAAGACGCTAGATACATCTTTGCTTTGCTCTGTGACTTCAGATGAAGCTGCATTGTATGTAAGAGATCAGATTATAAACGCTGCTCATCATTGGACTTCACTGACATATGGAGTTGTGCCACAAACCGTGGTGGAACGAAGAGTGTGCCTGAACACTCAAAAACAAAATAGGGCTTGGGACAGGTTCAGGAGGTATCCTACCTCAGGAAACCTGGTGGAATTAAAGAAATGGAGAGCCAAAGCCCGATGTACTTGAAAGCAGGCTAAAATGAAAACCTGGGTGAAGCAGATTACTTCTTTGAGCAGTTTTGTCCCATCAAAAGGGGTCTGGGATAGGCTACGTAAAATCAAAGGGGAATACAAAAGCTTTACTATTCCTATTCTGGATCCTCCTTCTACATCATTACAAGGCACAGCAAATGCTTTGGGGGAGCATCTTAGTAATACTATATTCGGTTCCTAAAATTAAGTGCTATCTTTAAATTGTTTAAATCTCGTGCTGAGCAACACAGGATAGTCATGTCGGGAGCCAATTTTGCACCTTACAATCAACCGTTCACAAGATGGCACTTGATGTAAAGAAGCTATCTGCTCCTGGGCCTGATGCACTCCATTATAAAATGCTGCGTAACCTGTCCCCAGAACCCCTCGAAGCCCTTCTTTTTTTTCAATGGAACTCTTGGTGAATATGTGCTGCCACCTAGACACGCGACTGGGTTCGAGGTTAAGTGTCGAGAAAACAATGCGCGTGCAAGGCCTCTCCCATCAGTTTCACACCCAAAACATCAGCTACATCCTGTTCACCCATTGAGGCGCTGTGACCTAGATACGGCTCCCCCAAACTTGCCTTTGTCCCCATTGTGCTTAATCTTCCGCCCCGAAATCGACACAACGAAACAATCTTCCCTCTCTGCTCGGCCAGAAGGAAGAGAGGGAGGGTACTGTAACCCTTTACTCTCGAACCAATGTTTCTACAAAAGGTCCATTGTGGTTCTCCTTGGGGCCACTGCCTTTGGGAGTACCACGTTCGCGGCGAGACGCTCTACCGCGAAGCAAGTTCGTACTCGCGTGGCATGCTGCTTGTTGAGCACAAACAGACACCAGTCACGTTGGTAACGGTGATAAACTCTGTTTATTTACAGTGAAACAAATAACAAAAAGACAGCGGCTATAAGCGGGTGAACGCCGTCGCTGTGGAGATCGCCCACGGCCGAACGGTCGTTCACAAAGATACAAATGACGGGGTAAACGCTCACCGGTGCGCCGGACGGTTCCCCGTTGTCGCCGGCGCGGAATCCCAGGAAGAAGAGACCGGTGATACTCCTGTCCGCTGGTTTTAAGATAACGGCGGGGCGAAGTGGCCAATCAAGGAGCGGCACATCGATCTCCTTTGTGGGGGGTTTGTTACGGAAATTGCCCCAAAGGGGGAGAGGAGTAAGCCACTCACAGTGGTAAGCAGCGCCACCTCTCGCTACGCCAGCGCGGCCGCCACGGCGCGCCAAAACGCTGACGCTACAGAATGTTGAGGGATCACAATCCCCACACCATTCTTTCTGAAAAAAGGCATGCTTTCCCAGGGCTTGGAGATATGCTGACATAATCCCTCTCCTGAAAGCCTGGCAAGTTGAGTTCCTGTATAGGCTTTCTACGGGAGCCACAGTTGCGCATCTGTTTTCCATGTGCCGCCACTCCGCTATTCGTCGAATTCAGTCACGTGAGGAGCAGGACCAACATGCCGTGCAGGAAAGACGGCGCTACGGGGATGAATGCGCAACTCTGGCTCCCGTTGGGAGCCTATACAGGAACTCTAGTGGCAAGTACCCGACAATGCCATCTAGTTACTGCCCTGTTGCCACGTTGCCTTGGAAAAACGTTAGAACGTATGATAAAAGAAGACTGGTATTCGCGACTCCAGCAAAACGGACGCCACCAAGCGGGAAAACCGGGAACCAGCCGGTCCAGGTCGCTCCGCGCCCCTCCGCGTCTCTGGTGGCTTTCGCGGACACGTGTTGTCGGCGCGATGGCGAACCGTGTAATTTCACGAAGGTCCGAAAATTTCTTAAGTTTGCCTGAGTGTTCATTAGTATGGCGGAGCCTCAGTAGATTGTTTCCTTCCACCACGTGTTTTCGATTTCTTGGATGGGAAAGAATCACGGAAAAACGTTTTGATTTCTTGTCTGTCTCGAGTCACATTCAAAGTGACGACTGCTTGGTAACTGATAAGGGGTTTCGTTATAAGGATGTAGAACAATGGGAGGACGACAGACGAGGCATTTCACTGGAGGGAACACCGATGCTGCAGTCAAGTGAATGGGAAGGTTCGATAGCTGATTTTCTTAAGTTTGGTTGTGTTCGATTAGCTTCAAGTTTGAGCCACCCACGGCGGTCGGTGCGCTGGCTATTCATCTTGGCTGCTTTTTGCCGAAAAATCTTCTGGACCACTCTGAAGGATTTGGGCTGATTTCGCAATTATTTGATTTCGGAAAGCCTGCTCGCTGCAAATGAAGAATGAGGGAAATTATCTGTTTTCAAAAGGTGGGGGACGAGTCTCGCAACGTTAGAAGCTGTCACGACATTATGATCTATCGCGCCTCCAATATTTATATTATACCCCCGTTCGAATTAAGCCAACAGCAATATACGTCTACATTGCTCAGGTTGACCGGTCACAAAAATACTCATTTTTTCCGTTCAGGATTCGAAGTCAAGTTCAGTGCCAGAGAGGTTCTGCGTGAATCTCCAATGAAGACTCTCTTCAGTTTGTCCGCATTCGTCTCCGTGCTACCGGCTAGAACCATTTGGTTAAGTTTAACTTAGTATCTCTCTGTCTGTCAAATATACTTTTATTCAGCAGTTCACCTAGTAGCTAATTAACTAAGGTCATATTTCAAACCGAAGAATATACTAATATCGCTTTAGTGGGACGTAGTACGTAATATAATACATAACCCGCTCGTCAAAATGACTTCTCGATTGCTACTAAAACCTGAATTGAAATACGAGTACCAGCTGCTCAGTGGGGTGCCGGTGGGTTAGCATGATCCTTGGCTCAAGAAGCGCTTGCTTAATTTTCGTAATTTTCCTGCAGCCTGTGTTGTTGACCGAGCAGACGACTGAAGCTGTTTCTTAAACGCGGATACGCACAAAAGCCCGATTTCGCGGACAGATAAGTCACATGGTCGAGGCATGCGAGTTGGCTGAAAATTACTGCCGGTGGGAGAATTCTGCAGTCATTGCCGCTTTCCTTAGATGAGCAAAACTGATTAGTATATCACCGTCTCTTCAGAGCCCATAGTTTCGGTTTCGAACGAAACCTCCGAAACGAAAGTTTGACATGAAAAGAACAAAAAAACACACTTGGAAAACAAAACTATGTTCTGCAAGTTTATGTGCACCGGCTACACTGAACAGTCTCAATTCAAATACCTATAAAATTGTTCATTAAACAAAAGAAAATCTGTTAAATTGAACGTCCCACCTGTTCAGGCGGCCCGGCCGAGCCGACGCGACCTGGACTCAGCCGTCATGTTTGTTTGGTGGTGGCGCCCCCTATAGGTCGCTGGAGTCGCGAATACATACTGGAAAGTGGAAGTGTTCCTATTGCTGTGGGTTTCGCAGAGGTCGATCTACCTTAGATCATCTTGCGCGTCTAGAAACAATCATGCGGATAGCCTTTGTGAATAAACAGCATTGTGTTTCCGTCTTTTTTGATCTGGAGAAGGCCTACGATACAAAGTGAAGATATGGCATCCTCCAAGATCTGTATAGCTACGGGATTTGCAGTCGCATGCTGCGATGCACAAGAGACATCTTGTCAGACGGGACCTTCCATGTTCAACTGGGTACCACCTTTTCAGATTCATTTGTTCAAGAAACTGGAGTCGTTCATTGTGGCATCTTTTTTTATTGTTAAAATTAACTACCTTGCTCGGACGCTGCCCCGTTCTGTTTTCTATTCGTTGTTTGTTGACGACATCCAGATTTTAGCCTCCTCTTGTAATATGTCTGGGTGCGAGCGTCAGTTACAGCTAGCCATAAACAACCTTAGAAAGTGGGCCGACGAGAACTATTTCAAGTTCTCGCCTGAGAAGACCGTTTGCATACCATTTTCTTTCTGTCGAGTGCTCTCTTTGGATCCTGTCCTTGAATTGTATGAACCGACGCATGGGATTGATGTCGCTGAGTTGCGGCGGCACTGCAATCGCACCTGATTGGCCAGGCGGGCCAGGTAGGGGCAAAACAGCGAGCGCTTTGCATGTGCCACGCGACATTTCGTCATGTAGCAAAGCTGTGTGGCTGTTGGTTGTGCCGAAAGGTACTGCAAAAGTAGTGAAATAATATTCCACAAGTTCCCGGCGTATGCTGACAGACGCAAAAAATAGATAATCTGCTTGGATCGCACAAAAATGGTCGCCTTGCACGGACGACTGCTTGTATGGTAAGCCTTCATTAGAGGTCAGTGCGCAGCTTCCATTGCAATCTTTATTCCCAGCACTGAGTCACTCCTATAAGTAGGGAAACCATCATCTGATTGAGACCACCCGGACGTTTCTACGGTGTGTAGACAAGTTGCTTCCCAAGAGTTTCTCAATAGCTCGCTAAAACCAGGCATCTTGGAGTGTAAGCTGCGCGCTGCAACGGCATCACCCTGGCTTGGATGGCGCACAATGCAGTGCCTTGAGACGTTCAGAGCTTGCAGTCTCGTACAAAGCCTTTGGCGTAAAAAAGTGGAGTTAAATTTCAGACACGAATGACTCCCGATATATTCGCACACATAGCATTCAACCAGTTCTTACCAGACTCAAAGTAGTTGTAGGCCTCGAGAGACTCGTACGCTTGCACCGTGTCGGACATAAATTAAATCTGTGAAAAGACCAGGGGGGCTATGTTGCACGTTTTGGACTCCCAGGAGACTAGGGAGAAGGAAGTGACATCAACAACGCTCTTTGGATGTTGATTGGTGGAGTCGCTGATGACGCGTTGTGTGGTGCTGCTAAGATATGTTCATTCAGACCTACGTCACTTCCATCTCCCTAGTCTCCTGGGAGTCCAAAAAGTGCAACATAGCCTCCCAGGAAGACGGCAATGTGCGACAACGTGCGTTGGCATTGAACTTTATGTCATGTCCCTGGCTATAGACTCTATCCTGCAGGAAAAAATAAAGAGGGCTATTTATTTTGTTGACTCTCAGACTGCTATTTGTGCAATAACGTCTTTGGAAACTTCCAAAAATTTGCTTGTACAACAACGGTTCTTCATGTGGAGGCCATACTATAAGATTTTGTTGTGTGCCGAGTCACGGGGGACTAGAAGGTAACGAGGAAGCTGACAGACTTGCTACATCTTCAGATGACCTCCCTCAATCTCGCACAGACTTACTCTATCGGGACATCGAGCTTTAATCGAGTCGTCGCTTTTTCGGACATGGCAGACAGAATGGGACGTGTGACGCTATACTAAGCCCCACGTGACCAAGCCGGTCCTTGGATCCTGGGAAAGCTCTTCGTTTAAGAACAGATTTCATGAAGTGTTCATGTGTCAGCTTTGAATTGGCCACTCCTATGTCGCCCACAAGTATCTACTGTGCGGGTACGATTCACCAGTTTGTGATCGCTGTGGGGACTCACTTAGCAGACTGCATATTTTGTGGCTCTGTTCAGAGCTCGAAACAGAATGTCGAATTCATTTTCTGGAATTCTTTCGGTACCACATCCCTTTTCGCCCTGCGCTCTTATCAGTGTTGAGTAAAGTACCATATTTATACGAATATAAGTCATCCTTTTTTTTTTTGGAAATGTTCACGAAAATTAAGGGTCGACCTATAATCGTTAACAAAAAATTTGGACTTACATTCGCGACCAAATTTGGTGACCCTACTGAGGGCATGAAGCTATCGAACCACCGAGCCGGCGTCGCCGTAGAGCTGCGCCGCTTCTTGTTTCAAAAAGCTTTTGGTGCACGAAAACAGCCAACAGCCCACCCCCCCGCCCGCCCGCCCGCCCGCCGTGGCCGCCGTTCTCGCGCACATCCCTTGGGCGTCGGGTTTCGCCATCAAGCCTGTAGCGTTTCGCCATCGGGCCTCACTGGGGGCAGGGGAGAAAGGGAGGGAGAGGAACGCGATGCACTTAGCCCACCATTCATCTCCTTCACAAACGGGCACAAGAAAAAAATTAAAACAAATACGGTGGCTATTTTTTCTTGTAACTTGCAGCGGCTCGCGTGTTGCTCACTATGACTTGCTGCGTTGCTCTCGTCTTTGAATTTGGTCTTTCGCCGCTTCACCCCTCTCCACCTTCTTTCTTCTTGTCGTCATTTTACAACGGTGTCAGTGAGGTATTGTTGCGAATTTGCGAGGATGTCTACCAAGCTGACGAAGCTTCGGACGACGATGACATGTCTGGAAGGTCTGACAATGAATAAGTTTTTGGCATTGCCCTGTGATTTAGCTGAGAGTGCTGTAAATAAAAGTCTGTTTCTTTCTTTTGCCCTGACTTTCCCCTGTTCCTAAAAAAAAAAAAAAAAGAAAAAAAAACGACCCATATTAACCCATATTATTTATTTATTTTTTTATTATTCTTGGTGGGTTTAATAAATAGGGGTCGATCTATTTTTGTGGTCGACCTATTTTCGGGTAAATTTGGTATATCTAAAAGGTACTTCAAGTAAAGTACAAAGTAAATGAGACATGATGTACTTCAAGTAAAGTAGAAAGTACACTGGGTGCAATGTACTTGAAGTAAAGTACTATAAATACAATGTACTTTCAAAGTGAAGTACCAGTATTTTAGCACAATCATTTATGATGCCCTTTCATTCCCCGATACTGTGATTTTTTAACTGGTATGCATTGCCCAGGAGTAATCAGGAATGCATGACCTATTTAAAAAAAACAGTGGCGAATATTTGGTAAAGTCAAGTGGCCACATTTCAGGAATGGAGCCAAATTCAGAAGTCCCTTTTCTGAATTTGGCGCCGCTTGCACTAGATTGTTGCACCCAAGGGGGTTACATGTACTGGAACAGAGGTTCTCAAACTTTTTGGCCTCATGGAACCCCAGGAAGCCTCAAAAACTGCTGCAAAAGCCCCCCCCTCCTCCTCCTCCTCCTCCATATTTGCCGACCGAGAAGCAACAGATGCACAATTGTAGGCAATTCCTAATGCACAGCCTGTGGCATGAGGGGGGGGGGGGGGGGGAAAGAGAGAGAGGGAGAGGGGAGGGAGGGAGGGAGGGGGGGGTTGCAATTTGGGTGTTCGTGGAACCCATGAGACCAGCCCGTGGAACCCCTGTGTTCCCCGGAACCCAGTTTGAGAACCCCTGCTAGAAGAGAGCATGATGTCATCCTTGTACTTCCAGAAGCAATCCTCTTGCAGAGGAGTGTCCTCTCCTGATAATTAATCATTATGTGACACCTGAAATTGGGGTGCAAAAAAATTAAAGAACTCAAGTCTCAGGTGCTACATTATGATTAATTATGATGTCCTAATATTTTAAACCTCGTCACTTGCACTTACCGACCGAGAAGTTGCGAGAGTTCAAGAAGGTACGGGAAAGTTGCCCCCAGAAGAAAGGGAGCGATGCGTCGTCTGCTCACGTTTGTGGTGAGAGTAGAATGTCCCTCCCAGTATTTCTTTGGAGTTAACAAAGATTCATATTGTGATAAAAATTTAACGAAATCAAATTTGGGGAATGTACTTTCCTCGGGAATTGTACTTTCCTCGGAAAGTACCACAAAAAAATACTTTAGGTAAAGTACAATTACATACTCAGAGAATGTACTGCAAGTAAAGTACAAGTTTGCTAAACCTACTTAAAGTGCTTCCCAACACTGGCTCTTATTGGGAAACCAATCTCAGTTGTCCCCTCTGAAAGAGTTCTGACTTTTGTTAGTAGCACTGGCCTCATACACCAGGTTAAGTTTTAGCCGTTTTTGAAGTTGGTGTCTTTAGCATCGCGACCATAATAGCTTGATTGTCTTGTCAGTCTGGCACAATATAGCCTCTGTTGCTTTTGTGCCATAAAGCCTGCAAACACCACCACTGTGTCCATCACGTTATGTGGGTATTTTGTGTGCGGAGTAGATGAAGACTATGGCTTGCTGACTGAGCCATGCTGCTCTAAGATACTGACTGTTTCCAATTAAAATCGAATCTTGCAAAATAAGCTTAGCAAACCTTGAATACAAAATAAATATGTTATAGGGCTGAACTTTTGACGAAAACAACACTCTAAGGCTGGTCCACACAGCACAGTTTTTTCATGTTTTCTTGCGTTACATGCGAGTCAACGAAACATTTGTGTCTCGAATGTCACGTGCCAGGCTATATTTCCTTAAACTGGTAGCCACGCTTAATATGAAGCACAGATGTCCCAGTGGCTTGTGGCCTAAGCAAACATAACGTAACGCAACGTAAGAAAACGGCGCTGCGTGAACCAGCCTTTACACTTAGCTCGCACTCGGTTCACGTGGCAACATGACATCATTGCAGTAACTTGGCCTCAAGTTTAGGCATCATGCGACATCATGGCATTGTGTCACACGATTCGTACAAGGTTACATGACACACGCAGCACATGCCGAGCTTGTTTGCAACATATTCTGTGCATCTCTGAGTTCATTGGATGGGATTGAGACATGGTTAAACCAACACTCCGCACCCTACGATGAAGTGCCGTTCAAGGAACCTGCCAGCACGGTTTGAGTGCCCGTGTTTCTCTTTAATATTCGCAGCAAGTGGTGACCATGCAGTGGGCGGCCCACAAACTGGACAAGAAGGACTTCTGGGGCAAGTCGGACCCCTTCCTAGTTTTCTACAAGACCAATGAGGACGGCAGGTGAGGAGATGCGTTGCAAATTACCCTGCTTCGATTTCTTCATCGCTCCAACAAACTAGAGATGCGTGACATGCTCGATAATTATGTTGAACGTCTGTTTAGACGGGGGAAGTGAGTTGGCGTACGTCTTCACTTTAGATGAGAAATTTTGCCAGCGCAGTACCACTGCAAGCCCTAACGTGCATCATGCAGTAGCAATACACGACTGCACGTAGGTTTGATGCTCGCCTAGGTCGAAATGGGCAGGGGTTGGGATTGGGCCCAGGGTTCCCGGATTCTGCGGAAAAGTAAGCTTCCGCCCCACGTGCTCTGTACTGCGGCACGCAAACAGAGTTGGCCACCGATCCCACTTGTTTACACTGCCGGAGGCTGGGTGCGCGTTTGGGTGACATCATAATTAATTTTAGAAAATACTGTCAAGCGGGCAGTACGACGCCCGAATGCAGCAAATAGAATGTTTTTTTACCTCTTGGACATCTTCCGCATCTTTTATCAAATTCGGGACTGGAACAGATGGGTTGGGATAGTTAAAACTATACAAAATTAAAGCGTGGCTGGAAGAAACATTGGCTGAACATCTGTACGCATCTGTCTTTGTTTCCTTTTACCGCGCTTTTATTTTCCGTGGGCTGGTTTCACGTGACACGCTTCTGGCAAGACCTGCCACTAGAATCCATGGTAGTGCTTTTTCATAAAGAAAAACTGAGCTAGTTGGCACTTGTTGTACATGGTGATGAAAGAATAGCGCAGACGACAAGTTCAAAAGAGGAAAGAAGAACGTACATGCCAGGACAGGCGCTGTCCTGTCGTGTATGTTTCTCTTTTGTGCCGTTTTTCATCACCATGTATAGTGCTTTGCCTTATGAAAAGGGAACAGCGCGAAAATAAATGAGGGATGAGAAGAAGAGGTAACGACAGACACAGCGCCGTGTCTGTCGTTACCTCTTCTCTCGTCCCTCACTTATTTTCACGCTGTTCCCCTTTCATGATGTCAAACTAACTCGCCCAACTTTATGCATTGTTGCTTTGCCTTATGTAGTTTTATACGTGAGGGCAGTGTTTTTAACGCATAGTCGAGTTCTCTCGCGTTATGATCGACTGTGCCTGCTGAAGTAGTCGTCGACACAGAGGACTTGGTTTTTATACGTATACCAGTTGTTGTTTTTTAGTTAATGCGAGGCGGCACCTTAGAAGTTGGCTCGTCGGTGGGCAAAATGGCCTCGGCATCTGCCGCCGGGATGTGTTTCGAGGGAAAAGAAATTTAGTGAGCGGGAGTTTGTGTGACCCAAATGCATGCCCAGCCACGCTGCTTGAGTTTTGTTGTTGGCCAAGCCACTCTTGCAGCCTCTGCATTTTACCCACTCCAAGCACGATAAAAATGAAGGATCGCTTAGGCACAAGGGAGTAGAGAAATTGGCAGAAAGCATTCACCAGCACGGCCGCTCACAGCTTATTGGAAGTGAAAAGGTGTTCGTAAAGCCGTCCCATAAATATTTAAACTCTTTCGAAGCTTCATAGTTTGTGAGTCGCACACGCAGAAAACAAGTGCACCAGAAGCAGTTGACTTATTAGGCACTGACTCAAACTCTGCCCCTAGGTAAAAGCGAGATACCATAGTCACCTTAGAGCAAAATAATGGAACTAGCATATAAACACAAAACTTTTAATTTTGTGTTTGCCCGTCTCCTTTTTTCGTGGCTCCAGGGTTACTATGCCAGCTAAGTCCATCTTCCCTGCACTGTAATAGCCTGTTCTGAAGGGTTAAGCCGTCGTAATCCAATCCAGTCCAATCCCTTCTCTGCGGCAACCAGGGGATAAAGACAGAAGCAAAACACGGCGGGTCTTAAGTACTGACATTGGAGAAAGAAAGAGAAAAAAAAAAAAAAAGAAATAAAAATAGGAGAAGAAAGTAGACGATAAGTTAGGCATATTCGTTCTGCTGCGATGATTAGAAGTTATTCAAGCACTTGTCAACCTTATTGTTATACAATGCACAATGCTGGTGTTTTTCTGCAAGGTAGTCTAGAAAAGAACAGCCAGACATCAGCTTGCAAGTGATGTTCTACTGCTCCTTTGCGCATATTAAGGCGTCGACGGCAATATGGGCTTGTGGAGAACACCAATGTCCGTGTCTATGTGCCACCGTTCTGAAGGGCGGGAATGCATGGGACTTATTCTAGATTACTATGTAAACTCTATGGTGGCAGTATGTCGGCGGTGTGGAAGACGGAGGTGATAAAGAAGACTCTGAACCCCACCTGGGCCCCCTTCTCGACCAAGACCAACGTCCTGTGCAACGGGGACCTGGACCGGCAGCTCAAGGTCTTCTGCTACGACTGGAACAGCAACGGCAGGTAGGGGGTCGGGGGGGTCCCAATGTCCCCTTGTGGGGAGAAAACGCGAGGCTCGGTGCTGCGGGGGTCGTAATTCCTGACATACGGGTTTGCGGGGTTTAGTTATCTTAGAATTCGTGGCTCCTTCTGAGGGGTTTATTTTTTTTCCCACAGATTCAGTGTTTGTGATGTCAATTTTCCGTGTTAGGCAAAAAAAAAAAAAAAATTTTATTAATTCAGTTAATAAAAAAAAAACAAAAAAAACAGGCGCGAATAAGTGACTTTTTTACCGGGGAATATGCGTGTGACTCAAAGACTTGGAACATGTAAGAGTGAAAGGTCTGCAAGAATGGAACCTATTAAGAAGGATGAGTCTGAAGGCATACATTGAGACGAATTGCATCTGCAGCTGTAAACAAACGGTAATTTTTTTGTTGAAAGTTTCCTAAAATAGCTTATATAACTTTCTAATCGGATGACGCTAAGTTCTGAAACTTGGGCATCTGACCCTAACTGTTAGCCCTACATTTAGATGGAAGCTGAGCATTCGGCAATGCACAGGTCATTTTAGAGCGCAGCTCTTAGGGGCCCGTTTCCGGCTTGAGCGGCGTCGGCGTCGCCGTCGCCGTAACCGCGCGGTGCATTATGGGTAAATTTCCCCGCTAAATCTAGCGGAAAAATTTCCCCGCTAAACCTAGCGGGAAAAATTCCCCGCTAAATCTAGCGGGAAAAATTCCCCGCTAAATCTAGCGGAAAAATTTCCCCGCTAAATCTAGCGGAAAATATTCCCCGCTAAATTTAGCAGAAAAATTTCTCCGCTAGATTTAGCGGAAAAAATTCCCCGCTAAATCTAGTGGAATATTTTTTCTGGGGGGTCACGTGACCCCCCAAGGTCACATGACCCCCCCCCCCTCCCCCCCACCCCGAGAACAGGCAACCCTTAGTACCCTTCCCTCCTCCTCCTCAAGAGCTGTGCTCCAATTCAATGTTACAGGGAGTTGTAAACGGCTTTCACTTTTTTTTTTATCCACAAGAAAGACAAGGTTTTCTTTTCTTTCAAATACCTCGTATTTTTAAAGGGTACTATTTTCAATACCGATATTTTTACACGTGATTTTCTACCAAGCGATACCAGGAACAAGGTATTCTATCCCAAGATGCTATCGCAGAGTATCTTGAAGAGTACTGCCCAGGCTTGAGCCCCAACTGCCTCCTTTTTGGACTCTCTTTTAGTCCTGAATCTCGGTGCTGAGACTCGGGATGCATCGTTCCGTCACATTTTTGGCGATGAATAGTGAGAGAGGGTGCAAATGCGGCCGTTGCTGAAGTCTGCCTTTTCAGCAGCCACGACCTGATTGGAGAGTTTTCGTGCACCCTTCGCCAGCTGCAAAAGGGACCCTGCTCGGAGAACGTTTTCGAGGTCAGTCACACTTTTTTAGGACCCTTTAGGATTGCTGTGCTACAAGGCATACATGAGGAAAAGGCTTCTGGAGATGCTGTTCATCTCAAGATGCTATTCAACACTGACACTGCGAGCATAAGTCTTTGGTATTCAGTTCATAGTTCTATACCACATCATTATTGGCTCGAACTTTAACACAAATAACATTACAAGCGACCATTGGAAGCTCTGCTTGGAATCCTAGTAGGGGAGTCAAGGTGGTCTGTAACATGGCAGTCACTACAAGTGACAGGAGAGTCACAAACGTTCCCTTTTACTCCCATGCACCTTTTCACTGTCCCTTACATGACAGAAGCCTGCTGTCGTGACCGCGTAGAAAATAAAAAATGCATAGTTCCCACGAGTCTTAAAACATGAGCCTTAAATTTCACCCCAACGAATCGCCGACACATTTGCTATTTTGTCAGCCCTCACCGCCGTTTCCCGTTGCAGTGCATCAATCCGAGCAAGGCCTCCAAAAAGGGCTACAAGAATTCGGGCACGGTGAGTGTTATCTTGCGGTGCTGCCTGCACGGCGACGCTTGCGCAGTGACCTCACCGTAATACCCGATGCCCGCAGGTGACCCTCCTGAGCTGCACAGTGCGGGAACAGGCCACCTTCTTGGATTACATCCAGCGGGGGTACGTGTTTTTACGGTGCCCAGAACGTGTCTTCGACCAGCGCGCTGCCATCTTGTACCGCCCATGCATCGAAAGCAGTCCCTGAGTGGCCTCAGATTGCGTCGCAGGAGCCGGCATGTGCCATTGGATCTAGTGACCTTGACGGGCAGTGATGCTGGCGAAAAAGACGAGCAGATGCGAGGGTCGCCGTTGCCGCGTCGTCCCATCTCGCGTCTGCTTTATTTTTTGTCAATTGTCCGGTTTTTTTGGCGACCTATAGCGGAACAGGCATCTGCCACATACTCTACCGCTGCTGTTACACCACCAAGATCGCGGCAGGCAACGGCGTGGCGCTCGTGCGACGTCATCGGGCAGATACCGAGAATACCTTTGAGGATGCAACAAACGCACCACTTGAAAGCACACTCTGAGCACCATAGTTTCGGTCTCCTGGCTGATCGGAGAGTGTCGTGGTGGCTCTCGATCTCCAGCCAACGTTGCCATGCGGGCTGTTTGCAAGCGCCATTCCGTCGTAAAACAAAAACCTATAAAGAAGCGAATTAGTGAAATGCAACGATACTTTTCACGAAGGTGTTTTTACGTGGGGCATTTATCGTGCTCAAACTTCGTGAGTGTATTTGGTTTCTAAGAAAAATATAAATGCTAAAAAATATGGTAGTATTCGTATGCGGGGAAGTAAAATGGAAGCACACCATCCAAAAGATGCCACCGCTCACTGATAGTACCGGACATGCTCAAATCTGCCGGATCTACATTGGGGTGTTCACAGTTCTTGTTTCATGTGATGCCACCTGTGAGTAGCAGCGTCAGCCAGACAGTTTGTTTCCGTCTTTCTTTCTATGTGTGGTATACGCAAAAATCATATTTCTCGAAAAAATCTTTTCAGCTTGATAGTCACGCTATGAGTAAGAAGAATCTTGAGTTAGGAGCGATTCCAAAACTGCCTTAAAGTACTGAGTAAGGGCCCTCGTAAAAGTTGAAGCAAAAATGGCTACTTGTTAGATCCAAGATGCCAAATATTTATGGCAAATTGCTAGGCAATTTTGTTGAATCTGTAACATTTTAGCATCACAAACGTTTAGCGACACCCTAAGTTTCCAGTTGCCTACGTCCATGGCACTCTTCATAGAATAGTTTAACGCTTGCCAGGTGTACACTTGTTCCCTGAATGAAGCGATACTATTGCTAATCGGGCCAATAAACTTGGCAATCTTCCAGAGCCTTTTTACTCTCCTCTCCCTCAGTGCACACAGGTGGTTGAGCTCTTCTTTGCCTATCAGCGTCGAGCGCCTCACTCCTCCTCTCTCACTCGTCCACCAATCGGTATCCAACCTCGCGGTCACGCTTTTATCTGGGCTTCACGGGATGCCGAACACCCAGCCAAAGAATGCTTCAGGTTAAAAGCTGGAGAGGCACAAGGTGGGGTGGGCCCTTGTGTGATCTGACAGGACGATTTAGGAGCATCAGAGGTGTCTGGCAGGACCCTTCAAGAAGCTGCACATCTCATCAAGCCTGCTTTGTGGCAACAGACTTGGATCAAACTTTACCGACAAATGCGTGTCTGTGTCATGTGGTAAAGTGGTGTTTGCACTGGCTTCTCGGAGAAGCAGCTGTCGCAGAGAAGCACTTTGGTTACCATGCTGGGCTCGGAAGTTTGCTGGGGTGGGCGCTTGATATGCTTTTCGACTATTTAAAATGTTTCAGGAGCGGGTGCTTATTGCAACCTGAGTGCATGCTCGGTATTTTACGGTGACTTCTACTTTGTAGTTGATGCCTTCGGGGAGAAATTGGTTCCGAATCACTCCTCACTCAATATAAATCAAATCCTACAACAAAAATGTTGCACTTTTTTTTTTTTTTTGTTAAAAGTTGGTTTTGTGATGTGCGTAGCACCCGAAAAGAGAAATATGGGGGATTTGAGTGTTTTATTTGATGAGCATGAAACATTTGCCGTTTCAAAACATCAAACTTTGTTGTCTGTCTGGTCTGTTGAGGTGAGGCTCCAAGTTCGTGATGCTCGTGCCTGCAGTGTTTGTGATGTCACTGTCTATGGGTCCAAGTCTGTGGTGTGTGTGAATGCTGGTGAGACACCAAGTCTGCGACGTTTGTGTAATGTGTGTGTGAACATTGGTGAGGCTCCAAGTTTGGGATGTTTGTGTGATGTGTATGTGAGTGCTGTTAAGGCTGCAAGTGTGGGATGTCTGTGATGTTATGTGAGTTCTGGTGAAGCTCCAAGTCTGGGATGTTTGTGTGATGTGCGTGTGAATGTTGGTGAGGCTCCAAGTTTGAAATGTTTGTGTGATGTGTACGTTAGTGCTGCTGAAGTTCCAAATCTGTGATGTTTATGTGATATGTGTGTGAGTGCTGTTGAGGCTCCAAGCATGGGATGTCTGTGTAATCTGTATATGAGTGCTGGTGAAGCTCCAAGTTTGTGATTTTTGTGTGATGTATGTGTGAGTGCTGTTGAGACTCCAAGTATGGAATGTCGATCTGTTATGTTTATGTGAGTGCTGGTGAGGCTCCAAGTCTGTGATGTGTCTATGAATGTTGGTGAGGCTCCAAGTTTGAAATGTTTGTGTGATGTGTATGTGAGTGCTGCTGAAGTTCCAAATCTGTGATGTTTATGTGATATGTGTGTGAGTGCTGTTGAGGCTCCAAGCATGGGATGTCTGTGTAATGTATATGTGAGTGCTGGGGAAGCTCCAAGTCTGGGATGTTTCTGTGATGTGCGTGTGAATGTTGGTGAGGCTTCAAATATTGGATGTCTGTGTGATGTAAATGTGAGTGCTGCTGGAGCTCCAAATCTGTGATGTTTGTGTGATGTATGTGTGAGTGCTGTTGAGGCTTCGAATATATGATGTCTGTGAGGTTTGCAGTCTGTGTGCCGGTCCGTGAGGTGCGCTGCCCTGTCCAGCACGCAGATGCACTTCACGGTGGCGGTGGACTTCACGGCATCCAACGGGGACCCCCGCACGCCAGGGTCGCTGCATTACAACGACCCCCGCTACCCCAACGCCTACGTGCTGGCCATCCAGGCCGTGGGCGAGATCATCCAGGACTACGACGCGGACAAGATGTTCCCCGCCCTGGGCTTTGGGGCACGCCTTCCCCCCACGGGCATCGTTTCCCACGAGTTCTTTCTGGTGGGTCCTCTACGTGCGCCCTAGCTAACAGTGTGGCTAACTTTTGTCGGACATCCAGATTCGACTGGTTTGGCGAACCTTCCAACTTTCAGCAAAATTTGGAGAAGTTTGGCTTTCGAACAGTGTTGCCCAACTCTGCACAAAAATCTTAGACTTTTAGGGCAAATTACGTTATTGCCTAGTTTTTATTTTTTTTATTTTACAGACTATGAAGGCAAACATTAACACTTTTGGTGATTTAGTTAATTTAACGTAAAACATTCTTTGGCTAGTTGCTCCAGATTTAGTGAAGACACACTTCGTGAAGCCGTGGTCTGTGGCATCACATAACGTCACAATGACATCACATGGTGTCAAGTTACCTATACACAAGTTCAGTTTCCCCGCTAAATTTAGCGGAGAAAATGATGTCGCATAACTTTGTGTCATGTGACCTATACACAAATTACGTTTCCTCGCTAGATTTAGCGAAAAAATTGACGTCATGTCCTTCTCTATACTCTCCTGGCACAGGCTGACCCAACGGGGAAAGTGAATGAGTGAATGGCTCAATGGGGTGGAGAGACCTGGAAGGACAGCTCGAGTAGAAATGCCTGGAGGTTACTAGTGCTAAACCAAGAAGGTTTAACGTAGCAACACAATTGCGGGGTAATTTGCAATTTTTTTTATATGCCCCGAGTGCCTAAGGCATTATTAGAGAGTGGAGTGGTTAACAACTATAGGGATGAAGTAACAAAGTTCAGTAATTAGTACGGTAAAATGGCTCCTAGTTTTACAATATTAGCTATGGCATTTTGAAACTGTTGTTTATCTTCAATCGACGCTGTGGTCGTGCGAAGGCAACTTCACTCTTCTGATGTGCAAGGAAACAAAATTACTAAAAAGAAGCATTAGTTCCACAGAATGGAATCCCAACCTTATTTGGCTTGTTAGTTAAAACAATAGCCGCCTCGGTGGCTTCGAGGCGAGAGCGCCAGCCTACAGATCCCCACGTGACGGGTTTGAATCCCGGCCGAGGTGCCTGCAATCTGACTGAGGCTTATTGCGGAGAAGGCGCTGTGTAACCGAGCTTTCAGTTGCACGTCAAAAGATCCCCAGGTGGTCGAAATTAATCCTCAGTCCTCCGCTGGGGCTTGCCAGATGCCCGTCGTTGGTTTGGCTTGTAAAACCACCAAATTTTTAGGTGAAACAATGTTTGGCTCCTTAATGTGCTAGGTGGCATCGGATCGTTTTCAGTTTCCACACAGTTTCCGTACTTTTGCCGAATTTCGCATTAAAACTTGGAACTTCATTCTGGTCGAATTTAAAACTAGGCAGGGTGGCATCATTGTCGTCGGCCCTTTCTCTCGACCAGGGGGCACTGTAGCATTCGCAAGACCGCAATAAAGCCGTGTTCCAAAATATATTCCATCACGTTCCACAGTAAAAGTTTGTTTTGCGTTTCGGCATTTGAAAAACATACTCGCGTTCAGCATCATTCTATCTGCGTTATCCCGTGATAAGATCTGCGGGACTAACTCGGAGGAGTAAGATTTGGAACGATTTATAAGGTGCCGTAGCCTTTGCCAGTGTCTGCAAGACACAATCATTTGGTGCCGACGTAAAGAGGTGTCCCGGAGTCCCACCGTGCACGTCTGTCGGCCTCTGTTGACGTGCGCTAACAGAGCGTTCGAAAGAACTAGTATCTTTGAAGTCAACTTAAAGGGCCCATGAAACGAATTTCGGGCTGGAATAAATTAATTTAGATTGAGATTTTAATAATAGCACATCTTTCAGTGGGCCAAAAGAAAAAATTTACCGCATCTCCACATGGTGAATGATGTTGATTGGGGTGAAGCTCTGGTGGTGCTCGTCTGTGTAGACGCTGAGCCGGATCATGTTGAGCCTTTCGTTGGTTTTCATCCATGTCAGAAAGAGAATGTGTTGTTTGGAACGTGGTTATATACGTTTTTGAGCATTTGACCGCAGCACCCACTCGTCTATAAACGTTGAGCCAATGCATGCAAAGTTTAACGCGATTATATACGCATTTGACCGCAGCGCCCTCTCCTGTATAGACGTTGAGCGGCTGCATGCAACGTTTCATCCATGACATCCCCAGCTCTTGAGTTACTACCACATCTCAGAGCCCCCTACTCGTCCCGCAGCCGTGGCCGAGTGGTTAAGGGGACTAGAAATCCATTGGGGTCTCCCCGCACAGGTTCGAATCCTGTCGACTGCGCAAACATTTTTTTTTTTCATATTTTTTTTTGCTCTACACGAGCACGTGAGCACGAGCACCAGCAAGATTGATGTGAGCACGAACGCCGGACGGATAAGGCTTGACCCTAAGGAGCTTCGCCCCTAAAAAGGTAGAAAGTCAAAAGCCTGACTTTCGGTACGAAAATTTGAAAACATGGTGGACTATTTCGTACCTTCATAAGCTCTCTGCCTTTTCACTGTGATACATCTGCGTTCCCCGCAGCGCGTCACTGGGCCCAAACGCACACCACATGACACTGGACCTCACTTAAGTGGGGACACTACCCAGAAAAAACAATTTCTGCAAAAAAAAGTTGATTTTGAAAAATGTCATATTTACATCCATCAACATCTAGAGAGTATTCCCAGAAAGTTTCATTAGTTTATACTGCATGGTTAATTTTTTATAAATTATTTTCGGTCCTCCGATGCTAAAGAAAAGGTAGAGGTTGGAGCACTTTGAACGCATTTTTCTCCATTCCACTTTTTGGCATAAATTTCACTTTAGGAAAACTATCGTTTTGTTATTACGCAACTTGGATTCATTTTTATGAGTTTTTCTGGGGTGAAATTTTAAGGGGAAGATAACTATGAGCTTGTATTTTTTATTTTTGTCATTTTTCATGCTCAAGAACTAAAAGTTTGGACAAAGGATAGAAATCTAAAAAACTGTATTTGTGTTTATGTGACTTTTTTGTCATGAAAGATGGTATAACATAGAAATATAGCTCCATAGTTATCTGCTCTGAACTGTCCTAATGCAATGTAACACATGAAAACAAAAAATTTATAAATAATTTCAAAACGATAGTTTTCCTAAGCAGACACGCCCACTTTTTTCTTTGAACGTTCGCAATTTTTTTTGTACTTCACCCAAGTTAACAAAAATTGGCAGAAATGTTCTCAACATCAACAGAAACAAGCAGTGTAAATATAATTTAAATCCGACAAGTGGTTCAAAAATTTACTGTTTTGGGTAGTGTCCCCCCTTAATCCCTTTACCCCTAAGCTGACATTGCGGTGGAAGCTACGCGCTTGCCGGACCAATCAGCTGTCTCCCTTTCATCCCCTGACCTCACTCTCTGCGGGTGGGTATGCGTGAGAGAGCTTGATCACGTGGCAAAAGTGTGGCTGGCCCTAAGAGCACGTAGCTTCCACAGCACTGTCAGCTTCGGGGTAAACGGGGTGGGGAAAACAACTTTTGTCTGAATTTTGAGTGACAGGCTAATCTTCTAGGGGGAGATTAGCCCTTTGTGTTTGAATACACAAACAAGAGCCTGAGCAAGAGGGGACTCTCCCCTTTCTGTCTTCTTGAACTGTTTGGTACAATGCGTGATTTACGAGTTGAGGAGGAAAGCTGAACAGGAAAAAGTTGGGAAATTGTTTCATGACTCTTTTAAGAACAGTGCAACTCGCATCTAATACTGTAATGACCTCCTTTCAACTTTTTTACAACGATGGCTGTTATGGGTTCTTCCCGCCACCGAAAATCACATCCGTTGTGGATGTTGTAGTTGTTGTCATTGATGTCGTAGTCGGTGTAGTAGGGCGTAGGGTGTGTGTTGTCGATGTTTGCCGAATCTTTAAAAAGTCAGCCGTCGCTTGCGGGAAATTGAACGGGTGTTTGCCGCGTGTGAAGCAGAGGCGCTACTGCAGAGCGACGCCACAGTGTTAACCCGTACGTGCTCTCTGGACTAAGAGATAGCCAACAAGAAAATGCCGTTGTAGCAATGTCCATGCCAAGAGCTCGTGCCGGGTGACACGAGCTCTGGCGACAAAAGCGTTCGGAACAAAATGGTCTCATATCTATTTTATTCCAGACGCTTTTGGTCACGTGCTTTAGGATGCATGAACACGACGCCGATGCCCAGCGATTTCGCCGTGACGTATCACAGCTATCGTTGTGACTGTACTGTGGATTAACATGAGACTGCTCAATCTTTTTGTTGGGTATTTTTCCAAAGGGATATCAATGTGGCCAAGCGTGGTGACGTGCAACCGAGTTACAGCCTGAAAATATTTGATTTTGCTCGCTAGGGGTGCTGCTCAAAACTTAAGAGTACGAGCCTATAGACATCTTTAATAAGCGTGCGAGACTAGAAACAAAGATTGGATAACGTGCACACTTTTGGCTCCTAGTCTCGGGTGTTCAAGACGTTAGAAGTTCACCAGCTCGCCTGCATCTTCTCCGTTATTCCTCTTCAGCCTATAGAGTTCAGGTAGCAAATCTACCATGAGGGCAAGATAGATTTCACTCACTTTAGATAAATTGCAAAAATCAGTTGTTTTGTTCATGTTTTTCGCATTCTCAGTTTCTTACTCTTTACTCGGGTTAGCTCATTCTTTGAAATTTTGACGTACAAAATGAACCATCTTCAGCCACCTCTGCGGTAAGAACCAACGATCTAATCGACTAACATGGTGAAAATGCCGTGCACACGTCGGCTGAGCCACACGTCTGGGCTTGTGCAGAACGGCAACCCCAGCAGCCCCTACTGCGCCGGCGTCCAGGGCATACTGGAGGCCTACCAGAGGACGCTGCAGTCCGTGCAGCTGTACGGGCCCACCAACTTCTCGCCCGTCATCAACCACGTGGCACGGTGAGGCCCCCTCGTCCGCTTCGATCTCCTCGGTGCTTGAAACCAGCTATGGTTTCTGGAAGGCATCTTTGGCTTGTGCATTCGAGTCAGCCTCGTTTGAAGTCTCTCGATTTCTGCCTGTTCGAGTTGCACTTGCGTCATGCCGTTTCCTGCTGCAATCCTGGCAGCCTTTCTACTGACAGAAAGACAGTGGAAAAGGTTGATTAGTGTAGGATATGATGACAGTTTTATCAAACGTCAATTAGAAGTGTTTATCAAAGGCGGGAGAGAAACGGAGCAGAAATCAAGGAACCGCTTTGCTGTAGTCCCATATTTTCATGACATTTCTCACAACCTGAAGGCATGTGCGAGGCAGTTCGGAGTGGACATGGTTTTTAGTTCAGATTTTAGGTTAAGTAAATTGACGCCATTTCAAACGGGTGTGAGTGAGTGCAAAAAGCTAGGCCCGTCGGGAAAAATCGGTATGTTGCGAGACTGGTGTTGTGTATGAAGTACCATTGGAGTGTGGATTAAGTATGTGGGACAGACGTCACGTTGCATCAATGACAGATTAAACAAACATAAAAGGAATGTGAAGAACAATGTACAAAATTCGGAAATCACAAAGCATATTCATGAACGTATCAACTCCACGGCGCTCTGGTCGGAGGCTGAGATCATACACAAAGAGAGGAACGACGTAAAGAGAGTAGTAAGGGAGACCGTGTGGATAAAGTCTCTAGGCAACTGTTTATGTCGGGTTTTGCTACAGTGAAAGCAATTCTAAAAGCTTTCTAAAAATGTAATTTGTTTTTTTTTATGTGCGACTTGGGTTGTTTGAAGTGCGACCTCGATTGTGTTTCTCCAAAAGAACTGTAAAACACACTTTTGTTTAATTGTTGTTTGTTTTCTCTTTTTTTGACATGTGTTAGCCCAAATATTGTTTCAATAAGTTTTTTTTTTGTAGTAGTAGTATATGGAGATGATGCATTTTTAATTAGAAGTAGGAACTGTGTTTAGAATAGAAGTTGAAGAGATCCTTTTGTTCAAGTTTGAAGGTGGATGAATGTTGCTTTATAGCGCTGACCTGTGAGGTTGTCAATGCTCTTACATTCATTGTGTGATGGAGACTGTGGCACTTGAACTGTATAGACTTTGTCCTTTTGTGTTGGTGATGATGACCTTGAGATTGAGACTATATAAGAAGGTGGGCTAAACAAATGAATTAGCTGAGTTTGAGACGTCCTGTCTATATTTATAGTCTCTTGTACGTTTTGATGTTTCTTCTTTACCCCAGTCTCAGGTTAATTCAGTGTCACCAGCCCGCCTGCACCCTTAGAATATTTTCTGTGAGAGTTTTGCATATGTTAAAATCCTTTGAGAACACCCACCCAAAATGCAGAGATAGATGGCCAAAAATATGGGGTGGGCACAAACCCAAGTTTAAAAATTTTTTGAAAAAATTCATTTTTCAATTTTTAGGTTTTCGGTTTTAGGAACTAATTATACACCCTTACACTAAATTTCATAACCATGCGCCAAATAGTTATGTTGATATAAAATATTTTCAACACATTGTAAGGCAGTAACAAGGTAAAGGAGTTCAATGTTTGAATGCATTTTGCTCAGTTCTGCTTTTTGCAAATTTCATACGAAGGAATCTTTTGTTTGAAGGCAAAATTATTCTGATACCACAATCAAGGTGTTTCTGAACTGAAATTTACGGGGGAATCGGGCTATCTACTTTATTTTGTTTTAAGTTAACGTCCTCATTGAGAAAAAACTATGTTTGCGAAAATTGACATGGGACAGATATGCATCTCACATTTTGAGGTAATCACTCTTCCTGAAATATTTACATTTGAGTTATAAAAACTATATAGCCCAAAGTCCCACATCTCCCACTTTATATGCAAGCAGTTAAAATGATGCTTGATAGCTTCGTTTGCATATCATAAATTTTTTATTTATGATTTACACCTACATCTGAAGTTAAATCTCCCCTGCAAATTTCATTCCGATCACTTGAGTAGTTCAGAAGTTCAACCTCTAGCCAGTGTCCCCCCTTAAAGACGTGACAGCAAAATGTTATAAAAAAGCTATAAACACGAGGGTGCTCTCTACAAAACACGTGAAACAGGAAGTGATACCACAGATCGCGGATGCAGCAGATTCAAGCTTCAAGGTGTGACAAACACGCGGGAATTCACAACGACCTGTTGTGTCACGCGAACAAATATTGCAGATCGCAAACGCATCAAATCTTTGCTCTTTTAATGGTGCAGCAAACACGTGGGAAACCACTAGAAACTCGCGTATCATGGGAACTGAGATTGTGCGCGTGGGTCAAGGACGAAAAATTCAGAAACCCGCTACAAACTTGCATGTCATGGGAATGGATACTTCAGATCGCGGACGCAGTAGATTCGTGCTCAACGATGCCATGAACACGCAGGAAGCAGCTGCAAACTTACTTGTCGCACATACTTGTACCGCAGATCGTGCAGTTGATGTTATTTCCGTTGTTCCCGTTATATTTGATGGAAATTCAGGGGTGGGCAATGCTTCAGAATTTTTATGTTACGGATATTTGGCTAAAAAGATGGGATGTGCAAGTTCGGGGCAACGTGCTCACGCTCATCGCTTCAGTTTCGCTCACGCATGAAGTAAAACAAACTATAGTCACGGCTTGAGAGAAAATTTCAGGATTCATCTCTCAAGCTGCGATTGATGAATTCTTGCGTGCTCCGTTTCACATTAAGTCCAACCACAGCCGAGGCTATGACCCGACGTAGCCAATCGAGCAACACCAAAACTGCGTCGTCATGGCACTCGTCTGCATTTCCCATCTCCAACTAAACCAGTCGTGCAGAAAAAAAAAAGTGCAGGATCATGAGGCATTCAGTGTGCACGGCTGGGTCGGCCGGAGATAGCAGACGCGCAAAGACGACAAGTGCCGTGACGACGCACTTTTGGTGCCACTCAACCGACTTCGTCAGCTGCAGTTGCAATTAGCGTCAAGCAGTGTACGGAAGTGGTCTTGCTCCCTCCAGGTTTGCATCATCATACCAGGACGGGCGGCACTACTTTGTGTTGCTCATCATCACGGACGGGGAGATCACGGACATGGCCCAGACCAAGGAAGCCATCGTGCAGGCCTCCGTCCTGCCCATGTCCATCATCATCGTGGGCGTCGGGAATGCAGACTTCGCCGGTAAGGTCGACGCCTTCTCTCTCGCTAATGTTGGAATTCACTAATGTGCCCTCACATGGAAAAGTTTTTTTTCTGGTTTAGGAGTTGTAGACGAGGGGTGGGTGCACAAGCTCTTTCTCTTGAGTGTCTTAATAGCGTCGAAGACAATTTAAGGACAGTGAGGGGAAAAAGGTTAGAGTCACTGAATGGGTTTTCATAGTGCCAAAACTCCCGCCAAGTTCCGTGTCCTGGGGCTCAAATTCGTCTCTATCCGTGCCGCCATTTTGGATCCTTGCATAATACACTGTACGATAACTGTATGCAAAGTGCGCCGTTGGCATTGTCGGCAGGTACAGCGAGTCACAGCCACAGAAGTTTTGTGCTCGAGCCCCGTGTTTTTGTTTTTTTTACCACAGCCATGAACGAGCTGGACGGTGACAGTGTTCGGATCAGCTCACGGGGCCGGCTTGCCGAACGGGACATCGTTCAGGTAAAGCTCGCGTCTGCTGCATGCAGCACGGTGCTTCGGTGCAGTGCTGGGCGAGTCCACGTGAAAAGTGCCTTAAAGGGGCACTGACACATCAAAATCATATTTTTTTTTATTATCCAAAACGATTGAAAACGATGCCGGCACATTACCCTCAAAATTTGAGATTTGGGAATTCAGAATTCGTGAAGTAAAAAAACAATTTCCAAATGCCGAATTCGAAGTTCCCGCGCGATCGGCGCCGGTGCCTTGACGTCAAAAATTGAGGAGACCTGAGAGTCCACTTTCCTGTCACCACTCCCTGCTGTTGCCATGGCGACCCAAAGCGAGGAGGATAGGAGCGAGCGCCGGCTAGCGCCGGCGTTACGGGGGGCCGGTTTTGAGCGGTGTCGCCTGTTTTCCGTTGGAGGATACAAATCCAGGAGACGGCACCACAACGAACTCCCGATTTTTGGTATTTCAAAAAGAAGGGCCGTAGTGCGTTCGCAATTGCGTTAAAAAACATGTTTTAAGATTGCCGTAATTAAATGTTATAGAGATGTCGCCTACAAAGCTTCTAAATTTCCTGATTTTTGACGTCACCGATCAAAAGAAGCGAGGAGGCGAGAGGCGGGAAAATCAAACGCCAAAAATAAAAAGGCGCGCGCGCGCGCGGGAAAATTTTTTTTCGCAATGCGGTTTTTTTTGCGTGTCTATGACTACAACTTGCATCGTTTTAGACAATAAAAATAAATACGACCTTTGGGGTGTCAGTGCCCCTTTAAGTCCCGAAGTAAATTTACTTTTGTACTTTGCTTGGAGCTGATGGACACAGAATACGCTGTGTGTTTGTCTTGACCATGTGTACGAGGATGCTAAGCTTGGTGCAAAGTACCGCATAAATGCGTGTAACGGCCGCACTTTTCTTAAGAATTTAGAGGTTAATTAGTAAGTTGGGGCCTATCTACGGATAAAAACAAAACGGTTTCAGATGTGCGTCCAAAATAAATGTAATTGCGATTGCAAGCAGTGGTCCAGAGCACCTTTGTTTCGGTTTCGATCATTGTAACCCATGGTATCCTCGGCGCTCGAGTCTGACGGGCTCTTAAAAGTTGTCAGAGTGCTCTTTTGAGCCATCCAGTAGGCGCCTTTTTGGGGTTTTCGTTGACCGTTCTGGGGAATTTCACCTCGAAATTCGTTTTGTCGCCGACGTCGAGGGGCCGCGACGTACCAGTAAGCCTGCCTCTGATTCCACTCTTTTTCCGGCACTTTACTCAGATCTTGTTGATCTTGTTGCAACCCGTTGTGCGTCTGCCACACTCCAAGGCATAAGTAACAATTAAAACTACTTGCCCGTAGCTCTCGGGTTGAAGTGCAAGCGTAATTAACTTAGCAGAACAAAACATTCCCGAAGCCTAAAGGCGACATTAGAAAGTCAGAGTGCCCGATTTCACGGCACCTATTGTTACATGGGCAGAAGGCATCCATGGGTGACGTGAAAACCAGAGAAAAGGATTACAGTCACTGAGAGGCGATTAGAAGATTGGTGGAAATTATCTAGGGAAAATTGAATGATGCGCAACTAACTAGCACAGCTGGGGACAGGTGGGACAGAGAAAAATTTCAGCTCCCTCCCGCATGACTCCGGCCCAGAGTCTCAACCCTGTCTCCCAGTGGGTCCAATGCTGAGGTAACGCCAACAAGGTTTGACCAGAGGAAAATTGGCGACTTCCTTGCCGGGGGGACGAGGCGGGGTTGATGTTTTTGTTTTTTTGCCCGATCCCTCAAAGGTCATCCTGTTGATATCTCGCACTGCCTGGTGATAGAGGGAGAAAATTGGCTTAGAAGGTCAGTAGGAATCGTATGTTTGTTATTTTAGACTTGGGCTAGGTGGCGCAAGCTAAAACCCAGTACAAAGGGTACAGCTCTTAACATCCATTCATCCGTTTATGAGAAGGAGAGCTTTCCGGAACTTTACTCCCGTAATCTTCCTTATCTGCACTTGCAAACGCAGCAAAAAGCGGAAGTAGGGGCGTGGAGATGCGGAGCAGAGTGCATGCCACACTGCGAAAGTGGTTGGTGCCCCCTCGGAAAAAGGGGGGGTGCAGCTAATAATGCAAATAACTTTTTAAATCTTCTTTTTCAGAATATTATGGTTGCAGTCCATGCACACAATTATATGGTATCAGTGTAAGCTCCAGTTTTTCTGGGGCTTGTAATCTCCTTATGTCAATGATCCTGTACGTGATCGGTGACTGTGGTTTACATTGTTGGTTTCACTATTAGTTAGCCGCATAGTCACATGACCATGTAAAATGATGTAACGCAATAATGTGGCATCGCATCAAAAATTGAGTCGCGTGGCCATGTGAAATGGTGTCAAGTCTAACCACAGGATCGTGTTATGCGATGCCACGTAACCGTAGCTTACAGGATCATATAATCTCTTGTGATTACGTGATCACATGGCATCACCTGACCCCTCCCAACTTTCAGCACAATCCTTTATATGGCGCCATCTAATCTAGCTCATCAACTTTTTGGCACCCTCTCACTCCTGCTAAATGGGAATGCAATATAAAAATAGACTTCACGACTTAATTAGACACAATAAGTAACTCGGATTTACCAGTTTGAGATTCCATTGCTAATAGTGATCACCCAGGCTGTTTTGTTTCAAAGACGGAATTTGAGAGTGGTGTACTTGAAAGCATCAGCTACTCCTCTACTTATCTTGAAATGTGCCAGGACAGGGTACCACAATGAAAAGGTGTGCTTCTGAAATGCATTCGCAGTACAATACAAGCACAGTTGAACTCCATTCATATGTCGTTCAGATTTCCCTAAAGCTGAGTTCGACTGCATTCATGAAACAGTTTTTGTCCAATTTCTTGAATATACCGTAATATCCCGAGTCATCGCCCATCCCCGAGCCATCGCCCACCCCATTTTTTGGGCCAATATCGATTTCCGAAAAAACACCGAGTCATCGCCCACCCCTTCAAATACCCCAGCGCAAACTCTGCGATCCGCGAACACTCATCCTACCCGAATGACGCGGCCGGGGACCTTACAGTTGGAGGACGTCCGTGACAAAGTAAAACGAAGGAGGGAAAGACACTTCTTTTTGTTTACGCATTTCCTCCGTGAGCGACCCCAAAGTGGTCGTGTATCCGTGCGAAAAGAAAACGATGGAGATAACAAAATAAGAGTTTGTTAACGTAACCGCGGAGTGGTAGGTCAAAGTCTGTCTCGGCCGAAGTAAGGTCACCGCAAACCCGCTCCTTCTTCCCGCCCGTCGCGACCGCGGTTGTGCAATATTTTAGGCATAGCCAAAGCGTAAATAAAGCTTTGCTGGAACGTCCTACACAGACGTTTGCAGAGCGTCCCAACCGTGCAATGATAGCCCGCCGTGCACGGACACACGTATGTACGCACCAAACAAGAAAGTTGCGCAAGAGCTTGCAATTGACAAGGCGCCCGACTTGGCCCGACGCCAAAGTATTTGCCAACGCGACCACCGGCTTTCCCGCTTTCCCAGCATTGCTCTTGGTCGCTTCTTTGGTACGCTCGCTCGCTCGTTGCGCCTGGTCGGTTTTTCTATTTTCTTGTAGACTTTTCTTTTTTTTCTTTTTTACTAACTAGGAGAACATAATGGTGACAATCTTTCACGGAACAAACGTTCGTGCTATATGCAGATCGGCGGTGTTTTTAGCGCGTATGCAAGCATCGGACTTCGCTATAGTAAAATATTCTTTCGTGAGCATTTTTTTCTATAATACAATGAAACTAAATCGAGTTTTGAGTTTGATGTATCTCTTGTGCATCAGCGCTAGATACGCAGAGAAAAATAGGCGGTTTTTTCCGCTTCTTTTCAAGTGTTTGTGCTCACCCACCGAGACATGGCCCACCCCACTTTTTTAAAGAATTTCAGGCGGTTGGGGGGTGGGCGATGACTCGGGATATTACGGTAGTCGAACCTGTTTATAACGAAGTTGATAGGAATCAGAAATATATGTTCACTAGTCTATAATTATTACACCTGGAGGTCTTGGGATACTATGAGTATGGGCCCCATGGGCCCCCCCCCCCCCTGGTTACGTGCCTGGTGACACGTCTCTGAGGGGCACATGGTAGTCGGTAAAACTTGCTACATTCACCGTCAGTCCCGTGGCGATGCTAATCCTCGAAAAGTCGACAGCAGCAGAAGGAGTGGCTGGGGTCTCTGAAGAGGTAACCCAACGGGAAACCAGGTGGCCTCCCAGAGACGTCACTGGAAAGGCGGCGTGTTGGGTGGCACATTGACCTCCAGTTTGTTTAATTTTTTTTTTAAATAAAAATTAACGCGCAAGAAAAGATTGTTTTCCGTTCTTCGTTCTATAGGTGACGCAGATTAATTCCCGTAGTTAATTGGCCAAAGTTCGAAAATCGTTGCACCGCCCCTTTAAGTGACGTAGAATCACTATGACCTCATCACATAGGACTAGTGTCGTGCAAATATTCTAAATTTTCGAACTTCGAAGCGAATACATAATGCCATATTTGATTCCAAATTCGCATAGAATAGGTCTATTTGGCAACTTCGAATATTTTCCAAGTATTTAGAAGTTTAAAATGCTGCAAAATATACCTACTAAAAAAAAACAAATGGGGGGAGAGAAGGAAATTTGTGTTTTTTGTGGTCTCCCTTTCTGTTCATTATTTGTGATCTTGACCTTGATTCACTATTAAGGACGATTCACATTATGGACAATTTTTCTGGGAGACGGAGGGGTCCATATTAATGAAAAATGACTGTATTACAATAATAATAATGACGCAGGCGAGCTGGTGTATGATCATAATAGAGAATCCTTCAGACGTAATCGTGTTTGTCCTTTTTTTTTTCCTTAGACTCGACGGTTCTCTACCATAACCGTATTGACGACCTCAAACTATTGGCTTTGCTTTGAAGTTATTCGTACGAAGGAACAATTCGCTTAGTACTCGCTTCAAACTGAAAAGTCACTATTCGCACATCCCCACGTAGGAACTGTTGAGAGAAGGCCCACATCTCTGCCAGCCTCCCCCTTTCTTTTCTAGGCCTCAAAACAGGATGAAGACATAATCGGCACTAAAGCCATCTGATGGCTACCAATCTTGAGTCTGTGATGAAGCCGCAGGGAGGGGGGGGATGCTTTTCTGGCGTCATACCAGAAGCCACACGAAACTGCCTCGCGGGCTGCGGGTTGGCAAACCCGGGCCCGCTCTATAGAAACGCCACAAAGAGGGTGGCACTGGATTGGATTGGATTCTTTTGGCCCTCCCCTTTGTGACGGTGTGGGGCGCTGTTGGTTGCAGTTTGTGGCCTTCCGGGACTTCCTGGGCCGCCAGAATCCCGTGGAGGACAAAGCCCGCCTGGCCAAGGAGGTGCTGGCCGAGATCCCCGACCAGCTGGTCGGCTACATGGACAAGCACGGCATTAAACCCAACGCCGCACCCAATACGTAGCTTGGGGTCTCTGCCATTGCCGCCATTCTGGTCACTGTTGCGCTCGGCCCTTGTCATTTGGTCATGCTCTGGCCGTGGTGTGGCCATGCCGTGGTTGGACTTTGGCCATGCTCCAGCCGCTTCGAGCCTCGGCAGTACTGTGTTGTTGGTACTACTGGACTCGGTCTTACCTCGTGGGTTGCCCTTTTTGTGCCCATTGGAGCTCAGGAGCATTGAAAAATGTTTTATTTCCAAGCACATTTCATCCCCAGCAATGCCTGCCAACCTCCGCGCAATTTTAGTCGAAGGTAAAAAGGGCTCACACAGAGACAAGAGTGTTCACTTGTCTTCGGCGTCAAGAAGAGCTAATTTGTTTTCTATCCCAAAGCAATTGGGAGAGGAATGACAAGGTTCCTTAGAATCGACGATTTCCCTTAGTTTGGGTTGAAATAAGTTGCATAAAATTTTTATATTGGGTGGGGAGGGCATATTTGTTGATAAACGGTAAATTTTATTTCATTTAGTGAAATCTAAAGTGGGTATGGGTGAGTTTGCATATAATATAAAGACACCCAGCTATCCTCTTACCATTGCCGAAGTTCACTTGCAGCAAGCTGCTTCCTCACTTGCTGTAGTCAAGAGTCATGCATGGAGGCACGAAGTAGAGAGGGGCTGATTCTTAGCGATGTTTCTTTTTGAGGAGTGGATCCTGGAAGCCATCTTGTAGAGCACAGGGCTTTTTCTACTTTTTTCTTGGTCGTTCCCATTCACTCAACACTCTTCCTCGGGACATTTTCTTTACTGCCCTCTCGTTCCTTGACCTTTATAACAGTGGTTCTCAAGTGTGAATGTGTTGGGGACCCCTTGGGGACTTTCCAAAGCGATGGGGGACCCCATGCCAGCAGGGGAAGGGGAAAGGGGGGCAGGAGTGTATAAAATAAGGCAACTAATGGCAGTGTGAAAAGGGCATCCTTTTTTGTTATACGAATAGATGAAAGGATAAAAAACATAGAGGACAAGGGATGGAGACAGAACTTCTCTCAAAAAGAAGTTCTGTTTTCGGTCCCCGACCTGTGTGCTTTTTTTTAACCTTTCGTTTATTCATATCCAATTCACCAACACGCTCGTTTTCAATTAATACTGTTGTAGACAGGATAAATGGACAGGTAAATGGTAACGACTTTACTTTTTATAACGGGCGGTAGCTTGTACCTCCTAAGCAGTACAACAAAAACACTTTTTTTTATTTTTGATTGAAGGGGGACGGAAATTAAGGCGAAGGCTTTCTAGATCCCCAAGAACAGCTTTGCAGACCCCAGTGGGAACCCCATTTGAGAACCACTGCTCCATAACATTGCGTGGTACCTAACTGATTGGTCACATGTCTTTCTTGTCCCTTTTGACAATGCCCTTCTACCGGGAAATCATTCTTCTCTTCATCATTTCCCAGCCAGCGGGACGCGCCAGCCCTTCTACTTTGACCACAATGGGTTGCACATGGTGGTGCCGCAGCTCGATGATGCATAATACTGAACGTGCACGCTTAGTACTGGTGACACGATGGCAGCCTCTTGGCATTGTTCCCTCAATGTTGCTGGGCATTGGAAGTACAGAAAGAAAACATTGCGACGGTTTGTGATTCATTCCCCTCTATGTCCAGACTGCGCAGTCTCTCAAACATGGCCTCGGTTGTAGTTCGACGACGGGCAAAAAACGTTTGGGTCGTCGTTAAGTGGCCACATATACACCGAGCTGTTCAGACTGTACTCCTAAGTGCGAGCGAAGCCAAAGCTACTTGCGGAAGCTTTGTGCTTTTATCGCAGCTTTTGGGCATAAATGTTTGTGCAGTGCAAGCGCTGCTTTGAAACAATATAACTGTGCTTGTAGTTTGTTTCGCTGGCACTTAAAGGGAAACGGAGTATAGCGGACCAGCATCTCGAAGGTGCTTTTAGCTGAGAAGCAGGGTTGGAGGGCAACATTATTTGAGTTGGCAGTAAAACTGGGCTAAGGTTCAAAGTTGCTGGCGTGATGTAAGTCATCCCCCGTTGTGTCGCCATTTCATATTGTCTATTGACTGTTTTTCCTATGAAAAGTATATTGCACAGATGTATATCTTATTCTCGGGGCCTCCTTGGGAGGAGTGCTGGTACCTCGGCGTGTGTGCTTGCCACTGGAAAGTGCTGGCTGTGGCCGCAAGGATTATTCTGGTCGGCTTCTGGGGTTGGTATCTCCGCATGTTGGACAACGGCAGGTGACGGACCAACATCTATTTTATTGGAGGTGGCTTCTTGCATCCCAAGCATTAAAAATGGGCTAACTGCACGAATGGGGCCACTGGTAGCTTTTATGTAGTAAAATACTCCCAAGTTGTACAAACAATGGCAATGAAATCGAAGCTGACACCTGGGTTGTAAATTTAGATGGCAAGGAAGCAAATGGACGACCATTTCCCTTGGACTGTTAACTTGCTCAGCATGTTTAGTGCATTGGGCACCAAGTTGGAGTGATGCATACAATGTTCTTTTGCAACTGGAACATGAAAAGACAGTGATATTTATTGTCATCTGTGGTTCATGAAGTGGAGCAACAGTTGTGCATCTTGACTCTGGGCATCCTTGCAGCCACAACCTACTGTTTATTTTCTCCAGGGCCGGCACACATTCCCATGACTGTTGTTTGATAAGAAAACCTGTGACTCCCTTTTTTCAGAACAGAGTACATATATCTGCGTTGCTCAAAGTTGAGGGCCCAGGAGAAAATCAGTCCACTTGCAGATGGATTATGGAACTTATCCGAGCTGGATTGTCTCATTTCCAGCTGGATCTAGCTGGGACAACTTTCATAATTCATCTGCAAGTGGACTGATTTTCTCCTGGGTGGCTTTCTGTCCAGAAGCGGAACAAAGATCAACATTCCTTGAAGACCGAACATTCTCAAAAACGCTTGCAAAGCTCGCGACATTGACCTTTGTGTGCCATGAACCGTTGCGAACAAAAAGTTTTTACCCCGTTTGCTACGCAATTTGTATGTTGTGCCAACACCATTAATAACCTGTTGTCTGAGACTTTTTGTGCATTGTTGCACGTGTACAAGATGATAAGGGATGCTTCATTATAGTGCAACACTTTTTAGACCATGTTTCTTATATCTTAAAAACTGTTCCGCCATCGACCTAACATTGTGCATTGTACCACATCCACAAGCTACGTCATGCTGTATGCTGCGATGGGCACAAATAAATCGTGATTTGCCAGCCTCTCTTTCTGTTGTCCTTAACGATTCACCCTTTTTCAGACAAGTCATTAACCTGAGGCACACCTCGGTAAAAACTCGCTCGTGAGCCCACTTACTCAACGTCAGACGTGAAGTGAGGGTGAGTGGGTATGTAAGCCTTGAAAGACCATGCGGTTGAGTAAGCTCAACGGGTGGCGTGAGTTTGGCGAGTTTGAGTTTGGTGAGATACGAGCCCTGTAGGGGCATGAGTTTGGTGAGAAGCAATGACAGGAAGGGCGAAGTAGAGCTCTGCGCAGTTCATGTGAATAGGTGGTATTCACTGGTGGCCATAGTTGAGTCCACTGTTGCAGAGTGCGAGCTCACAATGAGCTTCCACAATGCTTCCCGAACGTGCACTTCACGCCACCAAGATTGTAAGTCTTCCTGGAAGATAAATGGGGTATCGTTCTGAGCATGCGCTGTGAATGCTGCGCTCAAGTATGGCGCCCAATGAATGCCATCTATTCTTGAGACATTTTTAGGGAAGATTTGATGTTTGCTCTGCAATGGTAATGTTAGCATGTTTAGTTGGTTTGCTGCAAGTGATTGAGAAAGAGAAAAGGTGCCCAACTGTAAACACAGTTCTGCCTTCCTTTTTTGCAGTTATTGTTTGCTTTTTATTCCTTTCTTAAGCATTAGTTGCTCTCAACCTTGTACAGGCATAGTAGCATTTACATCCATTTGCTGATAATGAAATAATTCCAAGTTTCTCGACCTTTGCATTTCAAAGATAGGTTTCCTCCATCGAGAAGATTTTGCGTTGGGGAGCTACGGGTGACTGCGGTAGGCGGCCTTCAAGAACAAATGGTACAATAAGCTTGATGAAAGCATATTGCCTCGTTTAAAAACTTATCTCTCATTACTTTGTTGGTTATTAATTAACTGTTTATTCTGAATCTCCTGAAAGATTTACACTTAACTGTTTGACCAGAATCAATCTTCGCCGTTTTTGCCTGGGTCTTGTTAGTGGATGGCCACATGCCAGGAAACAAAGTATGCCTTACCGTGCACGGATATTGGTCATGTAAGTTTATTTACCAGATCGCAAACCTGTTTCATGAGTTATCATAATCCGCATCCAAATGCTTTAAAAATATGGGGCTAATACAAGCGTAATTCTCTTTTTGTCTATTATACCTCAAATGCCCCATTTTTTATGTGGGGTATTACATGAGGATGGCTCTTCAGTGGATGACATATACTCAATGGCGGTCTTGACATGAAAGGGGTTGAAGTGGTGCATGGCGTTGGCAGGCAGACCATTCCAGTCTGTTGCTGTCTGAACAAAAAACGACCAGAGATGGGCAGATGTTTGAGCACATCAAGGATAAACTGCTTTCTCATGATTAATGTGGTCTGAAACTCGGTGAGCTGGCATGATAACAGAATTATTGACTGATATGAAATAGAATTAGTGAAAGAGGCAGAACCTGCAGCTTCGCGTCGTGACTCAAGGCTTGGGAGATCAGCATGAGATTTGAGTTCGGTGTCACTGGTGTGGTAAGGATTCACGTGATTTAGAGAGGTTAGATTGATAAGGGTCCCAGACAGCGCTGTATATTATAATTTTGGTCGCACAAATGTCAGAGAAGCTAGTAGTTTTACAGAGGGAGGGGATAGTTGCAAGTTTCTCCGCAGGTAACCAAGCACTTGGTTAGTCTGGTTTGTTAGGTATGTGAAAAGACCAGGTAAGATTATGAGCTAAGATTATGCCTAGATATTTCTAGGAAGATGCAAAGGAGATTACCGAACCACAAATGGGCGTAGCTAGGGGTCGGGTAGAATTGCCTGCAGTGGAAAGAGATCAACATGGTAAATGTCCACATAGCAGGAGAAATGATTGACATGAGCCAATCTTTCAACACTTGCCAAATTTAATCAAACCTACAAAAACAGGTGTGTAAGAGTCGTTTTCAATATATCAAATTTAAGCGAATTCTTATCCTCTGTTAAGATATATATTGCTTCCGTCCAACACGAGTGCATCATTTTCATTAGTGAAGGGAAATGTAACCTTCATCTTGGCGTTATTCTGTTCATCGTGTTTATGTTTGACCGAGAGCTCCGAGAAATGGCACCATGAGAGACAGATGAAAAGTATTGTCTGCTTTTGTAATCTGCTTCTGTAGCGACACTAAACTGATTTGGAGCTGGTGCAAGGTTTTGCACTGCTGGGGCTGAACTTGTGCAATACGGAGATGATGCACCAGTGCAGCGGACGTGCGGCTTCCGGTTGAATCAAATGTGCTATAGTCAGTTACAGGTTAAGAAGGTAGCGGCGAATGCCCCTCGAAGGGAATCGGATATCCCTCTGCCACCTCCGCATCTAATAGCGTCCCACCGTTTCCGTGACGTCGCGGCCAACGCGCGAGGAGGGTCTTGCCTTTCTGCACATATTTGCTTTATCTTTCGACTTTGACTTAGCATTGTGGAAGCCACGAGAGGGAGATTAGAGTTCTCCCCCACCGACGGAAACAAATACGACTTTCGGGGATTAGCTTCCCCCCGATGGATACAAAGGCTGTTTTCAGGGGCTCGGTTCCCTGGATCGGAGACAAGTTGGGATCCATTGAGGGGAACGGGGAGCGTTTCCAGTGAACTCTTCTTTTGACTGCGGAGAGATTTGAAACGGGCACATCACGCTTGTGGGAGGAGCTTCTCCTACCTTCTTGACTTGTAACCGACTATAGTTCGTGCACTGCTCAACTAGTTCAGATGAATAAGATGACCCAGGGGGAGAGAGGAATATGGAGCATAAGTTCATGTGCTTCTTGCACAGGGTTTGGATGTCAGAACGCTGAGCTCTGATTGGCTTTGTTGGAATAATATTGGGTAGACCTCAAAGCAAGCTGCCCTTGAGGTCCATCCACTATCCTGCAATCAGAGCCAATCGGAGCTCGGCGTTCTGACGTCACCGCAACCCCTGCAAATGAAGCAAACGAACTCGCGCTCCGCATAGGGAGATAACAAGGGGAAATTACAACTCTCCCCTCCCTCCCTTTCCTTTCCCTCTCCCCATTGCTCTTTTCTGTACCAAAACCGCTTGAACCTGCTGTTTATACAAAAAAATTACACATACGGAAATTAATTCTAAAGTAGCAGAAGCAAAAAAAAATAATTTGCAGCCGAATTTTGCAACATTAGAAGGACTAAATGTTGAAAAGTAGGTAGCGCAAGCTATCACCCATTACATATGATGCAGAGAACGCTATTCTCCTATCCGTCAAGCCATCGTAAAAGTTGAGCGTGAACAGTGAGCGTGAACATCCCCTCCACTGATCTCCCTCTGCTTTAACTTCCTCTCCTGCTTTCTCTGAGCCAGAAGAAATAAAAAAGTTTTTCGAAAGCTGCGGAAGGGGGCCGCAAAGCGGAAGTCACGTGACTTGGTATCAACCACTGCGAGGATTGGAATTTGGCCGTTTTGCGACTGCGCAGTTGACGGCCAACTTGTGAGTGTGTGTACGAAATTGAGTACCTGTTCGCGGAAAAGAAAAAAAGAAAACAGCTAGTAGAAATTAGCGCGTGTCGAGATGTAGTGCCTGCCTCAACTCCAGAGCCGAGAAGAGAAGAAGAAAAAAAAAGGTCGCGTGTTTGTGGTGCGCGGGTGCGCGCATAAGCTGTGGTGACTGCCGCACGCTGTCGTGATGTTTTGTTGTCTGCCAACCGCCGGATAAACCAGCGTCGTGAAGATGGCGTCGGAGCGCGAGGTCCGTACGGTAGAACGGATCAACCTCCGGAACATCATCAACCAGTGGAATGCCAACCGCCTCGACTTGTTCGAGCTCAGTGAACCGAACGAGGTGAGTGCGGGCGGCCGGACGCCGTCGCCGAGCGCCGACGCCCGCCGAGAAACCTCGAGCGGTAGCACGCATTGAACTGTGTCGGGGCCAAGATGGCGCAGGTATTTGCTCCTGAAAGGTGCACTTGTCACGGCTTGGCCCACATTCGCAGCGGGAAGCGTCGGCCCGCGGCAAGCCGCGTGGCAGCGACGCCGGACTCGGGTCTAGTACCCCGCGCGGGCGCAACCCAGCGCTGCGTTGCCGCAGTCGGCGGAGTCGCCGAGGCACGCCCAACGCTCCAGCACAACAATGTCTCGTGCAACCTTGGCTTGGTTTCGCTGGCTCGCGGGAGCGTCGTAGCTGTGTCGGCAGAAAGCACGTTGTGTCAAAGTTTGTGTCGTTTTTGGTGGTTTCGGGCTCGGTGTATCTTGGCTCGAACAAATAGGTGGATGTCCATGCTGCGCTTCGTGTGACCTCCTTGCATGTCGGCTCGCGTTGACACACTTGACAGGACAGTGCGTGTGTTGACAGGAATTCCCCAGCGTAGTTTGTTCCACTCTCCGTGCGAGCAGAGCCCAAGCTACAAGCTCGTTGGCTTCAACGACGTTTCCACCGCATCGTTGCAAGCATCGGTGAGCGCGGATCTTGAAATCCCGAGCACGCTCTTGTAGCTTCGGTCATGGTCGCAGTTCAAGCGAAACGGAATTGCCCGTGGGAAGTCGAGGACAGAGGTGCAAAGGTGGCAGGCTAAGATACCACCAGTACTGGAACTGGTCGAGGTTGAGTGCTGGGCGAATGTTTGCCGACAGATGGAGGGAGACTCTGCCCACATTTTCGATAGGATGGGCCAACTGCAGACTACCAAAACCGGCAAAGCCACAAATGGCACTACAGACAAGGACAGATAGAAGAACGGTGCAGGAAAAGTGCCGTGTTTAGCCTACCAGCGCTTGCCCTGTTTGTTTCTACTCTTCCTTGTCCGTAGTTTGTGGCAGGTGAAGTATAGTGAGACAAGCTACTCCGACAAAGCCCTCCACTCTTTCCCGTTAAGCAGAGCTGGAGAGGAGGAAACAACTAATAATGGCGAGCAGAGAGCTTTTTTTGGAGGGGCTCGTCCGCTTTTCCAAACCTACTCAAAAGTCAATTCTGCTGCCTCGGCAGAACAAACTCTTAAGCAGGCAGAGTGTGCAGAGAGGAACACTTGCATTTCAGGACCTGGAGTTCCACGGGGTGATGCGGTTCTACTTCCAAGATGCAGACCAGAAGGTGGTGACCAAGTGCATCCGCGTTTCCAGCACGGCCTCGGTGCACGATGTGGTCTGCACGCTCATCGAGAAGTTTCGTCCCGACATCCGCATGCTCTCCATCCCGGACTACACGGACTATGCCCTCTACGAGATCCACGAGAACGGAGGTAGGTGCTGCGCGGAGGCCGGCAGGCAGGCCAGACATTTTTTCTGGCGTCCTTTTTGCTGTCCCGCTTGTGGCAAGCTGCCGTGGTCTGTGTGCCATTGCTCACAGATCAGGGTGGCTTGGTCTGTGAGAGAGAGGAAATGATGAGAGGGGTGGATTTATTGCTCAGGTTTGTGGGGGGTAGTAGGCATTTGCCTGACAGGGTGCGGGGGTCTGCTGAGAAAGAACGTTACGGCTAAAATGTTGCCCAAGTCTATTTTGCTGGCCCAATATTTGTTAAGTCACCGAAAATGGAACTTTTCGCTAATGAATATAAATTTTTTCATTAAAAAAAAGTTGACCTTGGGGGGCTTAAAGTGGGAACAACCACCCCCCTTCCTCCCACCCCCAAATCCGCCCCCGAGGGAGGACACCATCCTTAACGACGATAGGGCCTTTTTAACACGTTCTATGAAAGCCCTTTCCCAATTTTTTTTGCTGTGCTTAGGTCGTTACACTAGCTAGCCCTTGCTTACACCTTATATGCATATTTGTTTCACGTAGCAGTAGTGGGAGTTGTGTTTAGAGTGTCCATGAAATTTGTGTGTCATATGTGTTCTGCTGGACTGTTTTGCAAACCTTTATTTCTATCTTCAGTAGACTAATGTGCCGTGTAGGCACATTAGTGAACCCGTGTCAGCTTCCTGCCGCATCTTGAAATTGAACTGCGGAGTGAAATTGGTGTGCTTGGCGACTACTGTACGAGGCCACCGGAGCATGACACTAGGCTGCATTTGAGCTTAGCTTGGCAATCTGCCAAAGCTACGTCGCCAGCCAGCCAGTCAAAACTTTGAAGCGAGGCACATGACAGTGTACCGTCAGAGTGCATTTCAAAGAGTTGTCGCGTGTTTTGTCCCCTGACAAGTTATGCCGAAATGAAGTATAACAATCTGTATGTGGTGTCCAGTTGCCTGGTGACCACTACCAGGTAACTGGGTCCCTCTTCTTAATTACTTGACTTCTGCAGTCTCGAGTAAAGACAAATATTAGCAGAAATTTGCAACTTAACCAAGTTTAATACAAATGCTACTGCTCCCAATTCATCTTTAAAGCTACTTGGAGACATAAAAAAATGCTGTGCTATTGATATACAAGGATTGTCACCGAAGCTACATAATCTCAATCTGAAACACCAGCTAAAATTATATTAACTTCACGAAAGCAATTTTTGGTTGTGGCAATCATCTCTGCGGACAATTTATACAAGCTTTTTATTACCTCAAGCAAGAAATGCAGCCTGACAACTCCCAAATTGTTAAGCTTACTTAAAAAACCTAATTGTTCCCGGACTGCTATTTTCAAATATAATCACCACTTTTCACCCTCTGAATTTTGTATGATACACAATCTCGAAGCGAGAAAGCACATATCTAGAGATACATTGTTTGGTGATACAGACACTTGCCATGTTGAAAGCACTGGGCAACATTCCTAAAGCAGGGTATGGTGCTGACTCTTGTAGCAGTTGTAATAACAGTGTTGCTGTGTGTTTTTGTGAGTTTGCCATTTATAGACACATTTTGGAAATACAGGTTTCTGTTCTGTTATGCATGCTATTGGATAGTGGCGTTGGAAAGCCCGTTTGCTTCTTGGGCAGTGTGTTGGCAGGAGCATCTTCCACCTCACTTTTTTCACGTTCACCCACCGTAAAATCTCGAGATGCCCCACCCCCGTAAAATAGCCCGCCACCTATTTTTGGCTTGATTAGCTATATTTTTTTAACCACCGAAAGATAGCCCACTCCTAGTAATCCTAGTATTGGGGGATCAATGATGGCCTCTGTGTAAATGCGGCTAGTTCGCTAGTGCAGGATATAAGCGAACGTTGCTGACTGGGAAGTGCTGCAGAATACCATGCATCCGCCCATTCCGCACAAAGCACCCACCCCCAAATTTTGAAACATCTGAAAAAATGTGCATAGTACACATAAATGTAAAATTGGTGACCTCACATGTGCCCATCCCCTATTTTTTTCGCGATTATCTTCAAATTTTGAGTGGGCGCTTGCTCGGTATTTTACGATAGTCGTCTTTGCTTTGCCGCCCTTTGCCACCATATCAAGCTTGGAAGGGACATTATCTAAATATAGCAATTTTTTAGAATTTTTCTGTATTGTACACCGAAAGTGAGCCCACTCCATATTTTCACCCGATTTGCTCTTGATGTTAGGTGGGCTATCTTTCGGGATTTTCGGTATGTGCACCGCTGTCTGAATCGTTCGCTGAGAGGTTGAGCAGAACATTGAGGGACAGCGTGCACAACAGTCTGTTTCTAGAACACCTATAGGGACACTAACGAGGTATTTCTGTTTTATTGTTGTGAAGACTTGTGCAGGAGAAAAAGAAAGAAAAAGAAACCGAGAAGTAAATTTCTTTTAACGAAAAGACTGCAATGCGCTGCCTTCACTTTTTTAGGGTTGTAGAAGGGTTCATGTGCACATTGTCTCTACATACTCGGGTGTTTGCTACCGTACTTGTTTATTCACATTGTTTTACTGTCTGCTACTTAGAGGACCAGTGGCAGGCTGACAGAGCGCGTTTGGTGCTCTGCATTCTTGTATGCAGGTATTGTAAAAGACAATGCCAGTGTGGAAACATGAAAATGTGATGCTTATCGTGGCTAGACCTTCCATGCTATCTGTGTGAGAGAGCTAAGATCACTGGCTGCCTTGCCAGGCTTTTTGTTCCCATTGCCACAAACCGAATAAGTTGCAGCGAGTGAAAGTTTATACTCTAAAATATTTTTATTTTACAATGATCCGATTTTTGGCAAGCTTCACAAATCTGAAGGAGTGGCATGGGCCAGTTTATATTAAATTGTAAGTTTTGTTCCCATGAACTATTCCAGGAACTCGTTCTGCAAAAATTGGCTAAATACTACGTCATGCTCGTTTTCATTATTTCCTGACCGGCTGAATAACAGTTTGGTCTAGCATTTCTAATTGGCAGCCTAGAGCAAAAAGAGCATCACTGTTTGGGATGAAATAAAGTTGCTCCTGGTACAAGGGCTTCACCTGAATCCTGAGATGCGGCTCGAGAATGCGGGTAATTTGTGAAGCACTGCTGCAGCTAGGTGTGGTGCCCCTCCAAGACTCTGTGGCACTTGGAGCCGACAGAATGTTGTCGAGAGTGCAAGGAGTTTTTTCCCTATCCACAAGGACTTTCATGTGGCCTCTTGAAGACGTTTGGGTAATGGGCAAACCTGGTCCAGGGGGAGCCAGACCGCGCTCGAAGAAGCATAATTTTAAATGGCCGTGAAGGTTAAGTGATGGTGTGGAAAGCGATGCAGCAGACATCGTTTCTTCATAAAGCGATGGCTCTGGATGAATGTGCCTCTTATCAATTCAGGACATTGTGTAGCAGGAAATTCATGTTCTTCAGTTCTTAGCTGTTCTCGGTGTATTTCCTCCGTTTGAGGCTTTTCTGACGTGTACGGGAAAGAATGTGTCCTTGGTTAACGAAGCCCTACACTCAGGTTAAACATCCAACCGTAGTGACCAGGCAAAGAAGAAGGTAACGGGATATACGAGCACCAGAGCCGCATCGACATCGGATGCACTCGAACTATTATGTAGGGTAACACACCTTTACACAGCCTATGCCATGCAGTCGAGAATCGTTTCATAATTGCGCTTCTAGACGTGTCCCCAGATGCAGAAATGCAGCCGTACGGGAATTCATGCGGGATTTGTGCGCCTCTTTGTTTCACCGAGCGTTGTGGAAATGGGCAGCGGCATCCCCCAGAGGGCTATACGAGTTTCTTAGGGGGGTGTTCTTTTTCTTTGCCCTGTTCATCAATCTTTTCCCGACTTTGGTACAGGAAGGAACTTGCTCCTGGTTTAATAATTCTTTGCAATCGGGTTACAAACACACCGTGACCAGTCTTTGCCTGGCGGTCGTGATTCACTCGAGCATTGCTCGTCTAGGTGCGTCCAAACATGCAGAAAGGCAGCTGTGCAGAAGTTGGTGCAAATATGGTGTCTGGAATGCCTCTTTGACTGGTGCATTTACCGAATTCTGAAAAGTGGTTCCTCGATTTCCACTTGATGTCGTAGAAGCGTCAAGTCGTCACCTGGCTGCGATCCTGGCGCCGCAACAGAATCGGTGGTGGATGCAATCGGTGGACTGCGCAGGTTCGTCAGCCTGGAGTCGGAATGCCGTGACAACGGCCACACTCGCATTCACTCATACTTTTGCCGGAACTTGCGCATCTAATTATTAGGATTGCGACATCCGACAGCACAACGGCTTTTGTGACGTCGATTGTTGCCACTTAGGGACCACTTTGGATGTACGAGTAAGACGCTAAACGCATAGGTCATAGACGCATTCCAGGCACCATAGCGGAAGATGCGGAAGTCTGTTCCGCCGAGCGTGTTGGCAGTGCGTCTCTGAACCTGTCATATGGTGCAGAGGAGCGCAAGCTGGGCGGGGAGGAGAAGCCCCTGCTGGTGCAGCTGAACTGGCACAAGGACGACCGGGAGGGCCGCTTCCTCTTCCGCCGCATGGACGAGAAGTCCCGGCTGCCCTCCCTGCAGGGCGAGTCCCTCCGCTTCGGCCGCAAGCTCTCCAAGCGCGAGAAGCGGGACAAGAAGAAGCGGGACAAGAAGGAGGCGGTGAGAGAGGGAGAGGGCCGTGGGGCGCAAGCGTCGACTCCAGTCGGCCCGTGTTGGCTTCGTGGTCTGAGCCAGTACCGCTTAGAAGGCAACGTCTGCGCGCAACATCGTTAGTGGATTCCCGACCTGTTGCGAGCCAGTTGGCGCCGCATAAATCCACTAGCGGGGACGTCTAGGGGGCGAGGTTTGGGCCTCGTCTTCCAAGTGGCAGTGACAGAGAGTCTTAGGTAGCACCTCGGTGGTGGATTTTCTACGTCGCCCGCCGGAGGCCGGCGCGGGGGGCACTGATTGGATGCAAGTGCAGAGTGTGCATTCGGCAGAGACCCGTGTTCAATGGATGAGAACAGATATTGCGGCCGAAAGCCGACACGCACTCGAGTCCAATCTGCCCTGCTGATGTTCCAGCCTTCTCGGCTGCAGAGTAGTGGGCCCCGAAAATGACTCTCTTAACTCAGATTCCTTTTTGAACTCAGTTTTTTTTTTTTTTTTCGGAGCTGGTGAATGCCAGGAAAAAGAAACCCTTTCCAACTGAACAAGTTGGTCGGAAGAAAAAATATGAACTAACGACCAGAAATAGAAAAATATGTTTTCCGATTAAAGACCTTGCTTTACTATTAACTGCCCCAAATTTATTGTCTTTGTAAGATGCCGTCGATAAGAGTGGTTACGACTAGCGTTCCATGTTTTCGGTAAATACCGACACGCCCCGAACATCGACCCCGAAGCGTGTTTTATCGAAATCGGGGAAAACCAAAAGCCCCGGAGTTTTAGCTGTCATTGAATGAGAAAAAGAACCGAGCTTTGCGGGAACAAACCTTTGCCTACAACTTTGTTTTCTCTCGGTCCAGAACAAGGCCCTTACTGCACTTTCTGCGAGGCTGCTTTTTTCTTCGGAACCGCACACTTTGTGTCAATTTCCTCTCTTTTCGGTACGGGGACGTTTCCCAAGTGTATGGGTCTCACTTACGTTGACTGGAGTTAGGGAACTTCGTGCTCTTGCTCCGTTTTCTTCGACATAAGCCAGATAAACCCCAATTTTTTGTTGGGAACCAGGAATCAATATTCGAAAACACAGAATCTGTAAGGAAAAATAAATGCCGTAAAAACACCCCTTGAATTCCCAGGAAAATAAACCCCAAAAGCACGGAACCCTAGTCACGAGTTACGACTGTACACCGCTCCGATAGGAATTATTCTACCAAAATCCCGGTTCACCGAAGATTTAATTTCAAGCTGTAATTCACTCTTAGCACGTGCCCAAAATGAGGCGTCAATCTTTTTCCTCCGAATTGATATTAAGGTTTCTTTTGTCAAGCTTTTACCATTGCCTCTTGTCGACTTCTGACAATTAAATAAGAGCATGCCACGTGGGTCCGCATGGCAGAAAGCGAGGACTGTATCGTCAGTGCCGTAACCGACTGTTCGGTTGACAAATGGACGCAGGCTGCGGGTCGTGACGGCATAGCGGAGAAGCTGTACACGGAGCTGCCGGAGACGAGCTTCACCCGGTCCATCTCGAACCCGGAGGCGGTGATGCGGCGGCGGCGCCAGCAGAAGCTGGAGCGCAAGCTGCAGCAGTTCCGCCAGGAGGGCAGCCCCGAGGCCGGTGGGTGGAATGAATGGATAGGACGGGGCAAAAAAGACACGGGGACAAGTGGAAAACATATGAATGGACGTACAAACGAACTACCGTGACACTGTGCACTGGCACGGTGGAATATAGGTTGCCTGTAGCGCAGAACGAGTGAGTCTCATTTTCTTTTGAAGGATAAGTTGCGCGAGTGTAGTGTGACGAGGTGGCCGAGGTCCTAGGTTAGATCTAGTAGTGTGGAGTCGCCCTATGAGCCAGCTTATAGTTCTGTGAGATTCCACCTGGCCCTGAGTCTTTTTTGTAGCATTTCGTTTATTTTTAATAACGTCTTTGGCTAAATCAGTGGTTCTCAACCATCGATGTTTCGCGGACCCCTTGTGGATCGGCAGAGATGAGGTAGGACCCTGTTCGTGGGGAGGGCAGGGGAAATGTATATGTTAATTATAATAATTATTGAATAAATGGATATATCTAAGGACTAATGTTAAATAGCTAGACCTCGCTTATTGATATACACATGAGAAAACCCGCCCGAAAACTGAAACATTTATTTTCGACCTGAGAAAAGACAACTTTTATTGCTGGGCTTGACCGATCAGGCAGGGCTTCGCGGACCCCCAGAATGCCTTCGCGGACCCCAAAGGGTCCGCGGACCCCATTTTGAGAACCACTGGGCTAAGTGTTCGGAATTTCGTGAAGCCAAAAAGTAAAGCCTGGATAAAAGCATGACTGCGAGGCTTGACACAAATTGGTTGACGGGGAGGTCATGTGCCCTGAAGGGTGGCAAGGAGGAGCACGGAAGGAGAGGAGCTTGTGGGTATGGAAGGCCCTGGAAGATCGCCAGGTTTATCAGTTCGATTAGCAGTAGTATCGCTTCATTCTTGGAACAACTATCAAGTGTACATGGTATGCGTTAAACTATCTGATGAAGCCTTGAGCGTAGGTATCTGGAAACTTGAGTATCACTCAACGTTTGTGATGCTAGAATGTTTAACGGACCTAGCGATTTGCCATAAAGTTTTGTGCTCCGATCCGCCCATGGGTAGGGGGGCCATCGCCCTGGACCTAGTAGAGGGCCTAGATTTAAGAGGAGGAACGACTCAAGCCTTGGGGAGCAGTCCCTCTCTTAACGCGTGCAACCAGTACAATCGGTTGCACGCGTCGCGTTGTCGATTGGTGAGGAGTAAAGTGGGCGGGGATGCTTTCAGAAGATCGGCGCATTTGGTCGCTTCCTTGCAGCTTGCACCACGAGCGCGCCCTATAAAACATGTGACCCCGACGGAGTAGTTGGAAGCGCTCAGCAAACATGCGGACCGAGGGCTGGTCCGCACATTTGCGTTCGCCCACGACAGAATGCGTCGCAATCTCTCGTAACCCCCGGGCACACCGGTGCCATCCATCGGGTGGGCCAAAATCACCTCTGACTGGCACTTAAAATTTTATAGTTTTAACGGATCATTCATTCATCGTGGGCTTTACATGTTTCTTGAAAGCGCTATAAGACGGTGCGTAGATTTGACGTCGCAAAAGCTTTGAAACTTTCGGTTTAGTCATACACAAGTGGGAAGTGCTCCAGGACTACCCAATAGATGGCGGGGTAAGTGGTGTGCTAACACTCCCCGGCTCTTTCTCCTCCCCTGAACAGGGGCTGCGAAGTGAAAAAGGAACTACATATTAGTAGGGTAATGTAGTAGGCACAGAGGCAATTCATGGTCAGGTTGTATGCGCAGCGGCATTTCACAGTAAATAAGGCCTCCAAAGAAGAGCTGCATGAAGGAAAAAGATAAGTCCTTTATGCATTTACAATTCCTTCGCCGCATGTCACATTCGTTTCATTCCGATTGCAAGAGCTGCTTGGTATAAACCCCATCGAGCACTGTTGCACGTTCGTAGCCTTTTTTTTGTTTATTGCGTCGGCATACAGCTACGGGCCCCGTCCGTCAGAGAGCAGGGCACAGTGCCAACGTTTGTTCGAGGACAAAGGCGACAGCATTCCCACATTCCTCGCAGTCCGAAGCGATGCAAGCAAATGAAGTTTTTGAGCTTGCAGGTGTCGGAGTGAGGGACGAGGTGAATTTTCCCACATTGGCCTTACGCCACACGTACGAGGTGTGATGAAAATGTTTTGACGCTGATTTTGTAGCGTAAAAAGAGAGGACAACACAGCGATGTGCATGTAGCAGTCGAAGGTGGGGACTTTCGCGTCTCATCATGCCAAACGGCGTCGTTCTGCAAACAATGGGAGCTGCGCTACGCGATTTTTTGTGACCATGTGCACGAGTACAGTGGCAATTCTACATAGACTGCAAATCAGAGCGAGAGCAAACAATTGCTTGTCAAACTTGCCAAATCTAAAACAGACATTCGATATGATTCAGCAGGCTTATGTAAAAAAGTGGTGAATGGTGCAAAGCGTTTTGAGTGGTGCTCGCGCTTCAAGAATGGCTGAACATCGCTGGAAGACGAGGAGGTGTGGGGCGACGTTCTCCAACCTTCCTTTGTCTTCCAGCGATGTTCCGCCATTCTTTAATGGCGAGTGCTGCTCAAAACACTTAGCACAATTCACTGCTTTTTGACATGAGCCTACTGAATCATTTCAAAGGCCTGTGTTTTGAAAGAATAGCGCTCGCTCAAAAGGTGCCGAGCTACCTTTCTTGACGGGGAGTGCCTTAGGGGTGCCAAGCTTTTTGGTGCTACTCTGGCACAAACCCCCATCAGTTGGGGATGCTTGGGCCCTTGTAATCTGTTCATTCAATGCAGAATGCTGGGCTGGTTGGTATTGGGATCTCCAGGGCATGGTAGCGCTTTTAGACGAGGAAAAAGAGACTTGGATACACACAAATGCTAATTCATTCTCAAAAAAAAAAAATTCTGGTGCCAGTTTTTGGGTGAACGCTTTCTTCGGTCATCAGACTGGGGATTCATGTCTCGAAGTTTTAGAAACGCAGCCGTAGAGGCGGCAGAGAAAAAAGTTCTGTCACAGGCCGAATGCTGTCAAAGTAGAATGTGCACATCCATTTGACGGGCTTGAGCTTATGGCAAATCGCATAGTTCGCGCATTGTCTTTTGAATGAGGAAATGGGGCACACTCGTACACTTCGAGATGGCTGACTCTGGCATCTCTCTGGGTGGGGGACTGGACAGGGGGCACGTTGCGCATCTTCGGGGAGTCCCTGAACCGGGATGTGCCATACAAGACGCTGCTCTTGTCCACGACGGACACGGCCTCGCACGTGGTCAAGGAGATCCTGGACAAGTACGGCCTGGACCAGGAGGAGCCCCTGCACTACTGCCTCGTGCAGGTGAGGACAACAATGACGATTAGGCGTTGATTGGCACAAAAGCAACACGAATTATGTTGCACCAACAGTTAGGGCAACTGTGATGATCACAGTGATCGATGGGGAGGCAGTGCTCGATGCACGCCATACTACGGTGCACTGGGTTAGACCTGCAGTGTTCAGGATCAGACCAGAGGAACCTTTGTCAGGCTGTTTAATTTTTTTCGTGCTAAGCAGACAACCGAATTGCGAGGATGGAGAGATGAATTGGTGGGGTCAGGCTCTTGGGGGAGGGGAGAGGGAGGTGTCTGCCTTTGAAGGGGTACTGGAGAGGTGGCGGTATTGTCCATCATAAATTCTACCATAAACAAGGGCATTCCTTTGCGCACCCATACATTTTGTGGCAGCACTGAACAGGCATAAGTCTCCCTTTTTTTCTATGCATGCATAGAAAGAAGACGGTTCAGAAGAAAAGTGCTGATTTAATCTGGTTCTCATTCCCTTAGCATGTTCACTTGGTGCTGGATTGGTTTGCTTTGGTACAAATAGTGCCACGTTACCGTCTGCACAGCGGACAGTCGGCACACACACAGCTCGGTAACTAGTTTAATCGACTCGCCCAAGCTGCAGTGTTAACAAAATAGTTTTGTTTTCACCTTCTTGCCAAACGCTTCGAACGTTTGATCGTCCTGCTCATTCACAGAGTGTCTTTGCTGTAGAGACACTTTGTCGATGAGAGCTCTTGTGAAATGAAAAGCTCTTCTGAACCGACATTTTATACCTAGATCAAACGGAGGAAAACATTAGAAAGTGAAAGACATCCCTCTCCAGATGGTGCCGGCACGCTGACTATAATTTCTTCTGGTAAACATACTTCAGTTATAGTACAATGCGTTGTTTACAAACGAGCCGGCGCCTGCCCTCGCCAGCTGTGGGCACTGCGCGCGTGCAGGCACCAGACTCGTGCGAGGCGAAACGTCTTCGCACGTGCCGTGTCTATAGCAGCGCCCCCAAAACGACATGATGTCAAAGCTGAGTTTGGTCTATAGGAATGAAGCTTTCTCACGACAGCCCCCAGAAGTTCTGCGAGCTTTGATTGTTTTGAGGTGTACGTCCCTCCCAATGCAGGTCCTGCTTCCCCCGGTTTCGCCCGGGGAGGCGTCCCCCCTTGACCACCCTGGACAGCCCGGAGGGGGCATGGGGCCCTTGGGATCCATCCAGGGGGTCAAGGAGTACATCCTGGACGACGACGACTGCCCCCTGGCCATCGAGAGGCAGCACAACCGCCTTAAAGGTACCCCCCCCCCCCCCCCCCCCCCCCCCCCCCCCCCTTTTCCTTCGTGGGTGGAACCCCGAAACGGGTATTTTTACTAAAAGCCTCTGGCTCGGCTGCAGATTCTCATTGAGTAGTTCTTTATTTAAGGGGAGACACCCCCTGGGAGGGTCAACTTTTGAACCCTTGGCTTAAAATTAATGAAATTTACAGGGTAGGCTGGTGGTCATGCTAGAGGGTGCATAACACAATTTTAGGTCTGTCGGTTAAGTGGAAAGGAAATTAGGGCAGCTTCTATCAGCAGCACCCCTACACTGTTTAGTTAATCTATCGTCAGAAAACTATCACAATATTAAAGATTTTTATTCGCTAGATATGTAGCAGAATGCCTAGGAGGTATGCCTATGGAAAGCTTTTTGTAAAAAGTCATTTATTTCTATCAATTTTCTCTTCTGCGAAATTGGTCAACTTTTTGGTCTTCTGTGTCTCCGACAAAATGTCAACATTTTTTATAAAAGACATCCGTAAAGTGACAAACAAACTCCATAGGCGCATTCCTTATTAAATTTCAGTCAGGAAAAGTGAAGAACGAGCCTTGCCTGTATTTTCATTCTCAAACGATAGATTGACTAAAATGGAATTTATACAAAAAAGTTCAACGGAGAAAAATGTGTTCAAAGTGCTCCAAACCCTACCTTTCCTTTAGCTTTGGTGTACAGAAAATAATTTATAAAAAATTAACTATGCAGTGTAAACTAGTGAAAATTTCTGGGAATACTCTCTGTATGTAGATGGATGTAAATATGTAATCTTTCAAAATCAATGTTTTTTGAAGAATCTTTTTTTCTCTGGGTAGTGTCCCCCCTTAAAGGCTCCCATGCCAAGAGCATGTAGAATGAAGGCCGGGCGATTGGCCTCGTCGCCCAATTGTGCCGAGAAAGTAAGTTAGTTTTTACAGCAAATGTGTTATATGGCCGGCATCATAACAGTAATAATGGTTACTATGCAGGCTAGCTGATGAACGATCGTAGTGAGAAAACTTTGTGTTGTGTTTGTTACTTTTTCTTGTTCCTAATCTAAAGGTTGTTTTCACTATGATCCAGTAGTCTCAATTTGGTGCGCCCGAAATGGAAGAGGAAAACACGTGTGCTGCATCGGCGGCTGCGACTCGTGTCCCGACCGATTGAATGCGAGTCCCACCCGAATGCCGAAGCAACACCAGCTGCGTTCGATATATCCCGTACCTCTTGCACCTGGCGTACGCCACCGTATTAGATTCGTGAGACAACCGCCCTTCTCGCCGAGAAGGAGTCATCTCCGGTCTCCGTAAGCTCAACCGCGCGACCTGCGGCTTTCCCCGCCCTCAGGCACACTGTCGTTCCACATCCGTCGGCGTCCGGCGGACTACCAGCCGCGCAAGCGCAAGAAGAAGCCGTCGTCGCACGGGGGCGTAGAGCTCCCGGGCCCAACGTCCCCCCAGGGGCTGCCCCAGGGCAACCCCCAGGGCGTCGTCCCCCAGGGGGGCTTCCGGTGTGGCAGCCTGTACGACCGGCTGCCCTTCCTGCTGGCCGTGCACCCGGACGGGGGCCAGCCGGGGCCCCGCCACCGCATCCTGCTCAACATGACCGAAGTGGGCTCTGCACCTTCGGGAACGCAGTGTCTGCAGGTACGGGGAACGCGTCGACAGGGCTCCGCCGTAATCCCGACAGAACCGCGCTCCTCGACAGGATGTCGCGGCTGTATTCTAAGTTGGATGGGGGTTCTTACGATTCTGGCTGGTTCTGAGGGGGCTGCCTTCTCGGCCAACGAGTCTCCGTCAGTCGCAAAAAAGTTCCTTTTCGGAAAGAGAAAATGAAGAGAACATATTGTTGTACAACCGACCTACATGCCGTTTCACCTTACGTCCGGCTGCGGTGGATGCTGCGAGCCGTCTCGGCCAGTCCGGCTCCGCGAATGTAGCGTGCAATACGTTCTCCGCACGTCGCTGTGCCTCCTCTCCGAGGTAATGTGACGCTCGCACGACCTTCGATTGGCTCCGACGGCTCGTGGTGTCCGCTACGGCCGATCGTATGAGGAGCTAGATCTGGAGGGTGGCTTTGTCCCACTCTTTTGGGATCACGCATAAGAGAGTATGGATTATGCAGAAAGAAACCGCATTCTGTCAAAGTGAAGAATCTTGTTCGACTGTTCCGTCCGTGTTTTGCGAGGTTTGGTTGGATGTCGACGCAGAAACGGGAGTGTCGTAACTTTACGAATTTTTACTGCAAAACCATTCTTCGATGGAAACAAAATTACATCTTATTTGATGTCGCCCAAATTAAATGTTGACAGAACGAAAGACCAACAGCCACAAAAATATAGATTGACTGGGCTCACATTCCCCGCAAATTTAGAAGATGATGTTACTGTGTATCAGTTATACAAAACGCAAACAAAATTATAATAAAAAGTGTTTAGTTGCTCATCCGAATCATTTCGAGGATAGCCAAAATCTTATTTCATGCGTTCACCCACGGAACGGATGCCACCGTGGCAAAACTTTCAGCTAATCACTGTTGCCTCATAAAAGCAGCTTTGAGCTCTCGTTCAAGATATCTGGTTATCCTTTCTTTCTTTATACAATATTACGGTGTGCTAACGAGTAAAACATCCAGCCTCGCCAAACCTTAACTAAGACTTGAGACCAATACGAAAGGAAAAAAAAAAAGCAAAAATAAACATGACTTTTAGTCTAGAATCGAAAGAGCTTTTGAAGTTGCATTGTCTTGTTCTTTTGGGGTTGGGCAGAAAAAGATGTGACTTGTTCAAAGTTTCCTAAAATGAGATCTCTCTGCCCACATTCCATCTATGTGAAGGGTCTCGTTCAACTGTTTCATATGTTATTCAAGATTTTGTTTGGTCGTCAATGCAAAAACACAAGTGTGCATGAACCTGGCCTTGATGGGACCGGCGTCCCGTAGGTGCAGGCTTTTCTTACGATTCCAAAAAGAAAGACGAAAACTGTACGATAGTGAGAGAAAAACTGGCGCATCCTCTGATTATACACAAACAAATACAATAATGCACATAACCAAGAATGGACAGGATGGAAGGGTTATATAGGTAAATATTTAGCCTACCTAAGAATCAATGAAGATCCATAGGTAGGGTAATGATGCCATAGTGCCTCCACTGGTGTCATCATATCGATATCGGCACCCTTTATAAAAAAAAAAATCATTCAAGACTTCATCGAAGACGTGGAAGGCATAAAACTTGCCCGATTTTTCGTAATAGTGTTATTGTAAACTTTTACTTCTCACCAGGTGTTCTTCAGACTCACACTGTCCAGACTAATCTGTGCTACATAAATGAAAAAAAAAACAACAAAAAAACATCGTAAAGTTCTGAGAGAACGCCTGCCCCCAAGAGATCGCTCATACCGTTTTTCTGGTTAAATATCTGTAACATAAAAGTTCCAAAACATTAGCCACCCCGCGATTTCCATTGGACGTCACGCAATGTCCGACGGGAATCACATCCATTACACTATCTGTTGTACCGGTATGTCTGATAAGTGAGTTCATAATGGTTCATAACATGACATAACGTGTGTTTATTGCACCATAAAACTTGAATCTGCTGTGTCTGCGATTTGCACTATTCGTTCCCGTGAGATGCGAATTCTCGGCAGGTTTCTGCGGGCCCTTTGCACGGTAAAACGCGAATCTGCGGCGTCCGCATCCTGCGACATTGTTTTCTGTGACACGAGAGTTTGTAGCGAATTCTCGCATGTTTATCGCATCGTGAAACGTGAATTTGTGGTGTCTGCAATCTGGAGTATTAGTTCCCGCGTCATATGGTTTGTAGCGGCTGCCCCAGTGTTTATCATTAATTTTTGATAAAGTTTTGCTGTGGCATTTCTAAAGGTCCATGCTTTTCACCATTTATCTCTATTTTGGGTGTTCTTTCTGTCGGAACTTGACGGCACCATAATGTCCTACACAGCTGAAACTTTGCACCACACTTTTTGTAATGCCTAAAAGTCTCCACAGTTAAATAATTCAATTAATTTTAAGCTAAGGCTTCAAACGCTGGCCCTCCAAGTGATGTCCTCCCTTAATACAACGGATCGTTGACTTTTTAGTATCCGGTTAAAACCCGGTATGTGCGGTGGTGAAACGGCCTGTTCGGATGTGTGCAGCTGCAGGGGCCGGGCATCCACCCGCGCCACTGCGTGATAGCGCACACGGAAGGGGTGGTGACGGTGACGCCCAGCCACCAGGAGGCAGAGATCTACCTGGATGGGTGCCGGGTGTACGACACCACCATCCTGCAGCATGGGGCCCTGGTGCGCTTTGGCCGACACCACACCTTCCGCTTCCTCGAGCCGGAACTGGCACACCGGCCGCACCAGGTACGCCTACCCCGCAGATGGCGCCACCTACCCGGGGTGGTCGGTGGCACTTCTGTAGACGGGTGCCACCCACCTGGTGTGGTCAGTAGTGTTCTATTTTCAGCAATGAAAGAAAAAAGTTTTATTTGATATCGGCGAAGCACACCGTGCGGACGGTTACAGGTGTACTTGCGCCCGTAATTAACACTTATCAGGTGCCACCTCTATGGGCCACCAACCACAGGAGGTACACCCTCCATAGTCGTGTTTGAGTTTGGTGCCACCGTACGTACACCCAAAGAGGGTGGACTGGTGTGGTCGTTCGATCCGCATGCTTCGCTAACGGCAGGTGCTGTCTTCCAAAAATAAACCCTTTCCGAAATTCAGCCTGGCCACTTTGATCGCTATCATCATCTGCGGAAAGGCACCTGTGCCATACCAATGGCGGCCTTCTAGCGACTCATAAAGGAGGACGTTGAAGATGCTTCTAAGGGGATGATGCGAGGCCTGTACATTCGGGGGGTCAGTACGACGCGACGTAGGAATGTAACGCAAGAGCTACGTAAGCGTTTATTTCTAATAACTCAGATTCAGTCAATCTGCAGGCGGCACACAATCGGCTTTAAAGTATTTTGGTGTATAGAATTTTCCCGAGGCATCTGAGTGGGTTGGAGCATTGTTCTGAATGCGGGTTCTTGGTCACCATCGAACTGGAAGTGATCGAGAAAGAACTCACACGGAAGAGTTCCTCGCGTGCCGTTGACTTGCTAAAGTGACGGTGCCGATACAAGTTCATTTCCGCCATTGATATGGCAAAAGCTAAACTGCTTTACGAACCACCAGATGGCACTGAATTTCGGAAAGGGTCTATTGAGATCAACTGAACGTGGAGAGAATGCAGTCTAAGCTCGTTATAACAGAGTTTGATTGTGACCAAGCTTTTGGTCTGTTGTAAAAGGAGTATGTTGAATGCAGCAATGGTATGTAGAGGAAAACCAAACTACACAAATCAGTATGTTATATCCAAATGTCTGGTGTAACCAGGTCTGTTCTAATAAGCTTAGACTGTAGTCGATTGAAAATGGGATGCGGCGAGGATGCGCTTCATAGCTATCTTTACTAGAAATCGATTGGTCAGCAACCTCTTGTAAAAAAAATTTGTTGGAGGTTGTGTACTCGTGCGAGGGTAGACGGTATGTCTGTACACTCGTAGAAAGCTTGCTAGGGAGAACCATTTGAAGAAAACTGCTAGCGGGTGAGTGAGCATTCATAAATTCGAGCGAGAATGTGGTGCACGAAACTAGTAAACATTCCTTTTATTAGCTATCAAATGAGGGTGCCATTCGAGAAAGCTCGGTAGCATCCATAGGCATTACCGTGAGCAGCCTCTAAGCCTAACATGAAATCAAGGTGTTTACGTGTAGCGTTCGAGCCATAAGATGCCACCAGATGCTAAATATTTTAGAAGTTACTAATGTTTTTTTTTTTTTGGTGTACCAATGAATGCATTGTGTTTTGCAGGTTTCCTTCCTCTAAAAATCCCTCAAAATATATTCGAGGAAGCATGTTACGCTTTTCACTATAATCCACCACTCTTGTGTACTGCAGGCTGTTTTCAGGGAAGTGTGTTTCATGCCGGACCGTTTGTGTCTAATGCAGAATGTTCCCAGCATGGTTGCCCGGGACGGCGGCTATCCCCCCGAGTACGCAGAGAGGTGGGTCACGTCTCGAGACTGCTCCGTGCTTTTGCATTTTGGCACAGCCCGCGTGCCCCAGTGGCTCCAACCCCGACGTTTTAACCGCCGGCAGCAGGATTGCTACGTTGAATTGCACTCGTGGTGCTCGCCCCACTATATTGGGTTGCACATCCGTCTCAGTGCGGCAGTTATTTGCACCCGCCTCGATCCAAAAGTTAGCGAGACGGGCGATTATGAGCAACCGTTTAAGGTTGCGTTTGAGCGCGTCCGACGGTTTCTTGATGACTTGCAACCGCCTATGATGTGCCGGTTGCTGTGACCATCAAGGTCAGTGCAGTACGTCCCAGTGGTACACAAGGTGTCGTAGCTTGCTCGGTCCCACAGGAACGCCATTTCTCAGTGAGCCCTCATCAGACAACAAATGCGAATGGCAGGTCTGGTGAGGATGTAACGTGCCTCGCGCGCGGGTTGGTTGCAATCGCCGTTGACTTTTTTTAACATAGAGAAAAAGTGACATTCATGGAAATTTTTTTCGTTGATAATGAAAAAGAATCGTATTGCTAATTTTATTAAAACCTTTAAATTCTAAAAAGAAAAAATTAAAAAAAACTGGCAATTGCCTGTTTGTGCTGACCGCGTCGTACTCTGTGCCCGCGCGCTGTGCTGGCGTGATGGCCATGGTTCCTGGAAGGCAGCTTTGACCAGTGTGTTTACCGCGGCCTCGTTTGTGGTTCCTCGACTGCCTTTTGACGAAGTCGCGCCTGCGGAGGTGCCGTTGCCTGCCATGATCCTAGCAGCGGCACAGTTGCAGCGGCTTGGAATCGGCCGAAGCTTGTTCCGTTGGAGGTTGGTTTGTGGCTCGGCGGTTGGAAAATTCGGCTGCCACGAGTTGGGACGCCGCCACAACAATGACACTCACTTTCGCTCCTCTTTTTGGGCCGGAACTTGCGCGACCGACGTATCTCGTCATCCGACGGCGTGAGAGGCCGACTTGTGTAACATGGCATATGTTTCAGACTATGGATCGCATCTGGCTTATTGTTAGCAGGAGCAAAACTTTAAGTGGAAAACAAGTTTTTCCAGAGATAATCCTCGCGTGGTGCATATCTTGCGCTTAAAAAAATTTTCACGTGCGACGCACCGAAAATAATCTTTGCTCTATTCGCTCACAAAGGAGCTCGTACCATAAAAATAATCGTTCGCAACATCCGTCGCATCTTGTCGCAACGAACAATCTTGGAAAGGCAAATCTTTGTACAGTCCGCACCCGTAGCTCGTGTGCTCCGCATTAAATTTCAACTTTTAAACTCGCATGGTTGGTGTGTTATACTTGAGAAAATATGGTAATCAGTTGCCACTTTGAAACCACTTACGATGCGTGGGTGGTACGGGACGCAAAACGCCGGTCAAAGATGCTTTCCTGCACCTTGGTGGCCCCTCTGTCTCCTGAGGAGGTCGCCCCACACTGAAGGGCCCTGGGGCGTGTTCCCGCAGACTGGTCGGGGAGGAGGACCCGTCGTCGGCGTACGAGGGGCCCCCCGACGCTGGGGAGACTGCTTCGGTCCACTCGCATCGCACGGAGGACGCCGGCCCCCCGCCTGGGGGAGACGTCCGCAGGGGGGACCCCATCCTGCCGGCCGTGCTCGAGTTCTGGGAGGAGCGTGAGTACCCCACAGTTTGTCTAGACTGGGGGTTCCTAAACGGGGTTCCTGGGAACTCATGTTCCCTAAGGACACAGGTTCTCTAATTTAGTTTTGTGGGTGTAGTGTCCTTTGTTGAGGGAGGACAAGATGTTCTGACTGACTGCGAGCTTAAATGAAAACGTTCCGTTTATCTGCTCGTGCTATCGGACTTGCATAGACTAGTAACTTAGTTGTCTTCGTCGGCGCCGACGCTGGATCAACGTAGGTGAAGCATTTTTCCTGTTTAAACATTATTTTAGCGGGCCCGAACAACCCATTGATGTGCAACTACTGTAATGTCCGGAGTTGTAGCCCTCCTCCACCCAAAGTTAAAAACAAAGTGAGGTCGGGGATGTCTCGGTGGGCAAGCGGGATAGGTTAAGAAAAAGTTAGAAACAATGCCCATTTTCCTGTGTGCATCTAGGGGCTGCAACGGAGACATAGCGAACTCAAAGCTGGAATTAGTCTCCCTGTTTCCTAGAAGAAACTCTCGTGGAACAATGTTTTTCTATCCTGAAGTTCGTTGCCTATGTGCATGGAATGAGCACTACTGTTGGACATCTTTCGTAATCATGCTCAACGCAAAGGACGATTATTTGATGAATGCGCATATTGAGACCGCAATGTTCTAGTAAGTTCAAAAATAAACAAGGTACAAAGAAAAAAACGCGCAGCGAGCGAGCTGTCGAACAAAGTGCGAGGCTGGGAAAGCGGAAGATGGCGATCGGGTCGCGTGCCTTGTTCATTGCGAGGTGCAGGCACATCCTCTTACGATGGATACCTGCACACTTCCGTGCTCTGCGTTCAAACAATATGGGCGATTGCACCGTCGCTGCGTGAGTAAACGATGCGGGCAGCCGAAGAGAGTGGCCTCCTTCGTGCAGACGAGGCGGTGTTCCTGGAGGCGGTGGTGGGGCAGCTGGACTGGGCCGGGGTGCAGTTCAAGCTGGCACCCACGTACACGCTGTACATGGCCTGCCGCTACCGGGCTTCGACCCACTTCCGGCCGGAGATCAGCCCGGCCGAGCGGGCCCAGCGCCTGACGGCCCTGGCCAACCACCTGGGGGCCCTGGTGCGGTCCACGGTGGAGCGGCGCTCCTCGGACCCGGGGCCCCTGGCCCTGTGGCTGGCCAACGCCTCGGAGCTGCTGCACTTTCTGCGCCAGGACCGCCACCTGTCGGCCTACACCCTGGACGCCCAGGACCTGCTCACCGAGGCCGTGCAGCTCGCCTTCCGCCACCTGGTGGCCGCCCAGCGCAGGGAGCTGGCGCAGGCCTTGCCCAGGGCCTTCCTCGAGGCCAGGGACCCCGGCTCGGACAGCGCCGTGGGTGAGTGGATCACATCGCCCGATGGCGTCACAGCGGCCAGTTCCCCCTACACGACCGTAGCGGTACGAAGGGACGTTGCGAAGAACCGTCATGCGGATGCCGTGGGGGCATAAATTAATAAATAATACGCACGTGAAAGAAGGGGGAGGAGGAGAGGGTACGCATGAGGAGGAGGGGCATATCCTCCCCTCAGTACCCTCCCCTCCTTTTCCTCAAGAGCTGCGCTCTAAATCGGCGTTACAGGAGGTTGCAAACGTTTCTCCGTTTCTTGTTTTTTTTTTGTCAGCACTTCAAAATTTGACAAAAAGCAGGAGTAGAGGCATGAATGGGACAGAGAAGTGAAGTCCCACACCTTGGATGCAGTTGGCGGCGCCTCGAAAAAAGGGGGAAGCAGCATACACAAATCATTTTTAAGATCTTTTTTTTTTTCCTAATCTCTAGATCTAAGCATGGAGGGTGCGGCCCTTACACGCAGTTATACGGTGTTTTGTTGGCTCTTTGCATTGATCATTTTGTGTGGCACCCAAAGATCTGTTCTCGTTAGATTAGTTTTTGCCCCCCTGTACCGCAATTGCAACGTTCCACGCTCGAGCCTTCTTGACCCATGTTAACATTAATCCGTAAAATGGAAAAAAGGAAAAAAAAAACAAATTGTTTTGTATTGTATTAATGGGTATTAACGGCCCACTCTGGCAAGCGCCCGGAGAAGGCCCAGCGGAGACCACGTGACATCCAACGCAATCGTGACGTAGGTCATCTCAAGACGAGCAAAGCTACGGCGAGGCTGACGTCGAGAGGATGGCCTAGTCGTTCCAGCCACCGAAGCGGCTGCTTTTGTACGAATTTTGAGTGACGGGTTAATCTTCTCTAATCTTGTAGGGGGACAATAGCGACTTCTGTGACACACAAAAGGCATTCTTGGGAAGAGGGGAGTTCCTCCTGCCCCTCTTCTCTTGTCGTGGCCGGAGGCGAGACAACCTCCGTCACTAGCTGCCAAGGTTGCTAGACGGGCATTACGAGCGAGGCGTTAGCGACATCCACCAGGTGCTCTTTGCTAATCGTTTAATTCGTTTTAAAATTCCTTTTCGTGACTTTTTTAACAATATATTGGTATGTTCGACTTGATGGTGCTTTTTTGAACACATATAGACCAAAAAATGAGCGCCGAAATTTCGTTGTAGTATCCCTTTAAAGTGTGGCCAGGGATCAGAGCCCCAGCAGGACCGTCATTGAGAGGCGGCCGCAAGGCGCAGGAAGGGGATCGCCCTTTTCCCCTGGCTCACGAAGCGAGGCGTCCTCCTGCAGGAGAGGTGCTGGGGGTGCTGGCAGGCAGCATGAGCCTGCTGCGGCGCTGCCGGGTGAATGCGGCCCTCACGATCCAGCTGTTCTCCTGGCTCTTCCACCACGTGAACATGTGGCTGTTCAACAGCCTGCTGGCCGGCAGCAGCCCCTGCAACCGGCAGACGGGCAGCCTGCTCAAGCGCCGCCTCGCCCACCTGGTGGCCTGGGCCGAGAAGCAGGGCCTCGAGCTGGCCGCAGACTGCCACCTCGCTCGCATCATTCAGGCAAGCCCTCCTCTCGGGACGCGGGGTGCAGCTCTGTCTGCGGGTGACTCGGAGAATCCGTTGCAATTGTATCGTGCGTGCCGAGGCGCTTTGTTTTGCAACTTCGGTGAGGGGAAACTTTTTAGTGCGTTAAAACATTTACGACAACTTGCGGAAAGCGAGAAATTAGCTATATTAGCAAAGTTTTAGAAAATGTGACGATGCGAATAACGGCATAAAGCGAAGCGTGCACTCCCTCGCAGGCGTCACGTGAAAGAGCGGAGTGGGGTTCCAGAAATTAGTGTATCTAATAGCATTGGGTTTTTAGTCGCCAAAGGTTACAACTAGGGTTCCATTTCCCCACTCCCCCGCTGTAATGCTGGGCGGCTTTCTGAAAATAAAATAGAATAAATCTTTTGCGGGTTTATTTTTCTTTACTTTCCAGGGACTTTTTTGGGGGATTCATTTTTTGAACAGATTCTGTGTTTTTTTTTGTGGCTTTTTTTGGTGTCAGACAAGGAATCTGTTTATTGGAACTTGTCTTGAGGAAAACGCGACACAAGCGTGGGATTTCCCTATCTCCGGGCAGCAGGTGCACCATCCGAGTACCTTTAAAACGTGCCAGTACTGCGCGTCTAATCTGAACAATTGGTAAAAAAGTCTGCGAGGAATTTGATCGCCGTACACCAAGGTCAAGCGTGGCGCTGGCCAGTCACAATTGCTGAATTACTTGCCGACTTTTTTGCCAAGTGTCCAGATTGAAGCCAAAGAATAGAGTAGCTTCCAGGAGATTTCAGTGTGACCTGTCTACCAGGTCAGTACTAAATAAAATTGTAGATAAAGGTTCCTTCTCATGAAACTTAGTTTTTTTTTTATTCAAGGGCTGCTACAGTTTAAAGTTTTTTGGTTTTCCTGATTTTGAATAAAACCGACTCGTGGGTTAATTTTTGGAGCCCACAGGTTGAACCCGTTCACAACGAACCCCGATACAGCGACTTATTGTCTATATCAAACATACAAATATTTAAAACGAAGACACACATGACAAACTACATATTGGCTATTATCAAATTTGAAATAAAAAGCTGTCCTCAAAAATGCGCAAATGCCAGGCGCTTTAAAAAAAGAATTAAAAAAGAAAACTTTATGTTTCGACTGTTCGAGACAAAAGCGGTGACCGCAGATCCTAGAAAGAAGAATTGTGCTTGAAAAGCAAGGTCAGGGGTGTTTCTCCACAGCGTTCCCATGCACTGCTTTGTATGTATTTGCACGCGAGCTCGTAGCGTGCGAAAGGATTTGTGTTTTCTTCTTGCCGAGTTGGCCAAGAGCCTATCTCTAACGCTCGGCGGCTAAGTCGGCTTCTCGAAATAGCAGAGACCAAGGCCAAGATTGACAGAGGAAAGAGGTTTTCCTTCTTGCCAAACAACCTCTGCAGTCTAGAGTGTGCATGTTGTCTGCTTTGCTTTTTTTCTGCCCCTAGACAGTTAGCTCAGCTTATTGTTGTCCTTTCCCGTTGGTTCCCCTTTTCAAAGCCAGTTCTCGAAAGAAATGGCGAGCAAATAACAGCAGTCCTTGCCATTTTCGAACAGACTAAATAATTTATAGAGTTGTGAATGGTGGGAAGTCAGATGTTGCTGTGGCCCAAAAAAGCAGAGAGCACGTTTGGCACAATATTAAAGAACAAAGAAGCTATCCAGCAAAATGCCCGAGGCAGACGGAATGCCGACATAAAGTGCCTTCGAAAGCCTGCATTCGACCAAATGGGGAAGCCCGTCTACCGAGGGTTCCCAGATATATGCTCCAGCAGAAAAGCAAAAGACTTTACGTTTGTCCTCAATGTAGAAGACTTGACTGACGGGTCTGGATGGCTTCGGCGCTTCAAGGGCCGCTATGCGAACGTGGGAAGGTGGATTGAGAAAACTGGCGAGCGACCACTGATATAACAAACTATGATATATAGCAAGCTACTACGCACGCGCGTCGGGGAGTTATTTATAAACAGGTTTGACTGTACAGAATAACGTGGGGTCCCAGTTATAACTGTGAACCTTGTATATGCTAAAACTCGGTAATCGTCTCAAATTCAGACGTGTCAAGACCAAAGACCAGGAAAGAAATTCGACTGAATTGATGTGAGAGGTGCCAGGAAACCAAACAGTCTTTACGGTTAAAAAGGGAAGCTATAATACGCAGCATAGCCCACCTCATCCTCTGCCAAATGTTCCCCAATCCATAGCGTACAAGCCCCATCGCAGGTGATGCCCTCTCCCTCCAGAGCGGCGTTGGTCAGTCGCGTCGTCCTTCCCTTCCCCGCAGGCGGCCCACCTGCTGCAGACGCCCAAGGGCAGCGGGCCGGAGGAGGTGGCCTCGATCAGCTCGGCCTGCTTCAAGCTGAACTCCCTGCAGCTGCGCCACCTGCTGGAGTGCTACGAGCCCGGCCCGGACGAGGCCCCCGTGAGCCCCTCGCTGGTGGAGGGCGTGGTGCGGGTGGCCCAGCAGACGGCCGACCAGCAGGCCCATGCCGAGGGGCGGCCCCTCCGTCTCCAGGTGGGACACTACCGGCGCCCGGTGCCCGGAACAACGCCGCGGCGGGCGATTTTTTTCAGGCATTTTGCCTTACGCCCACGTACGATAACTACCACGTGAACAATGATAGGTGTCATTTCTGGCGGTAGGAGGAGTCCGTAAATGCTGTCGCCGTAAAAGTGCACCTGCTGGGGAAAGCTATGGTCAAAGAATCAACGAAGCGTGCAATAAAATCCCTATATCGTGTGGGTTCGGAAAGAGATCTCGGGGTGGACAAACTAATTGGGGAGGTTTGGCTGACTTTCTGTAAATTTGCTTCGAGGGAAACTGAATAGGTTTTTGAATTTGAAGCAAAATCAAAAAAGCTTTAGAAGTTGGAATATATGTACCCAAAAGTTTCAGTTTTTCCAATAGGAACAAATAGTAATCGCCTTATTTCCGCAGCTGTGACGATGCACCAAGCGCAGGAAAGGAGGAGATTGAACAGGAAAACTAGCAACGTTAACGGTGGTTCGACGCAACCCTCGCTCGCATCTAAGCTCGCTCGGACGCCTTTGACAGATACAGTGTAGACCGCATATAACGTATGTCGCGGGAGTCGCGAAAATCCGCGCAATAAGCGGTACTGCGCTATAACCAAAACATAAATTTTTCAGTCCAAAATACATGCCATGAGACAACTTATCTTTGTAAAACAATTTATATTATATTAGACGAAAAATAAAGCTTAGTTTGAGGAAAGTCTTTATTTCACCAGACTAGTGTGTCAAGTGTGTCTTGCATTTTGAAAGAAATGAGCGACTTTTGCCTGGCGCAGCCTTTTAACGGCGTCGCGGGTTGCGGACGGACGTTGCGAGCGTTCAGGATTGCTAACCCTAATCACTTTTCTCCGGCGATGAAAACACGTGAAAATTCGCATCCTTTATACGGTACGCGCCAGTAATACCTTCAACTTGAGCACAGTCACGAAATGCTCCAAATGAGAAATCCGGGCGATGTTCGAAAACACAAATGCTTAGAAAGCACCACTGTAAACAAACACGACGACATGGGCGTTTCTGTTGTCTTGAGAGTGCCGCCACGGCATCGCCGCACGAGTAGGTGGATCTTCCCTTCTAGTATGTGCTGGGTTATCATAGCAACGCACGACGAAAATTCACAGTCAAGGATAGCGCTTTTACGTGGAACGGTAAGCTTCCTCCACGCCGTCTACGCTGACGATCATTACCGACGCCATGTTTGCGGATAAAAGAAGCCGCCCCGCGACCGGCATGCAACGCGCGCGAACACTTCTCCTCGACCTGCGATTGGTCTGTCGTTGCGGTTTCCAACGCAGCGGAAGGACGCACGCACATGAACGACACGTGCTTGCGTGCCTCCGTCGCTATGGCAACTGAAGCTTCTCTCTTCGCGTCTCCCCGCATCTTCGAGCAACCTCCTTGCCCCGCGAGTGCCGCTTGCGGCTAGCGCCGTGTGCCGTTATCTTGGTTATCTAGTGTCGCACAGAGAAGCGTGCTCGCTGCGCCGGTCGGCGCGGTCGGCGGGCTGTTTCAGAAACCGCACTATAATCGGCATTTCCCTTCGCGCGCCTGCATTTTAAGCGGTATGTAATTACATGGAGTTCTATGGGAGGCGAACCGGTGCTTTAAAAAAGACGCGTTATACCCAGTCCTGCACTATAATTGGTTACTTTGTAAGTGGTCTATACTGTAATCAGCAGCAAGGAGGCTCACGTGCGACCTCTGGCAACTGTGCTTGTCCTGCGCAAAAGAAAAGTGCTTTACAGTTACTACTGCCCAATAGAAGTTCGATAAATAAACTCGGGGGACAAACAACTAAAAAAAGGTGCCCGTGATTTTTTTTTTTTTATTGTTAAGTGCTTACATTTTTTGGGGGATTATTTCTAATTTTTGCAGCATCCAGGGATTCCTGGAACACTAGGAGGCAAACGGTAGCAAACCGTCCCGTTGAAACTTGCAGATGGTGCAACACGAAACAATAACGTGATCAATGTTTTTGTTTCGTGTTTCATGCAACAGTGTCGGCCATGCAGTTTGTTTCTGTTTTCCTCCCTGCACGCCTAAATAACGTTTTTTTTTTCAGAAACCTACAATCGCAAAATTTGAGCACGATAAATCCACCACCCAATATACATCTTTGGGAAAAGTTTGATGTCACCGCATTCATCGGCTTAGCTATACAACTCTTCTCTATATTACATTTGGGAACGCCTCTTAGAAGCCTGGGGAGCCTCGGATGGTGTGCGAAATGGGACCGTTTTGCAGGAGGACCCGGACTTGCAGCTGCCCTTCCTGCTGCCGGAAGACGGCTACTCGTGCGACATCGTGAGGGGGGTGCCCCCAGGGCTGCAAGAGTTCCTCCAGCCCCTCGCCCTCTCTGGTGGGTGGCACCGGCCTGCCGGCCAAAGCCGAGCTTCGGCTCCGGGCTCGGCACTAAAGATCGGTTCACGGACTCGCAACTGTTCACGATCGACTGCGCCATGTCGGGTTCTTACACCACTTGCGACTGCTCACGACCGATAGAGCGGCGGCGCAGCCGGTCGTAAGTGACCGCAAGTCCGTGAACCAGCTCCCGCTACGATACGACGGAGTCAGTTGAGCGACGCCGAAAGTGCGTCAATGCTGTGCTCGTCGTCGCGGTGCGTTCGCTACCGCCGGCCAGACTGGCCCCGTGTAGGGTGACGCGCGCGACCGGTTTAGCCGGTGGTAGCAGACGCACGAAAACGACGAGCGTCGGGACGACATACTTTTGGTGCTGCTCGACTGACTCCGTTAGGTGGTGGCATCGGCTGCTCTCTGCCTCGATATGAAACGGAGTATAAAATTGGCCACGTTCATTTCCCATACGGATGACGGTTTCCTGGCTGCCGGCGGCAGCTGCACTTGGGAAACAGAATGTGTAGATTTTTTTTTTTTTTTTAGGGTTCCAGAAACATATCTTCGACGAGTTTGCTTATTGCGTCCTCGTTCGGGGTACTTCGACTTTTGCACAACGATATTGCATTCGCGTTGCGCCGTTGCCTCTCGCAGTCTTGGAGGTGGCACGGCTTAGAGGTGAATGCGGCAGAAGCCGGTAGGCTTGAGGTTGCTGCATAGCTTGACAGTTCATAAGCCAGGAGTGTCGTCGTGACAGCGACACTCTTGTTGGCTCTTCACTTTTGCCGCAACTTTATAACCAGGTACCAGGATCGCGACTTCATTCGATGCCAGTTCGGGGGTAGACTTTCCATTTTCCCCGGGGGGTGGGGGGGGGGGGGGGGGGGGGCAGGCAGGCTGAGAAGTTGTCCGGGGGGGTGCTGCGCGCTACCTTCTCGCAAGAACTGGAGACAGATGCTATACGAGAGCATGCTGGGATTCCATTTGCCATGTATTTTGTCAATAAAGGCAATGTGGGCGTTATTTTGTTTACATGCCACTACTATACTCTCTTTCACATGTGGCGTACAACGCTGTCAAAGCTACAGTAAAACCTCGTTATAACAAAGTTGAAGGAGCGATCATAATTATTTCGTTATAACCATTAGTTTGTTATAGCCAATGTCCATTTCTTCCCTATTAGCAAGCAAGGGGAATTATGATTGCTTTGTTATATCCATTAGTTTGTTATATCCCATTTTGTTATAGCGAGGTTTTACTGTATTGGCATGAGCATGAGGCTTGATCCCGTTAATCATTTGCATGCATGCTCGTGCTAACGAAACCATAGACAAAGCCACATGCTTGCTCCAGTAGCTTTGGCAGCGTTGCATACTAAGTATGAAACGAAGTATAGAAGCACGTTACATGGCGCGTAAACAGTGTCTCGGTAAGGATCATAACTACGAGGGGGCATCGGGGCACGAGCCCCGATGCCCCCCCCGTAGTCTACACCTATGGTGGGCGGTATAAAATGCCAAACACGTAAGGCAAAGGCGCGTTCCAGGCACCGTCGTTTATTTTTAAGTATACAGTCGAATCTCGTTAATTCAAACTCTATTGTAACCGAAAATTGATTGAATAAAGCAAAGCTTGAATTATTGGGAGGTTCCTCTCATAGAGATACATAGGATGGGACCTGCGTGTTGGTTTGAATTATCTGCAAGTTTGAATTAAGAGAGTTTGAATTAATGAGTGTCGACTACTGTTAGGTGCGAAGATAGTTCATTGTACGAGCGTCGAAGGTCCTAGCTCTCGCACCCCTCGGTCCTTCGACGGTTCACTTACGGGTGCCACGCAGTTGTACACGGACGGACGTGGCGTCGTGGTCGTATGCGACGTCCCGTGCATTCGCCTTGGGGCGCGAGGGTGAGCATTGCTCGTCCCCTCGCAGGTCTGTGCCGGCTGACCCTGCAGCCGACCTCCCTGGGCTACTGGACCATCTACATGTCGGACCAGGACGTCCTGGGCCCCCCCGGGGCTCCGGAGCAGGCAGGCCCCGTCCGACCCCAGGGCCCGCCTCGCCCCTCCCCGCCGGAGGTGCGTGGCGACGGCCGGGGTGGGCCGCGGCCCCCCGAAGGGCCCCAGGTGGCCACCATCACCCTGCACAAGAGCTCCAACGGCATGGGGCTCAGCATCGTGGCCGCGAGGGTGAGGGTCCAGTCTCCAACCGTCCTGACTGCAGTCGTCCCGCCTCCGGCTTGTACGACGCCCTCAAACGTGCGCGCGCGGCCGAAGCGCAGAAAGGCGTGCTGGAGGCATTGGAAGGGCACGCCTAGGTGACTATACTTCGTTTCAGCTTAGATCCGAGCGCGGCCCACGTTATGAGCTGAAGGGCCTAACATTGAGCGCAAAAAGCGCAGTGCCATGGCGTGCACTCTGGGCTTGATAGGGCTAGCCGGCGGAGGAGCATGCACAGAGAGACGGCGAATACCGGCTGGTTCTATCAACTGCAGGGAGCAAGCACGCCATGACGTTGTGCCTGTTTTGCTGTTCGATTGGCCCTTCGGCTCATAACATCGGCCGCTCTCGAACCTAAGCTGAAGCGAAGTATAGAGAGGGGCTGGAAAGCATCCGAAACCACGGAGAGCACTGACCATTTGACGGACGACGTCCAAAAAAGTGCTCCCTTGATTTCCTTTTGACGACGTCGGAGAACTGTCATGTCGTCGCAGCAGCATCGGCGGCGGACATGGCAGACGCCCATTCTGCTGCGGGTTGCCCTCCGGCTTGAGGGTCCATGGAAGTTCCATCGGCCAAAAGTTGGGACGACGACAGCGACACCAGCGTTGCCACTTGGGGAGCGCTTTGGATGTGTGGGCGGAATGGGTTGCTCAACATTCCGGTTTGAAGATTCCCTCCAGGCACCGTACGTGCACAGATAGGGAGCGAGAAGGATAGTGAGCAGAGAGCTTGCAGCAGTTTGAGATGATCATGTCACCTCCTCGCATCTTGTATTGCTAACACGGTCCGTAAAGACTTCGATCAAGCAGTTAGAAGCCCACGGATGTGGGCATGCCAGTCCCTCTACGAGAGAGGTCCCGGCCGTTCAGCTAGTCATCTGTTCTTCGCAGTCTGCCAGATTTTTTGCGGGCCATGTGAGGCACGGTCATTGCGGCTGAGCACTGGGCTCTTTTCCGACCAGCTGCCCCAGCACTTTTTCTCGATTATTAACTCTTGTTTGTAGACGCCAGCCTCGTGTCGACTCTTTATGTGGGTGTATGCCCAAAGATTTCCAGAGCTTTGAAAGTAGGGCGGGTGTTTTGTTTCTTATTCAACTGGTTTAGATTTTGGAGGCACTTCAGACCTACATTCCGGGGGAGAAAAAAAACAAACAAAAAAAAAAACTTCCAGATTGCCAGGAATACATGCTGTCCTGCAAGACTCGCCAGCATGTCAGTTGCTGACGAAAACCAGCCATCAGCATTGTCTTTATGTGCGTCTCTTTTTGTTCACATTCCACCCATTAAGAAAATGGCGATAGAGCCCGGGCGGGCAACTGATCTTGTCATTCCGCAGTGTCCTTTCGCACGATAAAGTCCATCGGTTATGATCACCATTACCATTGCAATGAAGCGTCTCCTAAATGGACGAGCACGTGAATGCAGAGTCTGAATCCAGCAACAGATGGCGCTTTTCTGATCTTGGTAAACGAAGGACTTTGTAGCTGGCAGTGCCTTGTTTTATCCCCTGTCTTTTCTTGGTACCACTTCTGGGAAATTGTTTGGGTGGTTGGGCGTGTTGTCTGGACCAAGTGGGGTTTTGAGCAGCTGCAATTCGTGTTCCCTTTTAGGGCACAAACCAGGACCGCCTGGGCATCTACATCAAGAGCGTGGTGAAGGGCGGTGCGGCTGACCAGGTGAGCCTCCTTTGCATGGCATCGTGCCGGGGTTTCCAGACGCCTAGCCAAGGCCTTTTGTATCTCCATATCTTTCGAATGATGCAAGGTCACATCGACAGAGTTTGATGACCCTTGTGCTTGTCAACCATCTAAGATTATTGTATAGTGTTGGGTGTGCGTTTAGGTCCGGAACGATAGTCAAACGACAAAATGAGAAATCTCTTGTTTTAGGGTTTTTCAGTTTTTCTACTTTTAGGAGTTTATCGTGACATAGCGAAAATGCAGAACCCTATTTACAGGTGCATCTGACGGAAAGACTGTTTCTGTATTGAGGGTAAAAGAGTGGCCTCACGTTTTGGGCCCGGGGTTCGTCACTTTTGTTCCCCGGCACGTGCAGTGCCGTGGCGTCTCTGCCGCGGTTCTTGATGCACGACCCGTGGTCCCACCTTGCAGGACGGCCGGCTGCAGGCCGGAGACCAGTTGCTGCGTGTAGATGGACACTCGCTAGTCGGCATCACCCAAGAGAAGTAAGTGCAGCGGTCGGCACGGGTCAGCCCTCAGTTTTGTCCTCTTCCGTGGGGAAAGCACTCTGAAGGGCCTTGCCGATTTACGCCAGGTGCGGCGTTTCGCAGGACAAAGGGGACCCAGGAAACTCTGAACTAAAAGATTCACCTCGATTCTTTGCATAAAGTTGAAAGGCTCGGAATGCGTTGCATGTGCATGTGTAGCCTCTAACTTATGGATGTTCGAAACTTTTAGACGTGTATTATATGTCCGACGTTTTGGGGGTTTTACCTGCAGAACGTCGGACAGATCAATACGTTTTTGGATCTGTCTGACGTTTTGGAGGTCTCTCACTTTTGTGTTGGAGTTCAAGATGAGTTCAAGATGTTTTGCATAAAATCGCAGCGTCACGCTCATGCTGCTGAGAAGTTGAACGAAATGAAACGAGGTCATATCGAACTGCAGAGCGAGAGTTCGGGTTCAGTTCGTACTGGCATTGCACCGAGGTGGTACTGGGGCAGCACTGGTGCTCAGTGCATTGAGGCAGCTGCTGGACTGGGCCGGAGAACTGTGTCTCGCCGTTGTTAGACGGGTTCGTCTGCCGACGGGAGGAGCGGGGCCTGAGACGGTGTCCTTTGCAGGGCGGCCGACCTGATGACCCAGACAGGGCAGGTGGTGAACCTGGAGGTGGCCAAGCAGGGGGCCATTCACCACGGACTTGCGGCCCTTCTCTGCCAGCCCTCGCCTCTCATGCACCGCGGTAGGCTGGGGGGGAGAAGTTTGGGCCCTCTCGGGATCGCGCTCTGCGCAACAAATTGTGCGGGGGTCTTGTCTGGGCCGACCTCTCTTAGGACCGGCCACTTTTGAAGCTCCAGGGACCAGACTGGGGGGGTGGTTTTTGTATTCTGTGGCCAAGGCCACCAACATTCCAGTCGGTGGGAGAGGAATGGAGTTTTGGAGGTCCCTTCGAGTTCACCAAAGTCGCACAATTTACGGTAATTTTCGGAGATGGCCTATACTCGTCAACTTTTATGTGCCGCGTTGTTGTGGCTAGCATATTTTCTACAATGCTGCAAACCCTCGCTGCTGCAACGTTACTTTGTCTCACTTCTCGTTTCGCGCACTCTATCGCACAAAAAAGATGCCAAACGAAGTAGTGTGCTCACGCAAGTAGTCGCAACGGCGTTGGGGTGCTGTGGAAATTACTATGCTTGCCTAGACAATGTGGCACAAAAAGGTTGACGCCGAGTATAGTGCGTTTACATATTGTGCTTTGGCGGGGATCGAACGGTCCTTCGTTCTCAGTCAGTTCAAAGTACCGTGAGGGCGCATAGCCTCGAGGGCATTCCAAGCTTGGTGCGCGGCACTGCTGCGGCGTCTGCACTCCCTCCTGATCCGTCGCCCTCCCCCATGCTCTCCGGAAAAGCCAACCGGGGTTCCTCCGCGGCGACGACCTCCTCGAGCGCGTCCACCCCAGACCTCTGCGCCCTCCGCAACGCCCTGCCGCCGGCATCCTCTGCCTGTGGCAGCGGCGGCGGCCGTGCCGTGGCGCTGCAGTGGGAGGCGACGCAGACGCTGGACCGGTCCCGTGGCAGGCGGCCCGCCCCCGCTCCCCCGTCGGTGACGTGCGTGCCTCGAAGGCCCTCGATGGAGAGCAACATCTTCCTGCTGGGCTGCCTGGAGTGCGAGGAGGAAGAGCCCGCCCCCTGCTTCTGTGCGGAGTGCTGCCCCCTCTGCAAGGGGGCGTGTCCGGAGGCCGAGAGCCTGCCCCCGACGCCGCCGCCCCGCAGCGTGTCGTTCCTCGATGCAGGTCGGAACGGCGGCCACTCGTTTGGATGCCGTCCACTCGATCCATTGCATTCTTCTCGCTTTATTTATCGTTTCAGATCTACTATTTGAGTTCCTCGGTTCCAGTCCGTGGATCGAGTTCCTTGCTTTGTGGATTACGTTCCTCGTGTCGACTCCTTGGTTCGGTTGTTCTGGCGGATCGTCGCTCGCTTTATTTTGTTCCGTTCCTTCGGTTTGTTGTCTTTATTTCGTTTGTGAACGGCCTTGCGTCGCATTTGACGTGGCCATGGGTTGGGCATGTGCACGTGTCTTCAAGCACCTTCGTTTGTGTTTTTGCACCGTCGGACAGGAATTTCGTTTGTTTTTGTTTGCACACGGCATGGCCAGTGGCTCGGTTGGGTTAGGCATCTCCATTTATTTTCCCCGGAGTGGTTGGGTTTTTGTACTTTGCAGTCGTCGCTGCGAGCGCTTATTTTTCGGCTGATGGACACATGTGCGTTGCTCGGAGAGTTCATTGCCGCAGCACGACTCGACTGCTCCAGTTTTTGAAGCATGCCAACTGCACCTGAATCGCCGAGCACTGAAGACTGCACCAACTTTTGAGTTGCAGATGCCGAAATTGGAGTCTGGTGCTCGCAGATCTCGCCGTTTGCTTCAGTCTGTAAAGTGCTCCTCAAATAGAGGAGGGCAGAATTTGGGTTTCAATTTCATTTTGTCCCGAATTCGAAAATATCCGCCTGCCATAATGGCGCGTTTGTGCGGAGCCAATGGCCATAAACTGCTTGATCAATGTTAGCAGGACCAAGCCATCGTAACTTCTTTATTTCTTTATCTTCGTATCAAAGGACTGTCATCGAAACTAAAGGAGTGGTGGAAATGGCTCGTTTTTGGGACCTTAGCCTAAGGGTTTTGAACGGTAAAATATTTTGCCCTTCAACACGCCTCAAAGTACAGTGTGAAAAGGTGCCTATGTGTTTGCGCTAACAGTGCCGCACATTATACTGCGTTTACTACCTCAGTACTAATAAAGGGGGTAATTGTTAAGAAACACTTCACTGGAATAAGTGATCCATTTCATCATTCAAAAGCTGACAACCCCGGGCAATCAACGTTATTGTCACTTGTTTTTTTTGCGAACAAAATTAGCGTCGAGAAACGTCGGGGTGCGTCGGAAGGAAAAAGGTACTTGCCCGTGCTTGCGCACACGTGTCTGGTGGTGAGGCGTAGGTCCCCGAACGCGTTGACCGGTTTGCAGGACCCCGGCGCCTGAGCGAGCGGGACATCCCCAGCCGACTGGCCCAGGAGGACAGGGGACATCCGCCAGGGTACCGGCCCCGCATCCAGGGCAGCAAGAGTGTGCCGGTTCTCAACAGTGAGTGTTGGCGCCAGACACTTTGTCCCTTTTCTTTCTGAAGCGATGGGTTTGTACGGGGACCCTTGGCCGTGCTTTAGGAAATGAGGCCATGGGAGACAGTGTTCTCCCCCATAGTTTGATGCTCATCCATTTGCCTCACATTGAGGATAGGAATTGCGTATTATCTGGTAGGCATTTCGCACTATTGCGTTTTAGTGAAAAAACGCGCCGATCGTCTAGAACCTCATCGAGTGCTGTTTCACCTTCGTTGCATTTGACCTCTTGTCTAAACCAGCCTATTTTTGGGTACTGCTCTCATTCTGAGTCCATGTACCAGTGGAGTTTGTTTTTGGCCTCTTCACTTCAACTGGGGTGATGCAATATGGCGGTGACGGGTCGTTTTATAAAACTTCCTTGTATATCAATTGATTACTTCCTAAGCACCAGCAAAACTTAGGAATTAACTTTTTACAGCGAAGCTGTTTATGGCTAGGGTTCCGGGGATTTGTCGTGTGCAGTGACAAAAACTCTACGCTCGCACTGCCGCACACGCACGCCTTCCCCGTATAAAATATTCGAAGCAAATAACCAAAATAAAGCATTGACGAACGTGCATGCAAGATGCCTTTCGTTTTAGGCTTTTTGCTTTAGAACAGTTACTACTGCACACGCCGGCAGGTGCGGACCATGGAACACCATTCCCTGAATTCTTCTTGATGCTTGGGTAATTTAGCAATGGGTCTATTCAGTAGATCTATTATCAATAGGCACCATGTTCAAGATCAGTAGACCCTCAGGTAGATACTAAAGGTTTCTCAAAGATTCGCCGCTGTGCCATGTCTACGCTCGCATCACCCTCTCTTTGTCGTCGTTCCAAGCCGCTTGCGTGCCTAGATTCCTTTCCTTCTGCCCTCCCGGTGTGGGGGTCCCGTCGCACCTGTCTAGTTTCATCCAACTGCCTGGGGCAGGTCTGTGTCGTGTGCTAAACAGCTTCGCTGGTCATCCACCTTTACAGAGTGGAATGGCTCATGATTTTTTAGTTTGCACCTTTTCAGTAACGGTGGTTAACGTGATGGTTGAAGATAGTGGGTGGTGTGGAACTTTGGGATTTTCTATCGATCCGAGCCATGGGTCTTGGTGGTGCCTTTAGTTGAGCCTGTTTGTAACAACCCGTGTGCAGCATAAAAATGAGCATTAGTTTATTAAATACAGTGTTTAAATAAAGTCAAATTTGGGGGTCTTGCATGCCCTGGTGGAGGGCTTGGGATTAATTTACACCACCTGGGGATCTTTTGACGTGCAAACGAAATATGTCTGCCTTCTCCGCAGTAAGCTTCCGTCAGATTGCGTGCACTTTGGCCGGGATTCAAACACGCCACCCGGGCATTCATAGGCCGGTGTCTTGCTACAGAGCACCATTTTTTGTTATTTCCCAAGTTGTTAAGAGTAAGTTAAGATGTACAGCCACTCTCGCACCACCCCGCTGGGCTGCTCAAACACATTTTCCTTAAAGGAGCGAGTGCCACACCACTTGCTTTCTTTTTTCTCTATGCTATGCGTGCTGCGGGGCAAGGCAGCGATTCTATACTCTGTTTCAGCACAACCTGGCAGACAGCGGAGGTCAGACCAATTGCAAAAATTCCCAAAGCTAGCTTGACGGTGGGAATGTCTCGTATGTTTCTGGCCAACCTCACTCCCAGCAACTACTATGTAACAAGGGAGACAATGATTGCACACCTTACTTAGGTCACCTCTGTTGCTTCTCAGTGGCTTTGAGGCAAAGCACCGGCCTACGGATTTTCAGGTAGCAAGTTCGAATCCCAGCCAGGGTGCCCACAATCTAACGGGGGCTCATTGCGTGTAATCGAGATTTTGGTCCCCGGGTGTCAAAAGTAATCCCCGGTCCTTCAGAGGGGTATTCCAGATGCCCCTTGTTGGTCTGGCCCGAAAGAGCCTTAAGTTTGATTTGTTTTGTTGTTTTGCCTCCGTTGTCCTCTAACCCGCACTCTGCCCGAGTCCTCTACGGTCACGGTGTTGAGACCGGCTTCAGCAGGGGTAGGTCTTCTAAAGAAGTTTCATCGAAAGGTATGGCATACAAGCGCGGCGTCTGTACAGCTGGCTTTGGAAACCTTTTTGGTATTGGCGGATGGTGCTGCACGCCTCGCAAGGAAGGCGTGCGCTCTAATGACACGTTGCCATGGACCCTGCTCTGATGTTTTGACTGGCTGGCTGGGGTTGTGGCCCTTGCCATCCGCGAAATTATGATAAAGCAGAGTCTCGTTGCCTGCAACGGGAAAGCCCGCTTCCTTGTCAAGTGACCTTGGGATGCCCGCGGGTGTTGCAGGTGGCTACGCGGGCGAGGGCACGCCGGGCGGTCCACCGCCGCGGGGTGCGATGCACCCGCTGCCGGGCCACCAGACAGCTGGCGGCCCCGGCTACCCTCCCGGGGACTATTCACATTTCCAAGAGCCGCCCCCTTCCTACTCGGTGAGTGGAGCTCACGGCGATTCGATTGCTGCGCCATCTGCTCCGAACTGCGCCAAAGCAATTACCCTGCTACATCTTGCTAAGACTTGTTTTCACTCTTTTAATACTGAAAATGGAATAAATCGGGCCCCGTTGCGTGATCGGATCGTAACGATAGGCTAGTGCAAATATCCAAAGCTTTCGATTATCGCCTCGAATGACATCGCATCATTATTAGCTGAAGATGTTATAACATTATGCAGATTCCAGTATATATGGTAGACTGCGATATTCTAACAATATCTTTTTCACTTTCAAGATTGACCAAGGATACTTGAATATTGCAAGAAGACTTTTATAAACTGCTCTATATGTTCATTTTTTATGCCAACTCTAATTATTTCCTTCATATAGGTTGCATCTGTTCTATGGCACAGTGGATACGGAGAATGAAATGGACCTTTTTCCAGTAATCTGCTGCGCATGCATGCACCCCCTCTCCTGGCCTTGCTTCCCGCTGTCGCCATTTTCGCGGGGGAAAGTTCTGTTCGACTAACACATTCGGCACTTGTCTTTGCGCGTATTTCGTGCCTTTTGGCCATTCTTGTCTGAGTACATGCCAGTGTGCGTCATAGATGGCAACGACAATCGATACAACGGCACAGTGTGAATTTATTCTGACGGGCGGAGGCAAGTTGGACCGCCCTTCATTTGTAGTCCGAAGACAACTCCCCATACGGTGCTCGTCACTGGGAAAGGGTCCATTACCTGTCGTAGTAAATGCGAGCCTGGAAGTAACCTAAACTAATTCAGGGACAATTTATTCTTTTAGAAAGTGTCTTTTTTGTTTAAATTTTGATTTTTATTATTATGAAGTTCTGCTTACCAAATGCCATCAATGTTCATAATCAAATGACAGAACCTGTGTATTCTATCTAAATTGAGAGCTGCAGTTTCATTACAATCTTTACAACTTAAAAAAAGCATGAATTAGGATTCTGGAAATATTATATTCAAGCATTATTTCGGTGGATTTATCTATTTCGTTTACATTTGATTTCATACCTAAAATAACCATGCACAGCCCTTCATCAATCAGCATCTTGTCACGATGCCTTGTTCTTCTGCATGCAATTCAATTGCTAGCTAGGGAAACATACCTGCCATGCTGTTGATACCATGAAGGTGTTGCACTGAAGTAGGAAGGCAAAGTAGACATAGACTCGTAAATTTAACAAGATATTTGCACTAGTATGAATGAAAATGAAATGTTTGCTTATACTTCAAATTTTCTTTTTGCTGTTACCAAATTGACTTTTGGCTTCTCCAAAAGGTGCTCCAAACTGACTCGGTCCAATCGAGTCGCGGAGCGCAAGAGGCTGTCGCCTTTCCTCGGCACGTCGTCTTGCATTTTTTCCCTTTGATCATTCGTTGCGTGTCACGGGTCAGACGAGTTGGTTGGGAAACGGTGTAGGCCCCAAGTCGCTGCATTCTTTTGTCCGTCTTAATCTGAGGAAACAATAGAACAACGAAAACTGAATCTTTTTGTTTTATTTTGTTTCATACGTGCATACCTTACGACCGTGTCCCAAGGGGCATGCACGGGGGGGGGGGGGGAAGGGGAACATAACAAGTAATGCATTAAAAGCAATGCAAGACGAAACCGAGCAATGCAAAATAAAGAAAATAATGGTTTTATGTGATTGAAAAAGATGTGAACAGTGCGATCCATTCATACCGGTACCAGATATAACGATGTACCGCTTATAACAATCAGTTTCCAGAGTGGAAGCAATCAGTTTTTAGTCCAGATATAACGATAATTGGTTATAACGTCTGAATTATCGGATTTTCTCATTACCGTTAGAAGTGGATTGCACTGTATCAATTTTTATAGTACAGTGCAGTCCACTTATAACGATATTATTAAATGCGGAAAATCCGATCGTTATAACCAATTATCGTTGTATCCGGACTGACCCTGAAAACTGCCCAAAATAGTTCTCCCAAGCAGAAGGTTACTCACCAGTGTTCACTGAATCACACCATAGAAGAAGCGCCGCTATATAACAAAGTTTTATTGTAGGGTCATCAGCAAGCACACAATGAAATGGTGTCAAACACGCTAAAAAAAATCCAAGGTCTCCGCTTGCTTGTGCGGCAGCTGGAGCTTGACTATCGTGGTGTGCATACAGCTCGTACGAGGCTTCCCTAAGCCTTCTCCCCTGGTCGTCAAAGCCGCTTGTTCCAGCCTTCTTCATTAGGACGTCCCCGGATTTCAGGATGGTAGATATCGTCGACTGAGAGTGCTCATACTTCCGGACGAGACTTCCGACCTTGAATCCTTGCCGCCAATCACGGAGGATTTGCTTTTTCTCCTCGAAGAAGATAGCATTTCGCTTCGTCGGAGCCATCTTTCATGCCAGCGACGCGGGGAAGAAAAGGGCGGGGAGGGGTTGGGAGGTTACGGGTATGATGATGATGATAGCGCCGAGGTTTTAACGCCGCGCGCAGCGCCTACTCGCGGAATATTCGGTCGGGGCCCATCGGCGATGATCGCGTCCGCCAATCTCGGTCGTTTCTTCGCGGAATTTCACAATTTTTATCTAATTTTCTGTTGAGTTTTCGTAGTAACACATTCTACGCTATCATTTATTGATCGTTATATCTGATATGCCGGGAAAAATGCATCGCTATATATGGTTTATTTTTACATAGAACCAATGCAAAAATTGATGCTCCTATAAAATCGATCGTTATAACCAGGGGCGGATGCAGGAATTTCCTGATGGGTTGGTCAGGTGTTGGTCAGGGTACCATATGTTTAGGAACCCTCCCCCTCTCCCTCGTTTCACGCCCTAAATTTTACACACGCAGAATTCAAAAGGGGAGTCAGGACATCCAGACCCCCCTCTAATTCCGCCCCTGGTTATAACCAATATATCGTTATAAGTGGTATCGTTATAAGTGGACTGCACTGTATATTGCACTTGCACTCTGAATTCCACAGGAGTTTCTAGAAATACAGTCCCAGCCGGCGGCTCGTTCAGTCTGGCAACTAAGAAATGTTGAGGGGTTGTGTGAAAATGCTTAAGGGGAGACACCCCCTGGGAGGGTCAACTTTTGAACCCTGGGCTTAAAATTAATGAAATCTGCAGGGTAGGCTGGTGGTCATGCTAGAGTGTGCATAACAAAATTTTAGGTCTGTCGGTTAAGTGGGAAGGAAATTAGGGCAGCTTCTATCAGCAACACCCCTACACTGTTTAGTTAATCTATCGTCAGAAAACTATCACAATATTCAAGAATTTTATACCCTAGATATGTAGCAGAATGCCTAGGATATGCGCCTATGGAAAGGTTTTTGTAAAAAGTAATTGATTTCTATCAATTTTCCCTTCTGCGAAATTGGTCAACTTTTTGGTCTTCTGTGTCTCCGACAAAATGTCAACATATTTTATAAAAGACATCCGTAAAGTGACAAACAAACTCCATAGGCGCATTCCTTATTAAATTTCAGTAAGGAAAAGTGAAGAACGAGCCTTGCCTGTACATGTATTTCCATTCTCAAACGATAGATTGACTAAAATGGAATTTATACAAAAAAGTAGAACGGAGAAGAATGTGTTCAAAGTGCTCTAAACCCTACCTTTCCTTTAGTTTTGGTGGACAGAAAATAATTTATAAAAAATTAACTATGCAGTGTAAAAAAGTGAAAATTTCTTGGAATACTTTCTGGATGTAGATGAATTTAAATATGTAATTTTTCAAAATCAATGTTTTTTGAAGAATCTTTTTTTCTCCGGGTAGTGTCCCCCCTTAAAATGTCAGTGTAGGGGATGTGAACCTGACGTCTTGGATGACCGAACTGGCCATATCGTTCCGACCGCCAAACATTCTCCAGGCTCTGCACGGCACTTGTGGCTGTGGTTACTGAAGGCTGGTTCATACTTACAGCAAAATGCTATCTCGGTGCTCAGTCGACACTACAAACAGTCCTGCTTTGAGCCTAACACGGCATTGATGCACCGCTGAGTGAGGATTTAGCGGCGCTAGAAACAGCGCTGATGTCATGCTGTGTTGAACACGGATGCAGCGCCGAGTTCAGCTTTACCAACACTGTAGCAGTGCGCACCACTTGCAACTTGCGGCACCGTGTCAATGCTGCGCAGCATTGACACGGTGCCGCTAAAGTGGTCACTCAGCACCGCGTCAGATTGACACCGACCGGAACTGTCCACGCCGACTTTTGTGTTAAGTGCTAAGGTTAGTGTCTCGTCCGGAACTGGCTTAGTGCCGAGTCAGCACAGCCCTGTACGACTGAAAAACGGGGACGGCGATGTCGCCAGACCTTGCCCTCGCAGCCCCCGAAGCCGGGGCCCCGCCCGGACCCGCACGTACTGCAGCAGCAGCAACACGCGGCCATGGTGCAGGAGGAGCGCCAGTACCAGAACATTGGCATGTACCAGCAGCAGCTGCCGGCCACGCCCCCTCCCGCATTCCCCGACACAATGGCCCACCAGGGGGGCAGGTGGGGACCTCTCTTCTCTCTCATTTTCTGGGCTGTTGTCGGGATGCTGTTGCTGGTGTGCTGTTGTCAGGATGTCGTTACTGGGAAACCGTTGGCGTGTTCTTGCTGGGATATGGTTGCTGGTATACTGTTGTCACGGTACTTTTATGATACTGTTGCCAGGATACTGTTTCTGCGATACTGTTACCGCAATACCGTTGAGATATTGCTGCAGGAATGCTCTTAGGATACTGTTGTGGGGTTCTGTTAGGAAACTGTCTCCAGGAAACTTTTGGCTGGGTACTGTGGACTTTTTCTGGGATACTATTGCCTCAAATTTGAGTGGGAGTTCATTTGAGATTTCCAAGGTCATTCAAAAGTCTTTCAGCAATCTTTGCAAACTTTTTCATGTCAAGGGACGCCCGTCTTGCTCGATTGATTGTGCCAGTGCACCAGTGCAATGAAGGAGTGCGTAAAAGTCTGTGGGCCTCGTAAGCAATAATGCACATATCGTACGTGAGGACGACGCTCTGTGGCATTTCGAAAAGGAGCAGTGTGTGCACAGCTTTGATCAGTGCTTGAAGTCTGCGATTGCGCGGTCACCCGTGGCTTTGACTTCATAGTCCCTAACTTTGGAGCCTGTCTGGTACAAAGTCACCCATCGGGTCTTCTAAAATATTGCACGGAAGGATAACTTCATCTGGAGACAGGAATGACTAGGGAAATTTGGGGGCTCGAGGAAACCCCTAGTGTACTTTGGGGACCCCGGTTCAAGGACCCACGATCTCACCCACATTTATCAATTCGGGTGTGTTAAGCCTCTTCGTTTTCACCAAGTTATCTGCAAAGTCTGGCTCCAGCAGTCTGGGAAAGAAAGTTTCGGAAAATGGAGGAGCACGTGGATATCACATTGCCGACCGGTTGCTGATTGAGTGTCGATCAGTTTCTGGTCGGGTACCGCCTCCCAATCGGGCGTCAACTAGTCACTTGGACGTCGATCAGATAAATAGGTAGTGTCCAGTTACTGATCGGAGGCTGGCCGACTGCCGACCGATTGCCCAGCAGTTGTTTACTGGTTGGCAACAGATTGCAGAATGGTTGCTCTCCGATTGCGAGCATCTGCCGTCCTTTTGCGCAGGGTGCCGGCGTACCACTCGTCCCAGCCGCAGCTTGCCCGGGGCAGCCCCGGCGGACCCCGCGGGGACCAGGCGTCGCGGCCCCTCTCCACCCTCGTGAGCCCCCGGGAGCAGGAGCAGTACGCCAGCGGCATGGGTTTCCCCGCGCAGCGCCCGGCGGGGCTGTCTCCCAAGCGGAACCCCGGCAGGCCCCCCGAGGGGGGAACCCACCCGCCCCAGCGGCCCCCTATGCCTGCCGAAATGCGGTGGGTGCACTCGGATGCCACGCCGGCCCCTCGTTGGGCGAGTCTTTCCGAGCGTGGCACGAGCTTCCTAGGAATGAGTCTGGCACGTTGATGGCGCATTTTGTGCGAATTTGCTCGTGTAAGAAGGAAATAAGGACAACGTTTACCTCCCTACGGTGTCTGTTTACGCACAACTTCTCTAATTAGTGTGACGAACGACATGTGGCAGCAATGCTCTTCAAGGGGTGTCTGTGTTTTTTGAATCAGAGTTGCACAAACACTTTTCAGGCCTGCGACGCTGAAAGTTCTCAAACGTAGTCCAGCGACACCTTCGCCCCTTTTAGAGCAGTATCAAAGCTGTCAGCGGCTCGACTTTCTGAGGCCCCGCGACCCCAGATGTTGCCTCGCAACCCCCACTTTGCGCACTTCTGGTATAAATGACGGTGTAAGAAGGCTTGGATGGAGTAATGCCATCTCTTTAGGCATCCAACTTTCGTCCCAGTTTTTCACGCACACCACCAGATGGCACCACAGTCGTTAAGGCCTACGAAGGGCATCTGCTATCGGGGAGCGAGCCGTTCAACGACTGCGGTGAAGCTTTGCACGTGCCCAACTGAACATTCTGATGTTATTTAAGGCTATTGACCGTTCGAAAGTTGGAACCCGCAGGGGTTCCGACTCGGCGAAGAATGGGAATTCCAACCTTTCAATGGTCCGCATAATGTTGTCTTTTGAGAGACAGTCCACTATCCCGGGCGTCGGCGGTTTTAGATGCGGCCACTGCAGCTTCCCTCGACCACTGCCGCATACTTTTGTCTTTAAAGACTAACACATTTAATAGTGCCGTTCACTGCAAGGAAGGCACTGACGGCCCGTGGGTCCTTTTCTTTCTTTCTCATTCTTCGTCAGCCAGCAGGGGTGTCCCGGAAACTTCGGTGGCACTGCATTTTTGGCCAGAGCAGCTTTCCATGGGAAACTTGCAAGGACGTAACTCTCGCAGACGGCTTTTCACGATTTGCTTACAAACCTTGGCTAAAGATGTCTTGCAGACAAGGTCTGTCAGCTGCAGCATGCGGTCTCTGTGTGGGGTTGCGTCACGCCACGCTTTTAGGCAGTCTTCTTCTTTGGGAGTAGCAAAAAGGGACAGCTTCTCTGTTCGTGTTTTGTATCCCATGTTGCACCGTGGCACGAAGCACCTCTTCCCCTTTGCCGGCAACCTCCAGAAGCCAAAACTAGCCAGAAACAAAACAGTAACCACAAAAAACTGCAGCGTTGGGGCCCGACACATGCTGCTGCCTACTGCCCACGAAAGGATGGCCTTGGCGCTGGTGGCGCATCCTGGCGGCAGGAGAAAGAATCCCGTGCCAATTTTCGCCACGATGGTTTTTCGTTGGAGACGCAGCGTTACGCCACTTGAAGTATTTCTATCGCTGTGGCGTAAATAACCTGACAACTACTTGATTGGTTTTATGTGTATTCATTGCGTTTTATCAGTAAGAACGAGAAACTCGCACGCTGACAGTTAACAGCGAAAAAGAGTGCGCAATTTTTCGCTCAAAATAGCTGTCGCCTGCTTTCGTCGAGGCAATGCCTTTGTGAGGATAAGGTTGTGAAGTTTTTGAGTGAGCTGCTGCTGGCATCTGTCGTTCGTTGCACCATTTAGACACGTGTTGTTTGAAATTACGTGAAAGTTGATACTGCTCTGACGAGCATAAAAGCTCGTCAGTGGAGCACAACCTGAGGCTTTTCTTTGAGCAATAATTAACTCTGAAACAGCTAGGACAGGTCGGTGCTTGCTTTATTTCATTTTAATGAAATGTTTTGAGTTGGATAAACTCTAATTATTAGGCTGTAAAAGTGGTGACCAGAGCTTTTCCCTTAGCAGGATTTAACAAATTTTTTTTTTAAACAGTTGAGAAAGTTGAAGAAAAACTTATTTAGACACCCTGCATTAGTTGATCGGGGATAAGTGATCAGAAACCGAAATGTCAATTTTGCCCACTTTTTTGTTGTTGCAGGGAGTGGCAGCAGCAACAGCAACTCCACCATCAGCAGCTTCAACATCAGCAGCTTCAGCAACAGCAGCTTCAGCAGCAGCAGCAACTCCAACATCAGCAGCTTCAGCAGCAACAGCTTCAGCAGCAACAGCTTCAGCAACAACAGCTCCAACACCAGCAGCTCCAACACCAGCAGCTCCAACACCAGCAGCTCCAACACCAACAGCTCCAACATCAACAGCTCCAACATCAACAGCTTCAACATCAGCAGCTTCAGCACCAACAGGCTCAGCAGCCGCACCATCAGCAGCAATCCTACGAGTTGGCAGGCGAAGCAGAGGGTGGCTCCATGCACCGTGCCCAGCCCTCCTTGCACCAGAGGGACCTCATCCGCCAGGAGGCCAAGATGGAGGAGATGAAGGAGGAAGTGAGGCTCCCTTCTCTCGGTGTGATTTGACACCCTTGGCGAGATTTCTTATAACACCCGTGGCGAGGTGCCTTTCAATGCTCTTACTTGGGTTTGTTGCAGAGCCCTTAGCGAGGTTTGTTTAGGTACTCTAGGCAAGGTGCCGAAATGAAAATCCTTGAGAGAGAAAGACTGAAGAAGGGGAGGTAATTTCAACACTCTTGATGTGGTTTTCTCTTGATAGTCTTCGAAGCGAAAATTCTGGAGGGGAGGGTCGTTACGACACCCTTGGCATGGTTTGTTTCGTGAGTCGTCAAAACGAAAATACTGTAGAGATGGAGATCAAGAAGGAGAGGGTCGTTGTAGCTAGGAGAAATGGGACAGGATCGTAGAAAGACTGTCACGCACTCACTGCTCTGGAATGGTCCATGTGCCATCACTCGGCACCACATGCAAGATTGCTGCAGACTATGGCAGAGAGATGAAACTCTGCGCGTTGTTTAATAAACAAATGGGCTTTTGACACTGAATGTGTTATATGGCGAGCTCCTAGCACTGTCCTGTAATGCAGGGGCTTTGCACGGAAGTTCACTACCGTAAAATCTCGTAAGGGCTCCCTCCCCCACCCTCTGATTCCCGTTAATAGTGGAAATGTGATTCCTGTCGCACATAACGCAATGTCCGATGGGTATCATATCAACCCTGCGATCCGTGGTACCGGTACGTGTGACAAGCGGGTTCGCAGTGGGTTTCTGCGTTTTTGTCCACGATATGCGCACGCATATCGGTTCCCGTGACACTCAAGTTCGTAGCAAGTTCCTGCGTTTTTTGTCCGTGATCTTCACCGTGATATGGGTTCCCGTGGCACGCAAGTCTAGACGGTTTCCGCTTGTTATTCGCGCCGTGAAACACAAATCTGCTGCATTTGCAGTCTGCAGTATCCTTTCCCGTGACACGGGAGTTTTTGTAGCGAATTCCTGCGTGTTTATCGTGTCGTGAAACGCGAAATTGTCATATCCGTATTCTGCAGTATCGTTTCCCGTGTCACATGGTTTTTAGCGGGTGCCCCTTGTGTTTATCAATAATATTTTATGAAGTTTTGCTCTGTGATCCGCAAAGATGTTTTTCGCCACTTATCTCTTCATTTCGATTGGGCGCCCTTCTGGGATTTTACGGGGGTATAAAAAGCACCAGCGAAACTGCTAAAGCATTCGGTTTAGGATCAAGGTCCCTCCGGTTGTGAATCCGATGCCGAACCATCTGCGCTAACGGGGCACGCGGGGAAAAGCTAGTCCGAAATGTCATCGCAAGGCGGCGGGCGGTGGATGAGTGTAGGAGGTGAGGAAGAGAATGAGCACAATCTTTTGAGGAAACTGGAAGATGCGAAATAGCTGGGTCAAAGCCGGGATGTGGTTGCGCAATTGCACTCCACGCCCGTTGGCAGGGCTTTCCGTCGGAGTCTACGTACAACGATGTTAATGCCGTCGAGGTACAAAATGTGACCAGAGCTCATCCGTGCAGCCTCGGCGAAAAGGCAGGAAATGCATTCTACGCTATCACTGCCTTTGTTTCTTTTGTGGTTTGGCCTTTTGCGGAAGCTCAATGTGCTTGGTCCCACAGGTGCGTCGGAGGGAAGAGCGGGAGCAGCATGCGCATTGGGCCGCCTCCCAGAGGGGACCCCCCGTGGCAGACTGGACGCCCCCACAGCAGGTGACACACGCTCCCCATACGGCCATCAGGCGTTTGCTTGCAAGGAACGGGCCTGTTTGCGTTGCCGTCACGCACACAATGGATTGATCTCGCCACCTTGTTTCGTAACTTCGCCGCTGCCGGCGTGCGTCGTGGGAACTTTGGTCTTTCTGCGTGTGCAGCAACCCTACCGGCGGTCTATGTGAGCATGGAACGAGACGGCAAGAGTTGTGTCCTGCACTGCCTTCTGAATCCTATACACCAACTCATGTTTACAAACAAACCGGAGCGCCCCTAGCGGACGTCACCGGCGCCGCGCATGCGCCGTGGTTGGTGGGCAAGAAGCCCGCCGTCGCCCATAAACAAACCATTGAATTGGGTTGTTGTCGGCGTCGGTGGGAGTCCCCATGCTCTTTTTCGCGTTGGAATTGTTGATTCTACGTCCTCCTAACAATGTCTGACTACTTGAGCGGCTTCAGCAAAACTATCGAGGCAAAACTTTGCGTGAATAATGTGACGTGCGGTGATTCATTTCACGTGGACGCCGCAGAATGGGCGCTAAGGCCTGACTCCCACGTCGAGATTCTGCTCGCTATTTTCAGTCGCAACGTCGCTCGGACTGCAAAAGCGTGGATCGTAGCTGAGATGGTGGACATCGATACTGAAAATCTCAAGTAGAATCGGGCATTACAAGTCGGTGATGGCCACTGGTAACAATGATCAACAACTTCTTGTATCTGTTTACACTTAGCCGACTTACCCCAACCAACCTTCAAAAGTGTTTTGAGGCCTGCACTTAGTTCTTATCGCAATTACCGGGTCAACGTTTGGTTTGCGAGCCGCTGTCGTTTGAACAAACTGACGAAAAAAAGCAGCCAAGTTTGAAAGAGCAGACGACAGTTCGAACGCACGCGCAATGGAGTACGGGCAAGAAGCACCGCGCCCCGCGTCAACAAACCATTCGAATGTCACGTTGTCGGCGTCTGTGTGAGTCTGCATACTCTTTTTCGCGTTGGAGTTGTCGATTCTACGTCCTCATCGCAATGTCTTACCACTTCAATCGCCTGAGCGAAATTATCAAGGCTCGTTACGCCGCTAAACTTTCCGTAAATAATTTGACGTGCGGTGATTCATTCGCATGAACGCTGCAGAATGGACGCCAAAACCATGATGAGATTCTTGTAGCTATTTTCGATCGCGACGTCGCTCGTGCTGCAAAAGTGTAAAAGGTAGCGGCGATGATCGACGTCGATACTGAAAATCGGAAGCGGGAACAGACAAAGCGTAACAAGCAGGTGATGGCCACCGGTACCAATAATTAACATCTTGTATCTACTGTTTACACCGAGCCTACTTACGTCTTTTGAGGCCTGCAATTACTTCTTATTGCAATCACCGGGTCAAAGTTTGGTCTACGGGCCGCTTTTGTTTGAACGAGCAGACGACAAAAAGCAGACAACTTTGAAAGAGCAGACGAAAGTTCGAACGATCAGGCGGCCGTGTGAATTTGAAGACGAACTGAATCCGTGGGTGGTCCGGACAACTTGGGGGTTTTCTCTCGGTCATGTTGGAACAAAGCAAATACATCTGGCGACTACAAATTGTGGCCCGCACACGCAATCGTAGTTCAACAGCGTCAGGTTTGCCCTTTTCACGGCTACAATCCACGTTCTCGGTTCGAAAGGAGGTGGCAAAAACACATGAAAACTGATCTTCAAACCTTCCCAGACTCTTTTGGTACAGCCCCCGTCGCAGCATTTTGACGAGAAGGCAGGTTTTCTGTCTCGTTTCTTCCAAAGGAACACAGGAATGCATGTCTGGCACGGCGACTTCTGCCCACCGCCCCAGACCGGAAGTGCGTCCGGCGCGCCACCACCGCGGCGTGACGTAGGAGAGTTGAGTTGGTGTATAGGTTTCATGGCAATGTTACACGTGTGTGGAATGCTCCTTGAGGTCCGTCTGTCGCCATCACATGACTCGTTTGCTGTCACACGACTCATTTGCTGTTGCACGCTTGACAAACGAAGCGATAAAACCTTGCTCGCAAAAACAAAAGAAAAAAAAAAAAAACTCTTTGGTATGATTTAATGACAAACTATGGTGTGCCTTCAGTTAATTGTTTTCTTTTTCCAGTTCCTGGTAGTTTTAAAAAGATTAGAATGTTCAGGACAGAGGAAATGTGCTCCAAATCGAATTTTGCAGTAAGCAATAGTGAGCGCATTGAATTCTTGAATGCTGTAAATGACTTCATTTTTGTGGGCTCATATTTTTGCGAATCAGAAATTAGAATTTCCGGTGACCGTGAATTGAGGTGATTGTAAATGCCGGTTCATTACATTTTTTTTCTTACAAATGGTTTTCATAATCACGTTATTAATGGAGCGTACCTAATAATCACGTCAGAACCTTTGCATGCATGTTTTCCAGCTGCTAGGTTGTGTTGATGTTCGTTGTTAAGACACTTAGGTCCGTGCTTCAAATTTGCACTTTCCATCACTTTAGTGGTTTTGATGGCGGCTCCCAGATTCCTACAAAAACAAATTACCGGTGGTGGCTCGTTTGTGCTAGGTGTTGCGCATAGTATGAGGGCCAATTGAAAAGTAATCGACCCACCTCTTTTTATTGATAGTCCAATGACCCCGCATTGTCTCTAAATCTGTTAGCATTTATTGTTCCAGTCAATGCCGTCTTCGGTTCGGACTGGTGAACTGGTTTTGTGAGGACGTGACACGGTTCCCGCCGTGCTCTTCTGCTCCAATCGTTTGCCCGTTCCATCCACTTTCCCTCTTACGTAAGAGGGAAAGAGTATTCCCGCACACTTCCGACGCCGCCGTTGACGCCCACGCCTCTTACGACGGCACCGGGGCGTGGGCACACGGTTTCGTTTCCCCATTAAGCGCAACATGCGCGACAATGTAAAACCGACGCGCATCAACGACGACGTTTGCGCGAAACCGCGGACGCAGTAGACTGGCTCTTCGAACACAATGAACCTTTGCGCTAGATGCTAACGCATTTTGTTGAGAATCAACGTAGCGACAGCGGCGATTTTGGCTTTATTTTTCTTTTCAAAATAGCATCCTCCATATTCGATATATTAATCGGAATGTTTTAAAAGCAGTTTGAAGAAATGTAAAAGAATGTTTTTTGTCGTTACTTTCGGGGTTGCAGCTGCCGTTTAGTCCACTTTATCGTAAGAATAAACCTCCTGCCGCGTAACTTTTTTTATTTGAAAAACGGCGCGAAAGGCACGGACGAGAAGGAGAGACACAGGACGAGGCGCTATGTCTCTCCTTCTTACCTTCCGGTAAGAATCCATTTTTCAAATGGATTCTTACCAACTCGCCCAACTTTTTATTCTAGTAACTTTTTTTTTTTTTTTTTTCGGTGTTGAAAATATTTGGAATTCACGCGGCAATAAGTCCGGGTTATATTAAGAATATTTCGGTGCCACTTCGGAAAGGTCAACCCAAGATTCAGTTGCGCATCTCTGGGAGGCTCTCACGAGCGCGTCTCCGTCACCCGTCACAACGACGCGTACGAGGTGCCTCCGCTCGCTGCGACACAATGCTCGGGACCGGCGGTCCAACTGCGGGTTCAAACGCGCAGACGTTACCTTCGCAAACATAGACGCAACAGTGCCCGTCTACCTTTCTGCAAAGAACAGAAGCAGTCTTGTCACTTCTCGGTCGGCCCCTCTATGTACCATTCTCGATTGATCTAAAATTCTCGGTGCCATTACGGGCACCTCGATGAAAGACAAGTGTGGACGGCACCCCGAATGAGACGTCACCCGTGCAGGGCGTGTACCGCTACCCGGCGCCCCCTTCCAACCACCGGGGGGACCCTCGGCTCACCTCTCCCGCCCACGTGGCCGCCAGCAATGGACACCGGGAACAACACGGGTGAGTGGGCCTCACCGGTGTGCCCGGATTCGAGGCTGTTTCCAGCCACTCGACTGGAGTCTGGTGGTCTATAGACCGCCTTTGCCGTACAGTCGACTCTCGAAAATTAAAAGTTTACAAGGACAGGGAAATGCTTAAAATTAAAAGCGGGAGAAGTTGATTTTTGCTTGCCTCCGCTAACGAAAATGCGTGACATTCCACTTACAGACTCGCAGTACTAATTATGCTCCGAAAATCGCAAACCTTTCTTAAAGGGCCCATGAAGCAATTTTTGGGTTGGGATAAATCATTTTAGATTGGGATTTTACTAATAGCACATCGTTCAGTGGACCAAAAGGAAAAAGGTAGAAAGTCAAAAGCCTGACTTTCAGTGCGAAAATCTGAAAACACAGCGGACTATTTCGTACCTCCTCCCCTTCGCAACCTCTCTGCCTTTTCACTGTGATACATCAGCAGTCCCAAAAGCGCGTCATCGGGTCCAAACTGACATCACACGCAACTGGACCTCACTTATTCCCTTCATCCCTAAGCTGACATTGTGGTGGAAGCTACGCGCTTGCCGGACCAATCAGCCGCCTCCCTTTCCTCACCTGACTTCATTCTCTGCAGCCACATTTGCCACGCTCACGTGGCAAGTGTGGCTGGCCCAACGAGCACGTAGCTTCAACAGCACTGTCAGCTTCGGTATGAACGGGGTGGGGAAAGCAACTTTTGTCTGAATTTTGAGCGACGGGCTAATCTTCTAGGGGGAGAATGGATGTGTCCGGGATTACACAAACGAGAGTGCGAGCAAGAGGGGCCTCCCCTCTTTTCGTCTTCTTGAACTGTTTGGTGGAATGTGCGATTTATGAGTTGAGGAGGAAAGCTAAACAGGAAAAAGTTGGAAAAGCGTTTCATGACCCCTTTAAGTGCTTCGAGCAGTTTCTTTGCCACTGATGATGCAAACTTGTACTCCGTGGTGCACTGATGCAATCGCTGCGTCTTTTGCACCAAACTGCTACATCCCACTACATTTAGCCCAAATGTGAGGAATCTGCGGCAACATTATGCCAAAACTGGATTTCACTTTATCAATACTGTGAACGTAATGGCTCGAGGCCCCGCTACACGTCCGGATGGTTATGGTAGGCTCGTGCGAATTTTTGGAACTTTCGATTATATCCGCACAGACATACTCTTCTATTTGTACTCTGTCAAACACTGACTGTACTTGGAATTTTCGCAATGTTTCTTACGCTCCTAGTTTGCTCTGGGATGTAAGGTAGCACTGTTTAGTGTGCCTCTCACTGCACTGTTTTGGTTTGCAGTAAAGCAACACCCGCGAAGTAAGTATTGCAATATTGCCTATTGCGATGCTTAGAGGACTGGACTTTTTTTTTGGCCACTAGAAAGACTCCGCTTTCTTAGTGTAGTTGCCTCGACCTTCGGTGTCGTAAAGCCCTTTGACTGTTTTGGAAACGGCAGCTGCTAGGTTGATTTTGCCTCTCGCTCCTGCCGCGTCACCCGTGGCACCGGAAATAATTTGTCGATTCCTTTAACGAAAGCGTCTCCCGCATTCGGCATAACTCGGTGTCCGAGAAAGGGCCGCGAGTTACCGTCAAATTCTCTATTAAATGATGACCCGCGCACGAGTGCACGTTGCTTCAACGTGTCAGTGTTTTCCTTTAAAAGTTTAAGTTTTGGCTAGCTAGTATACGAACGGCACAACGGCACAAAGACGATGCGATGACACCGCCGTGTCCTGTCGATTACCTTTTGCTGTGTCCTCCTCTTTGCAATGTTTTTGTTTTTATTACGTTGTAATGTCCTCCAAGGACGCCCTTCGAGGGTAAATGATGATGATGATGATGATTGAATGAATGAATCATTGAACATTCATCAAAATGAAATCCCTAATCATTGATGCGAAAGTCAAGTCCCCACGTTTTGGCTGCAGGCACGAGGTTGACCCTGACCCCCAGGCCAAGGTCCTGAGCCCGTCCCCCTGGGAGAGGGAGGAGAAGGAAATGGTGAGTCTCTGGGAGCCTCTGACCCCCGCTCCAAACACTCGCCACGCGCCTCTGGAACGCCGTCACTCCAGTGTGGTTCCAAAGCTGGCAGTCGCACAGACTTGGAGGGTCACCAAAGTGGATACCGACGTCGTCCTTTTATGGCACAAACTCTGGCCTTGCGCCTGTCCTAGAAAACCCAAAATTACGATCGTGCACTTTCTTGTTTGCACTTTTGAAGACCCATGGGAAAACATAGCGACACTGCCTTTTTAATGCGGAATGCGATTATGGGAGCCGGTTTTGCCGTCTGGGGTGCAACAGTAACAAAAATCTGGGACAGGGTTTTCCCGCTAGATTCGGCGGATAAGTTAGGTACAGAATGCACCGCATTTGTTTAGCCTCGAACAGGTCTAAAAGTAGCAAGGCATCCGAGGCTAAGACACAGACAGTGCACTCTGCGTCTCTCAGCTCTATGTGAAGAATAGAGACAAGTTAAATTTTTCTGAGATATCTAAAAAGAGAGGCTGTATTTGGTTTTCTTTTTAACGAAAAAAAGTGAACACGTGATCGTAGTTTTGGGTTTTCTGTAATCCTTGCATGGCTTCAACGCGTGCCTTGAGGAGACAGACTCGAGAATCACCTTAGTGCCCCTTCAAAACCGCCGGGCTAATCGTTCTCGCAAGGATTGTAGCACGCTCGAATGTAGTGTGCTGTTTTGTGAAGGTATCGAAGCCCGAAGTCGTGTACGGCTGAGAGATAGAAGAATGCCATTATTTTTCACTTTTGATGGGCAGTAGAAACCCTGCTCAGGTGGTTCTGACCAACATCGAGCAAGACCTTTTGCCGACGTCAAATGCGCGCCCGTAGCCCCGCTTAGTCTTTTCGTCGGTGAGAATACGCAAAAACTGTGCATTGATTTGTGAGCAACCACTGCCATCCTCCGGTTCATTGCGCTTGTCATGCCAATGCCCGCCATAAATTATTGCGGTCAATCGATCAGCTGGCTCGTGCGTTGGGTCGACCCATTTGCGGCGTTGCTTTCTGCATGGCCGAGGCAATCTGCAAACCCCCAAAGACTTTTTCTTGTCCATAGAGAATTTAGAATGCGATGGATAATTTGTGGACTCACTGCAAATGCTTAAAGAGCAACTCTGCTTCATTCTTGTTTTTGAAGAAACATGCAGTTCTCTTCAGTATCACCTAGGAAGACCACACGTCAAATATTACAACCTGGTTCTGTCTAAATGTTTCTTAAACCATCCAGCAAACTTTAGAACGCGCCAAGTTTCCGAAGTCTACTGACTATCGGACGAATTGAAGTGCGATCAACAGCACAGTCGAGACTACGGTGTTGTTGTAGCCAACATCAAGCTAAACAACATAGACATTGCCACTTTTGTTTGTTTTGCAGTGTTCACATGATTGGCGTAACACGCGCAGCACGCTTCTCATTCTTAACAGCTGTCCCGCCGTTACCACCATCACACTGTATCACAACCAGTGTCTCGCCGTTTCTGATTATTGTTTCTGCAAGTTTTGTTCACACAACGTGTGCAGACTCATGGCACAGTTGTCGGACTACGTCCGACAAAACGTGGTGAAGCCTGCAGTGCAGACGACACTTGCGCCTCGCACACACACGCCCCAACGGGGGCCCGCCCCGATCTTGCCCGTCGTCGCGTGGTGGCCATGTTTTTGGCGGTCAAAGCCCAATGTTGCCCGACAGAGTCAAAGTTTCGGTTTGTGCTCATGTTTAAAGCAAGATTTCACAAAATATATTGCATTTTTCCTGAAGCAAATGATGCGCCTTTTATTAATGTTTTTTAATGTGAAGTCGCTCATAATCCCAAAATTTTTGCAATTGAGCAGAATTGCCCTTTAAGCTTACTTCATTCGGGCGCAACAGTCACTCCCGAGGAAAGACAGAGTCTCTCTCGAGACGTTGGATCCGCTCCGTTCTGGGGCTCTGTTGGAAGTCCCTTATTTCTAGTTCTCGTTCAACCGGACGGGCTTTTGTCGGAACGTTTACGTAAGAGCTTCTCCTTTTGCATGAGTGCACGCCCTTAGTCTCCGGTGCCCTCACATCTGTGGGGGTCACCCACATGCGGTCCCGTGCCGCGACGGGGGTAAGGGGCGCCCAGTCGTCGGGTTGGCTCGTTGCACGCAGCCACACTACAGTGCCTAGAGCGCATCTTATAACGGCGTGTTCACCGTCCTAAACCGCCCACACATCGGAGCCGGTTCCAAAGTGTCGGCTAATTATGTCGCGGAAGCCGGCGTGTCACGACGTTGGCCGTCGCGGTTCTGGTGGTTGGTCATAGAAGTTCCGGCAAAAAGGGTGAGCAATGGCGGGGATCTTTTTTGTCGTCCCACGTCTGCTTCAATCTCTGTTGACCTTCCGGCTGCGGAGCGACGTACGGCTCTGCCGCACCCACGTCCACTGCCGTACCACTGCCAGGATTGCGACGGGCAGCGGCGTGACGCTTACGCGGAGCCGTTGGGCAGAAGTCGAAGAACCATTTTTGAGGGCGCCGGTCGGAGGTGCGCTCTAGGCGCCGTTGCTGCGCCACTCTCGCATCTGTCCGGGAGAGTGTTGCACGGACTGAGCTGGGGCTGCCCTTTCCTTCTCCAGAGCGGGAGGCTGGCTTCACCCGCACGCATTGCTGCACTAACCCACGGGCCTGTGAGTACGCCCTCCTAACCGCTCCTCCCAACTCACCCCCCGCCGCACCCTGCCGCCGGGTGTTCCGCTTCTTCGTTTGTTACTGCATGTCTCATGCCGCTTGGAACGCTTGTGTCAGTTCAATAAGGGCCCGGGCACTTATGAGTTACAGTATCCCCTCGTTATAACGAAGTCATTGGGAGGGCAAAAAAATTCTATACAAGCGGAATTCTATAAAAGTGAAATAGCCAAAAAAAAAAAGAAACGATGCCAGCGGCCTTGAAAGTGGGACGGGGACACTGTGGAACACTCTGACCGTATATTTATTCTAACAAACCTCGGTTATGAACATCTCGCAGCAGCTTTACCGAGTAATAGAATAATCGAGAATAATTAACATCTCGTAGCCACTTTCCTCAACCTTGCAGATCTAAGCAAAATTTGGTAAACACTCCCTATCTCCCATACGACGCATGTGTGTGTGTAGTACGCCGCAGGCGCGCGCGTCAGGGCCTCCCGAAGGGATGATCTCGTCCGGGCTCCATCGCTTCCTTGACCCGATTTTGACAGGAGTCGGGCAGCGTTGGCCGCGGGCACCTTGAGTAGCGTCGGAACGTGGACGCTACTCCCGCTCCTCCCTGCCCGCATCAGCGCATCGGAAGCAGTGCTCTGCACACTCTACCCTCCGACACCCGTTCGCTCAGTTTTCTTGTTTGCCGTTTTCCCAGTTTGTCCTTTTCCTTAGTGGGGGAGAGGCAGGGAACACAAGGGTCTCCATGCACCTCCGTGTAGGCTTGCGTACGTTCGGCACCACGGCTCTCGTAATAAGCATGGCCAGCTGCCGACACACTTAGAATAATCCAGTTAAAAGTGCGTGCATTTCGGTCGGGACCACTTTGAACTTCGATGAAAGCGATTTCGTTATAACGAGGGATTACTGTAGTTGCGGCACCTGCACTCGCTGCATGGTCGGTCGTCGTCCAACTTATTCACACAGTCTACCTTAATGGGATGCTGAACCGAAATTTGGCGCTCACAAATCTAGGTTGGAGCAATAGGCGAGACGCTGCAAAAGTGCAAAACTTCACTCCTGCAGCGATATCTCTAGCGGGCGGGCATATTTTTGGAATAGAAATGCGCGGCTGAACACGGTTGTTGAGACATGCGATGTCACGATTCTCATTCCCTCTCCTCTTCGCTTCTTCCCCTTAAAGGGATACTGAACCAAAGAATTTAGTGTCCCTAATAAGTGACGCACATTCTTTCCACAAGCCAGCAGCCGCCGGTGTGCGCGAGCACATGCAACGAAAATGACGTCAAAGACCTCCATTCATGCTTAAGAGGACAGTGAAATGCATGGGCTTTGGGCCAAAGGAGAATAACGACAGGCTTTTCATCTCTACAATAAAAAGCTACGCGCTTGCTAGACCCGCTTATCTTTTACACCAGACACCGCTGTGTAGATGAAAAACTTGTCTTTATTTTCCTTTGGCCCGAAGCCCATGCATTTCACTGTCATCTTAACCGCGAATGGAGGTCTGACTTCATTTTTGTTGCGTGTGCTCGCGCACACCGGCGGCTGCTGTCTCGTGGAAAGAATGTGCGATACTTATTATGGACACTCAATTCCTTGGTTCAGTATCCCTTTAAGCGGATGAGCCGAAGTGAAAAGGAGAGAGGCAAGGCCGCTTCCCCTCATTTTCAACTGTTACAAGAAAATTGTGACGTCACATTCCTCGCTTGATCCCGTCCTTTTCCAAAAGTATGACCATCCGTTTGAGATATTCATGTAAAAGTGATGTTTCGGAGTTTGTAGTGTCCCATTCAACGCTTCTACGACCTTATTTTGCGCAATTTCGGTTCAGCATCTCCTTAAACTCACACTTGAACCTCACTGCTATGCACCGGCATACACTGGTGGAAGCAGAAGAAACTATTCTTCTGCCCCAGTTACTAGTGGTGGTGGGGGAGGTTTTGAAGTAAGCACCGTTCGTGGAGTTGCTTTTATAGATAACGGCATCTCTAAGCTTTGCTTTGCTCAGTATTATACGAACCATTGAACATAGTGGCCCGTGTTGTTCTTGACCTTTGTGCTTAACCTTCAGAGACGGACCATTTGATATGTTTGAGGTTAAAAGTAGGATTACTATCGTAGTGAGACTTAAAGGGGCACTTTTAGATAGTCTTTTTATGGCGTGAACTCAATCTACGCACCCTATGCATCCTTGAGACGCGTAATTACAATCATGCGTGGCGTTCTTCGACTTTAATGACGCGACCAGGCACCGCGACACACCTTTTTTTTTTAGATATCTCAAAAAAAGGGGCGTGTCGCGGTGTTTGGTCACGTTTTTAGAGTTGAAAAACGCCACGCGTGACTGCAGTTTTGGATTTTCTGGGATGCTTAGGGCATGCAGATTGAGTTTGCGCCATAGAAAGACTATCGTATTTGCTCAAATATACGTGTAAGTCAACCTTTATTTTTTTTGGAAATTTTGTTAATATTTAAGGGTCGCCCTACATTTGTCGGCATCGCCATAGCACTACACTGCTTTTTGTTCGGATGGCTTTTGGTGCATGAAAGCAACCGAAACAGCAGCAGCCGGCGGCTTGTTGTGGCCACCATGGCCCCCGCTTGTGCGCATCCCTCGGGTGTCAGGTTTCGTGCCTTTCCGCGGCTGGCCGGCTGGCCCCGCTCACGCATGCCCCTCAAGACGCAAGGGGGGGGAAAAAGGGGAGGGGGATGCACCGCGACTTGCCACGCTTGGCCACGCACTTTGCCCCAGAGCCATATATGGAAAGATTTTGGTCAGTGGGAGCAGCCGGCAAAACCGGCACCGCCGCCTGCGCTGCATATTCCCCCTGTGATGATCCTGCGAAGTAAAAATATCTGAGATGATCTTGAAAGAGGCACATACCACGGCGTGGGTACTGTTTGTTTCTGGATGACGCTGAAAGTACATGAATGGTAAGAGATTGATGGAAATAGGGAGTTTCACGGTGATGAGCGCATTTACTAGGTCAGGAAAGGCGACATTGACGAGAAAAGTGTCCCGAAACATGAGGCAAATCTGGAAACATGGGGAGCGCGTTTGGGGTTAAGGCCAAAACTCCCACGGAGCCGAGTTCGCGTTTTTTTACCGTCCACTATGTCGTGGCCGCTGCTGCTGCTGCGACCACAATCAAAAGAAAGATTGAATGCATTCTGAATGTCGCCATGACGACAATGTCACGTGTATTGCCCTTTTAGTTACGAAGAGTCGCAAATTTCGACTCTAGCGTGCTGAAATGAAATACTTGAATACATCCTTACCCATAAATTGCATAAATTGTGATTGGAGGATATAAGTTAAGCTCATTGCCTCCGCTAGGGGGATATTCGTGACTGGTGGTTGGACGCAAGCGCTGGCAATCGGCGTGCTGAAGGTCATTGAAACAATTTTGGCCAATGACATGACCTTATTTCTGCTCTGTTCTTACCAATTCATGACCAAACTCTCTACATATATGGCTCTGCCTTGCCCCTCCCCCCTTCCCTTTGGGATGTGCAGCGAAACAAAATACAGAGGTTACTTTTGCTCCTTGCGCTCGTGGCGTTGCTGAAGTCTTTCTATTTGATCTTTTGTTACTTCGCCTATCTCCACCTTTCGTTTCTTGTTGAAAAAGAAAACCAAACACGATAGCACCAATGCTCAGTGCTGTCGTGTTTGATTTTCTTTTTTCAATAATCTTCACTTTCACGCGCCGCCGAGGTTCAATTGCACGTGTTCATAGAGTGACTTTGTTAGCACGAACAAACAAATGCTGGCTTCTTTCGTTTTTCTCTCGGAATCAGAAAGCTATCGTCAAAAATAGTAGCCAAGTGGAAAGTGGTCATTGGCGCTCTAGCTGAAGCGGTAAATTTTAGTGCCCACCGAGACCCTTTCAAAGCGAAAAGTGAACGAACATCAATGTCACGTTCGTGCAAACGGTGTCGCGTAGTGTTCACGATCATCGAAGATACTCATCCAGTCCGACGACTCAATGTGGGACTGCATTAAGACAGTGTGCGCACTGTTAAGACACAGCTCAAAAGGAAAAGACACAAACGGGAAGACGCGTTGGGTTCCCTTTTATCTACGTCTCGTCCTTTGGCGCCGTCTTTTAACAGATTTTGATGTGGGGCCCAGATAAAATGATGAAAAATAATGTGTCTGCTCTCGCATGAGCACTGCGGACTGCCGTCTTTTAACATTGCTACCAAGATCGGCCGCCAGGGTGACTTCAGTCGGGCGTCAAGACGACGTGGCGGCCGTCTCGGTGGCTCGGAGGCAAAGCGCCGGCCTACGGATCCCTAGGTAGGGGGTTCGAATCCCGGTTGCGGTGCCCGCAACCCGTCGGAGGCTTATTGCGGAGAAGGTTGCATGTTGAAAGATCCTCGGGTGATCTAAATTACTCCTCGACCCTTCTCTGGGGCGTTCCAGTTTCCTTTTGTCGGTTTGGCACGTAAAATGCCCGAATGGGACTTTTTTGAGACAATGTGGGGAAGCTGACGTGTCTCGCCGGTGGGATAGCGGCGCCTGCAGCGGCTGGAGGGGGTGCGGCTGGCCCGGGACGAGGAGGTGCGCGAGCTGGAGTGTCTGCCCGAGCGGAGTGCCCGGCAAGAGGAGCGGCTGCGCACCCTGCGCCTGGAGCAGGAGTTTGAGCGCAGGGCCCAGGAGGCCGTGCAGGCGCACGGGGACGAGGAGGAGGAGGACGACGAGGTGAGGAACTCGCTCCGTCGCATCTGGGGACTGAGTCAACAAATAAGGTTGCAGAGAGAAAGACCCAAAACGAATTGACCAATGGCTTGGTCACTTTGGGTTGGTCAGTTGGTCTCTGCTCTTCTTCCCTACATGTGGGGATAACACGATTGTTACGTACGAGAAGCAACAATTTGTGCCATTGCTCTTTGTAGAGCTCGACCATGCATTTGGAAAAACGATGCCACGAACCGCAGCTTACCATTCACAGTCTAAAGGTTTAATGGAACACTCGCCGCCATCTAAAATCGGCACCGGCGGTGCGCAGAGAACACCGGGGGCAAGAACCGGTTGGTCAGTCTGCTCTTCAGAAAGTCGACACACATTGAGGTGCCGGCCAGAAGGAACCCTGTTTCGTCGGTCTAGATTCTTTTTGTACACGGGACGGAGAACATCCGGATGCAGCCGGATTATTTTGGGCGAGACCGAGATGCGGGGCACTCCATACTTCGTTTCAGCTTGGTATGGACCGCGGAGGTTGCGGGCTATCGAAGCCAATCCAGTGCCGTGCGATTGTCACGGGATCTGAGAGAGGGGCACTGCGACGTGCGTAGTCAGGCAATATGTATACGGCACCGAATTGTTCAGGATGGCTTGTAGCGTCCGCTGCGGTCTATCAGAAGGTGAAACGGAGTACAGACGAGGTCACCGAGGCGATACGTGGAAGACGGCGATCTGCAGGTCAACAGACCAAGGTCCGTGCAAACCCGTGCCGACAGACAGTAACGAGTGCTTTCTGTCGTCCTGCTTGCTAAGAGAGTGCAGCGGGGCAAAACAATGCTGCAACGATTTCCTAACATCATATCTACTGCTCGATAGTTGTATTTCGGAACCATAACTGTCTCAAAGGGCGGCCGTGCGGCTCTGTAGGCGGTGTAAGGTCAGGAGTAAAGTGGAAGCTGGAGTGGAGGCGACCTCCTCTCCAGTGTTCGCTCTGTTACTGTGGGAAGGGGTGGGAGGAGCTTCCACTTTACTCTTAACTTGTCATCCACTGTAGGCACGGCACCCAAATGGCAGCATCCAAGAGCCACCGTTGCATAAACAAATGAATGGACAAACAATCATTGCGATGGCTTTGGACATTGAGGGAAAACTGCGTCGATACTCTGAGCGTAGCTTTCTTGAGACTCTTGGTATGACGTAGCTGTGCCCAGAGATGTTAGCCCGGTATCGGAACGGGTGTCTTTTGGAGGCTCAAATGTGCAGCTGCTTAGGCTGCACTTTTTAGCAGCCTAAGCATGCGCTCATTCTGCTCCGTGCTTTGCCGTGTACTGACTCGTGTGTTGTCCCGCTCACGCTGCTTTCGGACGCGTCTGCACAACAGAGTAGGTGCCACCTCTCGCACACCTCTGCACGGTGCCTGCCCACCGTTTGCTCTTTGCATGCATGTTTCCACCGTGTGCTGCCTGCTCAAACTGACAGGTGGATCTTCTAATGGAAAACTTCTCAGAAGTTGATCCGAAGACGCTTTCTAAACACTGTGGCTGAATGTTGGAATGCTGTGTGTGCATGGACAGAGTAAAGAACAGGGCGATCGGGGGCTATTAACTTATTGCAAATGATTGGGTCGTATCAGTAGTACATTCTTGACTTCTGAGCTCAGCAGGACCCATACACCGACATGCCAGGATGATTGCAGTGAGGCCCGTGTACCGGCCAAGCCGCGCAGTCATTTGTGCCCTCTACGCTCTGGCTTGTAGAGGAGGCGCGCTTCATCTATGCTTTATTTATGCAGTACTGTAGGCCGTTGTTGTGGTCCCAAGCAGGAGTGGACATAATCATTGTTTAGACAAGGCCTCTTACCAGGTAGCCGAGGTGGCCAGGTTTTTCAAAGAAACAACTTTGGATAGGGCACTTCAGAAACCAAACAAAAGCTATGTGGCTAACTGTTTTTCTTCTTTCTTTCTTTCCTCGCTTTTGTTTTAGAGCGCAGCACTTAGGCGCCCGTTTCCGGCTTGAGCGTTAGGCGTCGCCATCGGCGTAACTGTAACGCGTTGGCGTAATTGCGCGGTGCATTATGGGAAACATCCCATTATGCACCGCAGTGACACGCACATTGCATTATGGGATGTTTCCTATAAAGTACCATGCGGGAGGAGGATGGGGAGGAGGGAGAGGAAGCGAGGAGCACGGGAGGATTAGAGGGTACGGATGAAGAAAAGGGGCATACCGTACCCTCCCCTCCTCCTCCTCAAGAGCTGCACTCTAATTCGGCATTACAGGAAGTTGTAAACGTTTTTAATTTTTTCTAAACTAATCTTTAATACAAATTACTCGTTTCACTTTATTTAGCTTTTTCTTTTCTCTCGCTTCGGCTCTTGCTTTGAACAACTTCTTTTTTTTATCTATTTATATCTTTTAGTTTTTCCCCACCATAAAGTAGCACACTGACATTGTTCAGCCTAGTTCATTTTTTCGTTAAACCAATCCACCATTCTCTTGTTCTTATTCGAGACCTTTTCTTTGCCCTGCTGCCAGCCACAGTAGGAAGCTAGACACCCAACTATCGGTTTCCAGCCACTGTCCGAATTGGGCGTAGTCGGCCCTAGTTTGGTGTTCAATTGCATGGTCAAGGGCGAATGCACTCTCGATTTTCCCAGCCTGGCTCACTAGAGCGACGGGCCATGGTTAGAGTGATGGCCTGGAGCATGTAGCTGTCCGTGTGCTGGACAGCATGGAGGCTGGGACGGGGCACGCGTGCGTCTCACGCCGCCCTCTCCCGCAGGAGCTGATGGAGCGGATTGACAAGAGGGAACGGCTCCTCAAAGACCGCCAGGGACCAAACCCGGACTGGGACCACCACGAGGCCTACTCGGCCAGGCAGCTCGAGGTGGGTGACGGCTCCGGGGCGGGCCTCGACCCTCTCGTGTTGCATCGTTAAGGCCAGCGTAGCCTCCCCGGTGCTCTGACACCGTCGAGGCTGGTTTGCACATTGGTGTAAATTGTCCTAAACGCTCACAAGCGGATGGAATGCAATCAGTTTCACTCAAAAGCCAATCTCCGAACCAGCCTCGGAAACTATGTGCATGAGCGCATGGCTCTATTTGGCGTCCCCTTCGCACAAAAGAGCACCTGAACCCGATGCAGGACGAAGCCCCGTCCTTTTGCAGCAGCACGGGGCTGCATCACTGTAGAAGGTACGCTAGATTCGACGACAAAGTGCAGAACAGTCTGCGCCCGGTGTAAAGTTGTTCCTCACCGAGTGTATGTTGACAGGCTACGGGGACGAGTATTTTAAGTGTGGTAGAACCTTGTGGATGTGTTTCTTGGGGGGGCTACGGCAAGATGCAACGGGCAGTGACACTTATAGGAGCCAGCTCCGAGATATGAAATAATTTTTCTTCTTTTTCTAAGCTCGCTGCGCGAGCTTCCTGAGGCGCGTGAATAAAAGCGAACAGTTCGAGCCAGAACACCGTGGAGCTCGGACGTCTTTTCCACAAACTGGTGACCCGGACGTGATTGTCGCGATGGAAGGTGAAGCGTACTCAGCGGTGCGGTCCGCAAGCATCGCCAGGCGGTCTAGCGGCATGTCGTCCGCAGCTGCCAGGACCATACGTATTCCTTGTGGAAGTTTCTGGAGAAATAGCTCTCGCAGAATAGGGTCCTGGGAGCCGGAGGCTTGGGGACCGAGCAACTGCCGCATCTGGTGAAGAAGTTGAGATGGGCGGCGGTCTCCCAGCTCCTGGGCTGTGAGCAGCTGCTGGATCCTTGTGCGCTCCGAAGCTGTCGTCCGCTCGAGGAGGACGCCCTTCAGGTGGTCGTAGGCGTCGTCAGGTGGAGGCCGGGACAGAATGTCGTCCAGCTCGTCGGCGACGGTCGGAGGGAGGGAGGCGACGACATAGTAGAACCGAGACAGCTGGGATGTTATGCGGTGGAGATGAAACTGAGCCTCGATCTGGGTTATCCAGACTCGTGGATTTTTCGGCCAAAATGGCGGAAGCCGGAGCTGGATGGCCGTGAGGGCAGTGTCGGGGGAACGAAGAGGCGCGCCGTCGCCGGTAGTGTCACCGTCTTGCGCCAGGTTCTGCATGCTGGCTGCGGCTGTGGTACGAGGCGGCGGGGGCCTTCGGATTCCGGGTCACCAGTTTTTGGAAAGACGTCCGAGCTCCACGGTGTTCTGGCTCGAACTGTTCGCTTTTCGCGGAGGGGAGGGGAGGGGAGGGAGGGGGAGGGGGAGGGGGGGAGGGGAGGGGAGGGGAGGGGGAGGGAGGGAGGGAGGGAGGGAGGGAGGGAGGGAGGGGAGGAGAGGAGAGGAGAGGAGAGGAGAGGAGGGAGGGAGGGAGGGAGGGAGGGGGGGGCTGGGAAGCAACTCTAGTAGACGTGAGCGAATAGAGGATTTTGGGTCCAAATTGAATTCGAAGCAAATAGTGATTTGTCCGAATAATTCTGAATCGAATAGTTTGAATAGTACAAGCAACAAATACCGCAAGATTTGTTTAAACTATAGCTTTATATTTGCCCTTATTTAGTATTTGAAGTACTGTAATTGTTAATTTGAACTGTGTTGAGTTCGGGAGCATGAAGTGGTCAAAAAATGTTCAGAAGCTTGCGCCACCTGGCCGGAAATTCAAGCCAGAGTAAGTCAAATCCGTTTACATCGAACTCGCAAGAAAACGTCTACCAGTTCGATATAGCGGGTAATTCGATATAAAAGGTTTGACTCTCGAAAATCTACTTTCTGCTGAAATGTTACACAATGAAGTAGTCTTGCATCTTCTGCTGCTTTTTCTTCATTGTATCCGCGATAACGATATATGTCTGCGCTATCGACGGACTCCAAAATGCTGAGGCCGCTGCCTTCTATATTCGCGCAGTAGCGCCGAGAGCACGTCCGAGTTGGAGCACCTTCTCCTGAAGAGCGCCATTTTGCTCTGCAAGTTGGCTTTCCCTTACAACAGAGTGGCTGCGTTGGGGGAAGCTAACTAGCAAAACAAGCTGACTTTTTTTGGGGGGGGCAGCTGTGTTATCTGTTTGGAAGGAAAAAAAAATATATATTTTCTTTGGCGGACAAAGCGAAGCCGCCCGGAAAAAAAAAAAAAAAAAAAAAAAAAAGCCAGCGTGCTCTGTGAGCTGGCTTTCCCCCAATGCGGCCGCTCGCGTTGGGAAAAAGCCAGCTTGCAGACCAAAACGGTGCTCTTGGCAGTTTGATATATTGGTAGCGGCTGCTATTTTTCTTCGATGCAACCATAGTTTTTGCTATATATTATCACTAACATTACTGTGCACAAAAATTTCTCGATATAAGAAATAATTCAATGTAAACGGGCTCGATATAGTCGGGTTTGACTGTATTTAGAAAGGTTGAATAATCCTATATTGTCGAATAATTCGATATTGTCAAACACTTAAATTTAAATCGAAGCGAATGCCGAATAGAACAGGAATTCGATTGACTATTCGTAATAACCGAATATTCGCCCATCCCTGAACTCTAGTACCATTATTTAATTTGCACGGACTCACAACTGCAAAAAACATGTCAACTTTTTTTTTTTTTCCCCGATTGGGGTTGGGTTTGCGATTGTAACGAAAGGATATTTTCCGTTAAAAGTGAGCAAAACTTGCATCCCCGTCGAGCCGACCCAAATATTTCCCTACGTGTGGGTCTCTGCAGAAGTCGGATGAGCAAAGAAAGAAATGAGCTTAGCTTATTATCTTCACACTCGCTCCATTCTGCTTTGGTGTTTCTGTAATGCCATCGTCTCATTGGCTGTGGAGCGACAGTAAGGTGGTCTTGCCTCGCCACAACGTGCGTCTTTTAAGCTTCCTGTAACTACGGCAGGTTTTGAGTGTAACAGCCAGGAAAGCGTATGGACCAAGAGCATACTGTTTCCTGGCTGCCGCGGCCGGACGTAGTAGAGCATCGTTCGGCCGGCCGCGTCTCGACTGTCGCTTGCATCCAGCCCCGATCGGAGGTTGGGGGCGCATTGCGAACGGGTGCCCCAAGCCGTCGCCTTCCCCGCAGGAGCAGGAGGGCCGCCTGCGCCAGTTGCGGCTGGAAGAGAGCGGCAAGAAGCAGGAGTTGGAAGCCCAGCGGCGGGCGGAGGAGCGCCTGCTGCGGGAGGCCCAGCGACGTCGCCAGCAGCACGAGCAGCCGCCACCGCCGGTCGCCCGGGGGGTCGAGGAGGAGCCCCCCCCCGCTGCCGGCCTGCCCCCCGCCCCCCGCGGAGGGGGCCCCCCGCCCGCCCCGCCAGACGGGCCCCAAGAAGGTGTCCTTCCACGAGACGCCCACCGAGCTGGTGGACGCCAACGGGAACCCCGAGGAGGAGGAGGAGGAAGAGGAGGTGTACACCCTCCAGGTGGGCTTGCACAGTCGTTCGGGCTTTCGAACAACGGTTTAGAACGGTGCGCCAGTCAATATTTGCTTCGAGGGGAAGCGCGATTTCGTACCTTTCGAAGCGTGAAACTAACGCCACGTAGAAGGCAATGCGTACAACTTCTCAAACGTCGTCACTAGGTGGCGCCATTGCCGTCGGCACGACTTGCCGTGTCCGACGAGTGCGACGCTGCCTCAGACGAATGTGTCTGCCGCTCTGTGGGAACTCTCGTCCAGTCTCTGCATGTTTGCTGCTCGGGGCTCCAGTGTGTCCTCTGGTTTGAGGAAGTTTCCGGGCACCCAGCTCTAAGAGGTCGCAAGAGTGTGAACAAGCCTTGACACTGCTTTATACAAATGTGCTCGCACATGGTTCCCATTTCGTTATCATGCTCGGTCGGGACTGCTTGGTTACGAATTGTTGCCTTTTTTCAGGCCAAGTGATCTGAATCCTTGATTGTACAACTCGTTAAAATGTTTATACATTAGGGAAAACCCAGAATATTTTTATTGGTTATTTGATTGTTTCACGTGATAAGACATTGTATAGTTCTAATTCACCTCTCTATAGAGTGTCTTACGTCACCAGGCTCGATCTGAAATGGACTGTAAAAATTTACGCCTGCATGTAGCAATCTAAACTTTTTGTCAACGGTGCATTTCACAGTTTGTTTTTTTCTCGTAAAATTAAAAAGCGTAGTTACCTTTCTGTAAAAAATAGGGCCAAGAAACTTGCCAGGGTGATAGATGGCGTCGGGAGCAGTGTCCGAAGGTGTAGTCAACCAGCGAAAGGGTGCAACAACAGACAAAATCCGTTGGCAGCAAATGCTTCGTCATTATGTAAACACATATTTTTTACATAAAGTTTTGATTTTATTGTCCGCATTTCTTTTTAAACCAAAGGTACATTACAAAAAATTATGTTCATCTAATAAACCACGGTGGTTGCGAGCAGTCTCGATAATGAGGTAGCGCCATCTATCAATACGAGCGCCAAACGCGCCCCACCATTGCACTTTGCCAATAGTTTCTTCCACTGCTGCGGAGGTAGAATGCCTTAAGGTGTAACTTCACGTAAAATCTGTCGTTTACTCTTTTGTAGGCTTTGGACTTTTTGAGGCCTCCGTCCATAATTACAATTAGATTAAAATTCATCCAGCTTAGAGGAGGGCAAGGGGAAGCTTGGGGAAACCTTTAATGAGTTGAGCCGAATTTTCGTTGGAGCATGGTGACAGATTAGTGAAAGGCTCGATGCTGTTAGACATTCGATTAGAAAATATTTGGTCGAAACCACCATTGACTGTGTACAGAACACGCGTCATTTGCTGCAGGACATCGACGAGGTGCTCAACACGCCGCAGATGCAGGCGGGCTCCTCGGCGTACCTGGTGGGCAACACCCCGGGGGTCATCGGGGCCCAGGAGGTGTACCGGGACCCCAGGCAGCGCATCGAGCGGCAGCGCGCCCTGGAACAGCCCGCGCGGCCGCCGGGGCCAGAGAAGCTCACCTTTCGCGAGAAGATGCGCATGTTTGCCCGCGAGACGGGCGAGGACCACACGCCCAGGGACAAGATGAAGATCTCCCGGGCCCAGCGGGAGATCGAGACCAGCCTCAACGGCGTGGCCACTCCGCACCGCTGAATCGGAGGACCCAGACGCGCCACGACGCGCGACCGGCGTCTTGTTTGCGGCACTCCAAGGGCTGCATTTCGACTCAGGAGCCCGACGTCAAACTGGGCTCCGTGAAGTACGCTCCTTCCCGGGGAAGTTTTAATTTGCTTAGTTTGTTAGCGACTCGGCCTAATTTGCGACTCGGGGCGGGGGCCTGGAATGCTCAGTGGGCACTCGGGACCGACTGCCGTGCGGGTCGGGAGGGGGAATGCAGTATCACCAAAGTGCCCACCAGAGTCCGAAAGGAGCGTCGCCCTCCACTCGAGCGTGCGCTTTGTTGCAGCTATATTTTTTACAGAGAACAAAAGACAGCTACCTACGTGTGTTTGTATTGTTCACGATGCATCGCTTGTCAGTGTCACACCGTTTTTATATCAGAGTTCTACATTTCCACGAAGCGCTATATATTTAATAAAGTTATACCACGAAGAAGCAAAGTGTGTCAATGTCTTCTTGCGTCAGCGTTCTGCCGGGCTCTGGATGCGCGGCTTCAGTTGCGGAGTTTCGTAGGTTCGCATGAGGCCCCTCACCTTCCCGGAGCGGCCCTGCTGGCACGGCCAGTAGTCGTCCCCGAGGGACGAATCGCAGCAGCCGCCAGACACACTCGAAGGCGGATGGTGGCCGTCTTGCACCTCCGATAGACGTGCGGGGCCCGTTGCCATGGTGCGCCGCTTCTGCCAACCTGCTGGAAGCCGTCGCCTAAACTTCGCTGCCCCTGCGGGGATGTGAGCACCTCCCCTTTTCTCCCAGAGTTCTTTCCTGGACTGGTCCAGCTTCCCCACTGGGGAAGCATGCTTCGGACCAACGTCCAGTCTCCCGGGGCCGTCGGTGCTGAAGGGCGAGTGTTGATGTTGCGGCGGGCGCTCGTCGGATCCCCCGAGGTTCGCCGATGCAGCTGCCTCCCGTTTCCAGCCGGGCCTTGGAACGTTTGTTGGAGCAGCGTCGAAAGGCTCGCCCTTCTTGAGGTCTCGAAGTCTTTGGCCCCCAGAGACAAGGAGGTCTCTGGGGACCTGCCAGCTGAAGGTTCCAGAGCTGGGTGTCTCCCCTCCGTGCCTGGGAACGCCTTGCATCTTGCCGGCGCTTGCATCTACTGTCGTTTTTTTCTCTGGCGTTTGCCAAATGCTTCTGTCATTTGCCCCATTGTTAGATGCTCGAGTCGTGTGGTTAGAAAGAGTGCGGTCTCCTTTTTCTACCACCTTCATGTGTGGTAGGGGTGGCGGGTGCGATGGTCTTGCCAAAGTACCCTCGACGTCTAGAGTCCCGTCTGCAACTTTGCTGCTCGTGTTGGGCGAAATGGTTTTACAAAATTCGTCTGATGTTCCTTGTTTGCTGCTGTTGGGTTCAGGGTCTCTTTGGATGATGTGCTCCTGTTGCAGGTCGTGTGAACCACTGCCGTTCTGTTGTCTTTCCTCATCATCTTTGGCTCCAGTCTTGTTTACTTCAAGTATGTGCAGCATCTTTGAGCAGAGTCTCACGACCTGTTTTATGGTCGACACGAGAGAATGCTTGCGCTCTGCCGAAAACAAAGATGTTTTTTCCAACCTGGTCCCTGTGCGTCCCTCGACTGCGCCGTCTTGGGTCTTCTGGGCATCTACAAGAATCTCTGGGACATTGCCACGATCGGCGAGTCTGACGTACGCCAAGAATTTGTCTGGCAGCCAGCCAGCAGTTTTGTTGCCACTTGTGTTTTGGTCTGGCTCACTTCCATCATTTGCTGCCTCCTTGCCCTCCGTTTTCAAGAAGCCACGACTTTTTGCTGCAAGGTCCGAATCTGATTTTGTCTTAGTTTTCATCTTTGACTTGTTTACTCTCGATGGTTGTGCTTCCTTCTTTGTCTTGACAGTGGGGGCTTTGCCTTCTGTGCCATCCTTTTCATTGCTCTTCATTTCAGCAGGGTGTTTGTTGGGTTCACAGTTTTCTTTGGGCACCTGCACTACAAGGCCCTCTTTCTCAACTGATGGTACTTTCTTGGTCAACAGAGTTGGAGGGATCTTGTTTTTTTTAGGCTTACTGGGTGCTCCAGTTGGGAGAACATCCGTCTTGATGCTTTTTGCTGTCTTGGGCGTTTTAGAACCAAGGCCAGTGGCCTCGTTAATCTGTTCCTTATCTCCAGTCTTTGCAATCATTTTGACTTGAGCTGTTTTAGTATTCCGGAGCTGGCTCGATTGGCGACCATATTTTTTTCCAACTTCGATAGCTCGGCTGTCTCTTTTTGTTCCCCCTTTTGCGTTGCGGCTGGGAGCTGTGCTATCTGTGCCGTCTGTTGCGTTGCCGTCCACCTCTGCAGTTATTTGAGACTGTGTGTATGCTAGCAATGGGGACTTTTTAGATTCACCATTTTCTCCAGGAACAACTCTTTGTGCCTTTTTGTTGATATCAGTCGCAATATTCCTTTTGGTGTTTTGAGCTTTACTGGTTTCTTCTGTTGGAATGCCACCTCTTTTAACACTTTGCACTGCCTCGGGCACTCTGTCATTGAGGTCAGCTTTCTGGCTTCGTTTCCTACCTCCAGTCTTTTTGACCTGTGTTCTTCCAGTATTCTGAGGCTGGTTCGACTCGTGTCCAGAATTTTTGGGAACTTCAATAGAGCTAGGCTTGCCATCAACAGTCTTTAGTTGAGTACGTTCAGTGCTGTTGAATCTCTCGTCCGTTTTCCCCGAAGGTATGCTCGGAGGTTGCTTTGATACTGTTTTGTGCACATCCCGTTCGGAGGTGAATAGTGCAGTGTCTTGGTCACTTGCTCGTAACATGTCGTCTGCAAACCTGGATGGTGGAAGCAGCAATTTGGTAGCTGAAGTACACAGATACTGCAAACTGGGGCCCACCTTTGCTCCTCTGTGCTTTCGGTCTCACTTTCTTGCGATTGGGAAGATTCCAGCAAGGGCTTGCCACTGTCGTCTGAGCTTTCTTGGTGGCCTGGCTGACCAGTCCCTTCGGGCCACCATGGTGGAGCACTGCTAAGGATATCACGTCCGGTAACCAGCAGAGTCCTTGCCTGTGGGCATAACAATGTGTTGTTGAAAGAGCTTTTTAATCTAGCCTGTTCTGACCTTCTGGAAGATCTTTGCACAGAGCGTGGCAGCTGTGCTAGAGGTGCTTCCCAAGTTGTCTTCCCCTTGCTCAGCAGAATGGTGAGACTGCTTACAGCACTTGCTGAAGCTACCTAGGAGGGTGATTGCGGCACCAAGTGTGGAAAGGCAGATTCCGTACAGGCTGCCCAGAAGCCACACTATGATGCCTTTAGAAGATTCACTTGAGCGCCTGGTTGGCCTTGGCGCAGCTTTAGACTTAAGGCGTGAACTGTTGAGAAATAAGCAAACAATTGACAGCGTTTAGCGCCCATATGCAGTTTGTAACTGGTGATACAATACGATGAAGCCTTGAAGATGTTTTCTAAATGGAGGTAAAATTAGTACACAACTGACGTTGCGGATCCCGGAACCTACGTTACTGAGAGAACAAAACACAAATATGCTTTCAAATTAATACGGTACTACTGGCGTAATACCGTGGTTTCTCGGATTTTTTCTTTTTCCGAGTCATGCGGTCATCCTCCTAACCGTAAACAAGGCAAACCCACGCCGGCAGGCCTCGGCTTCTCTGCACCCGGAGCTCATTTAACAAAAGCCTGTCTACCACTGTCTCCTAACATCAATTATTTTTTTTTTAGCATTTTAGAAGTGAAGAGCGCACGTGCAGTACACAAGTACCGTACACAGCTTCGATCAGCGCGTTGCGAAACAAACCGAGCACCCTATTTTGTTTCGTTTTAGTTTTTATTTATAGACTCCTGGCTGCGTGCAGGGACTGGATCGCCGAGAGGCACCTCAATCATTCAAATCGTAAAAATCAGATATTTTTTTTTCTATTTTAGAAATGTTTAGTTTTTGAAGACAGGTTGCAGAATACTCACTAGGTGACGCAGTGCACCTTCTAATTTAAAAAATTGCATCGTCTTGTTTGTTTATCCATTTATGTTTCAAATCGATCCAAGCCGATCCAAAACCGCAGCCTTTCTCTTCCTTTCTTTTGCGCCGGTCGATCAGCCTTGCTGTCGTCGAACCATGGGTCACGAAAATATCTGGTATTCTCACCCCAGGAAGTATGGTCCGGGCTCTCGCTACTGGTGAGTTTTCAATTGAAATAAACGGGCATTTCTTGGGCGGATTTACAATTGGGATTATTGCCCCTCGTTTGTGCGAGAGTTATTTGTAACACTGTAGCGGGTTAGGCCTAATGACACGCGCATTGGATCTGCAATAAAATAGTGAGCGATTTACCTTTTTGAACGCAGACAGGAAAAAAAATGCTTAGATAAACTGTTTTTTTTTTTTTTTTTTTTTGAGCTTAATGTGTTTATATTAACCATGGCGAGTGGTGGTCCAAGCACAAAGCCTGGGTCGCATAGGAGTGACGGGTAAGGTAACACGTGGAAGCTTGTCCGGTGCCCACTACGCGAAAATTAAAAAAAAAAAAAAATATTCTGCTTGCCATTATATGTAAATAAAATGATGAACATTTTTGCGACGTGAGCAGATAGATGTAGTAGTCGCCTCGACTGACTTGCCCTCGGCGCTCTCATTTCAGCCGGGTGTGCGCCAACCACCACGGCCTCATCAGGAAGTACGGGCTGAACATCTGCCGCCGATGCTTCAGGCAGTACGCCGCCGACATTGGATTCAAGAAGGTAGGCTTTTAGCGCACGGCGTTTTGCCGTTTTCAAGATGACCGCTTTCGTGCTCAAAAACGTGTTCGAAAAATTAGCAGACTGCAGCTTGGTCATGTTCCTGTCCGGCTGATGTCGCCTGATCACTCGTGCGCGATCAGCAAATCGTTCAAAACGTCCTTTGAGGTAGAGATAACGATGGTAGAATAAGCCCGTCTGTATTCCGCAATCTCTGGTATCCCTAATGACGAAAAAGCATTCCTCCATATGCATTATGTTGTGAGGATTATGAATTATGCACACTATTTGCGAGCTGATGCGCTGGGCAGCAGTGCCGCAACCAACTGTGCCAGTTTGGCTTGCAGAAAACGGAGTTTCAAAAAGATTCCTAGGACGTGCTTGAGTGTCTGGGACATGAAGGTTGGTATCATGTGTTACTGGACCACAGGCATCCCTCTTTTTAACACCATCCGTTCAGTAAATAGGGAGCTTTAAATAGGCATACCCCATTCATATTGCTATCCTCAACACGCAGTTCTGTGCATGTGACAGAGTAACTTGGTGAAAAAACAAGGTTTTGACCTAAGTCTGTCAGGGAGAAACATATAGCCTTGTTTTCACACCAAAAATAAATTGTGCATCGCTCAGCGGCCAGTATCAGTCTAAACGTAGCGCTGGTGGTTTGAAACAAATATTGATATTTCGGAGCTTGCCTTTATCCGATTCAGAAGTTATAAGTGATTTTCTGTGACTTTACAACAAAGACATTTGGTCTGTTCCTGGTAGCTAATGCAGACAAAAAATTTACTTTTGGGGGGACATTTTGTACATGCTGCATGTACATCTGTCCCCTTCAGAATGGTTTGTTTTGTGCTGCTCATGCTGAACAGAGCCAAGAGAATCCAACACGCTTTAGGGCGAGTTGGGTACCTGTGCCTGTTCTGAAAAATAGCGTGCACATTCAAAATACATTTGGCTTTGACACATGCACTGTGATGACCAGTTCATTTCCTTGGGTGCACTAGGTGCAAGGCTGAACTATTCTAAACTTCCCTAATGATTTGAGTGGTATGTCTTTTATTAAATACCAGTTCAAGCAACACAAAATCTGTTCATGAGCAGGGAAAAAAAAAGGTCATATCAAACACACACAAACAACATACATGCAATGATGGAAGTGCGCCGTGTGTCTACTCAGTGGATAGTTTCTTTCATCTTGGGTAAGAGCACAGTTGAAGGCTCAAATATACACAAAGTTCACTTCACATGGCATTTCCTATACTAGATTGGTTGAGATAATAAGGGAACTCGCCCAGAGAGATGACAAATGCCACAATGTCGCACTTTTGATGCTGTTTCATTGGTTCTATTGGCTGGTGTCGTCCGCTGTGCATCGACTTGAGAGGAAACAAGATTGCTCGTCAACTGCGCCAGCCTCGTCATCATCTAAATTTTTTGGGCAATGTCGGGAGCTAAATGTTGCGAGAATAATGTGCATAATAGTGGAATGGTGGCTACTGTAATAAGACAGAACGAGGGCCTTTTACTCCTAATGAGATGACTCGATTATTATGTTTGCCAGATGCCCCCATGCAATGGCTGCAGTGTACCATGGCACTTTTCCCCTTTCGCATCGACCTTCACCGCCTCACGCAGCACATGCGCGCGTCATCTTCACCGGTGGTTGGACATCAAATCGGCCAACACAGTGGGCGGCAGCAACATGCTATCCAACCGTTGTTGCTGCCGCGGTGTGACGAGGTCGCCTGCAACCAGTCTTGTTCACGTTACCAAAAAAAAAAAGTAATTGATATTACAATTACTATTACTCTTGGCTTAAAAGTATTTGATTAGATTACTTCATTACTTGGCAGCAAAAGTAATTGGACATTACTTAAAGAAGTAACCGTTACTTTTCTGATTACCTTTATTGCGTGAAGACTTACATCCTTAGCGGTCATAACAATGAACTACTTCTAACTTATATTTCCCATTTTCACAAGTATTGAAGAAGAAAAAACGGGTTCCCTTTTCGTGGTCGTTGGACCCTCTCAATGCGGACACAAGCATATAATTCCTTTGAAGAAGTTTAATGATTTGGGCGTTGGCCAGTTGGGGGGGGGGGGGGGGGGGGGGGCGGAGGAGGGGTTGTTGATCTTGCAAGGGTTGTCGCTCAAAGTTTGCATCACTCATTTTCTTATTCACATGAGGATGAACTCGCATGTTATACAAAAGAGCAACAGCTCCAGGATTTCAAACGGATCATCTGTAGTATCCATTAGCGAAAGAGATCACCTCGACCACTTCTCCACTCGAAACCTAAGACATTCTTCGGTCCTGGTTCTCCTTTGGGCTGCGAGCAGGTACCGTAAGCAGGATTAATTTCTTTTTTTTTTTTATTTTATTTTTGTGTGTGTGCACGTGAGACAGCTAGTTTGAACGAAGGACTTACAAAGCTACATTCTGCTCCCTCAAACTTCGCCCTGAATGGCCTTTGTCACTCACTGGGGCTTTCCTGGGGCTTCCCACTCTCAGTCTCAGCTCGTAAAAAAGGAGACATTCCACAAAAACTGTACATACCAAGGGGTTGACCTCGTTTTCTACAGCTCCGCAAAAATCTTTGTTTTTCCCGTTTAAAAAAAGAAGCAAATTTTATTTCTGTCATTTGAGAAAAAAAAGGTGTGTGCAGGGGGGGGGGGGGGTAGTAGTAGTAAAATAGTAACGGTTAGAAGTAATTTTAATACTTCAAAAAGTAATCAAATTACTCATGTGATTACAAAATTGCTCCAAAAAGTAATGCGTACGGTACAAGTCTGCCTGCAACACAGTTTTTTTGTTTTGCCAGATAGAGTTGTCCAACTGTTGCCTCAGTGTGACAGGGCCTTAAAGGGGTAGCGAAACGAAATTCCAGCTCTCATTTTCTAGCTTGTATCTGTTGCATGTTGCATCCTAACCTCAAAAACACCAGTCTTCCGTTGAAAGGCACAAGAAAACTAATTTGAAAGCTAAATAAACAATCTTTCAATGTGCACCTGGTGGATGCATGCGGAGCCTTTTTGGGAGGTAATCAGCAACGTTGGGGAACTTGCTACGTAGTCGTGACGTAGCAGATTCCTTCCGAGCAGCGCCGCCCTTCGGAATTTCAACATTTTCCTTCTTAGCTTTCCTCCTGAACTCGCCAATTGTGCATTGTACCGAATGGTCCAAGAAGACAAAAAGGAAGGACTCCCCTTTCTCGGACCCTCGTTCATGCTACCGGAAACAGCCATTCTCCCCCTAAAAGATTAGCACGTCGCTCAAAACTCAAACAAAAGTTGCTTTCCCCACCCCGTTTAGCCCTAAGCTGACAGTGTTGTGAAAGCTATGTGCTCCTTTGGGTCAGCCACACGCTCGTCACCCCACGGGTACTTCGAACGGCTCGGTTGTAACGCGCTGACGCTATTGACATCGCCACAACGCTGACAACGCCACCAAGGGCGAAGCTCATAACCACGCCTGCCTTGCTACTCCATGAACGCGGGAAATCTTTTCTTTGTTTTTGTTTGCGCCGGATATCCCATGACTCATTGCACTCTCCGTTCGCTTCTCTTCAAGTGCTTGCTCGAGTGCACCGTTTGGAGCGAAAAATAGAGCCAGTCGTTCAAAATATAAATGTGCAATTATCATTTACGGTTATTATCCGTCATGCTTGACTCGTCTCCGAACGAAATTTGAATATTTAAATTTTTGTTTCTGTACCCCTTTAAAGGATAGGGATCACCCAGTCGAAACACATCATACCAATAAGAAACATAATGCCGTCCCACCTAAGCTGAATGCATTCTTGCTGCTCATACACTTGGAATGTGCACTGGCATTGTGTAAGAATTGGTTTTGGTTAGTCCAGAATCTATTTTCTGCAAACCATCCTTGAGGGTGGCATAGCAGCTAGGGTGTTGCCTTCCACCTTTTTCCTTGTTTTGTTCCCTCCCAAGAACTCTTGATTGGTACTTGCCTCATCCAAGTCAGTCACTTATTGTACAGTGCTGTCACAAGCAAGGCAGGAGCAAACTACTTGTACGCTGCCGTTTGGCATAACGTTGCTGCTTTGCAAAGTAGATGACCTGTTTTTCAGATTGATCATTACTTTTAGTTCAAATAAGTTGTTGTTTTCTCCATATAGTCTAATATGATGTTTACTCGAATGGCTGACATTTGTACGAAGGAAATCTTGCTTTATTTACTCTCCTGTAGGGTCCATAGAGCATTTATTCGTCATTGAAAGAAGGGTCTAAAATGGAATGTGCTATTTATTTTTCAGCCTATAAACGCAGTGCTCAGTGGAGGTAACTTTTTTGGGCACGTTGGGGCTTCTGGTATGTGTCACAATGATTGGCTGTCCATACCCTGCAAAGATGTAGTTGCATTCTAAACAAAGGTTAAACTATCTTGGAATGAGTGCGCTGATCTGTTCAAAATGGTGCAACCTTTGGAAAGCACAGTGACGAGGAGCATTGAGCTACAGTGTAACACTTGAAAGGCTACAGACACATCCTTCTATCCCTATCCGGTTAATTGCCTCGTGCTGCCGAAAGCATGCTTTGAAGTTTTACCCATGCTGACTTGATCAATGGTTTCTTTGCAGTTGGACTGAGCAGCCACCCCAGATTCGGACCAAAAAGACCATGATGCGAGCCCTGCGTGTGCTTTGCAAATAAAATTGTGCGAGAGCCACCAAAAGTGTTGTTTTCTCACAAGAGCCCTGGCCAAGTTATACACTTAGCCAACGTTTATCAGTTTTCCAATTACTTTTTAGGGCACACAACCAAGATGTGCAAACTGTGGTGAGTGCATGCCAAACAAATAGATAGATAGTGAAACCTCCCTGCGAAATTTGCTAGTTGGGTGCAATTGCTGCGAGACTGCATCTGACAAACTGGGTGGTCTGTGCAGGTGGAAGAAGAGAACCCAGCCTAGAAGTCAAAGCACTAGAATTTTGATGTCGTCACAGTGACAAAAGACAGATTGGACATGAGTGCTGTGTTTGGCTGTGTCCAATTGAGGGTTCTTGGGTCCAGTTAGTGTTATCCAAGTGTGATGATGTTCCATGGAGGAGAGGGTTTGTAAGCCATTTTGGGTGGTGTTGGCCCAGCAAAGTTTTGCAAGGGTGTAGAAAGTAAGGATCGAGGACCGGTGAGCAAACTTCCCCTTGATCTGCCCTACGGAAGAGCCTCGCTGGCAAACTTGTCTCCAATGATCTTTGTGGAGGGATCTGGGAGCTCGTGTCATCCTGGCAATCGACCCCTCTCGCTAAGCATCTGGTGTGTGCGTGAAGTGGCCACAACTTTGGTTCACGGGAGGTGGGCGGCAGTGCTCGAGATAACTCTTGCCATCGCGGGCTCTGCACGCACAAAGTTTCAGCAAGGTTGTCGCAGGTGCAAAAAGGCTAAAGTTCCCTGGATGCATTGCGGCAGTGGTGGCGCAGCCAAACTGACTGGTGCGATCGGTCTATTGGAGCTCGGTTCACACACCATTTGCTTGCATTGCGTTTTACTATGTATGCTTATGTTGAGTTACTGGGATGCCTGTGCTTTGTATAAAGCATGGCAATCTGCACAAGGAGTAGCCTTGCACGGATGTTTTAGTGACTAGTAACATAATGTAAGCAAACACTCCTGTGTGAATGGTCCTCGAGGTACACAGTCTACATATGACCTGTATGATGTGGACCAGCTGAGGGGGGCGAGACGCTTTGCATGAAAGTTATTTCTCGTTTCTAAAGTATTTGTAGAATAAAATACATTTCAAGATCTTCAGTGCTTTTTCGGAGCAATCGTGGCTCTGATCAAGAGTATCCAATCTGCCTAAGTGCTGCAAGCATATTGTATTAGGCTTTTCTGTAGTAAATGTGCTTCCCTGGCTTGACTCTAGGGATAACCTATGCTTGCAGTGCAGTAGGAGGAGTTTACAGTAGTTATCTGCTACCCTGCAGCCGTAAGCGAAGGTTGACTTCTATAATTCATTTCACCTTATCTCTTTCCCGACCTTGGGAAAAGTCGCAATGGACCTTTCCCAAAGATCATTGGGCACATGCGCCAACCCTGAGAAAGGGAAAGACACCATTTTTGGAGGCTCTTTCGTCCGCTGAGCTGCTTAGACAGTGCTGGTTCAGCTTGACTCTCCTGCTATTCTCGCAGCTTGGCTTGATAGTCGCCATGCCTCACTACCACGCAGCTGTAGGCTGCACAAATAGCAGAAATGGTTCCAATGCAAGATTTTATGGAGTTCCAGCAGCCTTTTGCAGGTGGTGCACGAAAGCACCCCATGTCAAACACCCCCACCCTCCCACTTGCCCTGCTTTCAAAAGCCCAAGTTTCGGAAGCCTATGATGCGAATCCCCCATGTCGGGGGCTGGACCCTCAATGTGATGGCGGGACATTGTGCTTTTAACTGAAAGACAGCAAGAGCAAGTGTACACGCGAGTTTGTGTTACGTAATAACGTCGTACCCGATACTCAAGTAAAGAATAATGATAAAGCTTTCCTTTCTTCAGGCGTGCGCTATACATATTCACGTCTTTCGACAATAAAAGTTTAAAAAAGATAGTCTGGCGAATTGTTTCAAGTGTGTGAAATGTATTTAAGACCTATGGCGACAGAACCCTGACATGAACCCCCATTTGCAGGGCCCACTTCGTCGGAAGTTTGTAAACGTGCTCAATTCAAAAAGGGGTGTTTTTAACATACCGTTTCTTATCTTTGACGGCACAGGTGAGCCTTTGCGATATCGAGACCACCCAGATTTCCCCTTGTCCAAGTTTGTATGCACAGCCCTGGGTACGGCGATGCCCAGTGCATTCGCACGGTACACAAAACGGCGAAGTGACGGAATGGAATAAGCTCGATTAACTTAAACGCTCAAGAAGAGCGAAATTTAGCTGTTTGTAGTGGCCGGGCCTCATAAACGGACCGCACAAGGTGGATAGTTGGGTCAGGATCGAAACTGGTCACCATTACTTTCCTTGCATAACACTCTGCCTTGAAAGCCGACCCCTTTCTCAGTTGCTTGCACGAGCCGACAACAAAGTGACAATTGAGTGACTCGGAAGTTGACAGGCACCGATGCTGCATTGGTGGTATATCCGTCTTTGAAGGTATAAAGATGAACGAGTCTGTCTGTATCTTATACAGTGGCTTTCGTTAATCGTCCAGGGTCGCCCTCTGCCATTTTGAAAAGATGCATGCGAAGCGATGACAAAGAGACTTTCAGAATGGTGAAAGACAACAATGCCACCAGGGAACACCTGTTTAAACATACGGACCAAAAGACGCGCCAGGAGCGGACCACAGAGCAACAGTCCCATAGCCCCCATAAGTGTTTCAGGCGATTCCCTCGAGGGCGCGCCATAATTGTGGCCAAACTCGGAAAAGGTCCATTTTCAAAAGATCCGTGCAAACATTTTTATTTTTCTAACTAGCTTGCGTATGGAGCAGTACGACACGTCAAAATGTGGTCAATTAGTTGTTCTTTCTAAAGAAAAACATTATTATAATGTGCGAAAAATATTTTAAGATTCTATTTCTTAATAATACAATGTATAAGCGGAAGCTTCTAGCTATATTGAATTAAACAACAAGTAAGAAAAATTCAGAATATACAAAATGTGCCCCACACCCATGGCTATTCTGAAAGTTAGTGTACCCTAACTGACGTCTATTTTTGGTTCGCATCCCCAGCAGAATGCTTTCCTCGTGTTTTACCTTGGTTCTGTCATAGCCTCGATTGCAGTTCCCTCATATTTAGAATTTTGGTGCACCTCGTTGGGAACATAAAACGTGCACGGCGGCTCAGGGCAGTTTTGGACCGACAACCATCTGTGAAGCAATGCCTATAAGATAATTCAAAGTGTCCTCAGAGCTCTTGAGGTCTAGAAAACGCACCACAATACAGTTGAATTCTGTAAATAAAGCCATCTTTGTTGTAAAGACTGATGCAAGCAGTTAGTGATGTTAGACAAGTGCAACCACCGTTCTCGGGACTATTTTTGATGGCCCACCAGCTTGTGATAAAGCTCAAGCCTACGTTGAAACTACAGTTCTTTGGCTATCCAGGAGATTGTGGAACATAATTTTCTGCACTAAATTGACGGCGCTTGGAAACCATCGATCACCAATTGATGGTTTCCAATGCTATATTTTTTTTTTAAACACGGTGTTTAAAAAAATATAGCAAATCGAGCCGACATAAAACAGCACACAGAACACGAAGGAAGAGTGTGTACTCTTCCTCAGGTGTTCTGTGCACTGTTTCATCATGTTGAAGTACCAACTAGCTCAAATCGCTACTTTATTATTTCACCTGTTTGCGTGAACAAGCGATAAGCAGCTTTTCCACTTTTCTCTTAGAATCGAAAGGATGTCATCAAAACTATTAGTGCAATGGAAAGTGCTCGATTGGAGCAGTAATGTAAATTATAGTTCCTGGCAATAGCTCCTCAAAGATACGAAAAAGTACTATATTTTTCCGTGTACGAGTTGCGGTTTTTCCACAAAATTCCCAACAGTTTTATACAATGGTGCGACTTGTATATATACAGATAGTATATATATTTTTTCTATGAGTATAGACCGACTGAGAATTTGCATAGGGGATTACTTTTGTTCAATTTGTTGGTGCAAACTTTTCAATGGTGATGCATCTTGAATGCAGTCTCTCCACACAGACTGTAAGAGTACAGTCTGATACACCGAAAAATGTGGCATGCCGACTTTCAAGCTCTATGGCACGCTACTCGGCAAACCAAGATTCCAGTGATAGCTTGCGAGTAGACGGCCATTTTGCCTAGTTGGTTGGAGGGCTTTTACACCACTCGAAAGTGAGGAAAAAATAAAACCACTCGGCTCGTTTGTGTAAAATTTATTGTATAAACTGGATAGCACGGGGATTATCTGAACACAGTGAACACACCGGGCAAGCACTTACACTGGCTACACAAGCTGCGCTGAACACATTCGACGGCTTTCGCCTGAACACTTGCACCGTCGCCGTGGCGACGCGAACGCTATAAAAATAGGAATTGAGGCACTTTGTACGTTCCTGAGGTAGAGTGCCCCCGGCAGTCCGCCAGGGGCTTTGGCATCTGAGGCTTGAGCACAATGCGCTTCGCGGCAGATACCGGACGAAGGGACTTCGTGGAGGCTTGTTCCTCCTGTTGGAAGCGTCTGAGCAGGGCTGTTGGAGCATCCACTGGGCGACTAGGGAAGCGAGGCCAGGCCCGGCCGAACAGGAGCCACTAGATAAGCTACGCTCCGAGTATGCACACTCCATTCCCTCATGTATAAGGGCGCCGCCATCTTGGGGCCTGGTGCAGAGCAGGCACAACTGGCGATCGTCTCTATTCTAAAATGAGTCTTCCTCGGCTTTAGATACGGCGTCGGGCAGATCGAATGATATCGTTTTGCTTTATCGCAGTAATGCTTCTAAAGAACAGAAAACGGAAATGCGTTTCCTGCAATTTCAGATAACTGGCAACAATGATTCGAAGCACCAAGATGGCTCAACTGTCATTACTCTGAGGTGTAGCTCACCAAGTGGCTCTAGGTTAGACCGTTGCCATGTTTTCACTTTACGCAGCGCCGTGCAGCAGATGCACGGTGATTGTCGAATTTTGCTTAACTGCTAGTCGTGCTACATTTGGTTGGCACATAAGGGCACACACGGCCATTGCACAACGGATGCACATTTTCGCTGTTCCTTCCCTTCGAATAATGTAATCGACTCCTTTTTTTCCCATAGGCCCAGAAGTGGTGCAGGTGCGACGAGCGATAGAACTGTTGCCAGTCTCGGTGTCACACTGGTAGAATTAACTTGAACAAGCTGCAACTGCTTTTCGGAGATCAAAATTTCCGAATCGAGCCGCAGCAAAGCTTTGAACGAACAAGGTTGAGTATTCACCAACGGTCGTAAACTCCAAAGGTTGCAAATGCAGGCTCAATTTGCCAACAATAGACCACTTTCCTAATTCGTTTTGCTGCAAAATTGAAGCATCTTGGTGGAATAAAATCTGAAGAGGGCTCCAAGAACTTTCCAAACCACATTGGAGAAATGCTCTTCTTTGACCTGGGACACAACAAAACGCAGCACTCGAAATCCAGACTGCCAAAGGCACACAAGTAATCCCGACACTCGCGGCAGGATCACTGCACGAAAGAAACAACACTGAGATAAAGGGACACATTGTAACGCATCTTCGAGACAAGTGTTGGCGGAACGACGGTGCAGAAGCGGCGGCTCAAACCTCAGGCTGTAAGCTTTCTTCGCAAGTCACGATAGAAGTCGGTAAATTAATCTTTTTATTTTGCCGGCCAGGCATCAACTTATTTTTGTCACAAGGTTGTGCGGCCTGGATGCGAGTTGTGAAACTCGTCTGTTCCAACAACTCCAGTAACTTATGACGTCTGGTTCAGCAAATGTTGGGGCAAACCAATTGGGCGACTGGCCGACAAGATAAAAAAATTAAGTTACCGGCTCCCAATTTGATTTCGCGATCACGATAAAAGCCAATCGATTTGAGCCAATTGTGATCACGATCACGACTGGCTCAAAGCTCCTAGCCCAAGCTTCGAGCCAACGCTCCGTCGACCCACGAGCCCCGTTCCGAAGGTACGCTGCGGACGCTTCCGAAGAACCGCCCACCAGCTTGAGCAGACGCCATCCGAGTGACATTCCAAGGGGGGTGACTAGGCACGGTTCAATAGCGGCAATGGATAGCACAGAAGCCTCGAGGATTTTCGGCTGAATCAGGTACGACGACGGACTGCTGCACTCACGGCCTGGAATGCCACGGGGGGGTCGCTCACACTGGCAAACAGCGGGGACACTGGCCTGACTGCAACGCTTCTACGAGTCCTTTGAGCTAACCAGGTTTTGGCATCCTCAAGATTCTGAGGCTATTTTTAGAACCAGTTTTCAGCCGCTCTCTCACCCGAAACGTTGAATTCATCCCTTTTTTTTCATTACGAAATATATGAATAAATGAAACATGTATTTACTAAACTTGCGGCAATACAACCTTATTGCTTGGCATATGGCATCACTGAGGAAGGGGATGGGATTATGAACTATAAAGACATTGTCTTAACTGCACACATAGAACTTTTGGGGTTTACGTATGTAACTGCCAAGGGCCATCAGTCACGCCCCAGCAAAATACTCTGGGCTAATTTATATCACCGGGGAGTATTTGACATGCAACCGATAGATAATTTATGCAACGGATTCACCGCACTTAACGAGGACGTGAATCTAATTACGTTGCTCATAGAAGTTTTAACCTTTTTGGATCAAGCTCCTGCAATGATACTTGCATAATACTGTTTCTGTAGTGGGGTTACACAACTTTGCAACTGTCTGGAAGGATTTGGGCTTAGTTTCCACCAAACGAAGTTGGCTCTTCTGTCGGGAGAAGTTTTCAAACCTGTTGGTTTCGACCGAAACCAACAGGTTTCGGTCAGTGGAATTGCTGTGCGACTCAGGTGCTAGACCCTCGACTGTACAGTAGCGACACAAGCTACCATACCTTTAAGATCTACAGACACAGCAAAATTGAATGTTTCGCATGGGTTTACTTTTTGCTTTTCCCACAGGAGGAACCGCTACGTGGGAATGTTTTTAATGTTTGCTTGCATGTTTCTCAGAGTCATCTAGGATTTATTGGTTTACCTCCATGCAATGTTAAAAGAAAAATGGGTCGTGTAAATAATTACGGAAAAAAAGTCGGACTGCCCGTGTCTCCGTCATAGAAGGCAACTTAGTTGGTGCAGCACACTTTAGCTATCTGACATCATTCATTCAGCAGTGATTTCGCATAAATGCATGCCGACAAAGCATCCAACCACATCGAAGCCCACGGGACTTGCAAAGTATTAGTTTTTCTCTCCAGAAGCTTCGGACAGCCTTCCGAGGCGCAAGTTACTTCCAGATATCCACTCGCAGTATTACAGTGTCCCCGCCGTCTGCTTAAAAAAAAGACGCGGTCAAGAGGCTCTCAAGTGCAATAAAAATGAACACATTCACCGGTTTGTTTTTAAGGCACCGGAATTCACTGGCGGCAACGGGTGCACCAAGTAAAACGACAAAAAACAGTCCTTCCACGTGTAAAACATAAATTTGTAAAACTTGTATGTATAAACATAGAATCTTATATAGGAGTTTGTATACTGTATACAGGGCACGTAAAATTGTAAAACACGCTAGAGGTATAACTGGTTGGTTGTACAGGTACGACGCGGCGAGCACGCCGGAACGACGGGCACCGCAAGTGGCACGAGCGATGGCCGCCCAGTCGTAGGACCAAGGGTGGCTTCAACAGGGAAGCCTGACCGGGTGCGGTTGCCCGCACAAACACACGAGAGCGGGAGATCGCGCGGCGAGACTGTGCTCGGGGGCTCCGCAGAGACTGGCGTCGCAACAACAAACAGTTCTGCCTCGAGACTGCGGAGCCCTCCGGACAAATGCACTGGGCAAGTTGCAAGTGGTGCCAGCTCGTTAACATCGTTAACAGGTACAGGGGATGACTGGTTTTCGTTTTCACCGCTTTCTACGATTGGGGGGAAGACGGCCAAAATCTGCACTTTCCAACACATTCGAAACAATGAGAAAGAAAGGATCATCTCAAGTGCACATCTCCTTATACGCTTCTGCTCGTGGCCTGAAAATGCCCGGCGGATGGCCAATGACGTGGCCCGAGAACTACTCCTTCAGTGGTGAGCAAACGTTTCCACATCTGGAGCGACATAATGAAGTTACACGTACAGAGGTTCTCGTAGCTCTAGTAAGCTCCCTCATATCTAGGGTTCTGTTTTCGGAGTTTATTTCTCTTAGAGTTCGAGGATGCTTCGCCTGGGTTTATATTTTTCCCACAGATTCATTATTATTCGGTACAAATTTTTGGTGGTGAGAAACAAATGGGAAAATACGAACCTTTGCTAAGCAAGTTCTAAACGGTTAGGAGCCCGACGTTTCAAAACTGATTCAGTTTTTTCATCAGGGGCCAGACAGTGTTACGTCAAACATGTTTACGTTTAGAAAAAAACAAATCGGCGTTTGCGTTGAATCCCCAACCCTCACGGAAAATATGCACAACTCAAATAGTTGGAAATCGTCCTGGAAACGGTAAGAGCGTGAAACGAGATAAAAGGTCTTCAGAAAAGCCTCGTGGACAGTTTGGTAGTGGCCATGTTTCGGGATAGCTGTAAATTAAGCTGCAGATAAAGTTGAGTAATGTGGATCCTTGAGCAAGTTGGTATCGAAACTTTGAGAACATAATAGTGCTTCAAGACAGGAACGAGAGTCGGGACAAGACAACACAATGCGCATTGTGTTGTCTCGTTCCTACTCTCGTCCCTGTCTTGAAGCGCTGCTATGTTCTCAAAGTTGCAGATAAAGATTTCTCCCCGTGGAGCTTTGGTTTTTCTCATTCAAGGACAGCTCCCATTCAGGCTGCGTCAGTTGCTTTCAAATTTGATCAACCCGGCTCGTGGTTTTTACCGATAAACCTCGGAAATAAACCCCCTAGCTGGTTTTGTCAAAATCGGGGAAAAGCAAAAGACCCTGAATCAAAGCTGCCCCGAATAATAATAGCCAAAGCTGCACGGGAAGGAAAACCTTTAGCTAGAGCAGTGGTTCTCAACCATGCATGTTTCGTGAACCCCTTGTGGATTGGCAGAGATGACGGCGGACCTCATTTGTGGTGAGGAAAAGGGAAATGTATAGGTTAATTTTGATGATTTAATAAATGAATATAACTAAGTGCTGTGTGGAGTAGACTTCTCTTTTTAACAGATAGACTAAAATTACTCGCCCAGAAAACTGGAACATTTTTTTTCTCAATCTGAGAAAAGACACCTTTTATCGCAGGGTTTGACTGATGAGGCTGGACTTTGCAGACCTCTAGAATGCCTTCACGGACCCCTAAGAGTCCACGGACCCGCATTTGAGAACCACTGAGCTAGAACTTTGTTTTGAAGGGGAACACAGTCCGCACTGAACTGTCTGTGAAGTTTCCTTTGCACGACTTATATCATTTCTTTCTCTTCTCGGTACCAGGACTTTTTCTAAGAGTTCAAGTCACGCGTATGTTTCCACCGGGTTGAGGAATCCCATGCCCGCTATTTCCCATTTTTTTTTTTTTTGGCAGATGCCCCGATAAACGCAACATTTTCATCCAATACAAAAAAATGTGCACTGAAAAACCCTAAACGAAAGCCTCCAAATTCCTAGAAAAATTAACCCCGAAAACAAGGAACCCTAATTATAACCTAAGCCGTCTTTCCAAAATGATTCCCTCCAAAAAATGCTTTTTCGTGTTCTCCACGATTTTTAAGTTTAGATATTTTTCAGATACTAAAACATGAAAGCTATCGAAGGCCTGAAACTTCAGTGGCTCGCAGAACAGATTGAAGCCCGTTTGCAAGACCTACTTCTCTGCTGCACAAACTCACTGACGGTGATTGAGTGGTATAAGACAACAAATGGCTATGACAGTGTAAAGATGTAGAGCTATTGCAGATTGACCAGATGACGCTGGCCGAGCCTCGCTGACAATTGTTTTCTCGTTCGTCTCGGCTCGGATGGCTCAAAGACGCAGCAGCATCTGCATCCTCAAGGCCCATGAATGTTTCAGAGAGGTGCCGAACGAGCTGCGTGTCGACCGTCTCTCACGTCCCGCAAGACCGACAGCCCGTCTGGCGCTCGAGGTCCTCCCGTCGGGAAAGACTGGACTAAGAGGTCAAAGAGTGGCACCGGTTTTGGCACGGGGTATTAGGAGCCTGTCCTACTGGAAGGCTTGGCTAAAATGGGGCAGAGGGGGCGCCAGCTCAACGGTAGCAGGTGCCGGAGGCACGGGGGGCGGCGCGCTCACGTAGTAGCCGGTAGGCAGGAAGTGGGGCACGATGGCTAGGAACGGGGCGTCCGCGGCAGCCTGGACCTTGGCCCTGGCCTCGCTGTCCAGGAGTGGAGACGAGGCCAACAAGGCCGTGGGCCAGGGCTCGTTGAAGCAGGGCCGGGCCGCGTCCTCTCCGCTGGGGCCCTGCTGCACAACTGCCAGGCCGTTCTCTTCCCGCTTCGGGACCTCAGCAACCGAGGAGGACCCGCCGGCACTGTGGGTCTTCTTGGTGTGCCGGACCAAGTGGTCCTTGCGGCCAAATTTCTGCGGACAGAACTGGCAGACGAAGTTGCGCTGGCCCGTGTGCACCACCATGTGGCGCTTGACGTCCTTGCGCGTGAAGAAGGACCGGTCGCAGCGGTCGCACTTGAAGCGGCGCTCGGTGGGTGTCTTGACGACCCTCGAGCCCGAGTGGACTTTGAGGTGCAGCATGACGTCTTCGCGCCTGGCGAAGGCGGCCCCGCACAGCCGGCACACGGGGTCCCCGGCCTCGGCCGCGTGGAGCGCTGAGTGCTTGCGGAAGGACAGCACCGAGCTGTACTTCTTGCCGCACAGCGCGCACGAGTGGAGCGCCTTGTTCGGGTCGTGGATCTGCAGGTGCGTCTTGAGGTGGTCCTTGCGGTGGAAGCGGCGCTCGCACGACGGGCACTCGAAGGGCCGCTCGCCTCCGTGGATCAGCGAGTGGCGGACCAGCTTGAACTTGGAGCTGAACAGGCGGTCGCAGCCGGGGCTCAGGCACGGGTACTGGCGGGGGCGTCCCGCCGCAGGCGGGGACGACCGCGCCGAAAGCCAGCGGCCCGCGTCCACGCCGTCGCTGCTCTCGGCGTCCGAGTGCCTCATGGCTCGCGGCCTCCCGGGGCTCGCCGCCTCGCAGCCATCGCCGCCGCTGCGCTGCACCCGAGGGCATGGTCAGAGCGCGCTCCGACCGCTCACGCTACCGGCACAACACGGGCGTCGCGTCTGCCTCGGCCCGTTTTTCGGCGGGTCGTCAAGGGCGTCGCGGGGCGGCGGTGACCTTGAAGTCTCCGCGGCTGCCCGAGCCGAAACAGCCTTCAGAGACCGCGACCATCAGGCGCGCCGAAGACCGACATCTCGAGACCGCGCTTTCGGGCGAGAAAAAAACCGGCGAATACAAAGATTTAGTAACCAAAGTGTTAACTAGGTCATGCCCCACATTCGCCGTTTGAATGCGCCGTTCGAAGCGGCACGGTGTTTGTCTACCGGTCATCGTGGTCCGGTGGTCTCGAGACTACCAACGACTATGACAGGCTGAGCGAAGGCCGGGCGAAGGCCGAGCAAAGCGCAGCGCGGACGCGAGCTTGCGATCGCTGCATCGCATTTTGCGGTGCTCAACGGGTTAAAAGAGTGTCGGCGAACAATCAAGATCCCCACACGTCGCAGAGACTCGCGTGCAGAGCGTCCAAAGACGGCCGTCAAGGGCTGTCACGTCGGAGAAAGTCATTCGGATAAACTTTTAAACTATTTTAAAGCCGTGTCGCGCAATTTCGTCTGCATTTCGGCGAAGCGTGTCGACCATTTCGAAGTGACAGACCCTTGTCCGCGAACAAACACGGACCATCTTTGGCAACTCCGTGAAGCGGTCACACTGCCGTTTTTCTTTGCTCGCCTTCGTAGGCTGTCGCGGTTATCCTGGCTAAATGAGCTGTCACAAAGGTTTGCGGTAATTATACACCCCGCAACGCGACTTTGTAGCCCTAACATCGCTGACATGCGCGTTAACGTCGTCGCCGCGCGAACGCGCGTCCAAAGAGCGCACTGGAGACGTTTGGGATTTCGCGGCATCGCCGATGCACGGCAATGCAAAGCGAAATGCAAACCAAAGGAAGAAAAAAAGACCCTTACCGAGCAGAGCAGCTACTCCCTTGTCACGCCGTTCGAGGGCGAGGGGGGTGAGCACTGCCACTGCTATGCTGCTACATGATGCTTGGCTCTTTCCACGATGTATAATTAACTATCTTTTTCCGATGCATCGACGTGCACTTCTGTCACAAAATTATTGTAGGAAACAAGGTAACAGAACGAGAAAAACTTCATATTCTAAAGCAAGCTAAACAGCCATTGCGTTAATAAACAAATTAAAAAATTGGTCCATTTTCTTTGAAGCGGGCGGTTACTCGCGCCACCTAGCCATTTCATAGTAAAACTACGAGGAAAACTTTATATAAAAACATTAATGGACTGAATAGGACATACCTGACATACATGTAAAAAAGTAAATTTATCAAAAACAAAAACAAAAGGAAATGTTTATAGTGGGCTATTAGTTTCAGCAGGATAAAATATTTACGAAACCAAAGCTTACTATCCCAAGTTTCCGTTTCGATCTTACCAGACCGCCTTCTGGACTTACCTATCCACCCGATGTTTTTTTTTTTTTTTTGCTTTTTTTCTTTTGCCAATATTTACACGCAAATCCTCAGTTGGAGGGCTGTTTTTTTTTTTTTTTTTTATTTCTTCACATTCGCGTGATGGGGGATATAGAATTTTTGAGACTTCATAGCTCTGTTTACTGATGTCTTACACCAAGATGTGTCTCACAGCGTAAATATAGCTGTAAAATATTTTTCTAAACACCTGAAGAGAATATGTAAGGTACAAAATAGATTTGAATAAAAGCTAAGTTTATTTTATGGCAATATTTACGCCGTGAGACAAATACGCCGTGAGACAAATATAGGCACGAAACCGAAACTGGGAGCAGAGCGCCATAGCTGTAGTCTACAGGAGGCAAGTGCCAGTCAACGTAACCAAATTGACCCCGTAAGTTATGACGTCGCAACATGGCGCTCTGCTCCAAGCAGACCGTTGCTAGGGTCGTTGTTACGGAGCTTACGGAGAAATTCAGGAAGCTCGACACATATATATATATATATAAAAAAAAAAAAAAAAAAAAAAAAAAAAAAGGTTTTTGGACAATTAAACAGTTACTAACTACCATTCATGAGTTTGCACAGGTACTGTATAAGGCTGAACAGGTGGGTGTTATCTTCCTGGACTTCAGTAAAGCATTTGACAGGGTTCCTCATGAAAAATGAATCTGAAAACTGCATACAAAAATAGGACTTCCTTCAGCAATCGTCAACTGGGTTCGTTCATTAGTTCGTCGAGGCGGGCGGTTGTTGTTCGGAGACGTTGAATGTGGGCCCTTAGCTGGACGTTGGCGAAGACGACGGCGAGAAATCTGGCGGCCGCGATTGGCCAACGCCACACTTGACCTTGGCGCCGGCCAATCATAGCCGCCGAATTTCTCGCCGACTTTTCCGCCAAGTGTCCAGATTAGGACCCCAGGGATGCGTCTGTGGCTTTTCATTGCAAACAAGAGAAACCCGCAACTGTTTTTCTTTTCAATTAATGACTTTATAATTTCTGAAGTAAATCAATTTAAATGCCTTGATGTTACTATATATAACACCTTGAGTTGGTCCGACCATATGAATACCGTTTCCTCGGCAGCCTTTCGAAAGCTCGTCTTGTAGGGCATAAACTTGGAAAGGGCCCCCCCCCCCCCCCCCCCCCCCCCCCCCCCTCCGGCCTCCCGCAAACGCCCTTAAACGTTAAAAAGTTACTTCCCTCATTCGACCTAAGCTCGAATACTGTTTCGTAGTCTGGGATATATTTACACAAAAACATTCCGACGTCTTAGAGAAAGTTCAAAGGCGTGCGGTTCGTTTCAATCATGGTAAATTCAAACGCACAGATTCCCCGTCACTGCTAATGCAGACAAATACACACTCTCAAGCTCCGGCGTAAAATTGACCGCTTAAATTTCCTTCGGTAGCTTGTCGGTTCTAAGGTTTGTCTTTATGCTAGTCAGATTTCAGCCAGGTCGACAAGGCACCAACCACCGCTACTCCTTAAAACCCTATTTCGCGCTTACTAATATATTTAGGTTTTCATGCATCCCATGAACAATGACAGATTGGAATTCATTGCCCCTGGAGTTGTTTTCTTCCCTGATTTCGGATCATCATTAGAATCGTTCCTATCCGAGTGAGTATCGCAGCCTTGTAATTTGAAAGTAGCCCTCTTATTTATATAACTTCCATATTATTCGCAAACAACAACAACAACGTGTGTTATTGTTATTACTATGTGAATGGTATGTGATGTAGTAGGTATTGATATCTGCATAGTTTGCATGTGTGTGTTTCTATGCAGCAGTTTTTTTTTTTTTTTTTATTGTGTAGCGTGATTTATTCTTCCGCCCCCCCCCCCCCCCCCCCCCTGCTTAGACCTTGAGGTCCGCAGTATGTACTAAAGGAAAAAAAAAAAAAATCTAAATAGAACCGTTGCTAGGGCCGTTGTTACGGACAAATGCACGGGGGCTCAAGGTGAGGTACGAAACTGTCTAATAAAAAGTAAATATTTTTTGTAAGCATTGCGTCTTCTTAGTATCTAATCGCGAGGATTTTTTCTGGTACATTAAAGTGATCACAAAAGCCCGCAATAAAGCTTCACAACCGGTTTTGAATTACTAGCAGACGACACGATGGTTTCGCGGGTCCAGTGGTTTCTTCTGAGGGAGTACACGACTGCGTTGAATGAAGTTGGTGACGATCTACGCAACTTCTGTACTCGGGGTAAACTTTCTATGGGATTTCGGAAGAGGACAGTGCCTGTACAGAGCTTTGATCGACGCTCGAGGTGCACAAGCGACTCGAACGCTGTCTCATAAAGCATCGCTTCCTTGAAGTCGAATCAAGTACGACGACGACGTGAATTGTATTAAGGCCGAAGTTCAAGCCAGCACACGTTTCAAGCATTTCTGACAGCACAATTGCTTCAAAGTTTAGTGCGTATTTGTGTGATCAAACGAACTGTCCGTAACAGATATACAGGGTGTCACAAAAAAAAATTTACGCGGTCTTTTTTACCGCAAAAATAAACTAGGCATCGCCGAACGCTGATTCTCCACCCAAAGGTAGCGCTAGAGGTCACAACCAGACGCCAAAGTTTCAGCCGGATCCGATAACTTAATTTAAAAGTTATAAGTGATTTTCTGAAAATTTCAATGGGAAAATGGAGCCCATTTTTGCCCGTTTTCGGTTTCTGGTGCCATAGAGCCCCATGTGTTCGAAAACTCCGTTGGCCGCCATTTTCCCATTGAAATTTTGAGAAAATCACTCATAACTTTTAATTAAGTCATCGGATCGGGCTGAAACTTTGGCATCTGGTTGTGACCTCTATAGCGGTACCTTTGGGCGGAGAATGAGCGTTCGGCGATGCCTAGTTTATTTTTGCGGTGAAAACGACCGTGTAAATTTCCTTTTGTGACACCCTGTACATGCAATCGAGGCGTTAGTTGTGTTAGGGACTCAATTAGTAAGGGCACCACGCAACTGCAAACGTAGAAAAGCAGCGTGCACAACCAAGGCACAATACAATCAGCAAATGTTGTGTTCACCAAATACATTTTAATGATTTAAACGGGGTTCTAACTTCGGGGTCAGTCGGAAATCAGAGCCAGTTCTGCGTCACTGGCCCGTGTTCAACGAACGAAATCGTAGATCGGCGGCGAATACCGTGTGTTCCGAGTCAACCCCAAGCGCTCGGAGCAAGTCGTTTGTTCCATCTCGCAAGCTGCCGGGTGGGAAAACTAAACGGTGCAAATAAAAAGTATTATTATAAGACGCTTTACACAGGCGCCAAATTACAGCCGCCATTGCTGACCTTCTCTTGTCTTACCGAGATGCCGAGCAACTGAAACGGTAGTTGCCGATCCTCTAAAAAGGTCGATGCTTTAGAAAAGGACACTGTTAATTCTAATATGGCAGTAACCTGGCCTGATAAAGTGAAATAAACGAAATAAGCGGAAACAAAAACTGAAGGTCAGTTATGGCGGCGTCCATGCACAGCTGCTGCAAAGCGTCTATACTACAAATGGCTGAGCCTCCCACGGTGGCCATCTTGAAGAAGCTTAAAATTTGACCCCTAGATGGCGAAACCGATCCGTGTGGCCGAGAAACTGGCTACGTTGCGCGTTCACCGCGTGCTCTCGCCCGCGTCACGCGGTGCCAGCGCTGCCCAGTTTGCTCTGGGCAGAGCTGGCACTGCCCAGAGCTGCCCAGCCATCTCATCTATCGGAGGATACCAAGCTTGGTAGTCTCTTATATGGGCCTCTGATCCGCGTTGCAGTAATTGGGTGGTGCACGAAATAACCTAATGTCGAAACACCCGTGTCAAAATCCCCGCTGCGAATTCCCCGCGTTATCTCCCCCGCCTTCAAAACCCCCGGCTTTCAGAACACTCTTTTATTTATCCCCTCGTCAGTTTCTCCGGCTGGAAACCCAGCCTGCAGATAATTGTCTGCAAACTGGATTTCCGGCTTCCAGCAAGAAATTCAGTGAGATTTTCTGCTCCATAATCCAGTTAGCGAAAAGTTATACAGGTTTTTTTTTTTTCTCGGTAGAGCACTGTTGCCCTTGTTCGCAAAATCGCGTCGAGGGCCGTTCGACGTCTCTCCCTTCCTTTGTTTCCCATGAATGTCGAGCAGAAACTCTTGAATGGCAGGCACTTACCAGGCCTATTTCTCACAGTGGAAGATAATACAGAAAGGTTACGCAGCATGTATCAGAAAAATTCTGTGTTTGACAAAATACTCGATAAAAGTATTTAAAGGGTAACTGCAAAGAAAAAAAAAGTATTTTTTTTTTTAAACAGCCTGATTGGGACAAGCATGTCACAAAACAAATGTTCCGCGAAAAAAATATATTTTTTTTATCACTATTTACGCCACAGGACGTAATTTAGTCGGAGTCAGAACCTCTCCACATTTGAAACTCCCGCTCTTTCGACTCCCGCGGAAGTAGAGTACGCCCCGCCCCTCACTCTCCTTGCGTTGCGGAGTTGAACGACGCAGCGTCTCGACTTCCGGTAAGATCTGGCAACAACGCACGG